AAACCACATTGATCTAGATCCAATATGTGACTGGCAATCACCTCCTCTTCTAACTGGGTAAGCTTCTTCGAATTAGGCTGGCAAAGAGACACCAGCGCGTCGGCGGCAGATTGTTCGTTCGGACACGTTATAGATAGTAGCAGTGTGGCAATTGCTCTGGATATGGTTGTTTTCAATAGAGGTGATAGCAAGCTGAACATCTGCTTCATTTGAAGCTGATTGAGTAGCGCTGCGTTGAGCCATTGTACGTTGAGATGAGAGAGGTGGGCAAAGTTGGTGGGGTGCGGCGCTCGCCCGTGTGCGGCGCTCGCCCGTGGAACACGTTAACAATATGTTTGCTATGAATACATGTTAACAACAATATTCCTTGCGCAGTGTATAGCTTTTTCTAACACCCTAGAGACAGATGTTAACCTTCAGATGTTGTTACAACTATATTCAGGATCCTACTTTCTGTCTTAGGTGTTTCCTCTTCCTCTTCTTGTATCCCCACATCACACACACACATCAAACCCTCAAAGCACACCAAGATGACATTAAACAAAAATTAAAATTCCGAGGATGCAACAATAACGCACCGCCATCCCATCCCACTAACAACGCTATGCAAAAGAAAAAAAGAACAACAACCCACATGCCCGCCAACGCCAACACCAGGGCATCAAAAAACCTTCAGCCCCTAGAACGCCCCTATCTGAAAAGAATCCACGAAGACTAAGCCTGCACCTCGCCATCACCACCATTCGCAGGCCGCTCCTCCCCGTCTTCCTGGGGCGGACTAGGCGGACTCACTACCGTCACCGGCGTCAAACCTTGGGTATCTTCCTTCTTCTCCTCCCCCTCGCCATCTTTATCTTCCTCCTTCTCCTCCCCTCCACCTCTTTCCCCCTCCGCCCCAAAGCTCTCCTCCGCAACACTCCCCCTCCTCTCCCCACCACCACCCTCCTCCTCCTCAGGAATACTCGGACTAAGCAACCCCCCAGCAACACCCCCTTCCTCACCCCTCCCACTACCACTACCAGCAGCCTGCCTTCTCCTCCTCCTCCTCTCCCTCTCCGTATCCGCGCTCTCCCTTCTCCTTCTCACACTAAGCCCTCCCTCCTTATTCAATCCTTCCAACATCGCCGCCGCCCGATCCGCCACATCCCCCGCCGCCGCCCCCGCGCCCTCACCACCTACATCCCCCGCGTCCGACGCGCCGGGACTCAACAACCCATTCGCCGCCGTAGTCCCACCACTCGAAGAAGTACCGCCAGCGCCCGCACCAGCAGCACTCCCCTTCCCCCCGTCCTCCTCATCCCCCATATTGACGCCCAACTCGGGGATCTTCTGCCCGCTCGCCACGCGCACCTGGTGTCGATCCTTGAGTCTGGCTCTCCGCCTCCTGTCTCTCTGATCTCTCGCTTCGGGTTTCGCTGCGCGCAGTTTCTGGAGCAGGTCGTCCATTGCGCCTGTCGAGGCGGGCGACTTGGGGTTGGACGAATCCGAGTCGAGGGCCGTGGGGGAGAGCGGGTTGAGCGCGTTGGCCTTGCGGCGCATAGAGGCTTCGTTGCGGCGGTGCTGTTCTTCAAGGGCGAGGTTCTTTTCTTTGGATTTCTGTTGTCAAGGAGTCAGCATGCGGCACGGCAGGCATAAATAACGTATGGGGAGGGAAGCGGGTCACCACAGGGGCCACAGGAACCGCAAAGCAGATAAAAAAGAGCAAAGAAAAAAGAAAACACAAACCTTCCACTCAACAACGAACCCCGCCAACTTGCCGAAGAAATCCCTCCTCGCGCTCTCATCCGTCGGATCCTCGCCATAAAACGCCATGATATCGTCGTACATCTTCTGCGTATCCTCGAGCAGCACCTGCATCTGCTCGGCCTTGCGCCTCGCCTCCTTCATGCTCCGCTGCACCACGATGGCGACCTTATCTTCGGGATGGAATTTGCTCGGATCCGACAGGTTGCCCGCGTCCAGCGACATCTGCACGTTCTTGACGTTTTCGATATACTTCTTGGCGTCCGTCTGGAGCTGCTCGACGTTGATCTTCTGGGCCGCCACGACGCCGCCGACTTCCTCGGTCCAGTTCTCCCAGCCGGGGTATTGGTTGCGAACGATGCGTTCGACGAGGTCGGCGAAGGTGGATTCGTTCTTGTCATCTTTGAGCATACCGAGACGTGATAGAGTCGACAGCTTGAAGCCATTTGCCTGCTTATTGGCATCGTTCATGAAGTTTCCAATATCCAGAATCAAGCCCAGTACGCTGATGAGGCTGGTGGAACTGCGCAGACTGTCCGAGACACGCGATATCTCCAGAAGCTTGGCCGATATCTCGTCGTAATCGCTCTCGTAGGTACGTGTCAAGGCAAGCGCCCTCATCCTGCTCTTCCAGTAGTGATGCAATTCGTATGCAGTGTATAGGTAGATCTGATCTTCCCTGGTAAGCTCCTCAGGATTCTGTTCGCGCTTACTCTCGAGCGGATTCGGCCCAGTCCAGTCCTTCGAATACGGCGCCATCAGCTTGGCAGTGTTATCCGGGATATCGCAGAGGTCATTCTTCTGGAGGAACTCCATAACGACTGCATCGTCCAAGATCTTGTTGTCGCAGTGGATGATCATGCGCACCACTTCCTCAGCCGAGTACTGCGAGAATTTCGCCATACTGATCTGGAAAGTATGCATAAGATCGCGCGAGATGATCTGCTTCTTCTCGTCCTTCTTCGAGTTCTTCTTGCCGATGGCCTTGATCTCCTTCGCGAGGAACAGCTTTTCGACTTCATCCAGGACGCCCTTCTTAGAAAGCTCCCTGTACTTCTCTTCCTTCTCTTCCGAGGTAGGCGTATGCGTAGCCCAGACAGTGGACTGTGGAGAATCCACCTTGTCCCAGTGCAGCGCCTTGAGCTTCTTCTTCGGTCGCACTCCTGGGACAATGACAGACGTAGGAGTGATACCAGGAGACTTGGGCAGGAAACCGGGGCGCTTGGCACCCGGCATAGGAGGCGGCGGCGGAGGTCCTGGAAGACCGGGTATTCCAGGGTCGCCCAATTGACCTGGCATAGGCGGTGGTGGTGGTATACCACCAGGAGCGAAACCAAGCTTGCCAGGGGGAGGCGGAGGCGGCGGAGGCGGCACTCCACCCATTCCAGGCATAGGCGGCGGAGGAGGGATATCTGCTGAAAATCCAAGAGCACCAGGAGGGGGTGGAGGAGGAGGAGGTATGTTTCCGGCGGGTTTGGCTTCGTCCGCTTTGGCAACTTCTTCCGTCGTAGCCGGAGCGCCGGACTCATCGCCAGGCTTCTCGCCGTTCTCCTCTTCGTCTGCATCATACGGCTTGACTTTGGCTGCTATCTCTCCAAGAAGACTGGTCTGTTGCGTTGCACTCATCTTCGGCCTGCGCATCTCCACCAGCCTGGGCTTCTCGATAACGGCATCCTCGTCGTCCTCCACAATCTCAGGTATTCTCTCCTCCTCGTCAGCCTCCTTGTTGGCATCACCACCAACGGGCTTTCTCCTTGGGACTCCGCTCTTGGCTCTGGCGGAACCGAGATAGCTTGCATCCAGACCACCAGCGAAGTCCTGCTCCGAAGCCAGACCATTCGTACCCTCCATGCGTTCGCGGAGTTCCCTGAGCTTCTCGCTAGGCACCACCTGTTGGAAATTCTTGCCCTCCAACGCCGCCTGCGTCTTCGCCCGCTGCAACTGAATCTCCAGCCGGTTCATTAGTCTCTCGCGATCGAGGATACCCGCCATCTGCGCCGGATCGCTAGCACCCAGGCCATTCTTATTCTTCTTCGCCGCCGAAGCCGCAACGTCCTGCGCATCCCGGAGCATGAGGTAGAGTTCACGAGTCTCCAACTCATTCCTCTGCAACTCCTGAGCCCGGAGCCTCTGCGTCTCGGCAAGCTCGGCTTTCAGCTGCTCGACCTGCCTGCTCCGTAGCTCAATGATGCTTGCCTGCTCTTCCAGCTGCTTCTGCAACTTTTGCACCATACCATCGGCCCCAAGCTCCAGCTGTGCTTTCGCCTCGTCACGCTCTGCAATAGCCGAATCTGCAATCTGCCGTGCTTCGATGGCTTCGTCTCGGATCTGCCGTGCCTCTCCATCGGTATACAGCTTATCGAGCAAAGACTGTACTGTGAAGTTCAAGCTCTGCTTCAGGTCCATATCCGGTAACCGACGATCCATAGCCACATAGCTGAGCATGGCATCCACCAACTGGAACATCTTGAGGCGGTCTTCCCCATCGGTATCGCGTATCAGCAGCAGGTGCTGCATAGCAGAAAGGAAGTAATCCTGGGCCCTACTATCTTTAACCTTCGACATGATGGCATCGGCAATCTGAACCGGGTCATTGAAGTCCTTGACCTCTCCCTCGATGCTATCCACCATGGAACTATTCTCCCGCTCCTGCATATCCTCGTAATCGATAGCCTCATTGTTCTTGTACCGCTCGATCTGCTTGTCAATGACTTCGTACTGGAATCCCTCCATCTTGTGGAAAATGCGCTTGATACCGCATGCCGTGAACTGTGCCCGGATGTGCATCCTGAGATGCAAATCGCGCTCCGGAGCATCCACAATCATGTTGACGAGGAACAGCGTCGCAATGGCATATTCCATGAGCAGATTCTCCATGCCGATGCCTCCGCTGCGCACCTCGTCCGACGCACCCACCATGGACCCCATCTTCCCGCGCCCATCGATCGTCACCTCGACAATCCGCATCCAAGCATCGAAGCGACCATTTTCCCCATACTGCGCCTTGAGCGTATCCAGCGCCTGCAACACCTTCTCATGACCCGCGCCCTCGCCCCAATGACACAAGAACGTCAGAACGTCCGAAACCAACTTCCTCGTGTTCAATCTCGTTGATGTGAGCGACCCGCACAGCGCCTGTATGATCCCTGGATGCTGCAACGCATTATCGGCGCCATACTTGTTATTCATCAGCGCCTTCAGACACTTGATGATCTCGTACTCGCGCTCGATATCGTTCTCGGCTTTCCCCAGCAAACTGCTCGGCGGCGGCGCCGGTCCTTGACCCTTCCTCCTATTGATTTTGGCCAGGACGTTCGTCAGCGCGACGGTACCTTGGGCTTCGATGAAGCCCTTGACCCAGGCAATTGGCTGTGTTCTTAGACTGATCTCCAAGCTTTGCATCTGCTTGATCGTGATCGAGTTGTCCATCACCTTCTTGACGTACCATTCCGGCGAACCCTCCTCTTCCGCACGCATGAGAATGTCCGGATTTCCGGATATGTATGTTGACCTTTGAGTCTGGCGTTTCTTCTCCTCGTTCTTGTACTCCGCTAGTTTATCCTGGTACACTAGAGTCCACTTCTTATCGATCTTGTACGCCTCCATTTGCCGTCGCGCCTGCTCGGGCAAACTCCTCATCTCCCGCTTCACCATTAGATTCCTAAACTCTTGCTCAACGATATGATCCGGCGGCCTCTGTAGATTAAACCCCTGTCCAAACGACGACACCGACGCCGAAGGAGAAGGCTGGTTCGGATGGAAAAGGTGCCGATGCGAATGCGAATCGCGAGGTGGTGCAATGGCGGTGTGAAGAAGACTACCGGTGTCAAGCCCGATAGAGGAGAAGGTCGACTGGGAGGTATTCTGCGGGTAGAAGGTATTGGATGAGCGGGATTTCGAGTCGGTGGAATAGATACTGGCTTGATCAGACGACGAGCGCGTGTTAGCGGACGAGTCGGTCGAAGCATGCGCCGAGTAGGTACCGTTGCTTGTGCGCGCTGCACCCCACTGCTGCATCGAAACCCCTCTATCGCCTGGGTGACTGGATGCTATCGTGACTCCTGTAGCGTGTGGAGGTGGGCGGGGTGGTTGGGCGTTCGCATAGCCGTTTGGCGCGGAAGATGGGTTGAAGACGGGGTATTGGTGAAAGTCGCCCCCTTTGGTTAAGTGATGCGGGAGGGGTTCCCCATGTCTCGAAGAATCGTATAACGGCTTCCCGTCCGAAGGCGACGCCTCGTAGGGCATGGAAGATATGATGCCCGCCTGCATGGCGAGCCCTGGATCTGCAACCACGGACACGGGCCTATCAATCGACGCCACCGAACTCGAATGTCTATGCGAATGTCTTGACGATTGCGATCCGGCAGCACTCCCAGGTGGACTTTGAGTCGTCGGGGCCGCCAAATACTGCGAATGTGAGTCTCCCGGGCCGCCGCTCTTATCCTTATGAAGGCGGCGTCCGAAGAACTTGCCCGCAGACGACTGACGCCCCTTGCTGTCTTGCGCGCTCTTGGAAGACATGTTGTCTATATATGGGTATCTCGAAAATATTAGAAATTAAGCGTTGCGTTTGTTCTGCCGTTCTGGCGGAGGCCCGCTCTTAACCCTCGTCCAGTATCCCTTATCCTCTCCGAGAGAACGTCCTTCGGGTATCGATGGTTTGCGTTGCGGGATAGTTTGGCAAGGGCCAGCGACTCGGTTGGAAGTGAGGCCAGGTTTGGAGGGATACGTGGGGTTCCACGGTAAAGTAGAGTGAAGCGTAGAAGTCCACAATACCTGCTCACAGCAGATTCCAGATATCGAAGAGGACAGGGCCGCCGAGAAAGCGCACGGCGTTGATATCCCCACGAGGTCCGTTGCGCAGGCGCAGAAACGATTTCGAGAGAGTCGAACAGCGACACTCTCCGTGCGGTATGTGGTATTACACTCGACGAGACTCTCTCCTCTCGCGGTGGGGATCGTGGTGGCTGCTCTCCGTGGTGTTTCTGCCGGGGTGTGTCAAGGTCGTCGCACTTCCGCAATAGGCAAGACGCTTCTCCTGAAACACGGTGCACGGTCTCAACTCTGCCAAGCCGTCCGTTCGCGAACTCGCCCGCCGCAGCGACACAGACGGGATCAGCAAGCCTTGTTCGGACGTCACTTGTTGGTGAAGGGCCGGGAGTTCTCGTTGCTCATGTGTCGTTCTTTTGCTTGTACATTTTCGAGAAGTTCTGGAGTTTTGGAATCCAAGTCGCTTGAGAGAGACGAAAAGACATGCCTTGAGCACAGCCAGGTTCAACACCACCACCATCGCAGTGTCCCTACCAGAACTCTAGAAACCCACATTCTCTACAACTAGTCACCGGTTCGGGCGCACAAAGCATTCGCTATCCAATACCTTCATTCTCCTATCCGCAACCGTCCCACCTCGCTACGCCCTGTACAACACAAAACTCCACCAACCGCCCCGGGCCCTCAACAATGAGCGCCTTCACAGACATCATAAAGGTACCCCATCCCTCCCTCGGCCCCTCCCCCTCCGCAAACTCTCTCCCCCAACTACAGCTAACCCCTCCCCCAGAAAACGCTCATCCCCCTCACCCTCGCCCTAGCCCTATACCTCCTAACAACGCACCTCCTCCTCCCCCTCTACCGCCGCCACAAAACCCGCATGCAATACCTCCCGCTCCCCCCATCCCTCTCCTCAACCTTTACCTCGTCCTCCCCCTCATCCTCAACCTGGCGCTCCCGCATCCCCAGCGCCCTACGCTCCCTCTTCACACTCCCTTCATCCTGGCCTTTATCATCCTCCCGCCGCTTCCGCACCCTAGTCGACGGCTCTGGCTCCAGGTCTTCGAGTTCGAGTCCGCGCTCCTCGACGTCTCCGCGTCGACGGTCGGATTCCTCCTTATTCAGTGATCAGGAAGGCGAGGATATGATTGGGTTTGAGCCGTTGGAGGGGCAGCGGAGGAGGGAGGAGTTGGAGAGCCGGAGAGGGAGAGCAGATGAAGAGAGGAGGTTGAGTCGCGAGTTGGAGGAGGGGTTTAGGGATGATAGTGATGAGGAGGAGGAGGAGGGAGGGGATGAGAGGAGGAGGAGTTTGGTGAGGGGGGTGGGGGGCATGTATCGATGATTCTTGAAGTGGAAATGGAGTGCGACTTGATTTCTCTCTTGTACACATCGTTGCATACTAGACATCAAATGTTGTATCAAAACATCGAATGTGGATATTCATTTGGAATCCATTCGCTCATGGCTAATCCGCTAACCCACTACTTCCCTTCATCAAAAGGAGAACCCCACCATATTGATCTACTACTTCTTCTCGCGCTGCCCATACGCCTTGGTCGCATAGTCACCCTTGTGCACGATGAGATCCTCGGGCCTGTAGTCCTCACGGCCGGAAAAGTACGACTCAAGAATCGCCTTTGTGCCGGCGGCATACCGCTTCTGCGCATCGATGCTCGTGCCCGACATGTGCGGCACCATGGCGTTGCCTCCGCCCCAGGGGTTCTGCGCATACCGCAGCGGGTGGTCCTTGGGCGCGGGTTGCGGGAACCAGACGTCGCCGCCGTAGCCGCGGAGGTGGCCCGATTTGAGCGCCTCGGCCACGTCCTCCTTGACGACGATGGCGCCGCGGGCCGTGTTGACGAGCCATGAGCCTGGGGGGAATCAGCTTCTGCATTCAGGAATAGATGCGGGACATAGAAGACTCACCCTTCTTCATCTTGGAGATCAAGTCCTTGTTGAACAGGCCCCGCGTCTTCTCGTGCAGCGGGCAGTTGATGGTGACGACGTCGCACTGTGCGAGCATCTCCTCGAGGTTCTCGACCCTCCGGCATCCAATCTCCTTCTCCTTCTCCGGGCTCAGAGGCTGGTAGTCAAAGTACAGCAGCTCCTTGCAGTCGAATGGCTTGAGTCTCCTCAGCACACGCTCGCCAATGCGTCCCACAGCCACGGTTCCCACGACCTTGTTCTCCAAATCGTACTCATTCTTGGCGACCTCGGCGACGTTCCAGTCTCCGCGGGCGATCTGCTCGTGGGCAGGCACGAAGTTGCGCACGAGAGCGAGGATGGTCATGACGACGTGCTCGGCGACGGAGACGACATTGGAGCCGGTCACTTCGGCGACGGTGATGCCGCCGTTGGTCTTGTTGGCGGCATCGAGGTCGACGTGGTCGGAGCCGATGCCTGCGGTGACGGCGAGTTTGAGCTTCTTGGCTTTGGCGAGGCGCTCGGCGGTGAGGTAGCCGGGGTGGAAACTATGGGAGAGAAGCGTGAGTCTGGATCATCATGGTGTTGAGAAGTACCGAGAGTACCCTCTTGGACACGATATCCCAATCGGGATAGCGCGAGCGGGTGGGGGAAGTTTTGCGGGGCAGCTCCAAGCGAGCCGTTGTGCGGGGTAGATTGAGAGAGCTGCAACAACGGCAGATGGGGGATGGAGGAGATCAGAAGACATACGGAGTGGTGATGATGACCTCCGCATCCACAAGCTCCTGGTCAAACTTTGAGTTCTCGCCGTCCTTATCCGACGTCGTCACCAGCGTGTGTCCCTGCTCCTCGATCCATTTCCTCAATCCCAGCTCGTTTTCCGTCGTTCCGAGAAGCTCGGGTTGCTGTTGCGCGTGGATGCCGCCCTAACAATGACGCATTAGAGTTCTGTTCATATATATAAACGACGGAGATCCATGGGCGCTGATTCAAGGGATACCTACATCGTAGAGGACGAGGAGAACTTTTCCCTGTTGAGAAGCCGTTGCTGTTAGCGTTCTGTAGACTGTAGGTTGACGCCATCGGAATGCCGCTGCCCCAGATGTCACTCGTGGAGCTGTGCGAGCAGCGAGCACCGATGAGGCAGGACGTGCGAATCTGCACAAAGGGCGGGCAAATACCATGATGAAGTAGTCGTAGTAGAGGAGGCTACAAAGAGCAAGAACGCTGAGTGGACTCGATGTTCAGGGCAAACCGAGCTGTTAAGGAAGTAGAGGTATTTCCAATTGTTTGGTACACGTCGTGCCTGATCCAATGGTCAGTAAGCAGGGTTCTGGCGACCCTGGCTTTGTCGTAAAGATGAGAGGGGGACAGGGTGATCTCGGCGGTACCTTTTGTTTATGGATGCTGGTGTTGTAGGAGTTGATGGTTTCTTCGAAAGAGCATGTACTCAGGCGGGAGGCGTTCCCTTATATATGCCCAGAACAAAGACCAATTGGTCTTCGAACAGGAGGGCATTGCCTCTTCCCCACTTCCCTATGCAGCTCTTCCCTAACCCGTCTAGAGGCCCCTCTCACGGCACCATGTCTACGTACTCAAAGGTGCGGGGTCGTCAGCGAATGATACCGACGCCGCAGTCCGCTGTGGTACAGGCATGTCAATCCTCTGTTGGTCCAGTTGCTGCATGGATATTGGAGTTTCCTCAACGGTGGGACTGGAGAGGCACGGTAATTGCTGCTGCTCCAAGGAAGGCGTAAGGGAACCCGCTTGTTGGACGCCACTAGGGACTCCTAATCATCAATTGGAGTGTCTGCTCTGTACTGTAGTAGAGGCTGCTCAGCACTACTGGCAATGCCGAAGTGACGTAGCGAAAGAGCCGAGGATCCAGGACAGCGAGGTGGAGCTCATCTGCATGCTCTCTTGAAGTAGGAGATTCGCGATGCTCAACGCCCCGGCACCTGATTAAGGGAGCAATATCGACTCTGTAGACCTGATTGTCGCAGTCATTAGTCTCTGTGCTTCTGCTCACCGTTCGTATATCAATCCGCGTCTCCTTTCTTCTTGGAAACGGCGCCGAATCAAGCCGCGAAGCCAGAAGCAAACAATCATCGAGTCCCACGGGCAGATGCCGCCGCGGCACGAGGCGTCGCACTAGCAGAAACTCGGAAACATGACGATGAAACGAGGCGGCCCGGCCTGCCAGCACGGTTCGGAGTGCGGAGAGACATTGCGGCTCAACTTCGCCCTCGCTGCGGCTGCGAGTTGTCTCCTGTGGAGGCTCGGTCAACTCCCGGGTTAAGCGAATAGCTCGGAGTCTATCCGGAGATGACGTGGATTTGACTCGGTGGTAGCTGGGGTATAACAGGCATGCGAGTCGCTCGTGTCAAAAGGTGAGCACCATATTCTTCAAGGGTGTCGGCGAGTTGAAGATCACCATCTATAACCAGCAGCGACAAAGTCAACAGATATGGACGGCCGAACGACAACAGTACCGCCTCAGTCTCACCGTGCGACGAGACATAGCGAGCACGTAGATATCCCCAAAGGAAGCCCGTGAAGGTCCCATTGTCGAACCCAATTGCGGATGTTAAACCAATTGCGAGCAACTAACTAGGAGAGTGCAGTAGTTCCCTCTTTAAAACGGGAGGTGCGTACTGCTTAATGAGCCAATATGTATCATTGCGGGTGGGAGAATTGAAAGGTGTAGCTTCGACATTTAGAGGCGACAGGTTATTATAGTAATTCAAGTTGGAGGTCTATATATAGTTGCTAATTTGCCTGGCTAATCGTAAGTCGGTCACGAATCTCTTTCATCCTCTTCAATCAAAAGCGCTAGGGGTGAGTTTGGTCACCGTAGAAAATGGTCGGCAAAAAGTCTGGTTAGGGGCATTACAATAATACAGGTATGTACCTATGTAATAGGGTATGTATGTGTTTCTACGGAATTGGTGGTGTTCGCATCCAAGGAGTTCCGTACTCTAGCAAGAGATGTAGGAAAGAAATTCGAATGATATGTAGTTATAGCCGTCCTGCAAGCATCGAACATCCCCTCCAAAACAAACTCCTCACTGCTTAAAGGGAACTTGCATTCACTTCATCGAAATATCAGGGACGCTCTCCTCGCTCCCTCTATCTCATCCCAGGAGCATCCCAACCCCTATCTCGCTCCCGTCCTCCTAAAATTACTACCAATTCCCAATTCCTACGAAGCCGTACAACTCCCCCTCTCCGCCTTCACATTCACCTTCCCATCCGCACTCACTGTACTCGTCTCCCGCGACGCACTAGCCTTGGATTTCTTCATATTCTCCATCCGCTGTGGCGGTTTCAGTCTCTCTTTCTCCCGGAAGCCGTCCTCGGTAACGCCGACGCTGGACTCCGCAAATTTGGCAGGTCCGGCTTGATTTTTCGAGTGGTTTTGTCTATGAGGGCTTTGGGGTTGGGCGAGGTGCGATGTGTCCATGGGCATGGTGTTTCTGAGGAGGCGGGGAATTAGGGGTGGTTAAGAAGGTAGTGGTAGGGTGTGTTTGTGGGGTGAATTTGGTTATACAGGATGTGATTTAGGAGATCTTTGCGATGGTTGGTATGAAGATATGGGTGCCGGGAAATAAGGTCGGTATATTGATGTATGTGAGAGACTGCTTGTACTGTAGATGGACCTTGTGATGTTGAATGCAAAATCGAGGCCCATATGGAGCCTTTTATAGACTTCGCAGCTACTCTTATTACGTTGACTCTTTTCACTCAGCCTAGAGCGAAGTTCCACAGGCGCAGATCTGACTTTGCGATGATATATGTACGGTTCAGTCATAGCATGGCGCCAATCGTAGTCGTCGACATTTACTATCGATAACGTCATTTGGTTTTGGACTCGCCAGCCTCCGTGTCCTCAGGAAAGTCATTGCGCAATAGAGGTGTTATGCAATCGTGGAAGTAATTGAAGCTAGTGATCCTTTGCGGGCTGTGAGGATTAGATTTTGCGCATGGAATTAAGCACTCCTAACTGACTGTACTACGGTCGCTATTAGTTTCGTTGTTCAAGTTTCGCCAGCGTCCTTGCAAGCAGGAGCGTTGATAGTTTGTCGAACACGACGTCGCAGATGGCAACGCGGAAAACCGTAAGTATAGGAGTATAGGATAGAGGAGGTGTCTAAGGTCTATACAATATTGTTCTAGACTCCGTGCCAATGTAAAAACTTCAATTGGAAAGGATGCGCATCTACAGTAGACTATGAGGTTATACAGAAAGCCGGGGGCAAGAGTGAAGAAGCAGTATATAGAGGCGGCAACGTAGAAGCTGTAGAGCCATTCTCACATATTCGCGGACATGCAAAAATATACCAAAAAGGTTCCGTTAGATGCGTGTGGCTAATGAGCGCCTAGCATGGCGAGATTTCTACAGCTGGATTTGTTGTGAACAGCTAAGAAAATAACCCAGAAAGCCAACCAGACAACACTGGCTTCCCACGCTTCAGTTCTTCCTGTACCTTTTTCTCCAACTCCGTGCAGAATTCCTTACTTATTTGTTGCTCTGCTCCCAAACATGCAAAGACGCCTTCTGCGAGCATATCATTCCAGGTTTCATAATAACTCTTCCCTCTCATCTTTTTCCCCTCTTTTTTACGAGTGTCTGACAGTACAGGATCAATAGATGGAAGCGCATCCTTAACCGCTAGATACCGGCTCGTTCCGCGTCCTACGGCTTCCAGTATCACTATGTCCCCTTTCTGAAGCCTCCCATGTTGCGCTACGACAACGAGATGCTCGCCGTCGCGCTCGTGGAAAGATACTCGGGTGGAATATTGCTTCAAGGTGGCTGTTACAGTTAGCGAATTGGTTTACTGACATGTCGTCAGTGTGGAACACTTGCAATGGCCTCCTGATCGTATAACTTTTTCCCGTTGATTGGCATGAGCTTGTAGTCTGTCTTAGCTTCTGCGGTTATTGCACCTGCGGCAAGTCACTTACTGATTATGACGGCTTCCAATAAGAGTTTCTCTAACCCGTCGGCTTCTGTCTCAGCATTGGGTATCTGCTTCCCTACTTGTGGACACCTGGCATCGTGGTTGTCCGAGGCACTTGCGTGGCTTAGTTGTTGCTTGTTCTCCTTTCCTCGATCTTGAGTAGCTAAGACGTTCTTTCCCTTTTCTTGTTGGCTTTGCGTGCTAACTATCTTGCTTGCGCCAGCGTGGTGCTCTAGGTTGCTTCCGCGTCCGCTCATGGTGGGTTTTCTAGGTCTTCAATGTTAAAAGTATGTTTGAAGTATGGATCTTTTAGGTCTTGACATTCGATGCCGTCTATAGCTCCCCGTGAAGGCACAGAAGCGCCTGCTTATATAGACCAACATGACTCTGTAACTCACAATGACTACACAAAAGTCGAGGACTCAAAAGGTTAGCGGGAAGAGTTGGTAACATACAGAGCAGTCAGGCCAGTATATGACTGCACATAAGGTATTCCCGTTCAGAACATTCAACCATTGAACTGAGTCAAGACAAAGTGCCCCGAAGATGAACAGTGCACAATCAACTTCTTATTAGTGGTCAGTGTCATTTATGAGATCCGTGATATCATTAAGGTCTAGGACTTCATTATTGCTCTTTGGCTCGAGCCGCTCTCAGTCTCTCTCCAAGTACATTTTGAACATTCTCGAGGGGGGCCGACCTTGGTGCAAATGACTGTAGAGTTTGACGTTGCACAAAATCTCAAGGTTGATGCCAGTACACAGTTAAGTTGAAGTTTTAAGAATTCCGTTATTTTGCGCGAGCCTACAAGATAGAGGAACTGGTCATGGCCCCACGGCCAGCGGAACGTTACACCATAACCCGGTCCCGGCCGCTCCTGTTGTACCCTTAGTCGTCTCAAAATCTGTCGGCGAAGGGAGTACAATTGCAAACGACCGACCTTAGAAACCATTGGATGTCTGACACAGGGGAGCCTGTAGACAAGGGGTTTCGACCTGCCCGATGTCGAAGTGACGTCGGCGGTGAAGCGGGACTGGATGGGTGTTTTGATATCGCGAGCACGCATAGCCGCAGAAAAACCGTTGAACTCGGAATCGGAATAATCGCGTAACTCAAAGGAGAAGCTGACATTTCTTGTTTGGAGATAATCTCTCCTTGTCGGAGCTGGCGTAGTGTGCACGAGCCAGATAAGCCCCCGAAGGGGCTAGCGGGTGTTGTACACTTCACTCACTTGGCTCGTACTCTCGTACTCGCACGACATCACCCCCAACCCTCGCTGACAGATCAAACGCATTTGTTCCGCGTGCGAACCCCAGCTTCTGCAGGCAAGGGAACGGAAGCACCTGCACAGCGCAAGCAGCGCATGTGACGGCTTTACTGGCTAAACACCCCGCACTTCGGACTTTTGAGAGTTTCCTCGACTGGCTCTCTCAAATCAAACAACACCGGTACTACAGGTGGAAGATAAGTACATCTGCCGGAGGTTGAGAGTGATATGGCAGGTCCGTACTCGTCAACCCCCGTCCACGGCAGCCTGACTGCCAACTCCGATTCGTCATGTTTCTAAGTGTCTCCCTTCGTGGCGTCGACCATCCAGGCAGTTCCGTGTCACGGCTAAGAAGGTTCTTGAAGTGGTTATTTGAAATATGCCAGTGACCCCTCCTCTCGCTCCCTTGTCTTCAAGTTAAGTCTGAGCCTGATATTACCGCCTTTGGATTTATTCCGTCCCTTGACCAAGAATTGCGCATATCTTGCGGGGACGCAACATTACGAAAAGGGATACTCGATATTAGGAGGGGACCCGCGAGCCGAGATCCTTCCCCAACGTCATTTACCGTGCAGTGCGGGACCGAGTTGGGCAGCACCGGAATAAAGTGGTTACCCCAGACATCACGATCGAGCCTGGTCAACGGTCCCTCTCCCGCGGGTTGACGCGTCCGGTCGACCAAGGCCTAGCTACAAGCGCAAGTTTAAGATCCTTGTGATGTGCTACCTACTCTGAACAATATATAAGAAGTCCAAGGACCACTTGACTTCACGCTGGCAGCTCCTCGTCAACCACACTCCCTCATTGTATATACCCATACCAACATGACCCTTCTCACAACTCTCTCATCGCTCCTTCTCCTTTCACTGTCTGCTCTCCGCGCTCAAGGCGCAGTGACACAGGATGACTTTACCGGGCTAGGAGAAATATGGGTGCTGAACTCTGCAGACTGGCGGACCGGAAACCCATCCCAGAAAGTGGGCTGTCTCACCAGCACCGGCAGGTTTCTGGGAACAGAGGAGTACCAGGATTCTATTGTGTCCAACGACGATGAAACAGACTCGGAAAGAAGCAAATGTGGCGTGTTCCAGAAACTCTCCGTGTACCCTTACACGATTTCTAGCCGGGAAGGCAATTGCACTTTCAACGACAAGAACACGGAAGCGAATAAGGACAGCGCCTATGGGAAGAGAGACCACGCTTGGAGCTGCAACGGAAAATATGTTGCAGAGGTCTTCGATGCTTTGTATACGATCGTGAGTTTACCCTTCCGCTGAACTATGGTCTCGGAACACCATAGTAACCCTTAAACTAGGATGGATTTCCGTACCCTTTCCTCTGCTTTGGTGACATAGCCTGCTACTACGATGTTCCTCACATCCCAAGCTCAGGAAAAACTGCCCCGCTGTGGCAGTTCCGTTGGGGCTCGGAGCAGCGCGGTATCACTCCTGGCCATGTCATGGTGCAGTTGATGTGGCATCGTGTTGGCGCACCCAAGAGGGAAGGCAGGCCTGCACCTGTCCCGGGCCCGATAATAGAGCTCGAAGACGACATTCTGCTCAGAGGTCAGCAGATGAGAGAATGAGCGAGAAGAGAAGTGCGCCGGTGGTGTGGTGTCGAATGGAAATGCGCGTGTGCAAGACCACGTGCAACTTGATTCATACGGCCGTGTAGGTTAGGACTGCCTGTGCGCATCAGAATTAAGCGATAAGTGAAGTTAAACGTCTCCGATTGCCATGGTCATTTCTTCATCGCTGTGACCATTTTAGAACAGGAAGGTATTGCCAGTCCGGTATTGAATTGGGAAGGTTAAGCCCGCCTTCTCTTCGCATGTCGCCGGTTCATTTACCATCGCTGTTTCAACACTTCGATATCTGCAATGCTAACAATATATCTCTCTCTTCAACATCGCCTATCTGGCTATTTTACAATCACTCTATCACGGTCATTGAACACAGAAATCTGGCCATCGTCCCTCAGCATGATGTCGGACGACAGATCGGCCGGGGCATGGGGTGCGAGGTAATATAACCCAGGCCCGTACCTTTCTATCACTTTGCACTTACGGAAAGTAGTGATCCACTACGCAGCGCGCCGACAGTGCCTTTTGACGAACCCACCGGATTCATACGCGTAGGCGGTTTCAGCGAGGCCTGCACGATTGAAGTCTCGGTCCACACAATGACGAAAGCGTCACCCGTCTTTGCTCGCCTGTTCTGCAACGGCAGTTCAGTCGTTTTCGCCGGGCGAACCATGCGATACATTGATCTGCCTGGAGAGAATGCGATAGTTGCATATTTGGTCATAAAGATTTTGCATGCCGAGGAGCCTTGGGTGGACCTATGGTACAATCCACATCTACTTGGGCTCATGGCCGATTTTGCCCATCGGTTCGACTGCTTAAAGTCGGGCGGCGAGTGGTTCGGTAAGGCATTGGTAAGATGCAAGCGAATGATCATGAATCGGTGGCCTGCTATGTCTGCTGAGAGGTGTGGGTGTGGGCCCCTTCTTCGACTTACATACCTCACGGCGCATGCGTTTGCTTTTTACCTGATCAGCTGGATCATGCTTGTGGATATGAAACCTCAGAGGGTCGTGTATTCCACTTCACAGGCCGGTTTAACAGAGATGATTCAACGTAAGTCCATCAAAAGCGGCTGAAAGGAGACTTCCCATGACCAGCACTAATCCTGCATTTCTTAGGTCGGATGGCCGAACGCGTACGAAGGTACCACCGCAAAATGATCGAAAGGCTCTGGCCAGACGCCGTTCGGGACATGATCTATCCACTGGTAGCGAACGCTTCTTCCCCTGAAACATGGCCTGCCTGCCGTCGCCGACTCCTCGCAAACTACGTCGAGGCATTGCAACAAGAGGGCGCCTTTTTCATATCCAGAACTCTTTACGACTATGTTGCCTTGTCCGAAAGCATTCAGAAAGAGCTACCCACGGTTTCTTGTGGACACGAGGCTTGCGAGCAGACGCGCAAAGTGCTTGATGAAATCAGTCTTCGTACTGTCGAAGTCTTCCGGGAAACTCGTGGGGTCTGCCTTCTGTGCCTCGAAAATGGAGACACCGGATCGTGCGCAAACTGCGAGGAATGGTCAAAGTGGGTCGAACTTCTCATCGAAGAACTACTTCCCCCTCCGCATAAACAGCCGACTACAAAGGGATGGAGCTGAACTGCCTATCATGATTCCATTGGTTCGCCGTTAATCCCCAGATTCTATGAGGAAGACGACATAGATGCTTCCAATACTATTTTGTATTATCAGACAGACGCAGAATCAAGCGGCCAATACTGTACCTGCATGTGATGGGAAAGTAGCGTGGTGCTACACAATCGCACCTGAAAATAGGGACACATGTCCGACGCGCTGCCAATCCAGCGTAGGTATTAATTTGCGGCCTAGCACTAGAGGACCAAAAGCACAAATTTAACTACACTGTTAGAGGAAAGTTTTGATATTTCGGTTCGGAGGACAGCATCGGCAGACACGCTGTCTCATCGCAAGTTGCGGAAAACAACGTCTACTAGCAGTTTTCTACCTATCATTGGCGGTGAAGTGATTCTATACTGATTGGCTACCGCCTATAAACTCGGCCAAACCAGTTGTAGTTCCGCCGGTTAGCGAAGCCCTTGGTACTAGAGAACCTACTGACCATTGGTCTCGGTTGAGTGCAATGACGCTAAGCGTAACGTTCTTGACTGGCCCCTGCGAGGGTATAGCTTCGAGGAACCGAACAAGAAGAGCTTACCATGATATGTATCAGGGAAAGACCGGAGGGGACATAATGAGTCGATGCAAAGCATGTCATGTATCTTTGATGCGTCCAACAAAGAGAGTTAGCGTGGCAATGCAGACGGGTGCGGAGAGAAGTGGAAGTGAATACTTCCACTTCACTCGTTAGCGCGTTAACATAGTACACTAACCGGCGCAGCTTCAAGGTTCGATCGAGTTGCACATAGGATACCGCACGTTCAGACATTCGCATTCCGACCTCATGCTCCCAAGGCTTATTTCCTTTCATCAAAGAATCTAAGGCCCGCGGCGGAGGATATATTCCACACAGTAAGACCTGCACGGTATCAAATCAGAAACCACTGGTCTGAAACTCACATTTTTGGTCGTGTTAGCTATAGGTATCTACGTGCTGGTCATCTGGGCACCCCGACGCGCCAATGAGTGAAGGAGATAGATGCGCACACAGCAGAAGCTACCCCACCCTGTCCTCGAGCAGTCACTAAAGAACAAAGAACACCGAATCGCATGTCCTGAATAGTAGTGCCTCAGAGCCATTGGCTGGATAACTTTGTCGGCGCGATTCTTAGTGGAGAGGCACGACAGCGAGTGACATCAACATTGTTGCTTCATGGCACAATCCCGCTCGCTCTTGGCCATTAGCTCCCACATGTCGACTCACCTCCGTAATTTCCTCTCTTTCCTCGTCCGGTTGCCTCAACCCCGTCTTCTGTAGAGTCGCACCGCCCTCTTCCTCCTTCTCGTCCTCCTTTTGTCATCTCCCTCGCACCTTCCGTTGCCCAATCCTCGACTCTCAGTCCACCGCAACGTTGGAGCGGCTCTTTTTTCTCCTTCACTGATATTTCTACCAAGCTTTATTCGTCTTCCTTGCCCCATTGCGTCTCGTCGTGTTCCTTTCAGTTTCGAAGACCACGTGTGACGTCTGCATCCCCAGAGGCTCTCACTTAACCAAGCACAATGGTGCAGTTTCTCAAGGCACATCGCGGCGGTGAAGATAAACGTCGAAATCGTCATGATGAAGTTGACCGTGCTGAGCGAGGAATGTCGGTGGCCACTGGTCGCTCGCGCTCCAGGTCGATATACGATATCAGTGCGTTCGAAGGTCTTGAAGAATACGATGCGCTACAGCAGTATATAGCGAACTGGCGAGACGTCCGACCCGCCGAGGGTGCAAAAGCTGGGGAAGAGCAGCCCAGACCGAAATGGTGGCAGTTGTGGAGAATTGAACCTCCCGGCCCGACGACTCCGGTAAAGGTACCAGACGAGTTACTCAACACTACCCTTCGCACCGGTCTCACTCAGGCCGAAGTGGAAAATCGGAGGAGGCGATACGGTTGGAATGAAATTACAACGGAGAAGGTGAACCTGTTGAAACAATTTCTTAGTTATTTCAAGGGACCCATTCTTTACGGTATGGTTTCGGCTTCTCACATTACATTTCTTCTCACTGATCATGTTCAGTCATGGAAATTGCCGCTCTACTTGCTGCTGGTCTCCAGGATTGGGTTGACTTTGGTGTCATCTGTGGTATTCTGTTGTTGAACGCCTTCGTCGGTTGGTATCAAGAGAAGCAAGCCGCCGATGTCGTAGCGAGCTTGAAAGGCGACATCGCCATGAAAGCGACCGTGGTCCGCGATGGAAGAGAGCAGACCATTCTTGCTAGAGAACTCGTCCCTGGAGATATTGTAAGTCGTCCGAATACAAACTGACCATTTGATATTCACTGTTGGCAGATCGTCGTTGAGGAAGGCCAGACCGTCCCTGCCGACTGCCGACTGATGTGCGACTACAACAGACCGGAAGATATCGAAATCTACAACCAGATGAAGGCAGAGGAGAAGTTCTCCGAGGAAGAGGAGCCGGAAGATGAGAAGAAGCATGAAGGAGAGGAAGACGCGGAACAGGCCGAGCAACCAATTCCGCACACTCACTCTATCGTTGCTTGCGATCAGTCTGCCATCACTGGAGAGTCTCTCGCCGTCGACAAGTATATCGGAGAGGTTGCATTCTACACCACAGGTTGCAAGCGCGGGAAAGCATATGCTATCGTATTGACATCCGCCAAGTACTCCTTTGTAGGGCGCACCGCAGCACTCGTGGCCGGGGCCAAAGACCAGGGGCACTTCAAGGCCATCATGGACTCCATCGGTACTGCTTTACTGGTACTTGTCATGTTCTTCATTCTCGCGTCATGGATTGGGGGTTTCTTCCGTAATCTGAGGATTGCAACGCCAGAGGGCGACTCGAACGTTCTGCTGCGATACGCCTTGATTTTGTTGATCATCGGTGTCCCTGTAGGGTATGTGGGATCTATTCCTGACTCAACACGCCGGTTGCTAATCATGTTTCAGTCTACCGGTTGTTACAACTACTACACTGGCTGTCGGTGCTGCCTATCTTGCAAAACAGAAGGCCATTGTACAGAAGCTCACTGCTATCGAATCCTTGGCCGGCGTGGACGTGTTATGCTCCGACAAGACTGGTACCTTAACAGCGAACAAACTTAGTATCCGGGAGCCTTACGTCGCAGAGGGCCAAGATGTCAACTGGATGATGGCTGTTGCTGCGTTGGCTTCGTCTCACAATCTCAAGTCTCTTGACCCTATTGACAAGGTGACAATTCTCACTCTCCGTCGTTACCCAAAGGCAAGGGAGATCCTGGCCCAAGGCTGGAAAACCGAGAAGTTCACGCCCTTCGACCCAGTGTCCAAAAGGATCACCGCAGTCTGCTACATGGGTGGCGACAAGTATGTGTGCGCCAAAGGAGCTCCAAAGGCCATTCTGAATCTGTCCGAGTGTGATGAGGAAACGGCGCGGCTCTTCCGCGAGAAGGCTGCAGATTTCGCCAGACGAGGCTTCAGATCGCTCGGTGTGGCGTATCAGAAGAACGACGGCCCTTGGATCCTCCTAGGCCTGCTTTCCATGTTTGACCCTCCCCGCGAGGATACTGCTCAGACCATTGTCGAAGCACAAGCACTCGGCGTGCCCGTGAAGATGTTGACGTAAGTCTTCTGATAAACATCTTTCCGACCCAGAACTGATTATCCGCAGGGGTGATGCCATTGCAATTGCCAAGGAGACCTGCAAGATGCTGGCTTTGGGTACAAGAGTCTATAACTCTCATAGGCTCATCCACGGTGGCCTATCTGGCACTACCCAGCATGATCTTGTTGAGCGTGCCGATGGCTTCGCAGAGGTTTTCCCCGAACACAAGTACCAGGTCGTCGAGATGTTGCAACAAAGAGGTCATCTGACGGCAATGACTGGGGACGGTGTGTTTCTACTCCCCCTACAGTTTATTTATCGCTAATTGAATAGGTGTTAATGACGCACCTTCACTCAAAAAGGCCGACTGTGGTATTGCAGTTGAAGGTTCTTCGGAAGCTGCCCAAGCCGCTGCAGATATCGTGTTCCTCGCGCCGGGACTGAGTACCATCGTTCTGGCAATCAAGACCGCCCGCGAGATCTTCCAGCGAATGAAGGCCTACGTCCAATATCGCATTGCACTGTGTCTTCACCTGGAGATTTACCTTGTTACATCTATGATAATTCTCCGGGAAACTATTCGCGTTCAGTTGGTCGTCTTCATCGCTCTCTTCGCCGATCTGGCCACCGTCGCTGTTGCATACGACAATGCGCATTCGGAAGAGAGACCAGTGGAGTGGCAACTTCCCAAAATCTGGATAATTTCCGTGATTCTGGGCTTTTTGCTTGCGCTTTTTACCTGGATAATCCGCGGCACCCTTTTCCTGCCCAATGGCGGCATTGTCCAGAATTTCGGTTCTGTCCAGATGATCCTCTTCCTTGAAGTGTCGCTTACGGAAAATTGGTTGATCTTCGTCACTCGCGGTGGAAGAACATGGCCGTCGTTCCAGCTTGTTGCCGCCATCTTCGGCGTCGATGTCATCGCTACCATCTTCACTCTCTTCGGCTGGTTGTCTGGATCACCCCAAATAACAGACCCACCAACATCATGGGTCCAACGCCAAGACGGATGGGTCGATATTGTTACTGTCGTTCTCATCTGGGCGTATAGTATTGGCGTCACGGTCATCATCGCCGTTACGTACTATCTGCTGAACAAGATCAGATGGCTGGATGACCTCGGCCGCAAGGAGCGGAGTAAGAAGGACCCAGTCATCGAAAACACAATCGCAGCACTTAGCAAACTCGCTCTTGAGCATGGGACAGATAAACACGGTACCGAGCGATACGTTCTTGCCCAAAGAGCAGCCGAGGAGTCGGACGAGGAGTAAGTGGGCCATATGTGTGAGTTTTTGAGGAGATATCGATGGTCCGGCCATCCACAGCGATGTCGTCGCGCAGTCAGTGAAGGTGGCGATCCGGGTATGGAACACTCCTCGGGTGCCCTCACACCATTCATTTGCCACATCTACGTGCGCATCTAAATCCGATTGTAGCGGAGTAAGCTTGAAAAAATGCAAAGCGAGGCGGAGCTGGTTAGTCACCCCTGCCTAGCTCAGGTCGGGCACGGATAGTAGAGGTACCTGGTGCCACCATTCGTTTTCTTTTTTGTTTTAAGTAACTCTTACTGCCTCCTCGTCTCTCGAGCCAAATAAGGGACCGAAATTGAGTAGCAAAAAACACGATGGCTTTTTATCAGCAAGCTGGTAGTGCAAGAAGCATGCGGGTAGAGTGTAATGAGCAGAAATAGGTGAAGGAATAGAGCGATTATTAGATTGTTCAGAATCAGGGATATGGTCGCTCATGTCGTCTTCATGAAGCAATCGACAGTCCAACAAAAGAGGTTCAACTCCCCGTTCAACTAACTATGACCTGGGGTAGTTGTGTTATGACGGGCTTGGAAATGCCTGTCATGTCATCCAAGGTATTCTATATCCAGCTGTACTACATTCACCAACGAAGCATATAACCTGATCAGGTTTAGCGGCTTGGCAATATTCAATCCAGACGTACGTCATTCATCCCAGCACGTGCCCATCAACTACACCAAGCGACGCTCTCAGTAGGTATGAACAACAGCGTTATAAGAGTCGTTTATGCTTCTTGGGAACTTCACTTCATTCAGAGATTTCGACGAACTGGTCTTTGTGCAGCCCGTTGCAATTACCTGCCTACCCTAGGTACCTTGCATCACAGTTTGCATACCACAAGCGCAACAATGAGTCCATTGAAACGGAAGGCAGAGAATGGGACAACACCAAAGGCGAAGAAAACGAAAGTAATGGTGCCGGACTATCACTTAGCAAGCCCGCGACGGGATGACTACGGAGAAATCGTTTGGCCTGCGCGTAGGGCGCAGATTGAGCGCGCCCGAGAAATTATTGAGGAATGGTACGCGTTTTTCCATTATATTACTACTGAGCATATGGTAACCCTTTGACAGCGCGAAATCTCAGAGCCCTACTCTTATTCTCCCAGATAAAGATGCCGATGGTCTCTCATCAGGTGTGATCCTTCACCATACTCTCACTGCACTCGGTCTCTCTCCTTCACTTATCTCCGTCTATCTACCGCCGAAGGGAGCCACCGTTCACGACGATGTTACGAGAGACGCAATATCGGCAAAATCACCTTCCTACATCTTTGTCCTGGATCAAGGGTCACGAAGATCACGTCCCCTTATTGAGGCGCCTCATAAATGCCTCGTCATTGACCACCACTGGACAGAAGAAGGCGGCTTCCCCGAAGGCGCGGATTACGTTACCGCTCATGACTGTCCGCCAGTAGCAACAAGCTCTTTCTTGACTTACCATATTTGCGAGCCTCTTCATACAGACATTCAATCGAAGACGGCCTGGTTAGCCGTCCTCGGCACTCATGGTGACCTCGGGGCAACGTTGAAATGGCAGCCTCCTTTTCCAGATATGTCATCCACGTTCGCCCAATTCTCCAAGAAGGCAATAAACGATGCCGTCGCCCTCATCAATGCCCCGCGTCGGTCAGCTGCATACAATGTCTCTGCAGCATGGGACGCTCTCCTAGCGGCCGAGAGTCCGGACCCGATCCTCAAGAACGAAACCCTCAAGGACGCCGCGTGGGAGGTGCAGCGCGAGACGGAACGCTGCACGCATACTGCGCCGAAGTTTTCTGCTGATGCTACCATCGCCGTGCTTTCTATATCCTCTGCTGCACAGGTCCACCCTATTATTGCGACGCGTTGGGCGGGAACATTGAAGTCGAATAAGATGGAGATCATCATGTGCGCCAATGAGGGATACCTTCCTGGTAAGGTCAACTTCTCATGCCGGATTGCGAAGTGTGCGAGGGGGAGAAGTGGCGAGGACAAAGTCGATATCATTAAGAAGCTAGAAGGCATAGTGGCGGATAATCCGGAGTTACGAGCGAGGCTGGGAGAAAGCTTTGCTCGGGGTCATAAGGAGGCAAGTGGTGGGGTGGTCGGGAAGGAGGAGTGGGAGGAGTTCAAGAAGGTTATGGGAGTGGGCGAGGCGGTAAGGAAGAAGAAGGGTGAGGATGTGGGGAAGAAGGAGAAGTCGGCTCAGAAGAATACTTTGGCGAATTACTTCACTAAGGCTGAGAAGGCGTGAGGATGGGGCATGCCGTCCAAAGTACTGTGTAAGAAGCCTTTTTTTTTTTTTTTTTTTTTTTTTTTTTTTTTATTGAGTCTAGGACTATGACACTGCTACACTAACTACATACATCCTTTTTTTGGATATGCGAGGGAAGGCATATCCGTCTACCTGCACCATTGGAAGGGCCAACCAGCAGCTGCGCCACAATAGCTGCCCGGTGTGGCGTGGAGTTTGGTGTATTTCTCGAGCGTTAGGTACATATATCCCAGCACATGCAACATTGAATCCCCACCTCACGTGCATGGCTGCCTGCTAGATTTTTCCACATTAAATTCCCACTCCTGCTCCTTCTGCGAGCCATAACTGTTCCTACCAAACCTTCTCATGGCCCACTTCAAGGGTAACAATCCAGACGACGGATACAGTGATAATCCGTCTGCGGTGTCGGCGGTACCCTGCAAGATTCCTCCTCCTCCTCCACTGCCAAAAAGCACAAAAGCAAGCGTTCCAGCTCCTCCACCACCTCCACTTCCACCAACTGAAGCCCCGAAGATTAGCAATTCCGATTTCCTGCGGGTCATGGCCGCAATACAAAGACCCAAGTCTGAAACCTCTGCCGACGCGAAACCACCCTTCCAACGCTGCCATATGTTTTTCTACGGTTCCTTGATGGATCCAGAAGTCCTCCAAGCTATTCTCGATCTTCCGGAGCCGCCCACGATGAAACAGGGGAGTATCACGGGTTTCTCCGTCAAAATGTGGGGAATGTATCCGACTCTGGTGCGAAATGATAGTGGGAGGGTTTCGGGGACGTTCTGGGAGGTGACCTCGGAAGCTCATTTTCTGAGGCTTGAGGCGTACGAGACGTCAGCCTACACATGGTGTGAGTGTGATGTTGAGCTCAGCGATGGAGCAGTATTGCACAACTGCCGAACTTTCTGCTGGGCTGGCGATCCAGAGAGTGAAGAGTTGGAGGAGGGGAGCTTTGATTTGGAATGGTACCAAAAGTACTTCAAGCCATCTGTCACGAGACGCCGGTAGCTCATCGACTAGCCGCACCAAGATACCGTGAGATACTTCAAGACGTCCGTGACGAGACGCCGATCGCGCATCGAGTAGACGTATTGATATATCATAACGCCGACGAGCCCGAAAAATACAATAATATTTTGGACAAGAAGCATGGATGACGTATTCTCAGGCTTATAGTTCCATGGATTCATCCTGTTCCAGTATGCTTTCTGCCCCTCCACCGTCTTTCTCCCGCACAAGCTTCGCCTTAAAAGCTGGAAGATCAATCCGCTCCACAACACCACTGTCCCCCGACCAAAGGATGACCTCGTTGAGTGGCTTTCCAGCATAGTTCGCCACGCCATAGTCCGTGGAGCAGAAATCATCCCAGACATTTCCATTGCCTTCGACGCGTTCCTGGGTCGCCACTATCCTCCATTTCTCTCCAGCTTGTGCTGCTTCATCGCGATACAGTAGTGTCGGAACAAGTTGGGCGTACCAAGGCACGTCTTTATCTTCGCCTTGGATGAGGCGAGGTAGCGTCACTTTGAGCACGTCGGTCGAATTCGACATGAACTCCGTCACGACGAGTCCCCTGGCGTCCGCAACAAGCGCAAATGAAGTATTCAGGCTCGAGTCAGATGGAGTATATCTCCCGACGTAGCGATCTTGTAGTTGTCTGATAGCGATGGCTTCTGCAGCTCGGACTACAGTAGTTGTGACAAGATCCCGTAGTTTGAACACCAATTTCGACTGTCCAGCGACAAGAATGGTGATTCCTAGATCGTACTCAGGTACAGTCATTATGGTCGAGAAGTATCCGGGGAGGGCACCCCCCTTGGTTATAAACCGCACGGCTCTCCGTGAGCCCTCGAGGATCCTGTCAGTGCGGAATATTTCCCAAGGTATGCCGTAGAAAGAGTTCATCCCGTCGGCAGGGGAAGCCGGATGCGCCCAATTGAGCGCTGATGTAATTCCGTTATAGTGGGTGAGTATGTAACGAAGATACTTCGACAGGTCCACGGACGAGCTGTAAATTCCTCCCGTCGGGTTCTGGACGCCAGCATCGACATCCCAGTAGTGCGGGTCGAGAGGTATCACACCTGCTTCGTCAGGGGGTGTGGAAAAGGTGCTGTTCATCATGTCGAAGGGTCGGAATATAGCGCTCTCAATGTACGACTCGTATGTTTGATTGGAGAGTCTTGCAAGCACCAGACCGAGTAGTTCAAACGCAATGTTCGAATATGTGGATTTCTGGTTGGGGGCGAAAGTAGGTTCCATAGTGCGCAACGCATCCAAAAGATCTATTCATTTGTCAGTTTCGTGTGGGTGCCTTTGGAGCGCGGCCGAGCCTATACCAGTTTCTGTGCATGGCGGCTCATAGTTGTCGCCATACTCATCACACTGGGGAAGATTGGGCACCTCGTGCCGCGAGATTGGCGGTAGGCCCAGCTCGGCCGGCGTCCAAGGCATGAAGGAGGGCATGTTGATGATATCACTCTGGGCGACTAGGAAAACAATCAGCTACTGTACCTTCTACCTCAAAACAACCATGATCGCGGCCCATACAATCCCTTGGAATGCCGCTCAACTGGCTAGCCAAACTGCGCAGCGTTATATCCTTCCACGGAAGATTGCTGTACTTGGCGTCCCTCAATTCCTCGATATACTTAGGGATAGGGTCATCTAAACTGAGATTTCCTGCTGCATGCTGATACAATATGCCAAGGACGGTGAAAGTCTTTGTCAGGCTTGCAATGCGGTAGAGTGCATCTCCGTTTACCACTGGGATGCTGGGACGCGACGGGTTACGGACATGGGCAGTGTGATGGTGTTGCCAGAGAGTTCGTTTCGACGAGGTGATTTCGATAGAGAAGGATGTTGAAACATAATCTGGGTCTGCAAGTAATGCGGAAATCTGAGATTCCATGAGGTTTATTGCTGCCTCTAGATAGGTGGCGGCATTTTCGGAATCATATTGAGGAAGTGGATGTGCAACATTGGGCTCGTAACATGCGGCGTGGACAACGGAAGGGAGAACGAAGGGAAGCAGGCGTAAAAATGTGATGATCATATCTGCCCATTCGGTCTTTGGTACTGAGCGCTGAACAATGATGGTTGTGAGGATGTTTGGGCCCGCAAGACCACGGCGGCACCAGTCGCATCGGTTGAACCCCGGTAACCCCACAACTTCACTCGACCTTCCTCTTATAGCTTAGCGTTTCTGTCATATAGTGTGTTCCTGTCCCTCTGGGGCTTCAGCCTCTTCTCCCTCATCGCCATCATTCTCCTCTTCACGGCGTCGCGTTTTTCTCTTAGAGAAGAACGTATTCTTCAATATTGGTACTTGAGACCACCATTACCTAAGGATGAGCAGGTTTGGCTTTGCGACGCATGATTGCGCAGTCTTGCACTCACGCTCGTCTAGTACGAGTCTGAAAGACAAGACTTTATGCTTGATGCAAGAAAGACATGACTATCGAGCTTTTGCTACCCATAATCCAGCCTGCGATCGATTTTCCGTTTCCTTGTCATCTTAATTAACCGAATATATGACTTCAGGTAAAACCAGGTCGATCCAAAGGTATCGTCCTCACCAAGGCACGGATTACCAGGCTGACCCGTTGGGTGCTATTCCATGTCTTGCAAAGCTGCCGGCCGCATAGCTTTGAACGCTGAAGAATTGTAGCTTCTGTCAAACCCTATTTACATTCTAATACATATAACCAAAAACAGGCGCACTGGAGGTACAACATGCTAGCCTAAGAATCAACAGGCGGGCAAAAGGGATTATGTTCGATGATAGCTTGGCCCGGCTGTTTGTTTGCCACGTGGACGGCGTCTTTTATACCGAACCCGAAGTAGGCATACCAAAATCAAGAAGAGTCTCATCTACGGTTGATTTGAGCCTCTGGCGCTTGTATGGCAAGGTATAGCTTTGTGGGGCCTTTGTGGCGACGTAGAAAGCGCTGTTGTCCCTATTAAATGGGAGCATTCTTGAGTTTGTGCTTCGCTGGACTTCACGCGTGGAATCCTATCCAGTAAATTCACCATGCGTGCTGATTATCTGGCACTCCTTGGCCTCCTAGCGGTTACCAATGGGGCGCCCGCTGCCGGGAGTATGTACGAACGCATCCTGGACCTACTCCCTCGTCAGGCATCAGGCAACATAACCTGTCCGGCGACTCCGAATCCGATGCCAAAAGCAGCAGCGTTCCCGTCTCAGAAGACCATGCCTGATCCGTTTCTGTACCTCGACGGCAAAACCCGTGTTAAGAGCAAGGAGGAATGGTATCAATGCCGGCAACCAGAGATACTAAAGGTCCTGCAAGAATATCAATACGGATACTATCCGGATCATTCACTTGAGACTGTCACGGCAACGAGGAGTGGTAATAAGCTGGACGTCACTGTGGCGGCAGGAGGGAAGACGGCTACGATATCGGCGACATTGAACTTACCCTCTGGCAGTGGGCCGTTCCCTGTGGTCGTTGCTATCGGTGGAATCGACAACAAGGTTTACACGAACGCCGGCATTGCCGTGGTAACGTTTGACTATTCCCGTGTTGCAGCTGACAGGAATTCGAAAACCGGCGCGTTTTGGACGCTTTACGACGGGAGAGACATTGGTAAATACCTTGGCGTAAGTGAGTACAGCATCACTGACTGATGCTAGGTGTCCTCACTGCCTGGGCATGGGGCTTCCATCGTGTGCTCGACGGCATCCAACTCAAAGTCCCAGAGATTGACGCCAAGAAGTCCGGTGTCACTGGGTGCTCGAGACTTGGAAAGGCGGCTTTGGCCGCTGGATTGTTTGATAAGCGCATCACGGTGACGATGCCCATGTGTTCGGGCATCCAAGGTGCAGGGCCTTATCGATACAGTCTTTCAGGCCAGGGCGAGAATTTGGAGAATTCGGCACGTTCCGGCAACCAGTCCATGTTGAAATGCTGAAGTGCTGACAATGCGAACAGAAATCAGGAGCGGGTTGGTGGACCTCCTCTGGGATATCGCAATTCGTCGGGAAGTCCACTAAGCTCCCCTTTGACGCCCACACCATAGTGGCTGCCATCGCACCTCGTGCTGTCATCTTGGAAGGCAACTCCGGCGATCAATTTACGGATACCAAGGGCACCGCCACCATCACCTTCCCCGCCGCGAAATCAGTGTATAACTGGTTAGGTGTTGGAGATCAGCTGGGTATGGCAATCCCAAGTGGTGGCCATTGCGCCATGAACGCCTACTCGGATGTACTGCCTTTCGTACAGAAGGTTCTCCAGGGAAAGCAAACAAGCAGGAATTTCGATGATCTGGGAAGCTGGAAGGCAATGACAGAGGCATATCCTTGGGCAGCCGATCTGCCTAAAGGGCAATAGTGAGCTGATGCGGCTGTGAAAATTATTATACTCGAGCCATCCTCTCCCTCCGCGTCTCTGAAATAGTCCCGAAGTGCGCAATGACCTATTAAGAGAGGACATGAAGCATGGTGAGAGGAATTCAACTGAATAGGTCAACGGGGAAAAGACCGAAAGCGGACAACACTCAATGATATTATTGGTGGCGACCATGACCCAGAGTGAGACTAATAGGCAAATGGCAACAACCCTGTCTGGTAGTAATTTGGCATGTTCGCTTACGGTTACACTGCATCTTTTGAACTCAGTCGGACTGGTTCCGTTGCCTGCCCACTTCGCACTGTGTTTCCCAACCTGGGCACTGTGGCAAGCGCCAGCCCCGGATTCGCTCTATCAGTATGTTGAAGCCATTCATGTGATGTACTATGAAAAACTGAAGATTTCTTTCCAGCACTAGCTTGGGCGCTAGGTTGAATGCAACAGAAGATTGCGGAATTGTTGAATATATCGTACCAACGTGGACATGGCCTCTATAAAAAATCCATCTACGTTGTTGAAACTTCCCTGCTTGCCCATTCACGAGCCTTTTACAAAGTCATACTTCCTCACTGTCCGTGGGAATATCTTTCAACGTGAAACTCCCGCCACCAGACGTGAGCGATGGCTCAGACGGCCCGCAAACTGCATCAATGCTTCGCGGAGGAGTGATGTCCATGGAGCCACCGGATGTGTTGGACTTGGTCTGCTTGATGTTGAGTGAGTTCCAACCCTCTGTGAACCTTTTTGAAACAGAACGGGAGAAATTCGACAGCTCTTTTAACTTTACACTCAGAAACTTCGTCAGAGATAGACAGCAGGCGATAGTGATTCCAAGTGCGATCTCAACCACAGATGACAGCCCAGCGAATGCCATCATGTAGGACGTATTAATCTTGGTCCTCGAGCCCTTGAATTCTACCGTGTAGAAAATCCGCATCCAGGTGGCGACTGTCGCTCTGCTGAAGTGTCAGTTCTCATAACCCAGCTACTTCCAGGTCTGGATCAACCTCAATAGAATATGGTCAAAATCCAGTAGTTACTTACACTAAACCAGTGGCAAATAGCAAGATAATGCCACACTTCTTTTTCAGCGGAATATGCAGCTTCCATATTGATGGAACTGGGAGCAGCATAACCGCAAGGTCATATATGACATTGATGGCAGGGATCGAGTATACCAGCGGATAGGCGTCTAAGCATTCTCCGTCCTTGTGGTATGGATTCCATAACTTCTCTCTGGGCCTACACATGAAAAGGAGGACAAAAAACATCGTAGTGTAAGAGAGGAACATGAGTAGAATCGTCACCCATCCGCCGATGTACACAAATGGGTCGAGGCACCGGAGGGGTGCGAACAGTTGGATGTACTGGAGAACGATGGCGGCTTTGATCAGAAATATAGTTGGGCCATACAGAAGTTCACCGATGTAGAGCCACTAGCCGGATGAGTTTTCAATGCTTCAAGGCACAATTTGGAATACTTACATATGCTTGACGCATGTAGTCCACGAGTCGTATATTCCATTGATGGACTCCAACGCCAAAGCGACTTGTCATCCGTGCGATGCCCACGATGGCAAGCAGTAGTAGCTTGCCGGAATCAGCAGTGGCTCAGATAGAACCTGCGGTCTTGCAAGACTAACAAAAGACACCAGAATGCTGTCTGTTTTCAGTCAGCTCTAGTTCGAGCCTTGGGAAATGGGTAACGCACAATCAGCCAGGTCGGTCTTCCGAACTATCCTGATTTTGTTATAGAAGCGTAGAATGACGAGTAATCCAGGTATGATGGTGCATAACGACATTCCAAGGTAGAACTTCAGATCCGGCGAGAATGTGACGAAATGGGGTGTTACGCCTGGGGGCGGCTCGAGAGCCGGCGTATTCCACAAGTCCTTTGGAAGTTCAGACATGCTGCTGGCTCATGATGCGTGCGGGCGACATTGGGAGAGATGCTCAACGGGGTTTCTGTGAAGCACTTGCAACGACCCGATCTCGGTAAGCAAATATAAGACGGTGAAGAGTAGTCCGCCAATTATGTAGATAACGGCGGGGGGGTACATGCCCGTAGAATACGAGCGTCGGCGGAGGCTATAGCTTCGTGATTGGCGAGGACCGCACGTGGGTGTGTATATTAAATATGCATTAGACATGTGCGTAGTCGGCGACTTAAATGATGAGCGCAATTCCGGTCACTAACGGCCAAAGGCTTTGGCTACATTCCACATTCCCATGTGCACAGTAAACAGGACCTGAGATGCGAGGTTAGGATACAATATCGCACACTAGAGGAAACGAGATTAGTCCTACGAGGAGGCAGCCCACACTTGACCAAAATCCCACTCTTTTACAGATTGCTTCTCAATGTTACCAACTGTACCTTGAAAGAGGACTTGTTCCTACAACAATGCTGCTCTGCCGAGAAGTCGTATGGGGCTCAAGTATGAACCCTTGGGAAGCACTGCATGGGACCGTAGTCAAATGGATATTTCAAGAGATTCTTCCGAACATGGGGTTTAAGCTATGCAAAAGTCGTAGGCGGCATTTGAGACCGATGGAGATTGGCACCATGGGTCGTCTCAACTGTTGAAAATAAGGCGAACGTTTGCATCAGCTTCAATCTATCTCGTGGCTTGTCCTGGTCGCACGCACTGCAATTGACCCGACAGAGTGGAAAAGACCGGTGAATCCTCGAGGGTTGTTGTCACACAAGACCAATGGAAAAGGCAACCTAGAAGGCAAACAAAAAAGGACTTTCAGCTGAACGGAGTCCGATCCAGCTTTCTTGCGGTCCGCCCTGCGCCGCTCTGGTTGAGGAAATGCTGCCTATGTGAGTTGTCGCAGATAATGGCGCCCGGTTACCGTTTATTTATCTTGAACGCACTAACCCGCGTAGGGTATGACGCTGGGATACTTCCAACTCTGGTTTCTGGCCGGTGAAATTATTAGGGTATACATGGAAATGATAGTCGGATTAGTGGTGAAAAAGCAGCCCAGCGTCAGAGCTTGCCATTCGGAATATAGGTCTTGCTGTCGTCGTCCATTAAATGACTCTCAACGTAACCTACAGCACTATGACCATCTGCAGCTTGGCCACATTGTTGGAGATGGATGCGGCGCTAAAATCAGCAACACAACAACCTATCTATTCGTTGCTTTTACAAAGACACCTAAGCCGCAGGAATAATATTCACATGCCGAGTTATTTCACATGTCGTTAACAGATAGAGATGGACCATGACGTAATATATGATACGGCAATAACGTTCAAAAACTGCTGTTAGTAGCTTAGCTCGTGAGCCAAGACGCGCTAGCCTTTCCCCCACGTAATGGGGAGGTACACCTTGGAGAGGACCGCTCCTTCGAACCAACTCCACATCCAACTTCCCATAATAAGGATGCTTTCCCGTATCTACAGGCCAAAGGGGCAGCGCCCTTACTTTGGGCTGCTCAGCGATTTCACACGACTCAATATCTACTCCAACGGCACCTTAGCACGAAGGCAATGCCCGTACTGCGAAAAGAGCTAGAGGATGGCACTGGTAGGAAAAGAGCTCGTCTTAGAAAACTCTGCTGACCATGCTCTCAGAGCAAGATGTTACTGAGGAGGAGCTCTTCAAATTCACTCGATATCGTTGGCTGTAAGATTGACCCAGCGTTCAGCAGACACAGGACCAGTCTGATAGTGCGCAGTCATGACGAACCATCGCAGCTTGCCGCACGGTATCGGAAATTCAACGTACCTGCTCTCGTTAACGTAGCGGTGGCGGCTGCTGGGAATGGCTCACGTCATTGTAAGTGAAGTCAAGACGCTGTCAACCACTAGTTGATAATCCCATGCAACTGGACGATGAAGGTGTCAAGTTGTTGAAACTGCTCGAAGGACAACATAACAAAGCATTCCTCCTGACTACGGACAATGGAGGCGAGGTCGTAGCTAGAGTTCCGAACCCCAATGCCCGCCCGCCTTTCTACACGACTGCTTCCGAGGTCGCGACGCGAGATTTTGTACGTATTTTTTTTGTCGTGCTGTACTTGATTCTGACCTGGTGTAGGTTCGACGGATTTTCCCTGTTCCGGTTCCCGGCGTCAAAGCATACTCATGCAATGCTGATAACCCAGTTGGCGCCGAGTACATTATTGAAGAGAAGGCTCCCGGAGAGCGACTGAGCAAATTCTGGGACGAGCTATCATACGGCATGCAGGAAGTGATTATGCGAGAGATCCTCACGTTCGAAACGAAATTGACATCTGCAATATTTTACGGCGATGGCTGCCTCTACTTCAGAGATGACCTAGTTGGGAAATCTGCCAAGTCTATGGAAGTAGAGGTCGCATATATCGCACGCGAATGGCTTCTGGATTTCGATTACTCCGTGACCAAGGATTATGTTCTTGGGCCCTCCCTTGCGGCAGACCTATGGCAAGATAAACTGAGTCTCCTTCAACTTGATCGAGGGCCTTCTAAGTTTCTAGTCTAGAAAAAGGGCTTTCGTGCTAACTTGTCTAGGGATCAATACGCTCGGGCACATGATTGCTTTAGCGCGAAATGAACAAGAGTGGACAAGGAAACTCGCCAAGCCACAAATAAACCCCTATCTTGGGACATATGAGTCTCCTAACGAGTACATGGCCTTATTACAAAAGTATATCGACCTATTGCCACATCTCTGGCTTCCACCGCTCAGGTCAGAGTTTGCGCTTCGGAATCTAAACCCTGAGAACATCTTCGTCGACCCCGAAACCATGCGGTTGACCTCAGTCATCGGTTGGCAGGGTGCATTCATATCGGAGGCATATTTTCATCATGTGTATCCTCCCTTCTTGAAAGGACAGGCCCACCCGCTATACTTGTACGATACTCTGACTAAATCGATGCATGAGAGTACATGGACCGCCACGCACTTTCGACACCGGGACCGACTTGTCAACCCGGCCAAATATGTCACTGGCGCTTATGAGACTGACAATGTTCCTTTATTCCGACAATCCCTTCTGGAACTGAGGAATTGTGATTGGTCGCAGTTGAAGTCATACAACTCGAGTTCAACCCGTTTTCCTATAAGCTTCAGCCAAGAAAAACTACGAGCTCACTCAGAGGCGTGGGAAGCTCATCAGGCGCTGGCAACCTGGATCCACGGCTACAGTGACTTCTTCAAAGTCTTGCCGCACGGAGGAATGGTTCCTGCAGAAGACTATGAAGTCTACGTGGAATCCAACCGCCTGTTCAAGGCTGGATTCATGGAAGACCATGGGCCGACGACCGATCTCGAGGAAGCTTTTTACTCAAGAATGTGGCCCTGGCAGGATACTGAACTTAGGCATGCAGACTATCCCCCCGCCGAAGCGGTACCGCATCTAATTTCTGGACGATAACAAGTCCATGACATCGAACCCCAAACATTCGCATCCTCGTCACAGGTTTACCTCCTCTTCACGTCCGACTGAACAACCCCCTGTACTTCTGCCTCAAACTGGAGTACCCATCCCGCAGTGATTCAATTGGTCACATCCTAATTACGCCACTAGGGCACGGCGGCTTAAGGCTGATTATACCTGGACGGAGGCTCTATCATAAGAGGAAGAAACAGCCAGTTGAAAGGTTGCCAGCGTTTGCGCGCAGGCTCATGTTCAGCCGGACGTGAAAAGAGGTGGCAGCAATCCCTTCACTGGTAATAAAGAAGCTGATCACAGCTCATCCTTCACCCTCTCCTGCTTCCCCTCCGCAACTTTTCCTCCACTCAAATCCGGCATCCCCATAATCTTCACCACCAAGCTAGTCCACCCCGTAAAATGCTGCGTCCGCTGACCTTTCCCAGTCTCAGGATTATACTGCTCCCATGCAAATCCTGTCTCCTTCCAACTCTCGTACACTGTGTTTACGATATTCTTCCTCAACTCCCTGTAGAGCTGTTTGGCGCGCGCTTGGTGAGGTCCGGAAGATTGTGCAATGTCCTACAACTTCGGCGTTAGCAAGAGTTCCATCACATGGGAGCTTAGGAGGCGAGAAGAACGGTAGACGTACCAGCAACTGACTCAAAGCCAGATAATTCATATTAATCCAAATGGGACCTCTCCAGTAATCCTCTCCGGTATGATAAAACTCATCGCTCTTACTCAAGCTGCGCAAGCCATACGGACTCCACAGCTCCTCCGGATCGGCCATCAAATCCAGCACAGCGGCCAGGTGCGGACTATCGGGCCCCATCAAGCCTGTCAAAAACGGATACAGTGAGATATAACCCTTGTGACAGACGAGTTTGTGCTCCTCGTAGTCGTCAATAGTGGCATCGCAGTACATGTTGTCTTTCTTGGACCAGTGCAGGTCATCAATGTTATGCAGGATGGCTTCTTCATACTTGGCAAACTCAGCGGCGTCGTCGGCCTCGTCCAGGTAGATGGCGATGCGTCGTATGGCCTTGGTCATCATGCCCATCCAAGAGATGAGGTCGACGTGGAGCTCGCCGGGATGCGGGGGCTGTGCACGAGGGTAGTCGTCGAGGCCGGAGGTGAGGATGTGTTGAGGAGTACGGCCGCGCCAGCGATATCCTTCCTTTGTGGAGAATGCCTCTCGATCATACGATTTGATATCCCCGGCTTGGGTTTTGCGGAACCAGAAGTAATGGCGCTTCAGCAGTGGGTAGAGAGTGCGCAGATATTGCAGTGCCGCTTCGCGGTTGGACAGCTGCATGTAGTAAGATTTCTCCTTGAGCAGTTTCTCGCTGCTGGAGTCGGATGACACAGCATCTAGCTTGTCGAGGAAGGTAGTAATGACCATGAACAGTGTCGGCGGGTTCGCGTAATGGGGGTATTGCACTTGGAACTCAGCCGGCACTTTGCTGCGAGCTTCAGCACCAAGGATCTGCTCTCGAGCAATCCAGCCATCCTCGTCCATCAGCTTGAACCAACTCTTGATGATATCCAGCGTTAGGTCTATGTCCCAGTCGATAACCGGCAAGAGATGGAAGCCTTCATCCCAGAGGAACCCTCGAGGGAAGAAGGGACGCGAGGGTATACTGGTAAACAGCTCGGACGGCCCTTCGAACTGCGCGGTGTTCCTGCTCCGCGCCTCAGCCGCATCTTCCCAGAAACCTTCGTTGTCCTCTTCGTAAGCTGGATCATACGATCGGTCGACGCGGGAGTCACCGAAGAAATACCCAATCCCTCCAATGAGGTTTGAAAACAACGACTTCGAAAACTCCTGGTATCGCTCCTTGAGGAATGGCGGCTGGGGTTTGAAGATTTCGATAAACCGGGACGAGAAGCTGGCAGTAACGGACTTGATCTGCTCCGTCAAATCTTCCGACGTGATCTTCTTCGGCGCTGAACCGGACGAGAACAGGATGTCGAACTCAAACGGCCCTTCAAATACCTTCTGTATCATATGCAGGTTACCGCTTCCAGGAGCATGCTTGATAGTATAAATTTGAGGCGGCGGCGGAGGATTGTTTTCTTCGTATTTCCCGACAGCTTGGTCGATCTCGCTCTTCATGTGCGTGAACAGGACGGCCTTGGTCTGCCATAGTGCCTCCGTAGGTAATTGGGTGCTGTGTACCAAGGTCCGATCCAAAGGCTTCTCATCGTAACTTGGGTGCGTGTGCCGAGGGTGGGCTCCTTGACCCTCCGTTACCCGCACCTCAAAGTCTCCCAGCTCCACAGTCTGTCCCTTCAGCACTACATCGCCCTCAGCACCCGTCTCTTCCGCGTCCTCATTAACGACTTCTAAGCTCCCCAGGCCCTCCAACGTATTGTACCATATCACAGTAGTCTTTAGATCAGGAGATGCGTCTTCCCTCGGCGTCCCTCTTATTCTTGCTCCCCAGCTACCACCATTGTGTCCGCCCGGGAACTTTATGAACTCGGTCGTTATATCGATCCCATTCGCGGGGTCGTGAATCGTTTGTCGCCCTCCGGTCCTGACATCGTATTCATCCCAGCCATAACCATCGAGCTCGTGCTGCTCGCACGTATGTCTGAAGTCTATCATCGTCAGGCAATCAAGGAACTCTCAATTGCACTCCCTCAAGGCGATACTTACTATGCTGCACACTCTGATAGTCCTCCACCCGCGTCCACATCAATCCCCCCATCAAGCTCCTCGGCACCCTCGGCCTGACGCCGAAATACAAATTCGGGCGGTACGGTCCCCAAAACAGCGTTTCATTGCTCGCTTTCTCGATGTCCGATGCGACCTGCGCGCTGGCGACGGGCGAGAGGGCGAGAAGGCCCAATGATATGGCGCCCAGGAGCGCCATATTGGCGAGACGCTTAAGGAAAGGAAGGGAGGCGAGAATGCAGGGCGAGAGTGTTGCACAACTTTTCACGGCTGTGGTGTTGTTGTGGGGTTGGTGCGAGCTATGGACACATATCGTTGTCGGAGGCGCACAGCCACGCGGGAGTGCCACAGTTTGCTCCGTTCCTGGGGCTAGCCGGATATGGCAATGGAACCTGTGAATGAAGTGCTTTAGTGAAACAAAAGCTTCAACGAGAATTACTCTAGTATATAAGGGCAAAGAACATGTCTCTGCCTAGGTAAGAGCCTAATGCGCTCATGGTGAGCATCACTGCACGTGTTCGCGCGTCATTGCGTACGTAGCGCGGCGGAGAGTTCGCGTTTGGACCTTTGTCACTAACCGCAACTCACTCCCAGTACAACACAGCGGTATGGCCGAAATTTGGACCGGAGACATCCTTCTTCCAGATAACACAGAGATCAAAGGTAAGCACTGTCCTTCCACGCTGAACCTCTCATTTGACAGCCTCAGACATCACATTCGCGTCCCGAGACAACGCGTCCACTCTCCGGATCCCCGCATCCCCCCTCCGCTTCCTCGCAGCTGTTGATACCTCACATGTACCTCTATATCTCGCCGCCGGACCGAGCTTAGACGTCTGGGCATCCTCGGAAGACACACAGTCATGGTTCGAGTCAATACTGCTAAGCAAAGCAGCATCCGAAGTCGACGCGCCGGAGAGTCCGTCCACAGCGCAGCCATGGTGGACTCATGCGCGATCACAGTCGCCAATTGGCATCCTGGTATCTGTTGATGGTGATATAAAGGATGAGAAGAACCCCAGGATAACAGAGATACTGTTCTATGGCACCATAGCTGCAGCTGCAGATGGTACCTTTCCGACTCCGCCTTCATCCTCGCCCGAACATGGCACGCCCGAGATTCTACCTGAGCTACGAGTCCATGCTCTTCCACTGTCTTCAGATCTCCTCTACAAACCCAGCGCACCCACTACTGGCCCTGCCTCACCATCTCTAAACACATCGGACGCATCCTATCCCACGGAGCCACAATTCCTACCCTCCACCTTCTCCCTCGAATCCACCACCACCCCCTCCTCCCCCAAACGGAAACGCGATGTCTTCGAAGAAGCCGCCCAACGGCGCAAAAAAGCCCGACGCAAAGGCGGCGAGAGCATCGCAGCCGCAGCCGCCAAAACCCTCGACAACAAGCCGTCCGTCACGCACAGGCGCTCCATCTCCATCGACGGCAAAGCGATACCCTTCGCGGACCCACGACCCGGATCTGCAGGCGCAGCTTTGTCTCGTCCACCATCGCGACCGCTGTCTCGTTCGCCAAGTATATCTTCGTCTGACGTCCGGCCTCTCAGCAGAAAAGGGCCGCAGGATACGAAGCGCTCGAATCTGTCAAAGGTCGCCACTGTGCCTGTCCAAGCAGAAGAACCCACACTGGAAACCCGGAATAAGGAAGCTCTCTCCCGAGTCGTGCTCGCCGCGATGCGCATGCACGGCCTCCAGCAGCGAAAGAAGACGCGATCGCGACGGGGCTCCACTGCCCCTGGACTGGAAACTGCGGAGCAGAAGCAGGGTCTTAATGAAGAAGTGGCGAAAGAAGAGGCGGCCAAGGATGAGGAGTACAAGCTGATATATCACCAGGCGTATAAAGGGGCGGCATTCGCTTTGGTCAGTTTCACCACTTACCTCCCCTTCTCCCGCTCCTCTACTTTCAGGGCATCCCGCATCTTTCTTTCTTTCCTCCTCTCTTTCTTTCTCTTCTGATTGCTAACTCTTATTATTACAGAGGCAACACATCACCACCTCCCCCTTGCACCTGCACCCAGACCGCCTCCGCCCCCTCGTCGAGAAACTCCTCGACATCTTCTGCGCCGATCCGCTAGCCCTCCCTGCTAGTCCCCCCAATGATCCATCTGGAGAGGTGCTCGCGACACCCGCCAACAAGGGCCTCTTGGTTCCGGGGTCAACGCAGAGTAGGGCGAGTCCGTTCGATTTACCCAGTGGGAAGGGGTTGGCTGAGGCGAGGGCGAAGGCGAGGCAGAAGGAAATAGAAATGGGGACTGTGACTGGCACTGGGAGTCCGGCGGCGAGGAGAAAGGGGGGGGAGGGGAGAGAGGTCTTGACGGAGTGTTTGACAGAGTGTCTGACTGAGGTCCCGAATAACGGCGATGCGCCAGGCGGGTAGACTGGTGAGTAGGAAGATCGAGACAGACGGAGCTTGCGAAGGGGAGTATATGAAAATGGTGGGATCACGGCACATATATGAGCATAGAATTGGGGGTATGCTGAAACGAAGTTATGAGGGATGAACATGCATATGGATGGATTGGTTATGATAAAAACAGGATGGAGTTTTGTAGGTGGTGTGCAGGCACAGTTCAACCATTCATTCATGAAAGAGTTACTTTTGTCGTGCTTAGTATGCGAGTGGACGCCAAGTCTGGCAATAAGAACGTTGAATGTTGCACTTATAGTCCGCATCGCCAGTTGAACGAACATATGCAATTCACTGCATCCGAGATATAAGTTGAGAGATCGTGACACACATTACGTACTCAGTATCACGCTTACGCACACGTACCATCTACTTATATGGTTCCTGTTTGAGTTCCAAAGTTCCAGCATCCCTCATCCCATCCAAAGCTTATTAATAAGGCGAGGCGATGAGAGTGACGGATTACCGCAAGGGGGTTTAAATACCCAACCACTAGGCTACATACTACTGTGTACCTAGGTATCTACCACCGTCTCAGTCTTCCCGCCACCCACGGCCACCGACGCCTCCTCAGAAACTCTTTTGACTGCGTGGAAGGCTACGCAATGCCTAGAACGTAGTACGCAGAAAAGAAGATGGAGGGACATGGTACCTATCGGTAGATATACCCCTCGCCAGAGAATCCTCTCATCCTGCTCATTTTTCCCTCGTTCGCCTCTCTCCTATTTATTCCCCCGGTCTTCTCACAAGAGTGTTGGAGACGCAATGCAAATGCAGTTACAGTGGCAATGCATTCGCCCACTTGACAACTTCAGGGAACACGAGGGGGGCACGAGTGTGGGTAAGGTGGGGGAGGGGGGATTAATATACTTAGGCACCGGATAAAAATGGATTTGGGCTTTGAGGGTGGAATTTCCCAGATGGGCATGGAGCTCTATGGTAATTAGTGTAGCTACCTCCCCTCAACCCCACCGTCGTGAACGCCGAGGACGACGTACAAAGATAAATAGTACCACCATCTGCACCACCCAACAAAAAGCGAAACCGCTTTCCCCCTCTTCCGCAGAACTGAATAAGTTCTCCAGACCCTCTATATTCGACACCACAAAAAACATTCCCGTCAAGCCATCTATCGCCCCCCACCATGCCACCCATCCGCAACCCCATCCTCCCAGGCTTCAACGCCGACCCCTCGGTCCTCCACGTCAACGGCACCTACTACATCGCCTGCTCCACCTTCGAATGGTACCCGGGAGTGCAAATCTGGTCCTCGACGGACCTCGCCAACTGGACCCTGACGACGCGGCCCCTCTCGCGCAAATCCCAGCTCGACATGCGCGGCAACCCGGACAGCTGCGGCATCTGGGCGCCCTGCCTAACCCACGACGGCTCCAAATTCTACCTCGTGTACACGGACGTGAAGAGGAAAGACGGCAGTTTCAAGGACACGCACAACTACATTGTGACAGCCGACAAGATCGAGGGGCCCTGGAGCGATCCCATGTACGTCAACTCCTCTGGTTTCGACCCAAGCTTGTTCCACGACCCGGACACGGGCAAGAAGTGGTTCGTGAATATGTTGCAGGACCATCGGCGGCGGCCGCGCTTGTTTGCGGGAATAAGGCTGCAGGAGTGGGATGGTGCGGCGAAGAAACTGGTCGGGCCCATGAAGACGATTTTCAAAGGCACGGAGCTGGATCTGGTCGAGGGCCCCCATCTGTATAAGAGGAATGGTTGGTATTATCTGTTGACGGCTGAGGGAGGCACGGGGTATGAGCATGCGTGTACGTTGGCGAGGAGTAGGGATGTTTGGGGACCTTATGAGGTGCATCCCAAGAATCCTATACTCACGTCCGAGCCCTACCCGAATGCGTCGTTGCAGCGCGCAGGCCATGGGGATATCGTCGAGACACCCGAGGGGAAAACGTATCTGGTGCATTTGACCGGCCGGCCGATTACCCAGTTCAAGAGGTGCGTGCTTGGGAGGGAGACGGCCATCCAGGAGGCGTATTGGGGTGACGACGATTGGCTGTATGTCAAGAACGGCCCATGCCCGAGTCTTTATGTGGACGTTCCCGGAACCAGGGACGAGGAGAAGTATTGGGAGGAGCAGAAGTATACCTTCGACGAGAAGGAGGGACTGCACATCGATTTCCAGTGGCTGAGGACCCCAGAGCCCGAGCGCATCTTCAAGATCCAGGATGGGAAGTTGGTCTTGATTGGCCGCGAGTCCATCGGCTCGTGGTTCGAGCAGACCTTGGTCGCAAAACGCCAGAATCACTTCTCATACGATGCCGAGACGGTCGTCGAGTTTAGCCCAAATGACGAGAGGCAGTTTGCTGGTCTGACCGCGTACTATTGTCGGTACAACTTCTTCTACCTCACCGTCACGGCGCATGCGGATGGCAAGCGGGAGCTACTGATTCTTAGCTCCGAGGCCTCGTGGCCCGAGGGCAGGCTGAAGCTCCCGCTGGCGGATCCCGTTCCGCTGCCGCAGGAAGGCAAAGTCAAGCTGGGTATCAGCATCCGGGGCAAGAGGCTTCAATTCTTCTACGGGCTCGGCGGCGAGGAGGCGCAGCTGAAGGAGATTGGACCCGTGTACAACGCCTCAATTCTGTCGGATGAGTGCGGTGGGCACCTGGAGCATGGTAGCTTTACAGGCGCCTTTGTCGGCATGGCCTGTTCGGACATTAACGGGACGGCATTGGAGGCCAAGTTTGACTATTTCAAGTACAAGCCTGTCAAGCATGAGTCGGATCGGTATGATATCTAGGAGGGGACTCTGGATCAGTATGAAGGCATTTTGGAGGCTGGACAGGCTTACCAGATTGAACTGATCAGTCAAAGAGACCACATCCCCACTCTATAGAGAATGCATTTACACGCACTCCCTGTTTCGTCTATGCTAGTGGCGTAGCCGGCCCCGTATCCCGTGCTATATCCACGGCATTGCTGACCTCGATGAAATCCTCCAGCTCTTCGCTCGTAGTCTTCAGCTTGTCCTTGACCGCCGTGACCCCTTCGAAGCCGACAATGTGACGTGCGGGCGGATTGTCGTGCCCGCCAATAGCGGTCAGCGCATGCACCGTCTCGGCGATCAGGGAGCTCTTGAACACTGGGGGAAGCGGCGCGTAGAGTGAGGTTACCGTGTCGGAGCTGAGAAGGTCACCCGTCGTGGGCTCATGCACGGAGCTGGCCGGACTCCCTGCCGAAGTGCTCTCTGCAGGCGATTTCTCCTCAGCAGCGGCCGAAGGGTTGTTCGCGCGTTCGAGCTTGTCCAGTAGGCCGGAGAAGATGTCGCGGGCCAGCGGGGCCGGGTTCTCCGCCTGCGAGTACTCCAGCATGGGCGGAACCGCCGTCATGCGGTTGGTCAGGACGTTGATCTCCATGTTCGCCTGGACGATGGACATCTTGACGTTGAAGGGGGCGATCTCGTAGGCCAGGCTGTCGCAGTAGCCCTCAATGGCCCACTGCGACGAGCAGTACAAGCCCAGTCCAGGGGTGCCAAGGTGACCGGTAATGCCAGTCATCATGATTATGTGGCCGTTCTTCCGATTGCGCATGACGGGCAGGACAGCCTTGATGATGTTGACATTGGCGAAGAAGTTGGTCTCGAAAGTGTCCTCGACCAGGCTGATGGTGCGACTGTCCTGGCCCAGCTCTTCCACCGTCCCGATGACGACTTCGGTCGTGCCGCCCAGCAGCACGTCGATGCGCCCGAACGCTTCCACGGCTTCGGCAATGGCAGCTTGACACTGGCTCACGATTCTCCCATCCAGACCCACAACTCTCAATCGCTCGCGCCATCGTTCCGTCTTCTTCACTTCGTCGAGGAATGTCCGGAAGTCCTCAGCGGGGCCCTCTCTCTTTTCAAACTCGGTCGGCAACACCCCAGCTACGACATAGTCGCCGTGGTCGAGCACCTGCTTGGACAGCGCAATGGCAATAGGCGACGTTCCATTCGTGATGAACCAGACACGCGGCGCATTGTGGGGTGGGAAGTGTGGCGACCGTGGTCTCGGCGGCCTGGTGGAAGACGCGCTGCTGCTCTGCGGCGGCATATTATCTATTTCTTGAACGGTGGATATAGGAACATCACAAGTTCATCGTTCTTTCAACTGTGTCTGGTAGGTTAGATCTGTGGAGAGGAGTTGAAGTTCCGAGAGGCCGCACTAGCCGAAATTGGACTAGCGCATCGTCTCTGATATCAATCTTCACCTTCACCACTCCCGTCCTTCACTACCAAAAGCTCATACATCGGCAAATTCAAATCCGCAGTGCTGTCGACGTCCTTTTTTATCTTATCTTTCATATCTCCTTTCTGTTCCATATTCCGCCGGTTTAGTTCTTCCCACGAGAGATCCAACATCACACAGCCAAGAAGTTACCACTGGCCTCAAAGCAGAAGTAAAGTCCTATTTAGCATATATTAAGGGAGAGAAAGGTATAAATGTCTACTTTGTTTCATTACCTTTGTTGCCTTGCGGTGGCCTTTGAAATACTCTTTCTATCATCTGGTCTTTTTCTCTCTCCAGTCCTTCGCCTCCGGTGAATGCCTATCTTCACCCTCACTGCTCAAGCATGGCTAGGCTTCTTCTGCCTGCTTTACCAGCCCCTCTCCAACCTCTTCCCAACCTCATCCCAGCCTCCTGGATTCCCAGCCCCTCCCCTCGAGCATAAAAGCTCGCCGCCCTCCGTCCCTCCTTCCTCTCTCCTTTGTCACCTCCAGCTTTCTCAGCTTTGAGTGACTGAAATCATCTTCTTTTGATTGAAATCACATCGCTACTGCTTCCGTTTCATTCTCAGTTTATCATCCTTTTCAGCCATCATGTCCACCACCATGATCCCAATGACTGACATCGACCGCCGCATCCTCAGGGAGCTTCCCGACTTCGCCATCCACGTTCAAGGCGACAAGGTCCCCGACTGGTTCGCCAACATCCGCATCTTCTTCCATCCTGCTGTCCGGACCACCGCTTCTTCCATCACCCGAGCCTCCAAGACCGACATCCGCTCCCGCACCAGCAAGGAGTGGTTCAAGCCCGACAACCGTCACCGCGGCGGCATCCGCAAACCTCGCACCCGCTTCGACGGCCGCAAGGACATCACCCACGTCATGCATCACCCCAAGACGCTTGCGCAGTTTGAGCGCCATGCCGTCCATCTCATGGCTTCCGTGCTCGGTCTCCGCCGGGCTTCTTCGCCGTTCACCTTGGTCCTTGATGACCTCAATCAGCGCGCCACCCCGCTTCTCAACGAGTTCATGTACCGCGCCCTCTCTCGCAACGTCAACATCGTCTACGTCTCCTTCGAATCCAAGCGCACTCCGCACCCTTCCGTCACCTTCATCCCCGCCTGGGACGGCCTCACGGGCGCAACCCTCCTCAACGAAGTCGAACAAGCAATGAAGAACTTCACCGACAGCCTCGTCATCGTCGACTCCCTCCACGAACTCTTCGCCCTCAAAGACATGTCCATGAACGCCCTCTTCGCCCTCGTCGCCGTCCAGTACAACTCCCTCCTCGTCGGCGTCTACCACCAAGACCTCGCCCCAGACACCACCAAAACCGACCCATACACCCCTCCACCCCTGAACCTCCTCAAATACCTCGCCACGACCATCATCGAATGCAAATCCTTCGCCCACGTCCTCGCCGCCAAAGCCGCCGCCGCCCGCAGCCTCCCCGAACCGACCTTCGGCCTCCTCCAGGGCGCCGAGGGAATCATCCAATGCCTGGACGCAAACGACACGCGCGGCATCGTCCTCGACGCCGAGTTCCGCCGCAAATCGGGTCGCGCGGAGAAGGGCAAGTACTTCCTGCGACCGTCCAGGGGGTCCGATTATCACGAGGCGCTGCTGCCGGGCCAGGTCATGGGCACGCTGAAGAAGGAGTTTGTCACCACGCTTGATAAGAACCCCGTGTACATGAGCGACGAGGTCATTGGGCTTGTCAATGCGGCTGCCAATGGGAATGTGGGAGCGAAGACGGACATCGTGGAGTCGACGTTTGAGCTGGGGTTGACGGAGAAGCAGAAGGCGGCGCGGGGGGAGGTGGTGCTGCCGTATTTTGATGCGCAGAAGACGATGGGGGAGGCTGGTGAGGGGGGACGGATTCTCTATGATATGGGGTCTGAGGATGACTTTGATGAGGAGGAGGATGAGATTTAGGGTGCTGGGTGTTGGGGTATGTGTGGGGATGGGGATGTGAAGGGGATGGAAAGGGGAAAGGGGTTTCTGAATCAAGTGCTAGTTGATCTGCTGACTTTGTTAGCTAGCTATTGCGTGTCTTTGCCGACACTTTGCGATGGTAGGTGGGAGGATCTGGGTTGCAGTCATTCTTTACTGTGTTTTTTGGAGTTGGTGGTTGATCAAACTTATACCCCACAACGATGGCATATCTGCTACCCAATATATCATGAAAAATTAGATTTCTGTTCTCCTTGTGATGTGAATAGCCTTGCCTTGCAGTTTCGTATACCCACTCGTCCAAGATACTTCACGCACCAGTCCAAGGACATGTACAGCCATCGCGAAAACTAAGTTGCAAAAACGAAGGTCCGCAAAATGCAACACTGCTTCAAAGGGACATTTATTGTACACTGCTCACTAAGCCGAACCGAATAACGTAGAGGATGCTCGGCTGAGTATTACCGCTCGAGCTTTAAGGATGAATATATAGCTGGACTGGATCGGAGCTTGGAAGCTAAGAACGCACAGACCACTTGCCATCTCTTCTCCAACCCTCAGAACAATCCAACCTAACATCACCACCACTTTCCCTCCCACAACACCACACAACTACAAGCGCAACTACATCCACACAACCACATCCATACACACCACATCCACACAAATACATCCATACCCACCACATCCACACACCACCCAACCACGTCCACAAACACATACATCCCACAACCATGCCGCGCGACCGCTCCCGCGACCGCCCAACCCACCACGACAGAGACGGCAGGGACCACAGAGACCGCGACACCCACTCCACCCGCCGGGACCACGTACCCAGACGCCGCGACGAGCGTGGCAACACACCCCACGACCGCGACCGCGACCGACGCGAGCGCTCTCGGAGCCCACGGCGGGAGCGAGGCGGGAGAGGACGAGCAGAGGGTCAGAGGTACCGGTCGCGGTCGCCGATTGCACGAGGTGATCGAGAGCGAGAGAGGGGAGAGAGAGACCGGGAACGAGACCACGATGCAGCGAGGGAGCCTCGAGGACGGGAACCCCGGGACGCTCGACCTACAGCGCCACCGGCGCCGCCATCGGGACCTAGAGCCGATAGAGAGAGACGGGACGCCCGCCCCGCTGCTTCCACCGCAGCTCCTTCGAAACCCAACGTACCCAACGACAATGAGACTAAAGACGTACCCATGACAGACCCCTCCACAGCGGCATCACCACCAGATGGCGTCGACGAAGAAACATGGACGATCATCCAAGTGATGGGCTTCGGCAGTTTCAAGAGCACAAAGGAGACGAAGGTGCCCGGGAACGAGAGGAATTACGGCGTCAGGAAGGATAAGGTGTTGAAGGCGAGGCAGTATATGAATCGTGTTGGTGGGTTCAATAGGCCGTTGAGTCCGACGAGGGGTTGAAAGATGGTGAGGTGGGGAGGAATACGAGGATTACTTGGTTGTGGTGCTGAGGGAAGTTAGATGGATATGATGGATGCGGGATGCGGGATGAGGGGATATCGGTATCTGGATACCTAGGTAGGTATACCTAGGTCCCTAGTCCCTTTCTCTTTCCCTTGCACTGTATACTGTACACTACAAATAACGATACCCATGCGAAGAAAACATCTCTTTTCTCCAAACTTTGCTCCTGCTGCTTCCAATATCATACTGAACGCTGCCCTGAGCGTCATCATCAGAAGGTTTTTTTTTTTTTTTTTTTTGTTCCTCGTTTCGACTTCTGAGCTTTGTACACCTACCTTTTCACTGAATACGGAGATGTGGAGAAGACGTAGTAGCACTGGACAGCAGGATCGGGAGGAAAAAAAGGTGATTAGCTTGACCTTTCTAGAGGTTGAATCTGGTACTGTACAAATCCTTCCAGCAAGTAAATATTAATGAACCAGGTGCTTGATTCACTTCATTACTCCCCATGACATGATAGACCTTCACCCACCCAGTCATACAAACACAAGACTCAAATCCTAGACACACTACGGAGAGACAAAAGCACATACATACCCTCCACTCAACCCATCCCCTCCTTTCCTTCCCTCCTCTCTCCACTCCCCTTAAACTCAAACGAACAGCGCTCCCACACCCACAGCCCCCAACACCACACCCTCCCACCCACCGACCCTCACAACCTTACCCGCCGCCGCACCCGTATTCTGACCCCCCGCCGCACTACTCGTCGTCCCCCCCGCACTCGTTGTCGTCCCCGTCGTCGCCGCACTCGCGCCCGAAGAAGTCCTCGAAGCCGAAGACTCCGGCGCAGGCGGCGTCATTGGCTCCGCGACACCAGAAGGACAATGCCAATGGTCGCCATGGGGAACGCACGTGGTAGCTGTAACGTGCGTGTCGTGATGATCATCTTCCTCATGGTCATGGTCGTGGCCTTCTCCATCTTCTTCTTCATGGGTATGATCATCGGGTGTATCGTCGTTGTGGTCGTGGGGCGCGGTGGTTGGGGTGGGGACGCCGGGGGGGCAGTGCCTGGTGGTAGATATGTTAGTGTGCTGTGTAAGGAATGATGGGATGGGATGGCATGGGATGGGAAGGAGGAAGAGGGAGAGGAGGACGGAAAGAGGGGGACGGAAAGAGGAGGAAGAAGATGAGGAGGAGGGGAAGGGAGAGAGGAAAAGTCAACGAACCAGTGATCACCATGCGCTTCGCAAACAGCAGACGTCGACGATGCCACTCCTAGCGGCGTTGTAGTCGTCGCGGTCGCAGTCTCGGGAGTAGACGACTGCGCGACGATGGCGGCGGGCAGAGCGGCCGCGGCGAGGAGGAATACGAGCGACTTCATCTTTCCCGGTTATTTTTCTTCTGCTTTCTCAAAACGGACCGGTTGAGAAGGGGCAAAAGCGGCACTTTTGCTCTTCGCTCAAGCTTGATCCGTGAGGAGTTGGAAGTCAATGGACGAAGCCGACAGACGGAGACAAAACGAGAGGAAACGAAACGAAACCAAAATAAAAAATGCAGCTCTTCTTATACCTTCCTCCCTCACACATCTTCCCACCATCCTCCTCGTAAACCGAGAAAACCAAGCTTCTCCCTTCTCTTGGCCCAGGACATCATTGTACTCATCTCAGCCTTGGACGTCCCAATGCTAAGCTTGCAGAAGCGAAGACGAAGGAGCGAAAAAGGAAAGAGGAAACAACCAGAAAACCTGGAAATTGGAAACGTCGCCGGTCTTGTGATTGCCAGATTCAGGAACTATCGAGGATAGTATATTTTTTCCGGGGACAGACTGCACGTCGTCGGAGTAAGTACCTGCGTCCAGGGGAAAGCTGACGTAACAGTTGAACGTCCGTCACTCACTTCAGGACCACGCTGGGTACAGAAGAAACAGTTCTTCATTGAGGTCTGCCGGTTAAGAATTGGAGTGAAAATCAGCAAACGGAACCGATAATTCCACTTACGTATACCGCTCCCCTCATGTTTGCCAACGCCTCTCCAACGATTTCTGGAACGACAAAAGCACATGAGAACAGCACCTCAATCAGTCTGACTCCTTTTCCATTCCAGCCTCTCCTCCTCACACCGACGCTTTCGATCAACCCGGCCTAATGCATCTCCTCATTCATGCGCGCATCCTCAATCTCACCATGCATCGCAGCGCTTTTCTCCATCGCATCCATACTCATATTTCCCGTCTCCATCATCATCTCCGCATCTGCTGGCATATTCGACTCTTCTTCCATGGCAGAGCGCGCCGTGTGCATCATCCCTTCCGCCATGCCCTTCTTCGCAGCCTCCTCATCAACAGCCGCGCTGTAGCGTCCATACTTGCCATATGAATAGTACGGCCTGCCGAAGGCTAAGTCGCCGCAAACGGATAGATCGGGGACGGAAAACTTACGAATACTTTCCGTATTCCCTCTTGGCCATACCCTCGGCCATTCCCTGTTTCGCCGCCTCGGCATCAACAGCCGAACTGTAGGAATCATACTGGTCATACGCCTGGTACGGCCTGCAAGGCGAAATAAGAAACACATCACAACCAAGGGACTGTAAACTCACTCGTAGCTTCCGTATTCCCTCTTGGGCATAGCATCTGCCATTTCCTTCTTCTCGGCCTCGGCTTCCATGGCTGAGCTGTACGATCGGTAGGTGCCGTACGTGCCGTACGTGCCGTACCTCCCATATGCCCCGTACGGACTACGAGGAATCAGCGACTACCCAGGATGGAGTCAGTCGGATACCTACTTATAAGTGCCGTATGTGGTCTGTCTCTTGGTCATACCATCGGCCATGCCCTTCTTCGCCGCCTCCGTGTCAACGGCTGAATTGTAGTATTGATATTTGCCGTATGAGCGATAGGGCCTGCGCAGCCTGAGGACCACATGTCGAAATAGCAGGATGCAGACTTACGTGTAACTTCCATAGGCGGGCGCGCCAGCGGCCAGGCCGACCAGACCGGCTACAACCAGCGACAGAGTATTGAGATGCATGGCAGGCGAGGTTCAAGATCCTCCTCAGTGTGTGGTGTGAGACGTTTTTGGAAGATGGCAGTATGCAGCCTGATGATCGAATATCCCCGCTTCCGGAATGCGACTTTATGTAGAAAGGGACGACGCTCCTCCAGAGACGTAGCATGATTAGCTCCAGAGTCCGCAATCGCTGCCAATAATGGCGACGGTAGCGCTCAAGGTCATCATGGCACCTTTGATCCGCCAGAGATATTGTAGCCCAATCGGTGAGACCTGGCACAACGAGCGAAAACAAAGTGATGGTGTTGGATTTAGCAAGGTTGCATTTTGCATCCAAGTAGTACCCGTCAGTGCCGTCAATTGCTGAGGCCACGGGGCCATATCGTGCAACAGGATCAATAGAAACGAATAGCAAACCAGAATCCAGATCCAGGTCAACAAGTGCACATCGAGAGATTTGCTCGGCCTCGGCGTGTATCGTTGGCGTGAGCTGAGCAAGCGTCCCACCAGATCCGGCGGCAGTGAATGCTAGCTGAGAGTATCTCTGTAGGAAATTAAGTGAAGACTCGATCTATGGAACGATGGTACTTGTCGTCGAAGTATGTCAGCATCCCTGACCATACGGGATCCAGGTCCGCATGCCATATCAAACCGCCTGTGCCTTGCATTTCGCGGTCCAAGAAAGGGGCCACCCCACGGTGACTGTCCGCAGATCTGAACTGAATCCGATGTGATTGTGATATGCGGAACAAGATCGTACAGAACGGATGTGCCACCGATACTTGTCATACGGCAAACTGAAGCTTGTGGCCTTAAGGTCGACGTGTATCGACGATTATGGGCGCAACGTCAGGTGGATTGTGAACCCAGACGGTCGCAGGGGAGTTGTACCATCCTTTCTGCAACCAGAGGTAGCCTTGAGGAGGCAAGGAACCGCAGCGAAGTGCGAGTAGTATGTGACAGTGATGTTTGTTGCACTTCTGTAGTACCTGCACGGTGACCTGCATTGGAGGGAAAGGAGTAAGGAATATCGATGTGGGCAAAGCCATTAGGCGCATAGCGACATAATCGGCGAGTAATTCGAAGCGGGCACGGAGAGAATACATCCTCACTATACGTTTGGAGAGCCAGTCGTGCAGGTACAAGGGGGAGGCTTCTCATCTTTCGCACATCCACGCTGTCTGGACGAAAGGCACCATGCTCAAACGTCTCTTCCAAAAGCCTGCAAAGCTCAGTCAACGGCAGAACAAAGGTGATGGAGGTGATGAGGCACTCCTGGACTCCTCCTCATCAAGCTCCGATCCACTCGAGAAGCCAGCCTGTGATTGCCATGCCAGAGGTGCCAGAATAGCTATTCGCGCGACGCTGCTATGCACGACGGTTTATCTCGGAATTGGTATCTGGTTCGGATACATAATGAGAGGGACTCAGTTCGTCGCCGATGCGGACGACTTCTGTCTCAACCACATCTCACATTACTGTACGTCCAGACCTATTGTTTTGCGGCAGATGCTGATCCAGGCGTAGCACCCTTGGTAAACGAAGTGAAACCCAATTGGCGAACAATTCAATATAATGGGAGTTTTTTCCACGAGAGCATATACCGGCAACCGCCTTCACCAGAAGTCGATGAAGCGTGGTCGGCTCTGGGCATAGATTGTAAGCGAATTCCATTGCTTCTATCAATTCGATACCTGACCGTAGCGACCTAGATCGCAGTGTCGTAGTGCCTGAAAGCGAGGCGGCAAAGACTGGATTACGACCCGACCAAGTGAAGGTCAGTCAGCTGTATGGCGGCGGATATCCCGCAAATGTTGAGGGACTGCACCATTTGCACTGCCTGGTGAGCTTCGAGGCGTGAGTACCCGTTCGGCCATTAACAACTTCGCAGAATCTCCTTCGAAAAGCACTCAAGTGGAACTACAACTATTACCGTGAGCAGAAGCAGGGCGCTTTCGTCAACAGCGAGTATGTTGTTCGATACCACGTCACCCATTGCATGGACATCATCCGGCAGCAGCTCATGTGCACCACCGACATCGGGATGCTCGGCCAGGTGTGGTACCATCCCGAGGGCGAGCCGGAGCCGATTCCCTTTGTCGACTTTAATACCAAACATAGGTGTAGGGACTATGAGGCGATCAGGCAGTGGGCCGAATCGCATCAGCTGCCGCCAGAGTCGGAGGTCGACATGAGCCGATTCTACGAGAAGCCGAAGCCGGGAGACACGGTATATTCAGAGATTCCGTAGAGCAGCGGCTATGGTCGGAGAGTGGGAAGTAGCCGCAATGTCTCGCCTCTGTCTTTGAGAAGCAGGGAGTTTTTCTGGTCTTGACGTGCAAATGGCTGTCCTGGCTGCAAAGTACATAGAATATGTCGACCTTAGTTCTGCCTCGGTTTAACGACTCCATCGTGGACGATGTAGTAGGTGATGGTGCTGTCCGAATCAGTGGTAGCGAGCAGTACTCTCTTGGTTGTCCTCCAGGGATTGGGAGTGCCGTTCTCGTCTGCGGTTGGTGGAACGATGCTGATGGCATTGAAGACGTCACTCAGGCGGCGGAGTGTCCACTTTTCATTGAGTCTCGTGGGCAGGACCCATTCGGGCTCTGGCGCTACCTCCACATCCAGCGTGTCCTGTGCCTGCTTGCTCGCTTTGCGCTTCCGATCGGCATTCTTGAGGAGCTCTATCTGCTCGTCGGGATGGATGTAGAGTCGCTGGGGAGGAAGGCCTGATACCAATGGCCGAGGGAGCAGCTGGTTGGATATGGGAGAGTGGGTATGGATGTGCAGGTCGGTCCACGAGTGCTGGTACCTGAGATTGTGCTCGACCTGTAGGGCAAGGGCATGCAAATCGGAAAGGTGGACGCTATCCGCGGATTGCTCGAGCTTTTCGACGATCAGGTTCTGGAGGGGAGAAGGCAGGACAGCCGGTTTCAAGCCTGGCGGGAGCGTCGTCATTGCGCGACGGGTGGCAGCAGCGGTGAAGGGGGTGGGAATGGATAGTCGTCGGCCAATGCTGTTGCTGGAAGGAGGAAAGACAGGTGCCAAGGCGCCAATCAGATCAGATGAAGCCAATCCCAAACCAAAACCACCATTCCATTGAGCTGATGAGGCAGTGCACAGCGCAACAAACAAAAGGGATCTCTCCTCCACTTCAAGTATCCTTTTCCTTCTCGTTTCCAGAGTCCTCGAGTAGTTTACTGCTGCAACCCTAGCCAAACCACATCCAAACCCACATTCAGCATGCGTTCACCATTCTTGGCATCCGCTGTCCTGCTGCTGGCTCAGGCAATGCCCTCTCGGGGTCAAACTAGGGCGCAACTCTTCACGGTTCAAACCTCGATGCCTTCCGTCCCGGTCGAGGCCCCGACGGATCTTCCAGTTCCAACAAACCCTCCAGGCTCGTTGAGTACGAACCCCAATCGCATCCTCATCAAGCTAGGAAGGAAAGCATCACTAACCTCGCTCCAGGCGACGACACGATGAGCGTCGGCCCCATTGAGATCACCGACTCCTTCTCCGTTTCCATCCCACCCGAGCTCTCCTCGCTGCTGGCGACTGACTCCGGCATCATGTCCATCCCCGCCGGCGAGACGCCTCTGTCTACGGGTGACCTGTCCAACACGACCCGAGCGAGCCACACCTCGACGCCTTCTAGCTCGACAACCCCATCAGCCTCGACATCGCAATCCCCGACCAGTGCAGCTGCCCTGGGTCAAACGGCAGGTCGTAGTGGCTCTCTCCTGGTCGCGACCGTATCTGGGCTGTCTCTGGCCGTCGGCTTCGCTTGGCTGTTGCTGTAAACAGTTCCTGAGTTTGTCGGCTTGCGATATCATTTTTTTTTCCTTGTGAGAATGCGAATACCACTAAGCGTTGATCATGTTTATACAAGTACACAGACGAAAAATAATAACAAACCTCTTCGATGACGCGGCTTGAAGCTTGATGAAACAAAGTCTCCAGGGTCTCTGCCGCACTGCATCATCAAATGCGGGGGTGGAGATCTGACTGCGCCACAGCCCCTTTCCCAATCAATCACTAGCGCCGCGTCATCGTAGCCTAGCCACACTGTCCACGTCTGGACCCTGATTTCACTTTTGTGTGACCATGATGCTACCACACTATCTACACACGTTCTCCGCCAACAAGCAGGTTTTGGCCCTTCCACGATGCGGCTACCACTGTGATTCACACAGAAATTCCTTTCTAACCATCTCTTAAGCCACAGTGACGAAGGCGACGGCATCCTTCAGACCCCTGACGTAGGCCGCGTAAATAATTGATCGTCAACCGGGACAACATCATCCTTCCAGGAGAGCATTGGATATTCATAGGGCTTCGCGGCCTTCCCTTGAAGCAACAACATTGCCGTCCCTCTCTTTACTCGCAGTACTACCACCATGAGGCCCCCCAATGCCGACATCCCGACTCCCGTAGCTTTCCCCTTTCCACCTCCGGACCCCGACCATGGCACTGCCAACTCGCCGACCACGCCGCGGCGTCGCTCTCGCACCTCGACCGTGGCATCCAATGCCTCGAGTCGGATACGGAGCGCCAGTATAAAGTTCATGGAGGCCTCGCCGCCTCCGGGCATGTGGGCTGCCACTGGGACCACAATCGCTAGGGCACCTACGTTGTCTGATATTCGGAGAGGATCATCTGGCACCCCTGGGAGGCATGATGGAACACAGGAAGAGACAGCAGAGGAGGTCGGCAGCGGACTGGCAAGCACTGAGCCTTACCCCCCTGTTACCCAACCCAAACAAGACTCTTCTCAAGTCATCCGAGAAACCAGCAAGGAGCATGACGCGCTCATTGGATCTGGCAGGAAGGAAAGCGAGGAAGTGGATACCGTAAATGGGCTGGTACCGAAACTATCGAAGACCCGTCAGGTATGTCAACACTAGACTGTGAACAAAGCCTATTCTGACGTTCTCAGTATTCCAATGGCTATGTACCTCCCCCAAAGGTTCCCTGGACACGAGCTACGGCGATAGGGCTCAAGGCGTTCTGGAAGTGGTTCATTACCCCTGCCGGCTTTCTCATTACCATCTACGGTCTCAACATAGTGGCATGGGGAGGCATGCTCTTTCTGCTCCTCTGCAATGCTGCCCCGGCTATGTGCAAACCCACCTGCAACGACATCAATTCGCCGAGAAGGAAATGGATCGAGGTTGACTCTCAGATCCTCAACGCATTGTTCTGTGTCACTGGCTTCGGTCTCGCCCCGTGGAGATTTCGGGATCTGTACTGGTGGGCCTGGTGGAGGCTAGGTGGAGTGAAGCGCAGAGAGACGGGTATCCGACGGCTGGCTGGCATTCACCGCGGGTGGTACCGTCTCCAACGCTCAGATACCCTCCCCCCGGATGCCTCCGCGAAGACTGTCAGTCCCGAAGATCCGGCTGTTCCTATACCGATTGAGAAGATACCCGATCCGCCTCCCACCGGCGTCCATGCGCCGCCGACGAAACCGTGGAAGATGGATTTCGTCGTCTGGATGAACGTCTGGAACACGTTGTTCCAGATCGTCCTCTGCTTCTACATGTGGCACTACAACCGCTACGACCGTCCCTCGTGGGCAACCGGATTGTTCGTCGCCTTGGGGTGCATCGTCGCTGGCCTCGGAGGCATCATGATGTTTCACGAGGGGAAGCACGTGAAGCGGGTAGAGGGGGTCCCTATCCCCAAGGGCTACGAGAATTACGACGTCGAGCTTGAAGCAGCCGCCCAGCGGGATGTGAAGCCCTAACCTTCCATTATTTTCAGTCACTTTTGTATCCCTCAGTGTTGCTGTTGATTGGGGTCGGCAGGACCGGTCTGTCTGGCGTCTTGGACTTGGAGATACCCGTCCGCGTGAAGGACTACCTACGCACATGCTTGTAATACACATCTTTAGGTTTTGTTGTGACATACTTTAAGGCTTGTCTGGTGAAGAGTCTTCTTGTACGAGAGGGTCTGGGCATGCTCGACGGGCGAGTGCGGTTCATACCAGTGAAAAGGGAGGGGTTCTGTGTTTTCATAGAACACTGCCGCTTGTGTTCCTACGTATTCATACCGCCAGAGATGAGACAAATGGGCTGGAAATGGGGAAAAAGCGAGAGTCGCTATGACCATGTCCCTCTTCTTGACTTCCATGCCCCCATTTCCCACCGTCTTCCAAGAGAAACTGTTACAACTTCGCCTTCCCAGCCGCCTCGACGTCGTCCTCACCAAGGAAAATCAACCGATCCATCCTCGCCGTCTCGTCCGACCTCTCATAATCCCTCCACATGTCGCTTCCCGCCATTCTCACCCACCTCCTCGCCGCCTCGATCGCGACTTCATCTCCCGTAACCGCTGCGTCGCAGATCAGCAACACAGCCTGCGTAACGACGCCCAGAAGGCGCAGAATATCCCTCGCCCTATACAACAACTCGGCCTTCCCCGCTCCCATGGTCAACTCCCCCAATCTCCGCAATCTCGCCCTGACGAACCCCTCCTCTTCCCTCCACTGAGTCCCCACTCCAATAGCAGCAGCACCAAGCACGCCCTCGACCCACGGCACAAAAATGCTGCGCACGACATCTCCCTTTCCAACACGCCTATCCATCAACACCCTCACCACATCCTCGGCCATGACGCTCACCGTCCCCTCCCAAATCGGATTCACCATATTGTCCCTATACACCCTCGCCACATTCAAAACCCCGCCATCCTCATTGTTCTCGCAATACCCCACTCCCCCGAGACATTCCATGCATTCCCTCAATCCATGGACGCTGGAGACGCTACACTGGGCCTTCATGACGGGCGTAAGTAGGCGCAGCAGCGCCCCGACTGTTGCCTTCTCCCTGGGTATGAGCGACGCACCCGGCGTATCTCTAACCACCTTGTCCCAATCCTGCTCCGTCGCGCCCAGCAGCGCAACCCCCAGGAACGCAAAGTGCGCCGCGCCGTAATACCTTACCGTTTCGTCGGCCATCCACTGGCAGTGCTGGGGACTGTCTTTCAGCAAGGCTCCGCGCACTCTCCGTACACGACTATACGCTCGACAAATGGCGAGCCCGCGGGCCCAATTCGCAATGGAGCCCGCCGCCGTGGACAAGCGCGTGATGTTCAAGATGGCCGAGATTTCCTTGACGCCCTGGCCCTCGGTGCCAATGAGGTAGGCGGGCAAACCGCACAATTCGAGTTCGGCAGTCGGCACGGCGCGGGTCCCGAGTTTGGCCTTGAGGCGCTGGATGCGCACGCCATTCAGCTCCGTGACGAACTCACCCTCTCCCTCGCCCTCTCCTTGCCCGCCGTCGTCGTCGATAGACGCCATCCTCTCCCCAGTCCTACGTCTCATGGGTGCGTAAAAAGCGCTGAGGCCGCCCTTTGCCGTGCGCGCCAGCAGAATCGCCATCTCGGAATCCGTCGCGCTGCTGAACCACTTGAAGCCGTCGATGCGCCACGGCCCCAGCGGCATACCGGCCGCATCCTGCGTGCGTCCTGCCTTCTCCTCTTCCCGCAATTCCTGCGCCGATAACCGCCGCGCTACCGTCTCTGTGCCAGAGACGTCGCTCCCGCCCGTCCGCTCCGTCATCCACTGCCCGCTCGTCCAGGCAACGGCTGGATCGCGGCTCGTGAGTCGGCGATACGCTTCGCGAAACACGGCGGCGCGGCCGGGTTGATCGCCGTCGGCGTCATCCAGGTGCCGCGAGAGGAGGAACGCGGCGCCGTCCGTCATGGCCATGGGGCAGCCCGTCATGGTCGCCGTGGGCGTCCAGATGTGGCCGAGGGCGAACTCGTAGATGCGCCTGTTGAGCGTTTGGATGGAGGGGTCGTAGGCGACGGCTACGACGCCCTCTTTGAAGCCGAGCTGCTTGAGGAAGGTCCATCCGGCGGCGGTGACGAGCGGGTCGGTTTTGTTCTCGTTACCGAAGGTGGTGAGGGGTCGGAGGAAGGGGAGGTTCGTTTCTGCGTCGATTGAGTGTTTGAGGATGGAGGGGTGGAGGGAGAGCCGGGCTAGGCGGTGCAGGTGTTGGTGGACGGGGGTGGTGGCGGCGGCAGAGGTGGAGGGGAGGTAGAGGTTTAGGATGCGGTCGAGGATTTTGTCGTCGGAGGTGAAGAGGGGGTTGGTGTTGGTGGTGGTGGTGGTAGAGGAGGGAGCGGTGTATTGCGGTGGGAGGACGGGGAGGGTCTGGAAGAAGCCCGTGGTGGATGAGGAGGGGGTTAGGGGTTGAGATGCCATGGTGTATCAAGGAGAGACCTAGAGAGGGTTCAACAACGATGACTGAGTGAGGTTGAGTTCGGCTCTGGTACCTGAGTAACGGGTGGGTATAGATATATAAATATACAAGCACCATCCGCTACCCGGGCTGGTGCCCGCAGTGCTCCCGAAAGAGGTACGTCTTTCTTCCAATCATGGTGATTGTTCGGATTCTTCGGCTCAACTCCTCCTCTTTCACTTCACTGAGAGAGACAGAGGCTGAGCGCATGTGGTCTCTCCACTTTCCCAGGCTGAATGGTGGAGAAGATGCCTCGGTTATCCCCGCATTTCGCTAGTCCGGATCGGGGAAGTAGCTGGGAAATTGAAGGTGGGAATTGATACATACGTTGGAAATCGTGGTCTCGCCTTCTCGAGGAATGCTTTCTGGGTATGGAGAGGATGCATGTTCTATCATTTGAATCTTATTCAGGAAAATCTCCAACATCCTTGATTCGCGGAGAATAAATGCTACAGAGCGACGCAGACAGTTTCACCAAACTCGCAGCCAGTGAGTAAACCGAGTAACTACCTGCACACGTAGCTCTCTCCTGATACATACAAGGCAAGCACTGCATAACTCATAGACCATGCACCTTTAGACAAGGGGTTGGCGATTCTCGAAGAGGAAGAGGAGCGCAATACAGACGAAGATGAGATCTTATGTACACCACATCAGAACTTAACATCTACACATTCCCCACCCACAAAACCCCAACACCATCAATGAAAAACCCAACGCTAACCATCCAAATACCAACAAACAACCAAGTAACCAATCTCTCGCTGTGGCGTTAGAATAGACATATCCATCGTACCCTCCCAAAGACACAATCTCCACGTAATCAGTAAAAAAACGCTGGCTCATCACTCATCCATACAAATTCCCCATCCAACCACCCCCTTACCACCTCCATTCACCCTCCCCAAAACCTCTCCATTCCACGCACAAACCGCTACCGTCCATCCAACCCCTCCAATCCCTCCAACCCTTCCATCCCCTCAATCCCACTCTGCGCCCTCCCTCTCCCTCCTCCTCCTCCAACCCCTCCTCCCGCATTCCCTCCACCCCCAGCCCCAGCTCCTGCCCCCGTAGTACCCCCCAACCCCACATCCAACACATCCAGATCCACGCCCGCGCCCCCTCCAAGCCCAAAGTTAAACGCCTCGATCCCTGCCCCGACCCCCGTTGTCGCAAATGCGCCGTCATCGCCCAGAATAGGCGGCTCCATGTTGAAGGGCAGGAACCACGCGTTTCCGGCGTCGTACAGGTGGGTTCCCGGGGTGGCGGCGCCGAGGGTGAGGGGGTCGAGGTTCCAGAAGGAAGGGTGCGTGGGGTGGTGCGTGTGGTGGGATGGGTGGGAGGGATGCGGGGAGAGGTCCGGGAAGGGGGAGAGGACGTCGAGGTGGGCGGCGTGGGGATGGGGTTGGTGATGAGGGTGGTGCGGGTGGTTGTGGGCGAGGAGGGAGGTTGGAGACGTGGAAAGCAAGGAGAGCGAGGGATGGCGAGCATGTTGTTGTTGCTGCTGTTGCTGCGCGTGGGCATGTTGGAGTTCGGCGAGGAATTGCTGCTGGGTTGGTGTTTGCGAGAAGTAGGCTTGTTCGAAGGCGGCGGCGTCGAGGGCGTCTTGGGTGGCGATGTGGAGGGGTCCGTGGCCCATCTGTTGCTGCTGCTGCTGTTGCTGCAACTGCGCTGCATGCAGCTGTCTGGCTTGTGCTTGTTGCTGTGTGCTGGAAGAGGGGGCGTCCGACTTTGACACGGATTTGGATTTATTCTTCCTCGCCTGTTTGCGCTGCTGCTCTGCCTTCGAAGGCGGCGAGAGCGAGGCGAAGAATTCCTCTACGCTTTGGAGGTCGCTCTTTTGGCCAAGTACTGCATCTGTGCCAGGTTCAGTCGGGGTCCCCGCGGCATCCTCGTAGTCCGTCTTTGAGACGCCGTGCGGGTATCTGTCAAACCAGTCTCCGTACTGGAAGATATTCGCTTTATCTTTGTTGGCTCCCTTCTCGCCTGTGCCACTCGCAGCAAGAAGCGGACCACGGAGCTGCGCATCAGCATGCTGGCGATACAGCTCCTTGAGGTTCTCCGCGATGTAGTGGAACATGCCCCAGTACTTCTTTATTTTGCTGAGGTACTTGACGTTGTAGGCCAGATATTTCTTAGACTGCGCTTCCAGCTTCGGGTTCTTGGAGAAGACGCCGTGGACGTGGACGGTGGAGGAGAAGAAGGCAGAGTAGCCGGCGAAGGGAGCCACGACGTTGTAGTCCATGGCCTCGTTGATGAGGATGGAGATCTGGTTCGCGGCGTCGAGCGCTGTGCGTGCTGATTCGGTGAGGAAGTCTCTGGGGACGTCTTTGGGAGGTCGACTATCCGCTCTTGTTGGGAAGGCAAATCGATGCATGAATAGTATGATCTGCTGATACAATATGTGCAGGTATAGGAAATGGTTTGCCGTCTTGCCCACCGCATGACTCTTCAAATTCTGCGAGTTATACAGCAGCATTTCCGGAAGCGATTCCTTGAATTCGCGCAATTCTCTTTTTATCGCCAGGAAGGTTGACTTTGGCGACCACATGTGTTCCTTCTCCCTCTCTTTTCCACCCAGGTTCATGTACTTTACAGTCTTTCCCCATATACATATCAACCGGATCGTATATGCCGACACTCCCATGTTCTCTTTCGGATTCGAAGGCAGCCCGCTATCCGGTGGTACAGGGTTCGGCACGGAACCGTCCAGCGTCTCCGTCGGCGCTTGGATCTCCTTGATATACAGATTCTCCTTCACAGGAAGCTGCACCTCGATATACTGCTCATTGACAAACAGCGGGCGGTCCGTTCCAGACGAGTTAAACCGATCCATGAGAAAGCAGGACCACATTGTCCGCCTCCTTATCTCGCGATCCGTGACACTCAGTGGTTTGCGGTCGGCCTCGGGGGCTGCAGGGTCGTATTCCAGTTCCTTGTGCAGTTGCAGCGCGTACGCCATTCGTTGCGCCATGCCGCCGAACATCCAGCTGCGACCGCCCTGGCAGGTGCCGAATTCGTGGAGACCGAGGAGGAGGTAGACGATGAGGATGGTGATGTTGGGGGTGTCGTAGCGTTTGAGGGCGATCTGACGGGCGCGTTCGGCCCAGTTCTCTCCTCGTAGGAAGGCGGGTTCGGTGCGGAGTTGAGGGTGTGTGGAGAAGCGGGCTGAGATGGCGCAGATGGCTAGAATGAGAACTGGAGGCAGATCTCCCCTTGCCAGCTTCCTCATGAAGTTGGGTTTGTGCAATAGGGGATAGCTCTGCCCGTACACGAAGTCGAAGTACACCTCCGCGAGATGTTCCTGGATCTCTCTCGAGGGCAAGCTCTCCGCGCCCTCCGTCATCAAGCTCCTATCATCCGCATCCTTGGTGTGCAACGCCGCATTCGACGCAGTGGGATTCGCCGATTTGGACTTCGCCCAGTCATCCAGCTCATTCCCAAACGCATCGTCGGCGCCTCTCTTCTTCGTAAGCGGAGTCTTCGGAGGCGCGCTAGGCAGCGCAGGTTTGACGACCGATCTCCCGACCCCAGAGATGGAAGGCAAGCTCTCCTTTGGTATGATCTTGATCACACGGTCCTCCATGCGCTTCAACCTCTTGTCCAGCATGGCCATGTAGTCCGTCCTGGGCGCCGCCTTCCTCGTCGTGACCTTGTACACGCACGGAATCCGACTCCTCAAGCAGTGCTTACACGCCGGCTTCTCGCCCGAGCATCTGATCTTCTTCCTCCGACAAGCGATACACGCCAGCGGAAGCCTCTTCCTCTCCTTCCCCGCCTTCGTCTTCATCTCGGACCACGGCGGTGGATCCTGGGCGCCATCTTTATCTTTCCCCGAAGTTGTAGAGTCCTCATTGCCATTCCCGCTCCCCGTGTCGTCCAGCTTCATGCCCATTCCCGACGTATCGAGCGTGTCCCCAATCGCCAGCATTCCCAGCGCAGGCGCACTATCCGGACTTGGGTTATTCTCGTCGGCGCCATAGCTCGCGCTTCCGACACTCAGACGACTCGGATGCGCACTCTCGCCGCTCATATTCGCCTCGCTAGCATTGCCAATGCTATCCCTATGCCGTTGGGACTGGAAAGCCGTCTTCAGGGCTGGGCTGGCGCCCGGGACTGGTGCGGAGGAGGAATCGAAGGGAGCTGTATTGAAGGCTTGGTTGTGGGAGAAGGTCATGGCGGAGTAGTCGGCGAAGGAGGCGAGGATCTGCGAGGGCGACTGGGCTGCGGCGTGCAAGGAATTGCGGAGCTCGGGGAGGCCGTACTCGTTCAGGGTGAGGGGATCTTCGTGCTCGATGCTATGGGTATGGGGTGTCGCCATGGTTGGAGTCTGCTTGTACGGTTGGAGCATGTAGCTTCGTGGCCAAGAGATGGTCGCGAGCTAGGGCGCCCGGCGTACCGGTTGGTCGACCAACGACGCCGGGCGTCTGTGGTCAGTGGGAGAGCTCAGCGGGAGCAGTCGTAGAGGTAGTCAATGTCACATCGGGCTCTGGAGACAGGTGTTGAGGGAGTTAAGGTCGGAGTGTACTCGGCGGGGGTCCCACGTCCCCAGTCAGCATGGCGGGGCCACCATGCGAACGCGGTGAAGGGCTGGCGTGCGTCGAGGATGCGGGAGACGGGCAGCGGATCCCCGGCGAGGTCTTTGGCGTCAAAGCGCACGAGAGGAGGTTGAAGAGAGAGGGCGTGGTGTGGGCTGGCTTGAGTCGTAAAGAGTGATGATGCCGCGGCGCGGGTCCACGCGGAGCCTGCAAGGTCACTTCACAGACGTCGCACAGAGACGTTCAACACCACGATCGAGATACGAAATGCGCCGAAGAAGAATCCAAGCAAGCGCCTCTCCGCGACCTCGGCCGCCTAAACTGCTTCGGGGCCCTGGGGCTTCTGTGGACACTGGAGAGGGCGAATTCAAGGCATTGCATTACTCAGATGCAACCCCGGCTTCTCCCCCAGATTGACTGGATTCTTCTCCACAAAGCTTGACATTACTGACGCCCGAAGCAACACGTCCCTAAGCGCCCTCCACGCCCTCCACGAGTACTCTTCAGAGTCAAATGTCTGCACGCGCCCATGTGCGCATCACCCAGCACCAAGATCTGCGCCTGGAGCTTCCCCGGGCGGCGACGCAGCAGAGTATAAGGCAGGGTAAAAGGACAGGAAGATTTAAAGCTCGCAGGCCAATAAGAATCCCGCGGAGAGTGGAGCGCGTGTTTGTGGATATAGGGCATTCATATTCTTCATATGGGGATTACTCCTTTCTTCCAATTCACCAGACAACAATATCCAATGTCGCTTCTCATGTCCTCTATCTGGAAAACCCCCCCGCCCCAAAGAGGAGAGGCGCAATTTATCACTGGGAAACGTTTCAGGCGTGAAGGAATTCGGAGAAGGGCACGCGCCATGATGCAGTGTTGGATGCGACTGAGCATGTCTATCTATATTGCGTGGCTGCTGGGCCCGGCCACTGTCGTATAAAGGCGACCCTGCAGGCAGGCGAACGAGGCACAGCAGCTGGACCGGTGCAAGAATGCGGGCGTGGGACCCCGTTCGTCCGCTGTATGCAGGCACTGCTTCGAGAAATCCGAGTGTCTCAGGTGGAGAGAATAGGGTCCCACGCGACCCGTACGAGGATTTGTGTTCTGCGTGCTATGGCATGAAGAAGAGTGAGGACGACGAGACCAAAGTGTTGAAGAATGTCAAGGCGGCTATTTGCAACACAGGGTTTGCAGAGATAGACTATATGATATATAAGATGGGATTGACCGCTAGTTGTTAGAGCGACCGTCTAAACTCACACCGGGTGAAGATGGGCCACAAGCGACCCGTCATCCATGTCTTCTTCGGAGTTTCTGCATGGAATACGACTGCTCATGCACGTCTTCAGCTGGACATGCGCCATCGCACCCACATGACCTCCGAATCCGAACCCCGAGGTTAGAGATTCGGACAACCTCGGAAAGGTCACGTGATTAAGACATTCACCACGTCCACGTGATACCCTTCGTAGGTACGCTCATAACATAGACGTGACAGCCCATTACCCTTCAGTCTTTCCGTCAAGAAGACCAAGAAGCCTCCCAGGCGGATGAGAACAGTTTCTCAACCGAAACAGTGCTAGCATAGGGATGTTTCACTCCTCAATATGCTCCGCTGATCATCCCGCATTCTCGTATGCTGCTCACTCCTACACGGCCGACAGTGAGCGGAACTCGTTCAGCTGTGCGCAGTTTGAGTCACTTTTCGCGCCGTTCTTGAATTTATACACACTGTACTCATCTCAATAGGGAAATCAGGTAGCTCGCATCGTTTTCATTCTCTTTTAATTTCTGGGCATGGGTAGACGGTTTAGTTCCAGTTGGGCCAACGTCTGCAGTCTGCACTGTACGTAGGGTAAGGCTGGATCGAACGATACATCAGCCGAGTTATGGCCCTAAAGATCAGTGTTGCATTGCAATAGACAAGACAGCTATGGAACCCTGATTTTGCTAAGGTCCCCTGTCGTCTTCACAGGAGTTGGGGAGGGAGACGACAAAACACTTGGATATGGCAAAGAGTGAGAAACGGTACTCAGTTCTCCGTTAGTTTTCTTTTGCTTATTATCATTGCTACGTACCCTAGTGTAGTGGTGTCAATCGCCATTACACAGTAGGCTTAATTTTATTAGGTCCCTTTAAACGGGAATCAACGCCCGTGGGGGCATCTATCTGCATACTGCAGACTAACTACACTAGAATTTCTCTCCCATGGATACGCTCTTCATTCTTTGAAGCGTCCGCCGCATTCGCCAGTACCGCATGGTTGAAGTCTTTAACTATTAGCCTACTACAGGCACTAATCTAAATGTAGGCGACCTACTTCCTTCTTTTCCCACGTATACTTATTCCTTCAGTTTTCGAACGTGCTCCGCTAGTCTGGCCAGCTTACTCCTCGTACTGGCTACGCCGCTACCATCCGGACGCTTGCTCGTCTTCTGACCCTTTGTTGATGTCGCAAAAAGCTCGCGTTAGCCCGCTAGCGACACGAGGAAAAAATAACATGAAGTTAGACTATGTGAGTAGCCGATGTAAGAAGGATGCATTTGCGCTCCATAAGCTTGGACGTAATGGAACCAAGAATCCGCAGGGTTTATAGGACGCAAGGGGGACATCATGGTTGAGCAATGGGAAATAGTTTTTCAAGAACTCTGTTAGAAGACAAGTTGCGTGACGGTGTCAGATTTGCCAAGTGTATCGGACGTGGTTATGTGGTCGGGAAGGAGAGCGGACGAGGGGGTGGAGGTGAGCACCTACGCAGCGGAGAGGCGGCGGAGAGGTTAGACGAGATGCTCGAAGGTCATAGTTCAAAAGAAGAATTGTTAGCAGAGGGTCTTTAAGTGCCTTTGAACGACCGTGTTGATGGTCGCGGAACGGTGGAGCTGCTTAGTCTGCTGTTCAGGGATGTCTTTGCATGTGTTTTTTTTTTTTGGTGCCACAGTGAGAGTCGGTTTGGATGGTTTTTGAGAAGTTTAGGTTGCAGTAAACTTAGCACGTCCGACTACCTTGTCATGGACCCGTTCTGCCCATCGTGAGTGCCTGTGTTGCGGCTGGAGCGATATGTAAGTGGACAGCAGTGAACGCAGAACTTCAGCGAAGTTCAATGTATAGGAACTCCGAGATAGGTATCAGACTTATGCTTGTTTTATAAATCATCTAGGTGTCTAGTACGATGTTGGTGCGTCCACCAAGCTGGCGTGGGACTCGCACTTGCCATGGTGTAGTCGTTAATGTGGTTATTGCAGCGAGCCTCCTCTGAGCGATATCCAGCGCTCACACTTCTCTGTCAAACATAGCGTCGAGGAACACCTTCATCAAGCACCTATAACACTCCTTGAGAGCATACGGCATACCCACATACCATCACAGTGGCCAGGTGCTACGTAAACAGTGCCTTTTTGCTTCTTCGTCTTGCCCCAAATGGCTCTTCAAACTTACCCAACTTCACTTTTACTTTGGCTGCCGTAGCGAGATCCTTATTTCTCAGTGACGTCAGCTACTCCGTCCTACGGCCCCCCAGTGTGGACTTGTCAGGCAGTCTCTCACTCCGGTGGCTCCCCCAGTTCTCCCTGGGTTTTCTATCGGGCAGTCCCTCCCTCCGGTATTTTGCTATTCGGCGTCCTGTTCACTGCCAAATCTTGGGATGCCGCGGTGCCCGGTAAGGTCCCGCTGGTCGGCCACACACTTCCACGATCTTTCACTGCCCACGACACAACCTTCTCAACCAACCAGAGCCCTTCTTTTGCTATACGGCCCCTTGTATCCTCCTGCCCTCTGGTTTAGTCATCCCTTGGTCCAAGCGCCCCGGGAGCAGGTATATAAAGCCCTCTCCCCTCCCCCCCTCCGAGCCTTTTTTCTCCCCATCCTCACCACAACCACTACAACCTTCCACACAGGTGCAAGGAGTGGTCAGAGCTTCTTTCTTCAGAAGTCTTTGGTCACTTTAAGCATTGATTCTTCTTCTTTGGTCTTCAACTTCGGCCTTGGCCTTTGGTCTTTCACTTCATTCACCATCACCCTCAAAAACATCGACCTCCACTTTTCTTTTTGACCGGCCTTCCACAATGACCTCCTCAAATCAAAGTCTTCACAACAATCTTCGACCACTGCCTCCCTGGCTCAGCGATTCAATGAGTCGTCATCCTTTGGGTTTGACTCTGGTGAACATCACTGACAATTCTGAAGCCTCACTTCACTTCGAAAAATTTTCCGCGGAGCCCTTCCTCCTTCGAATACCTTCGCCAAGTTTCGATCGTCCTCCATGACCACCTCCATCGCCGATTCGAGCCCGTTCGCTTTTCACACCTTTTCCGAAATCCTCCTCCGAAACCACATCCTCCGAAACCGCAACCGCAACCGCCGAAAAACCGCAATACCGACCGCATACACACACACACAATGGATACTCACATGAGCATCATGGTACTTGGGGGAAGGTTTTGTTGCTTAGCAACCGCCGCAATGTCGTCTGGCGAACGGGCGCTTATCATGCTCACTCCACTGTGACATGAGGAAGCTGCGAAAAGGACGGGTTGGAGGACGAGTCTTCGTACCCCATGTGGCGCCTCATATGAGGTCAGGTCAAGCATGGAACGACTACCTTTGGCTGCATGTCTGAGTGGGATGGAGAGGGATTCAGTTCCTGGCATCTCGGACGGAGGCTATCACTTCAATGGCAGTGTCTTCGGGACCAGCTAGTAGGTGATTGGTAGCGGACACTTTTTTTTCTGGGGGGTCAAGAGGTGGATGGTGCTCATGTGGGGGGAAGGATGGAAACGGGACAATGGGACATTGGGACTTGGGAACTTGGGAACTTGGGAATACTGAAGGGGTCGGCCATTGAGAGAACACATCCACATCCACATCCACATTCACATCAAAGTCAAAAACACATCACATCCAAAACATCAATCTACAACATCATCATCCTCATCACATCAAACAAAACATTTACAACATTTTTCATTCTCTCAATGGCCGGACACCCAGGATATGAGGCAAGGACATGGAGACAAGGACATTGGCGGAGGACATGGGAACTGGGAATGGAACATAGGAACTGGGAATGGAACATTGGACAAAGGATTGGGACATGGACATCAAAAACAAAAAGCAAAAACAGAGGAGGGACACCGGCATCATTGGAAAAAAAGAACTTGACATCAAAAACAAAAAAGAAAACAAATGTTGGATCTTGGCATCAAAAAAGAACATTGGAGCACGGAGGAAGAAAGGAAGGAAGAAGGAAGTACATCAACATCATGGACAGACATCAAAAAGAACTTAGGTAGCAATACATTCCTTGACATCATCATTCTCTTCTTTGGTTTTCTCTTGTGTAGTGTAATGTAAGATGTTCCTTGGTGATAGACTTGGGTGTTGGTGTTGATGTTGATGTTGATGTTGTAGGTCAGTAGCGATGTTGTGCTTGTGCATGCTCGCGTTGGATATAGTGAAACGATATCTTTGTCCTTTGCACCGTGCTTGCGATGTTGATAACAGCATAGTGAGGTGAGGTGATGTAGTAAACCAGCCTCTCCTTCATAGCAAGCCTGCTGCCTGCTGCAATGCTCTAATCGACAGCCACGTCGCACACAGCCTTCACTGCACCGCACACAGAACGTCTCGAGGAGCTGTACCGAATCCTAAATCCTTTTGCTGTGTCACCGTCTACGCCAACAACTGCAGAGTCCTTCCTTCTCTGTCCAATCCATCTGCGACGGGGAATCACACCGACACCGGTCGCCTATCAACCGCCGCCAGCTCCCTCACTTCCCGCCCAGATACCTCCGCCACATCCCATGCACCCACACGCGATTCACCTTCCCAAACACATCTGTCAAAAAGTCAGCATCGTCCTCGTTTCTCCGCTCAGCTCACCCCTTCCTCCCTCTCTGCCTACTCCTCCCAGCACCACCCTTCCTCTGACCCCCCTCTTCCCTTTCCTTCCCCCACCACCAAACCCGAAGGAAAAAAAAGTCGAAAAGAAGTAGTCAAGAAGGGGAATGCACTCACACATAGGCACACAAGTGCTAAACCCACACACCGTCACGATGCCAAAAACCCTACACATATGGCCCGGCCCCCGCTCGGCCGCAAACTCATTGATGAAGGTGCTGAACGCGTAGAAGAGGAAATTCTTAATCATCATCTGCAGGATGAAGATTTGAGTCGAAAAAGGGCGGAAAGCGTCGCTAGATACGGTATCAGCCGACTTCGCACGTGAGAAGAAGCAGGAATGGGGCCCGAATGAAAGAAGGGTCCAAGAACACACACAGAGAGAGAGGGAGGGAGGGAGGGAGGGAAACGCAGCAAGACTCACAGAATATACAGCCCCCCACTCGTACTCGCAACACTCGTCCCCAACCCCACAGCCCCATAACAAAAACTCGCCACCTTCACCACCGTCCCCGGCGCCAATCCTCCCTTGCCCCCCTCATCCACCGCCCACCCGAACAAAAACCACCCCAATGCAAACACGCACACGGCGACGACGCAGACGGGGATGCGGAACTCGGGCTCGTAGATGCCGCGGTTGCGGCGCGCGAGCGTGCGGGCGGAGAAGTCGCAGAGGGGACCAGCGGCGACGCCGAGCAGGCCGCCGATCAGGGCGCCCGTGAAGAAGTAGCCGTTTTGCGAGACGGTGAGGCGGTAGGGGGGTGGGGTGAAGGTCTGGGCGAGCGTGTAGGCGGTGCCGACGAAGAAGGACTTGAGGGGGGAGGTTAGTTGTTAGGTCATCGAGTGTTGAGGTTGAGAGGGGGTTGAGATTGGGAGGGAAGTGAAGAGCTTAGAGATCTGTGGGGATTGAGGGATGGGGAGAATGAATGGGAGGACTTAGACGTACCACCAGCACGGCAGAAACCAGCTGAATCCAAATGACCGCCGGATTGAGCAGATGAACAAAGATCTCCGCCAGCAACTTGCCCACACCCTCCCCATTATACGACCCACTCGTAACCCTCAAATCCTGCACGAAACTACGCTTCTTCTGAACGGCCGTCTTGGGCGTCGTCGGAGTATTCGAACTGCTTCCCACAGCACTCTCCGACATAAAACCACCCGTCTCTTTCTCCCCTCCCACCTGCGCCTCCGCAATCTCAACCATACCCCTCCCCTCCTCCTCCCTCTTAAACTGACTCTCCGGCATAAACAGCACCGCCCCGAGCGTCCCAAACCCTTGAATGGGCGCCAACATGACAAACAGATTCCTCGCGCCGAGCGTCTCGAACCCGACTCCCGCGATGATGGCCACAAAGGAACTCAGACACGCCAGCGTCAGCACGAGAAGCGCCGTCCGCAGGCCCCGCTCATGCAGGAAAAACATGTCGCCTATGGCGGCGACGGAGAGGGATTCAAAGGCCGTGGTGCCGAGGCCTTGGACCATGCGGCCGGCGAGCAGGATGGTGTAGGCTTTGGAAAGAGAGTGGTGGTGGGAAAAAGAGGAGATGCAGATGCAGGTCCCCAGCAGGCCGGAGAAGGCGGCGAAGAGGAATTGTGGGCGTTTGCCGAATTTCTGGGCCAGGACGGATACGAGTGGACTATGCTCATGGTTAATATCTGGAGTCTAGGAGACTTCGAAGAGGAGAAATGGGAGGGTAGAAGAGAGGGAATGTACGCACCCCATGGCTCCGACGATGAGGAGCTGGTACCCCGACAGTTGAGCAATTTTCTTAACGGGCACATCGAGTTCTTGTGCCAGCGCGACGGTCGCCGGTGCGATCATTGGGCCCGGGCATGCGGCGAAGATGATGCAGTTGAAAAAGAGGAAGGCGAAGGAGGCTTCTTTTTTCCAGCGCGGCCATAGCTAGGAAGGCGAATTGTAAACTCACTACAGGTCTATACAAACTCCCACACGAAGGTAACTCACCAAAGGATCATTCGGATCGTCTGAAGGCTGGGGGACGAGAATGATGTCGTTGTTCTAGTGCTCCTGTTAGTCGATATAGCGTCCGAGCCCGGTGGATCTGATCTGCGGACCTTTCCTGCGTGTTTCAAGCCAGCATGGCCGCCAGCGCTGTGCTCATCTTCGACGAGCAGTTCTGTCCCCGGCGGCGGCGTTGACGTGGACTTTGGCTCGAGAATCCCCAATGCCATTGCACGCAGCGAGGTGCAACAGAGGCACCGTCACGTCAGCGACGCGCTCTTAAAAATCAATAATTTCATCACAAGGTTCACGGCCTCAGCGCACGTACCCCAGAGTACTCCAGCACGGCCTTCATCTAACGCAGTTTAAAGGAACGATAACGAACGCCTTCCCCGCATTGGGAATCAATCTCACCACGCGCTATCCCCGTATCCGCTCGTGCGCTCATGCAGGACATATGAGCGGGACTCGAATTGAGCGTGCAATGGCAGCAGTGCAGGGGCCCGGCCATGTGAAATCTGCCGGCACCCAGGGGATTGGCTAGCCTCATAGGGCGCATAATTGCCGAACCCCTTCGAGATGCGCAAACGAAGACCATTTCGAACAGAGATGGAACATGGAAAGATGGGCGAGTCAGGGGGTGTGCAGGTTGCAGGCTTGTTGAGCTGGAAGCGCCTGAAGATATTGGCGAGGCGGTTGAGGCGGGACATCAGTTCATTTGTAGATCCAATTGAGCAATTGGGAAACTTCGCATGCATTTCGTTTCATTGCCCAGATTCTCCCTTCTTTGTGGCTTTTGGTGGCACGACGGGGAAGCGGCTAGGAAGCGCCAATGCGTTGCGGACATAATTTACATATTGGATAGGAAATTGGGGTATACTTGCGAGGGGTCGAGGATTATAGAATCATCCAGGTTCGTGAATTGCAGCATCTCGGAATTCAGTTCAAAGGCGCCCATGTCGTCGAATGCAAGGTCCAGGCTTTGCTGCGTCTGTAACGGTGTCATGAAGTTACTGCGATATTTAGTAACTCTCTTCCCAATGTCAATCGATGGAGCGGTAGACTTACGGGTCCAGATTACCCCAGAGTTCTGCGAGTAACTGATCGTCTAGTATGTTCGAGGAAGTGTCGCTGGTGATTCCCAGATCTCTCAATCGCATCGGTGTTTCTTGCATGTGTTAACAAAACCCATGAATGAAGCGGATTGCATTTCGACTGCCTACCTTCTGCGACCATCTTGCAGAAACCGACTTGATGCATACCATTGACTAACCGCAGCGTTTCGTCGATGTTAGTACGATAGTGCTGCATCTTCGTGTGGCCAAACGCCAGGATGAAAATCATGACAATCCTCAAGATGCAGGTGCTATCAAACGCCGTCATGCTGGAGAGCGCATTCGCGGCTGCCAACTGCTGGAGGACGGCAAGACTCTTCTGCGCTGCATCAATGCACGTCTTCCCCATTCTCTCGAACCAGATCTTCTTGTTCGAGTCGAGCGCAGTGTGCTTGAGCACTAACGAGAGCAAGAATGGGCGGCTGAGGAGAATCACGCAGCCCCAGTAATGGAGGTGAAGAGCGGCGACGGCGCGTTTATGGGTCGGTGGTACGGGTACGTCGGGCTTGAGATGTTCGGGCATCGTTTGAAGCCATTTTTGTAGAGCCAGGAGCAAACTCGAAATCGTGGAAAATGAGATTGTACGGGGGTTGGCGGTGCGTTCGGGATAGACCGCCTGAATGATTTCTCTCTTGAGGCGACAGAGTGACACCCATGTAGAGAGCCATGATAATGGAGTATGCATCCCCGGATACAGGATCTGCAGAGGTTAGCAGCGGTGAGCCCATGATTTGGAGAACACAAACCTGCTCTGAAGGTAGAGCTGTATCGACCTTGAGGATTCGCTCATCAACCACCGGCGGAATCCCGCCTCTTGCAGCCACCTCCTGCTCAAGCGTGAACAATGTCCACCACAGTCTCCGGTACTGTTCTCGCTCCAGCGTTCCGCACGTGTCAGGTACCTGATCTCGATGTAGGCCTAGCGAATATGCCATCTGTATACTGGCACCCATGTAGAGATACGATGCCACTCTCGAGCACAACATCTCCAGTGCTATGCTCTACGTTCGGTTAGCTAGTTATGCGTCTGACGATATTCTACCGCTTACCAGAATGGCCAAGGCACGAATGCTATCGATGTCAGCTTCATCATAGACCGCCGGAATCAACCTCTTGGCCATGGATATGTAATCCGTAGTGTCCTTGTCGTCATACGGCGCCGACGGATTGACAACGGATTGACTGGCACGTCCGTCATTCCCCGACGCACCAAGGGCAAATATAGCATATAATGAACATAGCCATGAACTGCTCATCTCGGGTCCCTGCTCCGAATAGGTCCGGTCCACTCGGTTCAGGAATGCTTCAATGGAGTAGAACCAATGGGTGCAATGCACTTCCTCGAGGAAACGGGAGATGTAGTAGTCACATATTTCCCGCGGCGGAAGATAGTACTGCTCAGCTGGTGAAGAGCCATCCTGTGAGGGTGAGGGAGTCAAGAGTGCAGGTGGATACGACCCGACCTTGGGTGGCGGTATCAGCGTGGATCCCTTTGGTCTTTCTTTCCCTATGGCGCACACTGCGGCGTTGAAGGGTATCTCTGAGTGGGCACCAATATAGCCTGTATTGTGAGCACTGGCTTCAGCCCATGTGAAGGGAGTCACCTACGGAACCTTCCCTGAGAGTCTCTCATCAGACAGCCAAGGGGTTCGTGCAATTCGCTCACGGACTCGACCACGGGCTCCGGCTCCTCAGGGCTGAGTTCTTCCCCATTGGTGCCTTGACTCTGAGCTGGGGAAACACCAGGCGGCAGCGAAGTAGCCGGGGTGAGCGTCCCATCAGCAGCTTCCTTTGCAAGGGCTCGAAGAGTATGCAAGTTCAACTCTCGGTCCGGGAAGAAATATTCCAGGATACGCATAGAGCATTGGTATTCTTCCTCAGTTACATGGTAGTAGGGTCGTTTGCGACGGGGAGTAGCTATGCGGCACACAGCCCCGGTTCGAGCACAATATCGACATGGACCCGGTACTTGGAGGCGTTAGATGAGAGATATTTCACCACATCAACCTTCTCAGCCGCAACAGGAGATGTCCAATGCCTACCTGGATCAATGCACTGGAACGTGGAGGTTAGTGTCTTGGCACATAGTCGGAGCAACCCGATGTCGATTTAGGGGGTTGCGGACCTACCTTTGTTTTTCTGCTTCGGCATCTATCACAGCTGCTATGGACCCTGTGAGGAGCAGGTATTCGGTTCGAGGGAGCTGATTGGGGTCCCGATGGGCCATACGCCGCCGGCCTGTCGGCCATCATTCATTCCCAGGTCCTGTACCGCCGGGGCTGTGTGCTGATTGGTGTCATACGACCAGGCCGTGAAGATATCAGACGTCCTGACAACCGTTTGAGATTGTGGAGAGAACGGAGCAGCAACGGGAGTCGGCGCGGGGGATCTTTTGGGGATGTGGGGCAAATTATTAACCTTTGACGGCAAGGGACGGGGAAGAAACACGCTACGATGTTGAGATTTCTTGGCGAACCGCCCCCATCGTCTTCAGCCTAATGCATGAGTGAGGAATGACACGGCGGATAAAGCGTACTTCTATACAGTACATGATGTGGATAAGCGCGCGAGTATTGCTAAAAGTTGCCTGCAGTACCATAGTATGACGGAAACTCAATATTCAGGCGTCGACCATGCTGTTATCATGAAAGCTTGATAATGACAGACTTCGTCTCCAGGAAGTTGTTCAGGCTGTAGAACGGTTCTCCCTCGCGACCGCTCCCAGAAGACTTGTAACCTCCAAACGGCATGTCCTTCCCAGTGGTAGGGCTTGTGCAGTTGACGCCCACAGTGCCGGCTTCGAGCCCTTTGGCGAACCGCAGGGCGCGATCAATATCCTTTGTGTAGACCGACGCATAGAGGCCGTACTCGGTGTCGTTTGCCTTCTGCAGCACTTCCTCCTCGGTCTTGAATATATTGATGTTCACCACCGGGCCGAACACTTCTTCCTTCATGATGGTCGCGTCCTCGGGAGTGTTCGCGAAGATGGTTGGCTGAATATAGTACCCCTCGCGGTCCGAAGGAGCGCCGCCGCCCAATAAAAGGTCACCTGACTGCTTTCCCATTTCCAGATACTTCAGAACCGTCTTGTGTTGAATCTCATCAGCCTGGGGCCCATGGCCGGTGCCCTTCTCCATCGGATTCCCCATCGCCACATCCTTCCATTGCTCTTTGAACAGCTCGATATACTTCTCGGCAATGGTATCCTGGACATAGATGCGACTGTTGGCCATGCACACCTGTCCGCTGTTCCACTGGATACTGTACGCCGTCTCCTTGACCGCTCGCTGAAGGTCCGCGTCTTCGAAAATCACAGCCGGCGACTTGCCGCCCAACTCCAAGTACACCTGTTTCAAATTGGACTTGGCAGAAGCGGCCTGAATCAGACGCCCCGTCCTTCCAGAGCCAGTGAAAGACAATGCGCGAACGTCCATATGATGGCTGAGAACGGATCCCGACACATTTCCAAATCCTGTGATGATGTTGATGACTCCCGGTGGGAAACCAGCTTTCTGCACCAGAGTGGCGATCTTGCATGACTAAACAAACGTCAACCATACGTCGGATAGCAATAACCTTCGAGGAAAGCTTACAGTAAGGGGTGCCTTCTCGCTACTCTTCAGTACAACTGTGTTGCCGACGATAAGAGCAGGCGCAAGCTTGTTCGCGAGGAACAGGAGAGGCACATTCCAGGGGATGATGGCCGCCACGACACCATAGGGTTGTCGCAGAGTCATGTTGATGAACCCGGGAGTCTGAACGCTGGTTGCACCTTGCACGTTATACCCAGCCTCTGAGAAGTACTCCCATTTGGAAGCGCAGGCATAGGCATCGAAAAAGGCGCCAACCGGCTTTCCCATGGATGCAGCCTCAAGCGCAGCCAGTTCATCGTTGCTCTCCCGGATCAATGCCGCAAGCTTCCTGAAGTAGGGAGCACGTTCATCAGGTGACAAGGCAGACCATGCTGGAAAGGCTGCTTTGGCCGCTGCTACAGCTCGATTGGTGTCGTCTTCGGATGCTTCGTGCACTGCATGCTTGATGAGTATTGGAGATAAATCATCCGGGTTCAGGGTTCCAAGCTCATACCTTTCGCTACCAGCTCCAAAGTCGCGGGGTTGTGTATATCAAATGTTTTCCCGTTTGAGGACTCCACAAACTGAACTTCCATTAGCGATGTGGAACGCAAACTAACTGCGAAATGCCACCTACCTCCCCATTGATGAACAGACGCGTTTCGATATGCTCAGGAAGACCCATTGTGACAAGATGGCAGTGAAGGAGCACAGGTTCCTGACGGATATGCCATCATTAGACAATAAGAGAAAACTGGAGCTCTACTAGTCTACCCCACAAAGCTCGGTAAGCCGCCTTGTGGCGGGGAAACATAATCGGCGAAACTCCCCCGCGACGCTTTGGGATCGGCACAATGAGGCCGCAGCGGCCTGACTCCTTCAAACACGTTGCCGTCCAATGGACAAGCGTTCCATGCGGAGATGCCTCGGGTTTCGACCTCGTACACATAGTTCCGTGGTTGTGGGCGTGAACTGCTGCAGGGCCGTGGATCTCTGTTCCAGGAGTGGTGATCGCACCTTAAAAGGGAGACAACTTCCAGCAGCAACTCTTCATCTTGAGAACAGCCGAATCACATACAAAATGGCCAACGAAATCGAGGAACTGAAGAAAGTGGTTGCTTCGCTGCAAAAGGAGGTATCGCGACTGAGCGGTACGAATAGACTACTTAGTCATCAGAGCTTGGCGCTAACTTTATTCAGACCAGGAGGAAGTCCGCAAACTGCAGTACAAGTACGGCTACTATCTTGACAAATGCCTGTACAAAGAGGTTCGCAGACCGGAATGCCTCCACTGCCCCTTGGACTGCCCTGCTGATCGATTCCTAGGTCGCTGAGCTGTATTCGGATCACCCCGATACCTGCGTAGAGTTCCTCGGGGGACGATACAATGGCAAAGAGGGCGTCAAGCGCCTCTACATAGGCCGTTTCGCCAAAAGCTTCGTAGCCGGCCGCAATGGGCCGGTACACGGCTTCCTGCTCGACCACCCCCAGATCCAGGGCATAGTCGACGTCAATCCCGAAGGCACCCGAGCCAAAGGACGATTCCGCAGCATGATGTCCGCCGGGACACACGAGAGTGTAAAGGATACCCATCCTCGCGGCCTCGTACAATGGTGGGAAGGAGGCATCTACGAGAACGAGTACATCAAGGAGGATGGCGTATGGAAGATATTTCGCCTGAAATACTTCCCCTTCTGGCACGCTGCATTCGACAAGGGCTGGTCTTACACCAAGCCGAATTACGTTCCATTCCTCTCGACCACGTATCCCAATGATCCGCAAGGGCCGGACGAGCTCTGCGAGCACCCAATGCTGTGGCCTGACACTCGTGTTGTGCCTTTCCACTACGAGCATCCGGTCACAGGCAATCCAGTTGCTGACGATGATTTGCGGGCGCCACATTACGGGCAGGATCCCAGCACTGGTGCACCGCCGCTTGTTCTCAGCAAACCAAAGTCGGAGGCGTAGTTAGAGTCTTGAGATCGTATTGTACGAATATATGCTCACGAACTTTCCATTTCTGTTGCCACGCATGCTGATCTGAACCTATCTTTTCATATGCTCGTGTATCTAGGTCTCTTGATCGCGTGGGGTTTTCATGATATATGATAAACACAGACATCTTGTTTGCCTTAGCATTGCCTTCTACCTCTCTTTTGCTGGCTACCCTAGATAGCTGTTTACAAGCTAACTCAGGCGTACCAGGCAGAAGACAATGTTTGATTATTTGCAGTTAGAGGAAATAGGTTTAGATATGCTGCCGGTATGAGCTCATCAGCAGAAGCAGAAGCACACTTCTAACATGCCGCGCCATTTGGACGACGATCAGCCCCTAGACGCTACCTCGACAACGTTCCTTCCTACCCCACGGAAAGACCGCAAAGACAGATGAGTAAGATGTTCACTTGAGGTGTGAGGACGCGTTCAAGGTCCTCGCAGGTCTTCAACTTTGACTGGAGCTACCCTATGAGTCCACCGGCAGGGAATTTAGGTGTCGGGGTCAGCTCAACCCCTACTGTCTGTATCTTAACTCCATCGGCAGACTAGTCTGACCATTCGACCCACCCTAGCGTACCTAGGACCCACCCGACAAAGTCCATGCGACCGTATACGATGAATTCGCCGTGGCTATGTGCTACTAACATTAAATCATCTTCCAGGTCTGTCTCAACCTTCCGATGCCTTTCACACTGACAATCTTCAGTGTAGAGTAAGTAGCTCCGGGAGTATGCACAAGAAATTCCAATTCTATTGCTACGCATGCTGACCTAAGTACACCTCATTTGCTTATCATCACAGCTCCAACGGAAGCTTGAACAACCGAATCGCATTTCCTCTTGCGACGGCCTCCTTCTGATCCTCCGGAAGATCGACGGATCGCCACCAAGATTGGCCTTCCTCTACTGTCTCGTACGGCGTATCTACAAGCTAGGTGTCAGCTGGCGCCCTTGAGCTCGGATTTCTGAACACTGACCGATTGCATACAAACACCGATCCAGACCAATCTCCGCGATGCAAAATTTCAATCCGCGCGTGTTGTAATTGCCGGAAGTCGTAATGGAAACGTTGTGCTTGAAATAGTACGTGTAATCATGCTTCATCGGCCGCGATCCACGCTTGAAAGGATGGTTGATCCAGTGACTTGCTCTCCAGAGATTAAAAGGAATACTGGTTTAATCAGTTACGGCTCATACCATGTCAATGGTCGCTTACCCTTCTCCCAGGTGGCCGGCGACGATCTGCACCCGAGGATATCTGTCTAGCATGCCCGAAGAGATGATGGCGTAGAGATGCCAACTAAGGTCGAGATGGAATTGGACGCCGGCGCCCAGGAGATGCTTTCTTTGGACGGTTAGAGCAGATTCGTACATTTTCCCAAGACTGTCGTCTCATGCTTACCTATCTCCATACTTGGTTCCCGGCTGAAGGTCCTGCTGAATTGCGTACCGTGGATGGAAGTATATCGGAACGTCCAGCTCTTGAACCGTCTCCCAGAACGGATCATAATCCCTTGTATCAAAGTACACCTTCTCCTCGCCATTCACGCCCTTCGACTGGAAATCATTGACAAGCCCTCCAAACATGCCGAGTTCCTTAACCGCTCTCCTCAATTCATCTGCAGCATCCTGCGCATTATGCATCGACAGCGCGGCAAGGGCTCCAAACCTGCGCGGATTCTTCTTCACTTCGCCTGCAAGATAGTCATTTGCAATCTGCGCCATCTTCTTGGCCTTCTCCGAATCTGGTTCCCCTTGTGCTCCTGGCGAGGTCAACGACAACAACATATACTCCACTCCATGCTCATCCATGGCCTTGAGACGATCGCCATGGATATCCAGCAAGCGCTGCTCGTGAGCTGACAGTCCTGACGTTTGATCGCTCCCTGGGCGCATCAGCGATTGGAACTGCGCAAACGTATGCGCTTCGACGCCTGCCGGGTCAATGATGGCTTCTTCGACTGCTATTGTTCCCTTCATGGCGATGGATTTCAAAGTGAAAATTGATTAAGGAACGGAAAGTTGAGATGCGACAAGTTGTGTCGTTGTATCAACAACTTACCCTGGGTAGGTTCGTGCCTACTGACTCGATGGCATGCGCGGAGACAACTCCTCCTCCACCATCGAGTGGAGCAGTCCTCACAGTGAAGTCACATGAAAGTACTCCGCACGGCATATTGAAATGCCCATAGCTACCAGAGCTACCACGGTACTATCGGCCATACAAAAGCGCAGGTACGCGCCTATAGCTGCCATCGGAGCGATGACACCGAGAACCTACTTACTGCCCTTCATCGCTTCCTTCACCCCGGTGTATATGGAGAACCCGGTAGGTAGACTGCACTTAACATGCTCACGCCCCACGTACGGCCCGTCCCCACATTTTCCCCAAGGGGAAATAATCTAACCCATGCCTCGGTCTGCAGATCATACCACGCTATAGACTACAGCGACTTCGCCCAATATAACTCCGAAGGTAATTACATGCATTCTAGAATGCAGTGACCATCACTACGAACCTTTGCCGCCAAGAATCAGCATCATGGCCCATCTCTTCTCTCTGGCAACACCGCCAGCGCCCGCCTACGTCGACGGCAAGCGCTCGGGCGACCAAGTCAAATTCCCCGACACGGGATTCTTCCAAGGCTTCAACAAGCCTTCCAGACTGGAAGCCGACATCTTCGAGCTTGAAACCACGGGTGAAATCCCAAAAGACATCAATGGGACCCTTTATCGTATCCAACCCGATCACCGCTTCCCGCCTCTCTTCGAGGAAGACATTCACTTCAATGGCGATGGCTCCGTGTCAGCATTCCGATTTGAGAATGGTCATGTAGACTTTAAACAGCGCTATGTGCATACCGACCGCTTCAGGGCGGAGACGAAAGAGCGCAGGGCATTGCTGGGGAAATATCGGAATCCGTATACCGATAATGAAATGGTCAAAGGGATTATTCGTACAGCATCAAACACCAATATCATCTTCTGGAGAGGAGTATTGCTGGCGACGAAGGAAGATGGTCCGCCCTTCGCTATGGACCCCGTTTCTCTTGAAACTATTGGGAGGTATGACTTCGACGGACAAGTACAACATCCCACATTCACTGCACATCCCAAGTTCGACCCCGATACAGGGGAGATGATCTGCTGGGGCTACGAAGCCGGTGGAGATGGCCACGATGCAAGCTGCGATATCGTTGTCTTCACCATCGACAAGGACGGCAAGAAAACGGAAGAGTGCTGGTACAAGGCGCCCTTCTGCGGCATGATCCACGACGCCGCCATCACCAAGAACTACGTTGTCCTACCACTGACACCCATCAAATCAAACGCCGAGAGATTAAAAAAAGGCGGTAATCACTTCGCCTGGGATCCCAACGAGGACCAGTGGTACGGCATCGTGCCACGCCGAAACGGCAAACCAGAAGACATCGTCTGGCTGCGTGCGGATAACGGTAAACGCCCTCCTCTCCATTTTCCCCTCTCTCCCCAATTCCCCACTCCACTAATAATCACCAACTAACCAACCAAACAGGCTTCCACGGCCACATCGCCGGCTCCTACGAAACGCCCGACGGCAAAATCGTCGTCGACCTCACCATCGCCACGGACAACGTCTTCTTCTTCTTCCCCCCCGACACGCCGACCCCCACACCCACGACCCTCCTCCAACGCAACAAACTAATCTCCGACACATACCGCTGGATCTTCGACCCCAACAGCCTCACGGGAACCCGCGTCACGCCGCACAAGCTCTTCGGCCTCAACGGCGAATTCTCCCGCATCGACGACCGCTACCTGACGAAGCCCTACACGCACTTCTGGCAGTGCCAGATCGACCCCAGCAAACCGTACGATTTCGCAAAGTGCGGTCCCCCCGCGGGCGGCCTGTTCAATGTGATTGGGCACTTTGAGTGGGAGACGGGGAGAAAGGATACGTGGTGGGCGGGTCCGACGTGCACGTTTCAGGAACCCGTGTTTGTGCCGAAGAAGGGGAGTAGGAGAGAGGGGGAGGGGTATTTGATTGCGCTGCTGAATCATCTGGATGTGTTGAGGAATGATATTCTGATTTTTGATGCGTTGCATGTGGCCAAGGGTCCTGTGGCTGCGGTGCATTTGCCGGTTAAGTTGAGGTTGGGGTTGCATGGGAATTTTGTGGAGCAGAGGGAGATTGAGGAGTGGGCGGAGAGGAGGAAGGAAGGGGGTGAGGTGGGTCCTGCTAAGGCCACGAGGGAGTTGTTGGCGTGGCAGAGGAGGATGGTGGAGAGGGGGGAGGTCAGCGAGGAGCAGGTTAGGAGGTTGAATGGGGACGAGGACTGGAAACGGTAAATGATGCTGATGGTGTAGGCATCGATCCTGAGTAGTTTTCTATGGAAACAAAGGGCCGGGCTACGAGAATCGAAGGTTATCACTGGGAACAAGCGGACTCTTGATGTCATTCAATTGCATTGTGAAGAGCTTCTAACATGCTGGGTTATATCAGTTATCCCCTATATCTCTCCCTGATGTAACCCATGGTCGCCACCTCGGCTTAAGAGATTCCCAAAATATGGCTGGAAATACATGCCGTGTGTCATCACCAGTGCAGAAAGTCAATGCCAACAGGCATGGCTCCCTTTTCCATGCCTGCTCAAGAAATTTGAGTATCGTATATCACGAGGTCCAATCACCTCGTGCCCGAGGGATGGCTCACATTGTGAAGTTCGTGAGGGACTGTTGGTAAAATTAGATGATGGTAACGGTAGTAAGCGACAGACTGAGAATACTCATCCTATACCACTGTATAGTACCACCCAAGCGTTGACAGGCCTCGCCCATCGCCAGAAATCAGCTTCCCAGGCTCAGCCATCTGCATCGCGTAACGGAAGATCCAGGGCTAAGCATCCATCCAGAGGAGAACCTCATGGAGGAAACCGAGCTGTTCGTCGACGCGGCCGGTGGCACCAAATTCAGTAATCCAGATGGGCTTCTGAAATTCATTCCAAGCGTCCTGGAGCTGTTTCTTGAAGTACTCCACGTTGCGAGAGGAGTCGTACCTAGAGACTGTCAGCTTCCTGGCTTCCATGGAGTATTGCAGGCCTCAAAGGCTGGAGGGTATCTTACCAGTGAATGACCACGTAGTCGAACTTGCATCCATCGCAGTGCTTCATGAATTCTCGAAGCCAAGGAAGGCCCATTGGACCACCGTCGGGAGCTTGGACACCGTTCGTGACAGCTGGAGTGCCGACATATAGGCGTGAACCATATTTGTCGACGAGAGGTTGGACCCATGTCTTGTGGGCATTCGCAGCCTGGACGTAGTCGCGCATGCAAGAACCCCCGTTACTAAGAGAGTCAGTATCTGAGATAAATGGATCTGTAAAATTGAAATTGTATACTCACCCGCACTGGTCAGGCTCGTTGAATGAGAGAACATGAATAGCGCCGGCAGGATTGACGCCCGCACATTTTTCGACGTTCTGAAACCAGGTGTTGGTATGGTCCGGGCGGTCAGAGTGCAGCATGGGAACGTACTCCCAGAAGGGAGTGCCAACAGGACCCTGACCAGGGCCCTCGGGCAGCTGCCACCAGTTGTAGATCCAAGCGACCTTATTGCCTTGGATGTTGAACATCTTCGGATATTGCGAGCCGTAGTAAGAAACACCGCGCTTGCGAGGTTCAGCCGCTGCAGTGACATCTGTGGCTCCTTGGTGAAGTTGGTCAGAGGGGAAGGGTTCTCAACGGAGGTGCCATCAATGGGGACTGCAAAGACCAGCCGGACGAAGGCGGTCATCGGAAGGAGGAGAAGTTTGAAGAGCATCGTGATTGCTTCAGGCGTGGAGATAAAACCAGACCTGGAAGCAGAGGAGAGAGGAATGTGGTTATATAAGGAGCGAAGATTCTCGTAAGGAGCGACTCAAGGAGAAGCAAAGGAGTGAGGTGAGGTTGAATAGAGAAGCAATGAAGGGTTGGGTGGGGAGAATGGGCGGTTTATATTCAACTCTTGGGAGGGAAGGTGCTTTGCGGTGTGGTTGCTTCACGGCTGGGAAGTGACAGGTGCCGGGGCCGCTGAGTGCGGTGAGCTTCAATCACTACCTCACCGCCCGCTTGTGGTTTGCTCTCAAGGACCGTGCTCTCATATGATCTTGTTTCTAGGCCAATCATCGTTGTGATTTTCTGGAGGTGCAAATGAGGTGTAACGAAGCACTTGAGAAGACATTCACAGCCATCAAAGTAGTCGAAGAGCTCGAGTCACATTCTCAAGCGTGCGCCTTGCAGTCAACCGCCGAACTTGGCCAATGAGATTGGATGGAGCTTTAAATTATGTTCTAATCGCGAATTAAAGTCATTTGGTTCGTTCTACACAGCATTCTCGTTCAGTGCAACTCGATTGGGTTCTGAAAAAGACTAACTGAAGTTACTTCGGTGCCAAACTTCCCTTCAATGGTCAGCAGACCAAGGGTAATGATGTTGATCTATAAGATGACATTGGTTGTTGCTCTGCTTAACTGTCACATCGGCGACATCGGAGAGGCTGGATCTGTTTGATCCATCGGTTGGTTCAAGGAGAACATCAATCCAAACACACAGAGCCCATTGCGTATGGGACATGCCTTTCTCTGTCCGATACCACTAATTTGCCATCCCAAGAACTCAGCTATATTCGCGCAGTTATGCAAGAGTGAAGAACCAACGTCTTCTTCTCACACAGTGTCCCAGGTATGAGCAGTTCCAATCTGCACAAAGCTCTGCATGTTCAACGTCACGAAACGGTACTGACAAGACGTACGGACGCGGCCTAGTGACTTGTCTCTCACAGCTTTCACAATGTAGCCCACAAGCACGGTCCATTATAGTGCGCTTTCACTGCATAGTACGTCTCCTGCACAGACCTGCGTTCGCCGCGTCAATATCTTGTCCGTGTTCAAAACCAAAGGACAACATTGTTCAACCTCAATGCAACTTTCGTTCAACCTGGAGGACACCTTGTGACAATCCTGGAAGGCAACTTCTGCTCGACCCGAAGGACAAGTCCGCTTAAGCCAAAAAGCCAATTCTGTTCAACCAAAACCTAAACAACAACCTTAAACTTCTGCTCAACCCAAAAGCCAACCTCTTCTCGGGTCTATCCGTTCGACGTAATGTATCGCTTCAACCCGGTCCCACTCCTTCCCGGCTCACTGTACGCCCGTGCCATCAAAACTGGCGAACTGGACCCCCCCGACATCATCATCGAGTATGATTCAGACGATGGACCGTGTCCACCATTTCGGTTTATGAAGTTGCCACAGGACGTTCAACTGCATGTGCTGGGCTACCTGGACATACAGGATCTCCATAACGTCCTCCTGACATCGAAGGAAGTACGCGGTGCTGTCGGTGCATCAGAGTCCCCGGAGCAGCTCTTGCGCACAGCCACAACCAAAGTCAAGGGCGCTCAGATCAGCAACCTCATGTTGGCTACTGTGCGTCTCCTCCTCCACATTGTGGCTGGTGATGGATCTCGAGGACCCGCTGCCGAGAGCATCTCGCGTTGCTTCGAGGAGAACTTGGACTCGGACATGCCGCCGCCCGTACTGGCCGCAGGTGACGAGCTGCTTTCAGCTACCACGATTCTCTGCAAGCTAAACTCTCAGTTGGCGAAGCTTCTGAAGACATACATCAAGGACAAAAAGCTAGGCGAACACTCCTGGCGCATCATGAAGAAGGTGCATCGCCAAACCCGGGCATTCTGGATGCTCGCGTTCCACGAGGCCCTCTACTTCCAGTACGCGCCTCACTTCGGCTACGACATCCAGGACCAGAGCGCCACCTTCTTCTACCGCCTGGCCAAGTTCGAGCTGATGGAGCTTGCGGACGTAGCAGACCACATGAGGACCACCACTCTCTTTACATCAATACTCCCAGAGGAAGTCATCGAAGCCAGTATGAGGATCAACAACATGAACTTCCCAGGGTTCCACTCCGCTCCTACTCTCCGTAGAAGCAAGAGTACTCGGCTTACAACTTCCGCCATGATGACGCACCATGAGTTCTTCCGCCATATTGCTTTCCGTGCGAGATGGGGTGATGTTGGCCATGATACCAAAGTGATCAAGAACTGGGATGATTTTCCGGAGTCGAACACAGAGTCTCCTCGTACCCCTCCTATGGACCAGGATGATCGCTACTGCTACACAAGGAGGGTTATACACCACTGGGTTTAGGTAGCGGTCGGACGGGGTTACGAGTCCCGCGGCTGGTTTGCGAGGGGAAGCATTTGCTGTCGCTCCGGGCAACTTCTTCCTCATTTTAGAGGCAATTGGATGGCCCTGGGCTCTATGGACTGAGCACTTTTGCACAATGTGGGAGTTGCAACGAATGAGTGGGGTTTCGAGTGTCTATTATGCGGCTTGCTTTTTGCTTTTTGCGATGCATTTCCTAAGAAAATAACGGTTTTGCTCGCAGAATGATTACGAGATTATGAGAGGGAAGGGATCTTTTCCTTGTGAATCAGGGGAAAACGTGGTATTCTTTCCGTACAGTGTGATCCTTTACCAGTGTATGTATGCCTTAGAAACAAAAGCTCTAAACGACCATTTTCACCATCAATCATGACCATCCAATAAGCGCATAAAAATCATTCCAATAAACAGGTTTCTCTCTTCTTGAACAAGATGACGAATACCAGTTCAGTGAATGCGTGGCTAGCAACCTGATTTAATGTTACTAGCTTCGTTCTGTGCTCGATAGGTGTGGCAAAGAAAACTAATCGGTATGTGAGCTTCAGAACGGCAACTAGTACTGCGCATCTGTTGCAGAGGATTAGCTCGTAGATATCCTAACAAAATCTACAATCCTAAGAGGCAGCTCTTCACCAGTTGCTGGACAATACAATACAAAATGGTATTCATGCGCCTCTTGCTTGTCTTTTGCATGCTGGACAGAACAGGCAGGAACACTATACACAGTGGTTCTTGGAATGCATCTAATTATGAGTGAATTATACGAAGTCTAATCTATGACCAGATAAAAAGGAGCATCCCGTGAAGATGAGCCGTGAGGGATACCCCTACTCAAAGTCCAACGGTTTCGCGTCCCCGTCTAATTGCAAGGCTCGAGCCCTTCCTCGCCCACCTTGACAACAGCAATGCTATCCAGCGCCGCAACGAGCTGGTACCCGAAGAAGTTGTCGAAATACATCGAAACCTGGACAAGCGCGTTATCGTTCTGGATGACAACTTCGTTGGCCGGCAGGACAGTCTCCCAACCATCCTTGCCGCGCGTCTGGAAGCTCTGCGCCTGGTTGCAGAACGTGCCATCGACAAACATGACCACCTGAACGGCCTCTAAAAGCGCATCATCATCTCCCGGATAGTTGTAGGCGAGTTGGCATCTCACGCGGTCGCCGATTTTGAGGTTCGTTTGCTGTGTGAGAGTAACGATCGGAGAGGTGACCGTGAGGATGTTGAAAAAGTGGGTTCCGCTGTCAGGGCCGGCGAAGAAATTGTTAGCGGTACGAAGGTCAAAGGACGCCGAGCCAGAAACAACATTGATGCTCCAAGGTGCGATGGCGCCGGTGTCGAAACCTCCATTTTGGACGCCGTTGGGTGCACAGGTGGGTGCGGGGGGTTCTGATGAAGTCGAAGAAGCGCTTGCGGAAGTCGTGACGGGCGGCGGGGGAGGCTCTACGCAGACCTTGATATACGTGTGGACGAACGAAACAGATACCGCGTCGATCCTGCTATACAGGTCGCAAAGCTGGCCAACAGGGCTTGTAGCCGAGAACACGAAGCCAACGCAGTCAGCTTCCGCATCACAAGCAGCCGCACACCCCTCAATGCCCGGTACTCTGGATCCCAGCTGTTTAAGGAGTGTTTGTGCGCCGGCTGCTGGCGCCCTGCTGCACTGGATATAGTAAGAACTTCCCACTGAGCTTCTGCCGCATTGTCCTTGCGCACCGGGGCAGCTGCCGGTAAGAGGTCCCGCGAAGCTGGGACAATTCGGAACAGGCTGGCAAGCTGAAGACGGGGTGGGATCGGCGGAAGAAGTAGTGGTAGACTCGGTCGTGGAAGAGGCAGGAACTGACGTAGGTTCTTCCGAAGATGTTGTGGATGTGATCTCCGAAGACGGCTCAGAGGTGGTAGGTTCCGTGGATGTGGATGTAGAGGATTCCGAGGAAGTCGTCTCAGGGGATGATTCCGAGGTGCTCGTAGATGTCGAGGTTTGTTCTGCAGATGAAGTAGACGACGATGACGTTGGAATCTCTTCAGCAGACGAAGTGGTCGACGATGATGTCGGAGCTTCTTCAGCAGACGAAGTGTTCGACGTTGATGTCGGAGCTTCTTCAGCAGACGAAGTGGTCGACGATGATGTCGAAGTCTCTTGAGCAGACGAAGTGGTCGAAGACGAAGAGGAAGTCGAAGAGGAAGAGGAAGTCGAAGACGAAGAGGAAGTCGAGGAAGAAGAGGAAGTCGAGGAAGAAGAGGAAGTCGACGTCACGGAGCTGGAATGCTGACCGTTGCACTTGCCGAACTGAGACTGGCAGCCATCTCCGCAGTACGCGTAGCTTGACCCACAGTAGTTCTGCCACGAAGTCAGCAAAAGCCCATCTCTGAGCACGAGCATATTCCACGTACGTATTGCGAACAGCAGTCGCCAAAGATGCTACCAGTGCAGATGATGCCCTGGCTTCCACCGCACTTTCCGTTGGTGCTTACGTCACCCACAGGCTGCTCAACGCACGAACCGAAGGCCTTTTGGCAGCCGCCTTTGCAATAAGCCTCCGAGCTTCCGCAATAGCCATATTGGGAACAGCAAGAGCCGAACTTGGAGCCCAGACAAGTCACGCCTTTGCCGCAGGTGCCATCGGTAGAAACCTTAAGGCCAGAGGGAGGTGTAGGAATGGACGTCTTTGTGGTTGAACATGGCGGTGTAGGGGCGGATACGACAGGGTGGCCGTTTTTGCAGGTTCCGAATTTGGATTGGCAGCCGGTACCGCAGTACGCAAGGGTACTTCCACTGAACCTTCATGTCAGTTGTGTTCTTGTTGTCCTTATCCTAGACGTGTAGATTTTACCAGTAGCCGTATTGCGAGCAGCAGTTTCCAAACTCTTGTTCAAGACGTCAGTCGACGCGAGCTATATCGCACGAATTTGGAACACCAACGAGACTTCAGACATGTCTGGCCGGTCCTACCACCGCACTTTGCATCTCTTGAAACCTTCAGTCCGAGGACTCCGGTGGCCGCAGGTAGGAGCAGACACAAATGATTGACCTTCATATTTCGGAGACGAAGGGATCACGACACAAGCAGAAAATGAAAGAAAATGTGAGTGGAAACGCAGGGCAGAGCTGCAAGTCGAGCTGCAGAGGAACTCCAAGAGCTGGCTCTCGAGAACGAGGACATCGTTCCACTTATCAACAGTTTGAAGGAACTAGATCTGACTAGATTCAGCGGAACTGCGGAAGCGATGTCCACCATCTCTTGTTCTGTGCTAGGGAGGAGGACGAGAAGGGGCTCAAAAAGTTTTGATGAACGCCACAAATACACGGTAGAGCTGCCCACCGCCGTAGTTGTGGTGTCATGGCTTGCTGAGAATCCAGACTTCCGGATGGAAGCAGTTTACCGTGGAGAACTATCGTATGTACACAGGGGTAGTCTAGCAGTCAGTACTCTCCTTTCGGACGGCGCTAACTGAGGCCGAGGCCTCTAGACTCAGACGAACTGAATCGGCGGCACGCTATGCCAAATCGGGAATCAGAGACGATCCCTAAGGAAGCATAAAGCTTTCTGACTGTATGTACTGGTATAGTTAAAAATCGCTTCCTCGGACGCTCCGAGGATCTGGTCTTCTATTAGTGGCAGCGGCCCACGTTCCAGCCACGTGTGAGCCACGTGGGACTATAGCTACCCTAGGGTAAGTACAGTACCATTCCCTAATAAATGCCGTGAATCGATATGTTGATGGTTTCCCTTTGTGCTGGTTGCCACACGTTCGCCGTTTTGCTCAGTTACATATGGGAGTAGAGACCGCTCGCCACTCCTCCCGTACTCGTTTTTAGTCGGGCGTGTCTTCTACGTGTGCGGAAGATGCAAACTTACTCCCTCAAGGTCGACCGCGTCTCCTGGACTCCTTCCATTTATCGAGGAGAAAGGCTCAAGGTCTCGGGTGAGTTTTTTAGTTGCCTGACAATCTACTGTTATCAGGACTGCTACTAGGTCTGATGGGGTGGTTAGCTGGGAGGGGGCTTCGCACATTTTCAACTCAAAGTCCAGTGCCTCCATGTGTTGACAATACGCAGTGATGGCCACCTAGCAACCTGATAAACACAAGCTCCAGTTTCTCGCGAAGGATATCGATGTACCTACCCACACTGGGACGAATTTTTGAGAACGGCGGCGAGAAGCTACTACTTTCGTCGAATTTGTGTTTAAAACCCTACCATTTTGGTCATGTTTAGTGGGTAGGTGTTTACGCAAAATGGAACTGTGTCAAGCCGCATGTCGAGATAATGCTGAACGCGCCTGGACCGGGAGCCTCATGCGATAAATTCCTTAACGATTCTCCGGTTGCGGGGCTACATGTTCATTCATAGAACACCCCGCATGGACGACATAGAGTAATCTACTAGGCTAATAAGCGGGCCGTTTCGCGACTACCCTAGGTTAGCTGCGAGAAGGTGCCATCAACAGCAACTCTTCTTTCCCGCTGTGGACGAACTAGCAGTCACGATTAGGCGGTTCTAATCCACCTGAGCAGCCTGGAATCCTTCATGAACTTACATTGTTACTCAGAGCAAGTCAGTTCGCTCGACAATCGGCTTCGAGTCTTCATTCATTTACAACAGACATAACAGACGAAATGATAGGTAGAACGAACGCCGCGAAGGGAGACCGACGGGCGCGGTCTGATAACGGGACCGAAAAGCAGCTGGTTGTGGCGCAGCTAATGCTGGCTGATAAACCTGTCCGTCTGCTGAAGAAGGGAATGGTGGATTGATTTCTGGTTGGGCCCTTCCATCACATCGAAGTGCGCTCGGCTGGAAATCATGTAAAGGCTCCTTCTCCGGAGTTGCAAAACGAGGAGACGCAAAAAGGGAGGAATATTGGTCGCCGCCCATGTGAGGAGAGTTCGACGAAGATAAAGGATGGCCCGCGGGCGAAGTGGATTGGGAAGGATAAAAGGACGTTGACGGAATTCGTGCCGGAGCAATTGGATGACTCGATTCGGAGCAGTAGTGGTACAAGCTGTATACATCTGCTTGAACTGCACTTGCCCTTCTGCCTAATGAGCGTTCTGCTTGTTCGTGGCTGCTACTCCGGGCCTACACACTCGTCTCGCTCTTCAACTTGGACAGCTTGCATTCTATTACCTGTTACATACTGTGTCTGATTAAGAGGTTGGATTTACGAAACTAACCATTTTGTAGTGGCACATGTTTCGCCCGAAATTCATCGGAATACTTCTCGCTTAGGGGTCTTTAGTAGAATTAATCTGTGAGTAATTACAGAGCCCTTCCTTCCCAAGGTTATTTGGTCGTTATATTCGTCTCACTGTTGAACGATCCTCCATCATCCAGCTCGATATCACTACCTGCCCGCACCCACCCATTGTTCTTGTTCTGAACCCCATGTGCAATGCTAACCCGAGTGCTGACCCTAATCCTGCTCTGAATTCCACTTTTGTTGAGGTAACCATCTGTTCCGGTATTGCTTCGACTCTTGGACTGCTGGGTCGATGGAAGACGGAGAACACCACCAAGGAGGGGCTTGAGTGTGGGTGCGCACGCGGCTATGATACCGACGTTTACCTGGATGAAACCCCAGAACTGTATATCGTTCGTACTGCGACAATGTTAGTGATTGTTTATATGGATGCGAGTGTAGCATAGAAGACGCACAATGACTGGTCGGGATCACCCCTCTTTATGTTTTGCATCACTGCCTTGACGATGCCTATTGCTACCGCCCTGCGCTGCAGTCAGCTTTCGTGCGTAGTCAATGGATCTTTGTTGATCGATGACAGTGGGTGCTTACACGTAGCCCAAGCTTAGAACGAAGATGAGGTAAATGCGGGTTTTCTTTTTCATTTGCAAACCCAATATTATAGGCACAGGAATAGATGCAAAACTTATATCGGTAAAGATGTTGCAGGCTGTAGATTGTCCAGTCAGTCGCCGAAGACTCCATAAGAGCGCATTACAGAAGAAAAGACATATTTACTTGTATTCATTAGCGCAAAACCTTTATGAACCTTTGCAGGCAAGCATTTTGCCTTGAGGGCTTTGTTCCAGAAGCCGGATACAGGCTTGCAGACGGCGGCCCATTCACCATACGAGACTAGTGTGTAGAGGCAAACGAAGGCTGAAGAACGTTTAGTATCGGAATTTTGAGAGGTATTTCTCTCGGCATCGCAGCGTAGAGGCTTACCAATAAGTGCCCAGAGCATTCTCTTGTACAAAGGGGGAGGACGAAGGCGAAGGAGGCAGAACGCCACGGATAGCTTGAGGAAGGCCATGCCGCCAATCGTAGAGACGATGGCTTGTATAAAGGTCATCTTCAGGTACTCGTAGTAATCTTTCTCCTCGATGGTGTCGGTGTGGTGACCCAAGCCGTGCTGGGCGGCTAATATGTAGGTCACCATGCCACCGAGAAAAACACAGGTCTAGCTAGGCATGATCAGGCAATGTCTCAAGAGTGGGACGAGGTAAGATTTGGCGTGGTTTCTCACCGTCGCCGCCAGCATAAGGGCATCATCTGTGCCAAACGCTTTCACGATGATGACGCGGGCGTACATGCGCATTCCAACGAAGGCCAAGGCAAGGAGATGGAGGGTTGCGGTGACGCCGAGGATGTAGCCCAAATTACTCTCTGCGGCGCGCACCGGGTCGGTGTTCTTAGGCGCCATGACGGCGGGACGATGAAGATTCGGTAGAAGCGACGACGTGGAGCGGGGAATTAAAGTACATAGGTGCCATTTGTATTCAAATGTTACCTCGAAATGAGGGATGCATTGAGTTATTTTGAAGTGGAGCTTCGCACCGAACAGGCCCTTATGTGGCATGCCCCTTCCAACCCTCGCCCCTACCCGTCCCACGAACCACCTCGCTCCCCTCGGTATACATACCCTATAATCTCGTTCAAAGGGCGCTTAAGCTAGGCCTAAAGAGGCAGTAACTGGGCCAATAGGAAGGCTCAATCTCGTCAACCGTAGAAGCCTTGCAGATTGTAACCCGCGCAGCAACAACAGAAAACTCTTTTTTCTAAGGCGGTAGTACGGTCCTTAAGGGACAAAAAAGGATTCTGTTTCTACGGGCAAAATCTCCTTATTCTGCGCTTCTTAACAGTTCTAGATTGTCTAGGGTTTCCTATCCAAATTCACGGAGAACTCTCGTACTGCCTCTTTAGGCCTAGCTTGAGCGCAATGAACGAGATTATACGGTAGTGATTGGCACTCTGGAATAAGATGAAGTTTATTTACTCGGTTCGTACTGGGTTATCGGAGCGAGCGGCTCGGGCAACGGGCCGGCGGGTGGCTGAAGATTTGGTTTGGGACTGGGGGCCCATGTTGCGGTGCAGCGAGAGCAACCTTGAATTCAGCTTCTGCGTCAGACTGCCCTTTCCTCTGGGTGCTAAATTCAGCCCTCCAAGCGCGAACGGAGAAGCGACCTTCCGGTCCTTGTACGGTGCTCCGCGGTGAAGGATGCGCTAGCGATCCTACACAGCAAGGGACCATGGCTTCAAGGAGCAGCGGTGAACCACCCTTTAAGCGAGAAACTCATTCCTACACCCTCTAAGACACCCACTTCAAGGCCTAATAACACTTCAGCGGAACATCATACAAAGAGCATGCGCGGCATAATTTATTTCTCGATAGCCAAGAGGTGACTGCGGGCAAAAAGATTTGATATATCCTGGAGGTACTGTGTAGGTTTGCGGCGCAGTTGCAGCTGGGAGCGCTGGGGGAGCACGGCACGACCGGGTAATCGTAAACTTAAAATTTTCAAGTAAACGAGGTTTCAACGAATAAGAAAGGTTCAAACTGAAGGAGGATTCAGGGTGTAAGCACTTGTTGTTACCATGTTGTACTCTAAACCGCGTTCATTGAGTTCAACCGCCTAGACCCTGTTGTATTCGCCCCCAACTTGCATCCTCCAACCTCGACCCTTGCAGATTGGACTTCCGCATGGAAGCAGAGACCATGCAGGAATCCCAGAGCCTTGAACAAGTCTCCAGCGGCAGCATCAGTCGGCAGCGAATAAACTTCTTCATGAATCGTGAAGATGATGCCGATGCGAATGTCTGAGAGGATATAACCGTCAACCTGGGCCCCAATCCTGCCTCCCCAGTCTGCCAACCCTTGCCTGTAGCGGAGTCCTTCACGTCGCGATGCGTCTGTTTCATGCTGTATCCGCCGTGCAGCTGTTGGCTGGATGCCTTGTGACGGCAGTTCCCTTGGACTCGTCCTCGACTCCGGATATCGATATAGACCCAGCTGCCAACCCAATCGACGCTCTCGCCGTTCTGCAGCAGCACGTCTACGCGACGCTTGAACAGAGCGATGCTGTCGAAAAGAGGTCTCCGAAAGCTCCAAAAGGTTGCTCCTTGGCCAACGCAAGTATACGGCAAGACTGGTAAGTCCGCCACACTCATGAGGCTGTACTTACTGACTTCTCCGAAGGGAGCACTTGAGCAAGGCAGACCGAAAGGCTTACATCAAAGCTGTACAGTGTCTTCGAACGTTGCCGTCCAAGTCCGACAAGTCATGGGCCCCGGCAGCGAGGACTCGTTACGATGACTTTGTAGCCATCCACGTGAACCTGACCCAGAGTATACATGGCAACGGTCTCTTCCTCACCTGGCATCGCTATTTTGTGTGGGCGTACGAGCAAGCCCTTCGACAAGAATGCGGCTACAAGGGCTACCAACCCGTGAGTCTCAAATCCTTTTGCTGGCCCTTTTCAGCATTTGACCTTTATAGTACTGGAACTGGTTCTCACATACGGATGATATCCATAAGTCACCTGTCTTTGACGGTAGTGACACCAGCATGGGTGGCGATGGTGAATTCTTTGCACACAATGGGAGTCTCGGAGGCGCCAAGTTGATAGCCATCCCCTCTGGAAACGGGGGAGGATGTATCAAGAGCGGCCCTTTCAAAAAGTGAGTCTGTCGCATACCTGGACACTCCAATGCACTAACAAAATTCCAGTACACAAGCGAACATTGGTCCAATGTCTCCTGGCATGCAGGGCTTCGATCACCTGGCAGTCGACATTACCGATTACAACCCGCGATGCGTTCGCCGGGACCTCAGTTCCTACATAACAAAGAAGTGGTTCACTACGGCGAACCTCCTGAACGTGACCGTTGGCGCGGCTTCTAAGACCCACCGCCTCTTCTGGACTGAAGTTCAGGGCCGATATCCAGATGGCTTCCTTGGCCTGCACACCTCGGGCCATTACACTATGGGGGGCGACGCGACCGATCTCTATTCGTCTGTCAATGATCCCGCTTTTTGGCTCCATCACGCTATGCTTGACCGCATCTACTGGATCTGGCAGACGCTTCATCCACTCGAGGCGAATAAGATCGCCGGTACCTTGACGTTGCAGAATAAGCCTCCGTCGCGTGACGCTACTATCGACGACCTGTTGGATTTGGGGGTTAATGCTAAGACGATGAAGATTCGCGATATGCTTAATACCTTGGGTGGTACCCCTCTGTGCTACATCTACTTGTGAGCAGGTCGAGAGGATTGCCTTTACAGCATGTTACCACCATCCGAGGGAAACTTGGGAGGGAAAATAGGGTGCCGTAATCCTGGTGTAACCGGCTTACAGGCGGGGGCCTCGAACAAGCTGCGAATGGGGGAAGGCCACCAGAGTTGTGCGCATGGTTGCCCGTTCACAACCATTGCATCTCGTCGCCAAGTTTCAGGTATGTGGCAACATGGTGTACTCTGTAATTATTAATTATTCAGCATCAACACTTCAAAGGTTGCATATACTTCATCACAGTAAATCTTGTCGCGAAAAGCTCATTGTGCGTCTTTTTCGCTCGCAGGCTGCTGTGCGCTATTTTTCATGTGAATCTTCCGTAGCATTTTTTCTCCTAGATATTTAGTTTTAGTGTAGATTGATTGTGTTAAGACAATATCTATTATGCTGTAACGTAGTTTATAAGCGAGCGGTTTATATTGCCACCTTTTGGTTTCAGCTTTCAACACGTCAAACCCTGCCGCCCAGCCCAACATGTTCGTGCCTCCTTCCTTCTTTATAGCCTGCTCGTGGTATAATTTCACTTCTAGCGTTGATACCGTTCCGATATACATCTATGCGACAGTAGTGTTCTGCTTTCAACTGCAGCAAGCAGCATTTGTCGAAGCGCTCCCACAACACACTCATCTCTGGCAGCGCTTCTTCGTTCTGTCAAACTAGAGTCACAAGGCGGTTGCAATCCAGCCACGAATCCTTCATGACGGGGAACATAGCTCGTTACTCCCAGCAACTCACCTCGCTCGACATATTGTGCTCCACGCTTTATTCATCTCGAACAGACATATCAGAAGGAGGGGTGAGAGTTCATAGAATCGGCCCTTTTATTCCAAGACCCTCTCAGTCTAACAGGGCACCAGCATTTTATCGAGATCCCTAATTCGGACGGAAATCTTCTATAGCTAGATTCCTTAAACAGTTCGACAGCCAGATCCTGTCGCACTGATTCGGATCCCAGTCATCTCCACAGCCGCCATAATAACCCTGCACAATGACGGGACGCCGCGGCCAACCCGCCGCAACGCTCGCCGTACCAAAGCCTCCATCCGGAAGCCGCCGCTGGCCATTTGGCATCTCCCACAGCGCCATGAGCATTTACCTGTTCGGATGCATGTCCTTCTGTTTCGGAGTCCTTACCCTACTGCGTCCCGAACAAGCAGCGGCGCGACTTGAGCTCCCCAGCGAGGCAATCCCAGCCATTCAAGCATGCAGCCTGGCCGCTATAGCCATTGGGGTGTTCTACACCCTCGCGGCTTATCAGGAGAATCGTGCGTTCTTTAGGTGCAGTCTTCTCACCAGAAGCCTGACGACTTGGGTCTTGTGGAACGCGAGCAAGGAGTGGGGCAGTGCTTGGAAGGAGGTAGCTCTGTGGGAGGGGACAGCGGCAGCAGTCACTGCGGTAGCATTGGTTTGGGATTGGTGGTTGAAATAGGAGAGCACGGGGATGGAGGCGAAGCTTAAGGGAGGAAGGCTAATGTCCTAGAATGGAGGAGGGAGGACTAGATGCCAAAGTTGCGCATTGATTGATACTCTATTGATATAATCTCTCTTTCTTCACCCCATCAGCGTCAATTTTCATTGCCATCCATATCCATCGCTTCGTCCTCACCATCCGCATCCCCACCCCCGCCACTCCTATCTTTTTCCCAATACCCCTTCTCACGCCCGTCTTTAAGCAACGACACCCACCTCGGCCTCCCGCTAAACTCGGTCTCAACCTCCACCCTATCAGCCCACCATTCCTCCGTTCCCCGCCCCTTCCCATGGCTCTCCGTCTCACTCGTTGGCGTCCATATGATCCGATCAACCGCATCTAGCACCCACCTCACAACCTCGTCCCGCATCACACTCCCCACAACTCGCCGGTGACTCTACGGCAGTCCAGAGCACCACTCCACGCCTCCCCATCCCAGAGACCCCACAGCCCCCTTCTACGCCTTCCAAGCGGACGTTCGCATCCAGTTTTACGCAGTCGCCCTGCTTGAGGACCCTGAGATCTACTTTCCAGGCATCGATTTCAACGATGATGTGAGGGACCCCAATGCGGTTGTGGGTTATGGGTTCGGAGATGGCGGATACTATGGTGCTGGGGGATGAGGGGGATGAGGGGCATGAGGGGGATGAAGGGGATGAGGATGATGAGGATGCAGAGTCTGAGGGGGCTTCCTCCTCGGTTTCAGGGCTGTCACTGTCGTTATCTTCGTCTTCTTGTTCTTGATGGCTTCTGGCATCGCTTTCGTCCGAGTTGTCGAGAGAGACGCTGTTGCTGTGTTCCTCATTCTGAGCAGTGACGCTATCATCGTGTTCTTCACTCGGGGCAGTTACGCTGGACTCCCGGGTAACGGTTGTGCTGGATCGCGCTCTTGGTTTCCTGAGGTTATAGCGGTGCATGTCCTACGTCTGGTAATTGTTGCGATGTATAAATGAGTTGATCTAGGATGCCGTGCTTCACAGATTGCTGACTGTTCTTCTGGGGTCTGTTGAGACTCCTTTTATAGACAACATTTGGATGAAGCTATGTATGTAAGTTACTGTTGCCTTAATAAACAGCAAGCACCAAACAATGAAAGAGTCAATGAAAATCGACGTGGAAGTTGCTGTAACTTGCTTGCTGCAATATCTAGTGAAAAGAATGGAGATTCCGACAGAAGTCATCGAAACAGATGTCAGTGTTGGAAGGAATGCGAATCGTGAAGAGAGTGACGGAGAGTAGGAAGAGAGCTACGGGAGTAGTTTCCCTCCCCTTCCTATCCTGAAGGTGCTTTATGTTCTACATGTATCTCACAGTCACTAGAATGTTGACAGCCTTCTAGGCGTGAGTTTGCAAAGTTCAATGGCGGAGACGTTTTGAGCGGAGTGGTGCGCAGCCACTTAGCGGAAACCGCGCCACTTTTCCGGCGTGGCTGGGGAATCACGTGGACCGGCTACCAGCGGAGTTCTTCTCCCACCAACGCCACACCGTCATTCAGAACTTCCAAGGTTCCAATGGGTTCCCAGTTTCCCATGGGAGACTCATTGAATGATCTCTCCGCTTTCTCCTCCAACAGTTTACAGCGGCTCCAAAGCGGATGGTGGCGGCAGCGGCTCGGCTTGGGTGGCGCGGCACTGGAGAAAGCCGTCGGCTCTGACCCCCTGCCTTCAGCGTTTTTCCTCCGCTGACTCCCTTCTTTATCCCTCCTCACTGACCATCACTGCTAACTAGATGGCAATTGGTAACCATGGCACCACCAGCACCAGGTCCACCATCTGAGGCCTCCCAGCCGACGTCAGCGACTGGGGATGTTTCCGCCGCCGCCCCTTCTTCCTCCCGGAAGCGGACCCACCCCGAGGACTTCAAGCGCGCTTACAAAGCGTGTATCAATTGTCGCCAGAGGAAGGCGAAGTGTATCCTGGGTACGGGGCCTGATGGGATAGAATTGAAGCCGCCATGCCAGAGGTGCAGGAGAGAAATGCGAGAATGCGTCTTCCGGTCGGAGCGGTCCTGGGTCAAGAGACGCAAGCCTGGTGAAGAGCGAGAGAATGGAGATACGCTTCCCAATGATGTCCCACCGCCCCATGCTAGGACTCTGTCGAGTGACGCAGCCGGTTCGATGCAGGGTAATGCGCAACCAAGTCCTGTACACAGAGTTTCCATCTCCACGAATACCTTTACACCTTCAGATACGCCTCGGAGCTTGAACAGGTCAGAGCAGGACTCCATCTTATCTCCGGGTCAGCTGCGACGCGTATCAACATCTCAACCTGCTACCCTTCAGAACTCCGTAATGACGACTGTTGTATCCAGTGGTAAGGATGCACTCAACTTGCTCTTCGAGGCTGCGCACCACCAAGATATGGCCGATCCGCAGGATCAAGGCACTGTTGCCTCTCTACCCTATGAGACACCCCAATCTGGACCATCCATCCCAAATCCCTCTTCGCCGTTTACCTTCAAGGCGCAGCCCGTGCAAATGTCTCAGCCGTCGCCTGAGACGCTGAAGATCTGGGCATCCTGCCGCTATGTGCAGATGGGCTGGTTTTCTGCTCGCGAGGCTGTGACCTATGTCGATTTATTCTTCAAGAATTGCTCTCCCCTGTCACCTATACTATCCGACTTCTATGCCAACCACGCAAACCATTATTCGTTGATTGCACTGGATCCATTTCTTTGTGTCACTATCCTCATGGTATCTTCACGGTATAATATCCTGCCAGGAGTAGGCGGTGCCTCCCGTGGCTATTTCGTCCATGACAGGCTCTGGGAGCAGTGTCAGAGATTCATCATGAAGATTATGCTGGGTCAGGTGAAGCCGTCAAAAGCGCAGACACGCACCATTGGATCCATTGAGGCTCTGCTACTGCTTTCCGAGTGGCACCCGCGGGCGTTGCATTTCCCTACCGCCAGCGATGGTTGGGACTGCGAGTTGATGGTCGGTGCCAATAACCATACCACTGAAGGTGCCAAGCTTCTTGAAGGCGACACCACTCCGAACCGCTGGCTGGAGGATGTCATCGAGCCTGCTAAGCGCTCCGATCGGATGTCTTGGATGCTGATGGGTTGCGCCCTCTCGTTGGCCCAAGAGCTGGGTCTGTTCGAGGATAACAGTAATATCGACAAGGACCAGATATCCTACCCCAAGTTTACCACCGAGTGGCTGGTGTTGCGCCGTATTAGGGCACGGAAGCTTCTTTTCGTCTTTATCGAACAGCTGTCTTGGCGGTTAGGATGCACTTCCATGATTCCTCAGAGTCTCAATCACGCTCTAATGGAGAAGATACCGATCGACTCGCGCACCGGAGCCGTCGAGCAGTGGCAGGCATTCATGAGTGCTTGGGTCGAATTGACCAAGCTGGCAAGATCGGTTTCTGACACAGTGTATCCTTCAGCATCTTTTACTCGCAATCTACTCAGAACAGGGCGTTATATTGGGCTCCTTGAGCACTTTCAACCTCTGCTTACAGCCTGGAGAAAGAAATATCTTGACCCGTGCAGTGAGTACTTTAGTCAAGTCGGATGAATGGTCATCTAATCACACGGCAGAACTCGAAGTGGGACTTCACGATATGCTCATGATCGAATATCACTACGTTCGCAGCTATACAAATTCACTTGGCATGCAAGCCGTCGTCGAGCGCACACTAGCCGAATCCGATCCCGACGGTCCCCAAGAAGACATCCTTTCCATGACGATTGAACCTCGCGACTACGAATTCATCCAAGAAGTCGTCGACGGATGCTGCCAGATCCTCCAGAAGACCACTCAGCTCGCCGATTCGGGCGCGCTCCGCTACTCCCCCGTCCGCATTTTCCTGCGAATTACTACCTCCTCTATCTACCTAATTAAGAGTCTCAGTCTCGGCGTCCGCAACGCCAAACTCCAAACCGCGCTCGACATCCTCGACCGCGCAATCCATGCCATGCGCTCCAGCACCTTGGATGACATGCACCTCGCATCCCGCTACTCCACTCTCCTCGACACGCACGTCTCCCGTCTCCGAGCCAGCTTCGTCGTTTCTTCTCGCCCACCGCGCCTTCCATCACGTGGTGTGGCCCTAGACAAGGGCGCCTCCACAGGTATAGAGTTCCTCAACAACCACAATGCCGGATCCTCGGGGATTGCAGCTCTGGCGGAAGACGTCTCGGGCCTCATGCCCGATGATGACTGGTTGGCGCTGCCGTTTGATCCCTCCATGGCGCCGTTTGGCCTGGATAGTAATCAGCAGACTTTTCAGGGGTTCGATGATGCGACGCTCAATCTAGACTTTTTGTGGAATATGCCGCCTATGGGGGGTAGTTGAGCAAAAGCGGATTCTTGTTCGACGACGACCAATCTCTTTTTTTGGAGTTAGCGTGTGCCTGGGATTTGCACCATGGAGGACTTATAAGCGACGAATTACGAAGATGATGAGGTGCATGTGGTGGATTATGAGAAGCGAGTTTGCGAGACGATACCTCAATGTTTGGTGAGAGCGAAATATTCTTCGAAACTGTGGAAAAGCATTTTGGAATGGATTCATGATATTGATGATTAAAACAGGTTCATGTTTCTTTCAAATGCAATGCCTCAATGTCTTTTCTCCGTTTCCGCCCTCAGGCGATGAATCGCATTTGCATCAGTTACTCGGAGATACCAAAGAATGCTGTGGGTGTGAAGTATGCAGCGATGATAATTCCCTAATATGGATTACGAATCGGATATCTTAATCCTCTCACTGGCACCTAACCATAATCTTCAGACACGCTCGTTCTACCCTCCCTCCACCGATCCGCTGGTTCAACCCTCTCCCCGGCTCTCTCGAGGTCGCCGTCGCCTTCTGAAATTTCGTCTTACACCAAAATCATACCTCCCCCCGCTCTTCCCTCAGCGCATTCCTCACAATCGCCCCACACATCTTCGCGTACGGATTCGTCCGCACGCTCATCTCCCTTGCTACCTCATCCCCGTACTTCGCCGCTTGACTGAAATCCCTAGATGCCAGCTCTTCAAGGTCGGTTTTGCTTCTCCCTTTAAACAGTTTCCCGTTCCCGCTCTCGGAAGCTTTGAGGTACAGGTATGCGCGGTGCGAATGTGCGGTTCGCAGGATGCGCGCTTGGTATGTTGACGCTGGAGAGGTGGATGGGGAGGGGGTGGAGAGCGTGATTGCTTTGCTGAGGTCGGCGAAGATGGGTTCGATATGGGATTCCGGGTGGTATGTGAAGATTGACTGTGTTGGAGGGGATGCCTTTTCGGATGCTGTTTCGGATGGGGATGTGGGTGTGCTGCAGTTCATCGCGTTTTCCAGCCTCATTCTGCGCAGCATCGCGCGGTTTAGATATGCGCTCGGATACTCCGCCTCCTCTTTGATGATGGCGTGTAACTCGTACTCCACTTCCTCCAGGATTTTTTCTGCCTCTTCTCCGGATGCGTTTGCCGTCCGCTTGACGAGCTCATTCTGCCGCGCCTCAAGGGCATTGAGTCTCTCCGACGGGATGCTGGGATGTGCGGGGAGAGAAGGGTCGATGGTGGAAGGGGATTTGGAGGTGGAGATGTTGGAGGGGAGGGTTTCGGGGTCGAAGAGGGCGGTGAGGATGCGTGCGTCGTTTGGGGTTAGGGAGACTGGGGGGGTTGGGTGGGGGATGGCCATTTTGGAGGATTTGGACGTTTGGAGGGATAATGTAGTTGCTCCGCGTTTTGTACAGTACGGTTTTGCGGATTGTGGATATGTGTGTACTGGTGATAAGGGGATGCTGGGATGGCGTGCGGTTGATGGTGGAAGCTGGCGGGATTGTGGTATCTTGGAGATATTTGATCACGAAACCGCGGATGCTGAGGAGATCTTGAAATGCAGGTGGATCTGGGATATACGAATCCAAAACGACGGGGACTTAATACAATGCCTTCTACATCACCTCAGCCATCCGAGAATACCTCTCCGAACCCATTGCAGGTCTCCGAGTGTAACACGGCTGGCACCGGCATTTGAAGGCTGTTGAGCCGAGGTCACGTGACTCGCTCTTGCCTATCCGCCCGGCTTTTCCAGGAGCTCACCACTTCGGCTTAGCAGGATGATGGTTATGACGCTGAATAGCAAGGGACGGATTTGTCGGTGTGGGAGGTTAGTCTGCGGGCTGGGGTTGTGGGAAGGAGGAGTTAAATATTGGGCAGTGGAGGCCCTGGCTACAGTGATAAGAACTTCTGCATTTACGACGAGGACCTGGACTCCAGGAAATTGATTTCTACGAGGCATATAATTATACTCTATTTCAATATCTCCTTCTGAGTTTCACACTCCTTTTGTAATCGACATAAACATCCACCATGGCGCCAATCGCCCTCTCCCCACCCGGCTCCCCCCAACAACAAACCTCCCTCCCACAAAACTCCTCCGACCTCTCCTCCTACCGCGGATACCACCATGTACACTGGTACGTCGGCAACGCGAAGCAAGCGGCCGCCTTCTACGTCTCGCGCATGGGCTTCGAGCGCATCGCATACAAGGGGCTAGAAACAGGCTCTCGGGCGATTGCCTCGCACGTTGTGCGCAACGGCGGCGTGACGTTCGTGCTCACGAGCCCGTTGAGGAGTTTGCAGGCTGTAGAGGAGTTTGTCGAGGAAGAGGCCGGGTTGTTGAGGGAGATTCATGCCCATCAGGAGAACCATGGTGATGCTGTTAAGGGTATGGGGTTACTGGCTCACTACATCTTATCTATCTACCTGGAGGACATTATAAGCTGACGGCGATGATAGATGTTGCGTTCGAAGTCGACAACGTCGATGCAATTTACACCTCCGCCATCGCCGCTGGCGGCATCTCGATCCGCGCTCCTTACACACTGTCCGACGAGCATGGCTCCGTGCGGCTAGCGACTATCCAGACGTATGGAGATACCACGCACACGCTTATCCAGCGGCTGGACTACACGGGCGCTTTCCTCCCCGGCTACAGGGAAGAAAAGACCGCGGACCCCGTGTCCAGGTTCCTGCCCGAGGTGCACCTCGAGGCCATCGATCACTGCGTGGGAAACCAGGACTGGGACGAAATGGAGGGAGCGTGCGAGTACTACGAGCGCGTACTAGGGTTCCACCGATTCTGGAGCGTGGACGATAAGGACATTTGCACGTACGTACCCTAATTCCACATGTCATACATTTTCGGTCACCAACACAGCTAAACGCAAAACAGCGAATACTCGGCCCTCAAATCCATCGTCATGTCCTCCCCCAACGCCATCGTAAAAATGCCCATCAACGAACCCGCCCTCGGCAAAAAAACCTCGCAAATCTCCGAATACATCACCTTCAACAGCGGCCCCGGGGTGCAGCACATCGCGCTTCGCACCACGGACATCATTTCCGCGATCCGGGCGCTCAAAGCGCGGGGCGTCGAGTTCATCAAGGTCCCCTCGACGTACTACGACGCCATGAAATTGCGCCTAAAACAGCAAGGGATGCAACTCAAAGAGGACTTTGAGACGCTCAAGGAGTTGGATATCTTGATCGATTTCGATGCGGGTGGGTATTTGTTGCAATTGTTTACGAAGCATTTGATGGATCGACCGACGGTGTTTGTGGAGATTATCCAGAGGGAGAATTTTGAGGGGTTTGGGGCGGGGAATTTTAGGAGTTTGTTCGAGGCGATTGAGAGGGAGCAGGAGGCGAGGGGGAATTTGGTTTAGATGCCTCGTTGGTGTGATGGGGTGTGGGGGTTAGGGACGGCGGGAAATGCAGTAGGATGTTGATGCGATGGTAATGTGGAGGAGAGGGCATTGCTGGGCGTTTGGCGCGGGCTAGGCATTGAGAGCGGAACTTTCTTCTTTGGTTGCCTCATTTCAGCCCTGTATTCGACATCCAATTGTTTTCATGGAAGTAGCATAGCCTTCATTGTATGCTTTGACCTTAAGCAATCAAGCGTACTTGCTTACGTCCATCTTCTTCCCCATGTTTATCAGCCTTGCTGACATGGGCCGTGAAATTGTTTCTCCTAATCACTGGCAGGAGAAATCCTTTAATGACTGTACTAGATTGAACACACAGGTTATCTGAGAGGCATTATGGCGTGTCCTTCTTCACGGATGAACAACGCCTGAGCTGCTGACGGGTCAGCTGGAAGTCTCCTCAGCCGGTGACGGCGAATATAATCACTGTTTCCCATGTCACCGGCTTAGCTACTCTCACCATGATGAAGCGCCCAGAAACAGTATATACTCCCTCACAATGTATCAAAGCAACCATAAGACTTCAGAACGAAGTTAATGAGCGAACAATCACTCCACCGATACATCTCAACATGATAACACTAACATATACATAGACTTCCTCCCCTGCGCAAAGAGAGCGCTTCCAAACACCCTAGGCACCCACGAACTCTTCAAAGACAATAGAAATGCCCACGATTACATTCTGCCTAAGATGCGAAACCACATCAGCATAAGACACCCTTCACAACCACTGATGTGCCACGATGAATTTTTCAGCGTACTATACCGATCAATTCACCGTGCTCCCATCTACCCCACCCGCGTACTCCTCATCACACCCTCCCCTCCCCATAGCTTCCCCCGATGCAGCCCCATCTCACCATCTCAAACCCGTTCCACCCCCCATGTTTCACACATACCCGCCCAAGCCAAGCCAGTTTCAACATCTCAAAAAACGAGCAAGCTGTCTATGCATTACCACGAATCCTACCTTTCCACACCTAGGTTCTCAGGTTCCATACCTAGCTTCGATGGGAGGACGGGGACTTTTGAAAAGTATTTAACTCCGGGACTAGGTTCGGGAATTGTAAAATCGTGCGTTTAGGGGATGGGATGGAATAGACGACAAATCAAATAGAGAATAGCTAGTCAACTTGTGTAGGGAGACGGGAGAGGGATAGGCGTTTAAGAGATGAATTCCTGGTTTCTGCAGCGGCGAAGTTGGATCAGATGGGGTTTAACCACCCCGTGTGATGTGCGTGCCCTATACAGTCGCAATTCTACTACACTACTAGGTAGTCTCAACCCTCATTGGCATGCATACAGAGGTATAAACGACCCCGCACCAGCTAAATGCGAAGCACACCGTATTGCTGCAACCCAACTCCTAGCAGAAGGTTTCGCCTCCATAAATCCTACATACCCATACCTTCCCAATAACCATCCCATAGCATACCCAAAGCATATTCCATAGCTGTGACATATCATCTGATAGGCAACTGAATACATGGCATTAACCCTAACCTCCCCCAGCGAGCGATCAACCATTAAAGGAAAGACTAGTTGCCCCCTTTTTATAACGAATTCTATGTTTTATGTTACGTTACGTTACGTTAACCCACGAAACCCACCATCCTGTCCTACATGCCGATCCAGAACTCCCCGGACACCAACCAACATCAGAACCCGTGCGTACAAGTACAAGAAAAAGGATGCGCGGAGGCGTTACGTGAGCGCGTGAGGGGGGGAAGCAGTAGCCAGGGCCTTGAAGAGAGTATTTCCTACGGCATATTGACGAGCTGCATTGCATTGGGAAATACGTATCGGCTGTATAGACATCATTCAAGCGAAGGCGCCCACGATGGACATACCCGCAGCTCCCATAAGCAAGTAGCAGAAGGCCTTGGTCTTGTCCCTGGTAGTCATGCTATGCTGCGCCTCCTCGGACAAAAAGTCTTCAGCGAGCAGATCGACGAGTGCGGCGTACAGCAGCAAGCCGGAGGATATGGCGTTCATGGTGCCGACCATGATGAGACCGAAGGCACTATTGGGGTCGTAGGCGCCGCGGGTGGCGAGACCGATGGCTTGACCTGTGCATCTGTTAGTCCGCACCGCTTTGTGAACGATGGTGCATGAGAGGACGTACCGATCGGGCACGTGGTTCCGAAAGCAGTTACAAGGATCCACGGCTTCCAGCTTCCCTTGGGGTATGGAACGGCGGCGATGCGAGACCCGAGACCGAGACCCTCAAAAGCCTGGTGGAAGATAATGGCGACGAGAAGGGTGATGAAGCCCTCATTGGTGATGGAGATGGTCATGCCGACGAAGACGGAGTGGAAGAGGATACCACCTTCGATCAGCGTAATCTGCATCGACTGCTTTTTGAGCACCATAGGATCGACCTGCAGCTCGACGTCGTCGTCAAAGTACGATTTTTGCTCGACCGACTTGTCCTGGTGGGCTTGCTGTTGGCCATAGGCGGGGATTGGCGGCATGGCGCTCCGGATCATGTTGAGCATGTCGTCACGCTGGCGGATGTACTGTTCGTAGAAGACAATGAACCAAGGAGGCATTTCGGACTTGGGCTCGAGTTCACCCTTTTCCTTGGGGAACGGGAAATTCTCAGCCGGGTAACTGGTGGTGTTAGACGGAGGCTTGACGAGAGGGCGAGATACTTGCGATGCATCGACCCAGCCCCTCTTCTCGGCCATGGTAATCTGGGAGTCGTAGCTGTCGGTGCGCTTCAACGGGTTGTTGAACGCGTTCTGAATACCAGGAGCCGCTCTATCAGCGCCGAATTCGTTACCGGTCGCACTGCCATGGCTGTGCCCTCCAGTCTTTGCGTTGAGCCACATCTCAATCAGAAAGAGAAGGAACAGGGCGGCCATCATGATGACACCGGGCATGGCGGGATACTTGTCGGTGAACAGCTCGGGCAGGCATGGGTCGTTGAGCGACTGAAAAGCGACGGGCAGAAGCTGCTCTGGTCAGCTTTGTTCGCTTCTGATCGTGATGCAATCGTACATGAACAAAGGCCGTCGCAATCAGGACACCAGTACCGAAGTGTTTACAGAAGAAAAAGACCTTGGGGGGAATATGCAGAGACTTGATTTTCTTGGCCACCACGGGAAACCCACATCCTGCAATACTCGCCGCGAAGACGATGACTGGGATGTGTTAGAGAGGCAAAGGCGGCTGCTCGGCATTGGAGATACTGACAGACTGCGGCAACATGTAGAGGAAGATCGTACTCTCCCTCCTCAGCCGCACTGCCACACTGCGGCTTCTCCATTGCGTCTGCCATGATTCCGTGCTTCGCAGACCTACTCTAGCAACCCACCCACGACGCAACAGTGAGCTCCGTCGCCAGCGACGAAAACAAGAAGAGAAAGAAAGGAAAGGGAAAAAGAAATGGAAAAGCACACAAAGAGGCTCTCCCAGAGAGTAACGAAGTGAAGGTACGAGATGAGTAACGGTGGGACCAAGTCTTGGGCTGGCCACTACTTTATTAAGGGTTCCATGATGTGGAGTGGACTGGCACTATTCTGACTGATCGACGCTATCCGAAAAGGCGAAGCGGAGGAAGCAATCACAGCAAAGAATCAACAGAGATCCATGCTTCAGCCTCCGGGGCGAGAAGGGGTGGGCGGACGCGGGCGCTCAAACGGTCCAGGTCAAGCTTAAGGGCCGCTCAACCTCGCTGGAGATCCGAGACCAAGAGCAAAGGTGGGCATGGTGCCAAAACCTATTGCCGAGATAGGAATGTTTCGACTCGATTTAGGACAGAGGGGGTTAACAAGCGGGTGCACAACAAGGGGCTGTTGCGGCTCATCAACGGTATTGAAGCGGTGGAGCTACGGTAAAGCCAAACACATCTCTTGGCGCTATGCCATCGTTGCAATAGATGTTTTCGATGGAATGCCCTGCTGCAGTAGCTGCGGGAGATGTGGGATTTGTAAATGTTCCTGGCCAATGGGCAAGGCAGATCTGTGAACAAGCAGAGTCGCCGAGTCGGACGGGCCAGATCCGAAGCGATTTGCAGCGACAAGCATGGAGGAAGGAGGCTTGGCTGAGGATCGGATGAAGCTGGAGAGGGACACAGTTGGGGACGTGCGGGTGTTCCAAAGGGGAGAGCTGCGACAAGGTGACACAGACGAGGAGTGAGGAGGAGAGGGGAGGAGACGAGGTTGGGAGAGTCGAGCGACGTTGAATTTGGAGCCTTGGCGGGAGCTTCACGCGACCAAGCTAAGCTACTCTAAGCTCTGGTAGACAGGCGGCGGGGTACCTAGGTAAGTGGAGACGAGGGAGGAGCGGGAGGAGCGGACTTGGCACCGCACCATCCCGGCCTCTCCGTTTCACTCACCTCATTCCCCCACCCATTCACGGCACATCACAGCACATCACAGTGCATTCCCACCATGGAGACAAGAGTCGTGAGCTGCAGCACGCCTTTTGCCGGCGTGCTAGTGCGGTGGGATTTTTTCGCCTCCCAGCGCTGTTTATTACCGTCCCGTCCCAGAAGTCCCGGCCTCTTTCTTCCCATCCAGGCATTCACCCTTCACATCTGCCCATAACTCCTCGCCAATAGCCAAGTCCGGAGAACATGTCTTCCGATACTCATCAGTGTAAGTATCAGAATCCGTCTCCAAGATCTTGACCTCTCTCTGACAAATGCTTAGCTCCCACTCCACCCAATGGCCAAGCTGCCGCTCAAACATCTCGACCAGTCAACGGCGATGATGCTGCGTCGCCCGAGGACTTGTCAAACCCTTCCGCTGTCCCCTTCCAGGATCAACAAACAAATGCAATCAGTGTCCAGCCGTCAAGCGAGAATGCTGCCAGTGTAGATGCCAAGGACCTCACTGTAGAGGTCCGAAGCCTCTCTCACGAAGACCCATTGGATCTGGGCCGCCATCGGCGATCAAACGTCACGCGGAAGCAGATGAAGCTAGACCACCCAAAAGCCAAAGAGAAGCACATGAAGAAGTTCTACACGAGACAGAACGCACTTATCGACCAATTCCTGCAAAGCGGGGACGAGGAGCGTCTGGCTGCCCTTGACCTCCAAGAAAACGGTCCCAAGGTCCGCTTTGCTGTAAACGCTTCATTTGCTGTCAACTTTTGCCTGTTCGTCATCCAGCTGTATGCCGCCATCAGTACAGGATCTCTGTCGCTGTTCGCGACGGCTGCAGATGCCTTCATGGACCTTGTCTCCTCCGTCGTCATGCTCGTCACCTCCCGCATGGCGTCCAGGCCAAGCATTTACAAGTACCCGGTGGGGCGGACGCGTATCGAAACAATCGGTATCATCATGTTCTGCTGTTTGATGACCACAGTGGCCATTCAGCTCATCGTAGGTTCCGCTCGTGCATCCAAGTGCGACAGTCGCTGATGCATCCTCAGATCGAATCTGGACGAGCTCTGGGCGCAGGCGAGACTCATTCAGAGGACCTCCATCTGATTCCAATCATCTTCGTTTCCGTTGCCAGTATGTTAACCTTTTCCACTGTGCTATACTGTCTAACACTAGTCAGTCTTCTCCAAGGGCAGCCTGTGCATCTATTGTTTCCTGTATCGCCGGTATCCCTCAGTCCATGTCTTCTTCATTGACCACCGAAACGACATCGCCGTCAACGCTTTTGGCCTAATGATGTCTATTCTTGGAAGTCGTGTCAAGTGGTATGCGGATCCTATTGGTGCCATTCTCATCGGCCTTTTGATCCTGGTCTCGTGGGCCTCGAATGCTTTCGAGCACGTGTGGCTCCTGGTGGGCAAGAGTGCTCCAAAGGAGTTCATCTCCAAGCTCATCTATCTGGTTGTGACACATGACACTCGCATCCGCAAGGTTGATACCGTAAGCGTTGCATCCCCCAGCTCACGGCTTGGCCATCACTGACCACCTCAGTGCCGGGCATATCACGCAGGCCAACGGTACTATGTCGAAGTCGACATTGTCATGGACGAGGACGCCCCTCTCAAGGTAACTCACGACGTCAGCCAGACTCTCCAGCGGAAACTTGAAGGTATGCGTTATCATAGCTACGTGATATGGTCGGCATCGCTCACAGACTCTCTCAGGACTTGCCGACGTCGAGCGCGCATACGTCCACGTGGACTATGAGAATGAGCACGATCCCCATGAAGAGCATAAGCCTATGTATGACAATACAGAGCGGCGATCCATCAGGCAACGTGTCAAGGAACTGCTCTCTCGTTCAAAGAATGAGGGCCAATAATTTTCCACTCCAAGGGTGTGCTGATGGAATACAAGGCACCCTTCCGATAAAAAATCGAATTCGTCATCCATACTCACTCGGGAGAAGGACGCATCTTTCGCTCCGTCTCCCTCATCACAGATCGCTGAGCGCCACCGAGCGCCAAATGGATGATCATATTTGACGCATGAAATGCAACTGGGGTTACGCAGCATATACATAAGTCTGCACAGCATGTACTTTCTATACCCTCCTTATGATGAATGATTGTATTATTTCCCATATCAACTGGTACCGGTCCTTGAATTTTACAGTAACCAATGGCTCTGATGGATGATATCAGAGCGCGATCGAGCAGCACCGTATCCATTATGCGCGGATGATTTGGAGCGTCTCTTGCTGACCTGTCACAGAAACTGATCTCTTCCCCAAACCCAAAGTAACTGGCAGTTTTGCTCCCTGATTTCAGGAAGTGCCTGGGTCAGTTTGAATGATTTCTTCCCCATGACCAGAGCTACTCCCTGTTAACTTGTCCACAGGAAATGGACTTCAATGTCGACCACAAGAACCCTCCACCGCTTGTTGAATGTTGTCCCTTTGTCAAACTACACTCGATGATTATCTCGTCTGCTGGCACATTCATGACTTTTCCTCTCATACCTTGCAAGAGCGTTCGAGGGTGGTTCTTCGGTGTCTTCCATTGGTGCAATGAAAGAAAACGCCCTGCTGAGTGAGTAGGGACGAGTGTGGATTTCGGCCGAGCGTGGACGTCCGGTTGGTCCTGACTGATTCGTACGCGAGTCGTCGTCCTCGTCGTGGATAGAACGAAGAGGCGGATCGGACTTCATGCGACGCAGGCGCGGCTTCATACCGGCAAGATTTCCCTTGAGCGAATCCCTTCGCTGTCCAGGTGTCGCGCGCCTAATCCCACTAACTCGCCGTCAGCATTGAGAAGCTCGCCAAGGATAGTGTCACTTACCCACTCTCCACAATCTCCGCCGTCTTGGAGGGCTCGACGTTGGTTGCTGGACCTGGTGTAGTCTCGACAGGCAGGTGGACGGTAGGATCTTCTAGTTGGACCCTAGTCTTATACTCTCCTTCCATCTGAGCAAAAAAGGCCTTGAGGTCCGGTACCGTTTGGATCCAGGTCCGTATCGCGGTGACAGTCTCAGCAGAATAGTCCCGGTTGACATAGGCATGAATGAAGTTCAGGAGCGCTTCTTTCATGAACGTGGACGGCGGCGGATAGACATCCCACACAGCCTTGACTTCGTCCAGTTTCACCGGCCGACCCATCGACAGGCGGCTGTGCAGATGCATCTCGGTGCCTTCCAGTCCTTTCGCCGGGAGCTGCAGCTTCCGCCATGTCACGACAACCCTCAGAGAATCCAGGATCGAGGGAGAGGTCTCGAAATCTTCGCTGCTCAACACGCGGCCGGACAACTGCACCATACGTCGCACAATGATTTGCAAACCAGCCTTGGGAACGAATCCAGGGATGTCGATACCGACGTAGCGCTTGTGAAGGATGAGCTTCTTCTCCGGCACTGGAAGCCTCGAAGGCACGTCGATCAGCCACTGTTCAGCGATAGGGGCGAAGTGTAGAAACAAGCCCAAGGGGATTCGAGCCGGAAAGTCCTTAGCGGGAATCGGCTGGCCACCGATGGCGAAGAGGGCGTACGGTGGCTGATGGGCATCCGCTGGCAATGGGCGCCAAGGGAAGTCTATCATGAACGACATCGTCTCTGCTAGCTGTGTGGAGCAGGAGGAGTAAGAGTTGCCAATGTATGACTCAGGTTGGGGAATGGCGAGGAGCAAACCTCGTGGAAGAACGAGGTGTCTGTTTCGATTTGCAAGGCAACACTGTCGCGCTCCATGCAACGACAAACGGGACGCTCTGGCTTTCACTGTCAACAGAAGATATCACGTGAGTTGGCGTTGGTCTGAAGCTTCCCAATCGCGTTGGCTCTTGCAAGACGCGCGTAGGCACTTACCTTCGCCTCGGTCGCGACTGGTGTAAACAACACTGTAACGAGGCGGGCTGGCTGTGTAGAAAACAGGCCTGTACAGGCTCACGCACGAGCAAGCGTTGGTCAACACATACCACACTCCATTTCGTAACAAGCTGAGAGAACGCATATCCATCCTTCCAATGTTCAACATTGAGGGGTCCAATACAACGGCTTCCACATGGAACCGCCGCAATCAGGTCCACGTCTCCACGTCCGACGCGCCCAGCTCAATCCGCATATACACCGAAAGCGCCGACGGTCCGCGCGGCACCTTGATTCTGCAGCATCACTCCCGTTCCGAACTCCTGCACCGTCTGCCTGCTCTTCAGAACTACATTGACCCTTCCACCGGCGACGTCCTCTTGCCACCCGCTGGCCCTCACTGCGCCATCAACGACGACATCGTGTACGATGCCATACAAGCCGCTGTGAGGCCCGACTCCGAACAAGGTTTTTCCCTCAAGGTCGCCGAGCACCCAATATCGTACATCCAAACTCACGTCGTCCTCGTCCGCCTCGGCCTGCAAAACGAAGCCCGCATCCTGCAAGACCGGCTCTGGGTCCTGCTCTGCCACATGGAACTTTCCAGCGAAACCGTGTCGTGGATATGGGAGACGTTTCGGGGTGCGTATTCTGTGCGTGAGGGGGAGGAACGAAGTGCGTATGTGCCGCCGTTTTCCAAGTTGTACGTGGAAGCCATGGCGTGGCAGATTGTGGGGTTGCGGAGGATGGGGAAGTTGGATAGGCGGGTGGAGGAGTATTTGAGGTGCGATGAGCAGGGGTTTGAAGAGCCGTGTTTGCGGGATGTGGTTGATGAGAGGGAGAGGAGGTGTGGGGTGGAGATGGGGTGGGAGATGGAGGGGCGGGAACCAACGACGGTTGGGACTGGTGCTGAGGTGGAGGAGACGCTCGGGATTGGGAAGGAGGATGCTCTACCTTGCCAGCTATCGAGCCAGAGAATGTCCACACTGGATGGCGTCGGCCGTATCAAGACGTCTGCTGCTCCGGCGCCAAAGAACAGTATCCAAATGTCGAAGCAGCAGCCTGCTCTGCACACCCCTCGACCTTCACTGGACCTCAGCCGTGCTACCAGCGGATATTCTGCCTCCTCTTTCTTTGACGAGAAAAACGTGCCTGCCAAGAATATCACCTCGGATGATGACGAAGCTGAAGATGATGACGAGGTACTGCTTAAGACGCCGTTTAGGGAGCCAGGTTTTCACAGTCGCTGTGGCAAAACTCTAGGTGTCGGCCTGGGACAGGGCGGATTGAGAGGAGGCAACGGATGGGGTGAGCTGAGTCAAGGTGCGTGCTGGCTGCGGGTGTTGGGCAAATTGAAAAAAGGATAAGATATCTTACTGACGGCTCAGATTTCTTCTCTGGTGCTGGGACAAACGGTAGCAATGTCGGCTTTGGGTGTGGCACACCGCTGGATCCAAAACCTAACCAGAACCAAACGAAAACTTTCGGTACGACGAAGCAGGGGACTAGCACAGGGACGTTATTTGGACCAGCATCCAGCCAGGTTACTGGAAAGTTCCATCCTGCCTCTTTGCCACCGGGAATTCCCTCAAACACGTTTGACCAGGCGAAGAAAAACACAAGCGGCCATTTCGATACAAGCACGTCAAACCCTTCCTCTGGTGCTTTATTCTCCCACTCCGGCCGTATCTCCTTCTTTGACGCACACACTGCCATGCCTTCGTTCTCCGGTACCACTTTTTCTTCTTCTTTCGGCGCCGTTCCGACGTTTGGCACTGGTAGTACTCTTTTCGGCACACCTGCTACGACCCCATACGCACCAGCAAACTCAAATAGCAGCAACGGCGACGGCGCCCTTGGCTCTCCCATGTCCATCGGTTCCAATACCTCTACGAGCATCGGCGCCAGCATCAATGCGGTTCAGAACAATGCCTTTACAGCTAGCGGAGCGGGAATGAATCCAGGTATAGGGTTTGGGTTTCAGAGCTCGGGACAGAGTCGGGGTACGGAGGCGGATTTGCAGCAGGTTTTTGCCGAGGCGCGGAGTGCGGCGCCGGCGAGGAGGGTGTTGAAGCCTAAGGGGATGTTGGGGTGGAGGAGGAAGTAGGTGTGCGTGCGCGGAGATCGGGGATGGGGAGGGGTTGGGTAAAGGGAGTGTGATGGTGATATGAGGATTTGGGATGGACTAAAGATGTTGATAGAGTTGTTTAAGGGTGTTGAGTGTAGAGGTTGTGGGAAGGGTATAGTTACTGGTTGGGCATAAGGTAGGTAGTTAGGTCTGACAAACTCGACGGGCGAAGATAATGAACAACTGCACGGCCATGAACGTTCCATGGAAAGCGTAATATACACCCTCCCTTCTAGGTTACAAGAAGTTTAGGCGCTCACAGCGCGGAAGTACGCTTTATGCACCTCTACATAGGGTGCTGACCGCCGGCGACATTCATCCGTTTTTGAGTTCCCTCCTACCGTGTACCTGTCTGCAACCCCTTCCCTCAATACGTGCGCAGTAGAACCCCGACAACTGCAGGTCAGCATATGGCACTCAAATTCAATCCATTCAATACGGGGAGTACAAACTGTCAGTGTCCGTGTTTGAATCGGCGTCGGCGTAGATCACGCTGTCCCTGTCGTCGTCCTCCCTTGCCGAATTCTCTTTCTCGTCGTCTGCGTTCTCCTGTTGGACTTGGTTGTTAGAGTTTTCGGCGTCATTGGAGTGCTCTTGCTTCGCGGTCATTGCGTTCGCATCATGCTCGTTGACTTCCGTCTCTGCTCCCAAGCACTCTCCAAGTTCCCTTTCCACAGCAGTTTTCTCGCCCTCTGAGCCGCCATCTCCCTTGCCGTGATACTCAGAAATCCGCCCATGTTTCCCAACAACCGCCTCTTCCTCCTCCGTATCGGACCCCATATACCCTACCCCCATCTCCACAATTTTCCCCTCTCCCTCCTCCTCCTCCTCCTCCTCCTCACGGTCCTGCACCACTCTCCTCAACCTCCCCGTCCTCTTCTCCCTCCGAGGCCCCGCCCCGCTTTCCCCAATGCTATACCAACCACCCACTTGCGGCCGAATCTCCACCCTGTCAAACCCAGGAGGAGGCGGGATGGTGTTTCCCCTGCCCAGGCGCGGGATTGAGACGGTGTGGGGTGGAGATGGGAGGGTGCGATTGTGGTCTGGAACTGGTAAAGCAAGGAGGAGGCCGGATGCGGGTGCGGGTGCGAAGGAGCCGGTGGATTTGAGAGGGAGGGTCCCGAGGCTGGTGGTACTGGATTTCATGGATGTTGGTTTGGAGTCTTTCACCTTGGGATGCGATTTCTGTGAGAGTAGAGAGCCGGCATGTTGTGCTTTATTTTGGGCACTAGGTCGATCTGAAGTTTTGTCGTTGTTGTGGCTAGGATTTGGTGGGTGGAACCAGCTCCATGGCCACGACTCCGCTGAGGACGGGGATTGAAATGGGTGCGAAGTTTTTGCAGTTTTGTTTGCGCTTGAAGGAGTTGAGTCTTTACCGTTAGTCACACGCTCCAGAATCACACCCTCATCCCCGTCTTCTCCCAGACCACCCTTCCCGCGGCGGGGAATCCCGTTGCTACGGAGGATGTGTGTAGGTGCTGGTGGACCGTAGACGTGTTTGTACACATCTTGCCAGGGACCCGCGTACCCGTTTACTCTCCGTCTGGTTTCGCGCTCCTGCTCATTGCCCTCATGGGCGGATGCCTGTCGTACAGCTGCCCAGCGGAAAGGCGTGGCGTCGAAGCCGTGCTGGGTCAGGATGTCGGCGACGAGGGTCCAATCCGGCACAAACGGCTCTTCTCTTTCTTGTTTTGCCGGCGTAGAGGGTGCCGTCTGACGCGGAGTGATGCCACTGCCGTCATCTGGAGGACTAGAAGGGATAGTTGCGCCGCTGGGAGGAGAGACAAAGGCGGCATCTGCGTCCTGAGAATTGCCCCCGTTGGTAAACCAACTAGAAGGAAAAGCTTCGCTGTGCGAGTTGGTGGCTTCATGCACGTTAGCGACGTTGTCTTTGTTCCCTGTGCCGTCAAGCTCACACCGACTCTTGGATCGACTCCGTCGTGCTGCTGGCTCCAATACTTCGGTATCTGCGTCGCTTGCACTGTCGGGTGTTGAGACGGCGCTGGCGGGGATGGAGTCTGGTTCGGCAGAGTCTTCGGGGGTGAAGATTGGAGATGCGGTGTTAGAGTCATGCGAGACGGGGGCGAGGGTGCGGGTGGGAGGTGCAGTTGCGGAGTTTGGCTCTTTGATGATGGAGTCCTTTGGGGAGCAGAGGGTGAGGGGGCAGAGCCAGTAGCAGCGGGGATCTGGAAGGTGGCGCATGTTGGTGGGATAGGAGAGAGGGAGAGGAGGGTAGTGAAGCTATGGCGTTGTTGTGTGGATTTGTGGGTAAAGAAAAGAGTGAGCAGTGTTTGCACAGACAGAAATTGTCGTTGACGACGTACTGTTTGTGGGCAGGTCAAAAATTTCGGGACCGAGATTGCGCGTTGGTTGTTTGCTTTCACTGGCTCTGTGAGGGTCTGGAGCAGAGACTGGTTCTCGACAGAGTTAGTGGGCGGATGTAGCGCAGATGAAGGAAGCTACCCACGGAGATAAAAATCACTATTAGAAAAACTTCACTTTCACTCAGACTGCTTTTGATAAATATTTGAGCCACGGCAAAGATGGCTAGATCACAAGGCATAGGGCGAAGCATACCGCTATCGTACTGACAGTGTGCAATAAGTACAAGTACACCCAAGCATACCGCGCACAGTAAGTTTACGAAGCTCATTATCTCCTCACTCCTTTCATGACGGTGCGTGGACCTGCCGAAAATCTTACAAGTTGAGCATGGACAACCTCAAATGGAGCAACCTGTTAGCCTGATCCTATAAGGAGTCATTACCAAGCATGAGAAAAAGAATAGAATTTAGACCAAACAGTTTCTATCAAAAACCACTGTGTACATAGTACCTGTGTCCGCAGTAGCACGGCCATCCTCATCATTGCCGCGGGATCCCCCAAACACGATTAGCGCGTTCAATCACACATCCCTGGGAACCACCCCACTTTTAACTATATTCACACGGTTGGTTGCACGCAAAACTGTGCATGCAGCCTAGACGCCACACCATGTAATGATTCAGGCTTTATGCGCGAATGGCCTACGGGTCCGCGGAAGCTGTACACGAAGTATCCGGGGATTGGCGGAGCTGTAGGGGCAGTCGAGTTGGTGCGACACCATAATACCCTTGCCTAAGCGGTAAGCAGGTACAGCCCAGCGTTTGCCAAATTGGGAATCCTGAGTCGAGAGTTGTGTCGCTAAACATATAAATTCAATATCGGGTCGCTTCTTGAGTTCCCAAGGGTTGTTTCCATTTACCTGTACTCTCGTCAAATTTTCCACAACCAACAATGTCGTTCTTCAGGACTGACGGTGTCGCTGTCGTTACAGGAGTAAGTCAAACATTGCAGTTATGTACTTGCGCATCAACCTTATTGACGATTCCTTTAGGCGGCCGGTGGTATTGGCCTGGCGGCTGCCAATGCCTTTGCTGAAGCTGGCGCGGCCGCCGTAATCTTCACGGACATCCAAGAAGATAAAGTGAAGGCCAATGCGGAGGAGAGCAAAAGCTTTGCCTCCAATTCCGACTACAAGACCGCCGCTTATTATATGGATGTGACGGATCCGAAAAGCGTCGACGATGTGATCGCCAGAGTTGTTACGGAGTTTGGGAGGATTGACTATCTCGTGAACAGCGCCGGCGTAAGTGTCCCAAGAATCAGTGTATCAAACATATAAGTAACAAATACATTTAGGTCGACACTGAGCGCTATGTCCCTGTGCCGGAGAATGACATGGAGGACTACGACAGAGTTATGGCAGTGAACACCAAGGGTATACTTATTACTTCCCGAGCCGTCATCAAGGTCATGGAGAAGCAAGAGCCGCGTACGTTCACCAAGAGGAATGGAACTATTCGGGGTCTTGGTCGTGGAGTCATAGTCAATGTCACTTCTGTGCTTTCCTTCGCTGCGCAGCCGGGGAAGGTAGCGTACATCACGTCGAAGCATGCCGCGATTGGCATGACCAAATCTCTTGGTAAGATTGCAATACCTTTACCTACCATAAACCCCTGCGAACTGCTCTAATCCATCATCTTAGCAATGGACGTTGCTTCCAAGGGAATCCGTGTCAACGCTATCTGCCCCGGTTGGGTCAACACACCTATGCACCACACAGAACTCCAGAAAATCCCCCAGATCATCGAGTTCATCAAGCGCGCAGTGCCAATCGGTAGAGTTGCGGAGCCAGAGGAGATCGGAGAGAACGTCGTGGCTCTGTGCAGTCCCGCCGGAACTTACATCAATGGGGCTCCGATCATCATTGACGCAGGTTTAACCCTCACGGTGAACTTGTAGATAGCGTCAGGCAGGCAGTCAACAATTTAAATGACAGGGACGCGATCTATAATTTCACCCGAATATTTTGGGGGAAATAGAAAGCTATGCCTCTGGAATCTCCGGTGAGCCATTCCCACTGGCCGGGAGCTTCTGGGGAATATGACATTTGGAATTTGCATACATACATATGAAGCTCAAGCAAACCTTTTGGAAAGACTATACATGTCTTCAGGAACCGTCAAGCAAATTTCATCACATGAGGCATAAAGATCCGCAACTTTCAATGCGTTCCTTGCACTTTGATACGACATGTAAATACTCGTACATCGTCAAAACGACACTGATCCCGTGACAGCGCCAACTATAAAAGCCCTCCCAGGCTGACTTCTTTGGCTCTCACCGTTCCTTTCTTTTCCCTCGTTCTAATGATCTGACTTAACCATTCATGCTCTCCCGCCTGTGCGTTTCAAAATGTCCTCCCCGTCTGGAAATGTCGTGATGTCGTGGATTAGGATTACCATGTACTAGAAATCCAGAAATTGCAAAATTTTGCAGCCAGTTTGCCAACTCTTTCCGCCCTTCAAAAAGAATTGGTACCAAGTACATGGCTTTACCGACGGTCGGAGTCTATACGCTCGTGAGAAGCGTTGCGCGGTTGCATGGACCAGGAGTAATCTTGCCCCTTTCGGCATTTCGAAATACCCACAAACGCTGTTTCATGGGTTCTGACTTGTTCCTCAAATTCGGAGTCTCTTTAGGATGTTTGTCTCCGACGGCCAAACGAAGAGTATCCTTGGTGCTAGGAACTGGGAGCGTCGCTCGAAAATCGTCTGGCCCTACGACATGAGAGCACGTGTCCATTTTTTGGATGGCAACTAAACCAAGCCCAACTACGCGCATGATTTTTCGAATTTAGAATAATTCAACCTGCCGAATATGCCATTCGAAAGTGGAAAACCGTATTGTCCATAAAGTACCCGTCCAAGGCCAGATAGACGGCGCAGGCACCAAATGATCGTTGTCGCTGCGATTGGCCAACATTGGTTTGGACCCGTGGGACCCGTCATGGTTTTCCAATTGCGACTATGGAACACACCCAATGCCGAAGATTCAAATAAGATCCCACGAGACGATGACAAATTGTCAGATCAAACTCAGAGTGCGTCGTCGTTCACAGCCTAAATTCTTCTCTCATGTGGACCTCTCTGACAGAGGCGGACGGCAAGGTCGTTCCCTTGGGTTTATGCTTCCCCGTTACCAAAATCAACAAAACCCTAATGGAATGTGCCCCAAAGCCTGGTCTTCAAATATGGGTCTTCGAAATTTGTCTGTAATCACAACATGCAACACACCTCTGCAGAAAACGGCAATATAATGGCATGTACTCCAATGTTACAGCATAATGGGTTCAAAAAGAATCGGGAACGAGCTTACAGTGCTTTCAGATAAGAAGACATCCTTCAACGAGTCATGATTGATTGGTTCTCATGTGGATTTGCAAAACGGAGCCACAAAGCCACAACTGAACTGGGGCAGTCCGAATCCAATGGAGCCCCGGGCCACTGCAAGATCTACAGCAATAGACTGACGCAATGGCGCAACTGTATAAGTTCAAGCGCAGAGGCATGACCTTTCTGCGAGTCTTGAGTAGGGGAAGACACTGCCATACGCTCTACAAAAACATTTGCAGTCTCTATGTGTTTTCAAATCAGTCGCTCTGATCCAAACCCGAACCAGAACACATGTGTTTCATGTGAAGGTAAAGAGACATTTGAAACCTGGATACCAAGCAACCCGAAGCCACTCGATGCGCTTACATCCAGAAAGACAGACCAAAATGGCATATTCACGTCGGGTCTCAGTGTGATCTATAAAGGAGTAGCGTATTGCTAACTATGTCCGCCTTCGGTCACAACCCACGTCATTTATAAAGCACGCTTCGCTCGATGTACCTACGGTGAAACATGCGAGATTCCTGTCCCAACAACTGCAGAAAGCAACTGTTCCTCCTTGGCGGATCTTCCATGTCTCCTTGATGAGAAGCCACTATGTATCCAGATAATGGTCAACAGGCGCACATACCTTCTCCTTACGGTGCCTTGAACTGGATACTCGTTGGCCTTCCCGCCGACTTCGGTAGCCGAAACAACATGTCAACATTCGAACTCACAATGGGCGGATGCATGCCATAATCAACGTGTTCGAAACGATTTTCCACATTCAGAAAATGGTCAAAATGTTGTTTTCCTGATATCCTTATTGAAAAAATTGAGAATGGAAAGATTGCATAACTGGTGCCATTTTGAGACCCGAAAGTACTCGAACGCCTTTACATGCCGTTGGGTTCTATCTGTTTCGAAACAACAAGCCAATGGCGGGACTGCTCATGTGCTGAGACACTCCACTCTGCAACCAAACCGACAGATGGCTCCTATATGTCTCCACTTTTGTTGTCGGAAGGTCCAAAGGGGCGAGCTCTCTATTAAATATCCTCCTTCCGCCTGACTTTCCTTTCCGAAACACCGAACTGGAGGAAACTGGACCTGAAACCCAAAAATGGGACTTGGAGACAGATGGGCTGGGAGCCGAGAGCTTTCCAACCCCTTGCTAAACGTCCCTGACACTCAGTCCTTGATGACCGCGATGATGTCCGCACCTGCAATTCCAAAGCCGATATGTCGCGCTCATGAGCAAAGTCAATCGCATTCACGGATGTTTCCCGGATATAATACATGCGGGGACTTGGTGTACCACGGTGTGGAAAGATGCTAAGCCAGAATAAAGGAGTCGATGAACATTCGTCATCCCGAAACTTTGAACATACATAGCCGGCACTCCACCTGCTAAACCCACCCGCACGAAGGCACATGAAGACACACGAAGACACACAACGCGTATGGCCAAGTGGAACCAATTGAAGCTTCTACTAAGTCGCCCTCTCGCACCGAAGGTTCTGTAGAATGCTACACTGAAGATCCTTGACAAAAACTTCATGCAGAAAGCAGGCTTTCAAACTGGTATACAGCGATGTGATGTTTGTGGCAAGGTCATGAGATCTGTTCAAAACTGCACTAGAAAACGGGGTTTCGTCCCTTTGGGTGTTTGTCTAAACGATGTCCTAGTCCACCCATGTGTTGCGAGAAAGAACAGATTTACTTTTTAAATTCTGTTGTTTAAAGATATTATGAGATTTTGAAGAACGAAAACACAAACCTATTCAACTCTATGTCCAATGTCTAACATTCCTGGAGGTGCATCTATTGTCGACTCAGCTCTCTTCACACCACCAGCAGACAAAAGGTCCAGAAGAATGAATGGGTACAAGCCATATGTCGTTGAGAAAGCATCCTCTAGTAATTGAGAAGTTTCCGCCTCGCGGTCATGTCCGTTCCGGGAAGTCCAAGTCACACCAAAAATATTATGGGACGAGAATGATGTTCGGGAAATCCCATCAATTCTTCTGTCCGGGTCCGAAAAGACGGAAATATGGCAACCGCATGGGTCGATGTTGTCGTCGTGTCTCACTTGGCTTCAAAAAAGGGCAGCTCAGAAGCCATGGGCATGTACGGTTTAATGTCGCCGAGTCCTGCTATGTTTTCCGACCGAAAAGGCAGTTTTCCGACCGAAAAGACTCTGTGAGAATTGTGATGTCACAAAAGGCGGCGACCGATTGCAAGTTATCGAAATTTTTTACTTCTCAAGACTGTAACGTGCTAAGAGATCTGGAATCTGAGAGCCGCAAAGTCCGAATGCTAGCCATCAAAATAGATGGATTTCCAACACGGTTGAGAAACATCATGAATCTCCAATATGTATGCCAGAAGCATATGATAGGCATTGCATTCGTTGTCGATGGATGCGAAAAAAACAACCTAAACACGCCACTTCATGCAAGCTTCAAGTCTACGGAACGAACAAACCTGAGTCGATGATCACTCCAGTAGCCGAATACAGCCACACGAAAGCCATGTATAATCCAGCTATGAGTAGGGCGGGAGTTCGGCAGGGCTTATAACCAGAAGATTAGTTGTGGCAAAGTGATGGATTAGTTCTACCTAGGAGTCGGCCGATTACCCTACGTGACTCTTGCCAATCAAGCGAGAAAACTCTTTATGGGACGACTGGGAAGGAGCTCTTCAGGGGAACATCTCAGCACTTCCACCACGCTCTGTCTACCCTGTATCGTGAATGTGACACGAGCGGAAACCGTTCGTTGAACTGGGGATAATCAGGGCTGGCAAAGAAAAATCGACACTAACTCAATCATGCCAACTGTCAATCATGTATTGCCACTGAGTACACAACATACTGCTCATATCGTTACATCAAACTACGCTTTCTATCACGACCTATGTACGCAAGCCGTCAAAACACATCCAGAACATACGATTCTCCCCTATGGCTGCAACAGTCACACCATTGCATTAACGACACCCTATGACGCAAACACATTTCTGCTTGTGCTACGCGTCACCCTGAATGGTCAGTTTTGGGAGCATGGCACGGGAGAAAAAGCCAAGTCGCGAAATGGACTGTTTATGAACGTAGAGTGCGATAATAGTAAGGAACCATGGGACAAGCGGATACGCACGCTCCCATGGCGCTCAAAGATGTCGCTCCACTTCGTTCTCACGGTTCTTTCTTTCGGAAGAAATTACACAGAAAATTTCTCAGGGAGAATACCGTAACACCGCGCTTTATGCCCACGATTCTAGTCGAGCGCGAGGACCTCCGGTCACATCATGTACCGTCTGCCCATTCTGTCCGAGTTCTCTAGAGCGATCTGCATTAGAACTCAAACCAGTGTGTCCTCTGCATGCATGGGCCCGGGCAGGTTGCGATTGACGAGTTAGCAAGGGCATCTTCATGATACGGCTCGGGCGTTTCTCGTGCGCAATTGTGGGAATATCCCATCTTTTTGCCTACTGTGTATGAACAGCCTTTTCGGACGTCTTCCACACACGGCAAACAAACCAGAATCTCTCATCACATTTTAATGTACCCACCTCGGCGAACTCAAAAAACCCGCAGACGAGAATGCATGATTTTTGACGCCCTTCTGGCATCTATACCCGATTTAAAACTACCAACTGATGCTCCTATGGCAAAACTTCTCGGACGAGAGGCGATGAAGCGGAGGAATGGGAACGCCAAAAAAGAATTTATCGTTTAAGCGTGGTTATAAGCAACAGCCTTGACGGATTTCCAAAAAAAGAAGACGCTTTATGCTTGTGTTTCAATATTCGAACTACCCAAGAAATCTTCAATGCAGGCTTCGCACAGCAACAAGACAACAGGCATCCTCCCATGAGGTCCACCCTGGAATCTTTTATAAATGATGACATGCCGCAAAAAGATTTTGTACCCTTTGTGCCGACGTTCCGATTTGAACGCTGCCGACGAAAATATCATCCAAGACCGGAATGATGAACCCAAAAGAAGTGCAAAGCGTCTAATGTTCGACACCGGTACGTGGGTACAAACGACGTGCAGTTCCAATCCAATCCCATTTAACACCAGAACTCCGAAGATATGAAACCTCCAAAAATGTGAACAGAACGTCATGGTTTCTCCTCCCTTCCTATGTGCTCACTACAGACAGAGTGCGGGCATCTTTCAGTCTCACAACCTCCAGTCACTTCTGACGCATGTGGGTGGGTCAGAAGGAAGTCACGTGAAATTTACATAACCGTCTTGGCAATTTCTGTTTGTGGCAAGCGTAAAAACGCACAGACCATCAGTGACGACAACCGGCGTCACCATCTGTCTCTGCCAACTCCGCCTGGAGATCCTCAAAGTGAGATCGGAAGCGATATGGAGTCGACTTCTAGGCCTCGTCTTCGCAAAGAGTATCAATCCCACTAACCCCTCTCTTGATATCCACCACCCAGAAACACGCTCCGGTGACCATTATGGCACCAGATACAGTAAAAAGAACATCGAAACGCAGCCATGAAGACTAAAATACAAGTACAGCCACCCCACCAAGAAACGATCATCCTGATACTTGGACCCTGTGGCACCCTTTGTTTCCCTGAAATCCGGATTCCAGGGTTTTGGCCCGAGTGGCTGCTGAAGTCATAGGGTATAGCTAGTAGAGGGTTATGAGAGGTTTGTACCACCGTCCTCTAAGGCTGGCTTGCAGGGAACAAAAGTTGGATGAAAGAAATACGTCACCGCTGCAACTGGACATACTTGTACAAATGGTAGAGCGGATATATATCCAAGATCTACACTCCAGGAATTCTTCTAGAGAATAACTTATCAACACATTTCACACCGTTCGTACATACACATCTCCCCGGTGACGATCGCAAACATCCACCTCCATCGCTGAACCCATACTACCAACCCACCAAACCACTCTCAACCGAACACCGCATCCCCTCACAAAAAAAGAAAAATGGCAGGACTCCTCGGCGGCGGCAACACAAACAAAAAGTCCGGTAACTGCGGCGGCGGCCTCCTAGGCGGGTACGTTCACCCATCCCTATCCCCTCTCCCTCTCCCAAAGCAAACACCCTCCTAACTCTCCCTCCCAGCGTCCTCAACACCGTAAACGACACGACCAAGAACATCCCCGTCGTCGGCGACGTCACCGACCCCTTACTCCAAACCGTCGGCGGCGTGACGGACGAACTCCCCATCGTCGGGTCCGGCGGTCAGGCTTCGGGGAAGCAGGCGCAGCAGCAGTTGACGCCCGAGCAGGCGGCGGCGCTGCAGAAGGAGAGGAAGAAGAGGGCAATTGCGTTGAAGAAGCAGCAGTTGGCGCTCGAGGCTGAGGAGATGGGGTTGGATGATGAGTAATGGTTTTTATACATGTGTATGAACGGATAAATGATGGTGATGGGGGAAGGATTGATTTCGAATGATTGATGATGGGTCTGGATGCGGGCATCGAGACGATGATTCACGCTAATGCTTCGGATTTTGCTTGGAGTTTCTACTTGTATGCTGTATTATATGATATCAACGTTACGCTATGCAAAACGCCATTCGCAACGCACTTTCCATGCTTTCCAAAGCTCCCACTCACTACACTACACACCCCTAACCTTCCTGTAACTCGGCGGCCTCAACGTCCGTCCCAGCAGCTTCCCACCGTACACCGGCCCCAACGCCACTGCCAGAATGACCACCCCCTTCCACCAAAACGCCCCCTCTTTCAAAAACGCCAAATCAAAATACCTCTCCAGAAACGGCACACTTCCCCAATAAACACCCGCCGTCCCAAGAATACATGCCGCCATGATCCAGTGCCACGTTGTAACCTCCACAGCCACCATAACCAGTTCATTGAGCACCAGAACAGAGAAAGAAACGCTGACCATGCGTTTGAAGATATCCGTGTCGTCGTTTCCGACGCCGACGAGGAGTTGGCTGAGACCCTGGATGATGCTGCCTTGGTAGATGGAGACGGCGACCCAGATGAAGAAGGACTTGTAACTGAGTGAACGGCCCGTTTTGAGCTCCGCGTAGAGCTCCGGGTACAGGTTTGCGACGCTCTCGTCGACGTCTCGATCCAGGACGAGCGAGAAGACGGGCGCCATGGTGTATACAGTGGAGTATCCTACGAGTAGCCAGTCTTTGTAGAGGGCGTTGGGTTCGAAGGAGGAGGCAATGCTGTAGACGGTTTGGCAGATGCTGATGATGAGGCCGCGGTGGATGACGAATTGGGAGAGTTTGGCCGAACGTTTGTAGCTGTTGCGACCGTGCCAGACAAGCAGCTTCGTCAAATGGCAGAACTGCGTGATGGAGAAGTCGGCAGCGAGGGAGGCCTGCCGGCCTTCCTTGCCGACAATTCCGACACCGACGTCTGCGGCTTGGATCATGGAGACATCATTGCCGCCGTCGCCGATGCAGCAGACGCGCTTGTTGGTAGATGAGCGGATGAGCTTGGCAATATCGGCTTTCTGAGTAGGGGAACAGCGGCACGCAACGACGGTGGGCAGTTGCACTGCAATGGAAATGAACTCGGATCGGTAGTGGGTAAGCATGAGGGCAAGCGATTCACCGTCAATGAGGAGACAGGCGTCGGTTTTGCTACGAAGAAAATCGAGGGAGTCATGCGCGAGGTCTTTGCGTTTCACTAGAAGGATTAGACTTATGAATGGCAGAGAGATGGGATACGTACTCTTTGCGATGGTATGCACATACTGCCCTCGCGCGACAAGCTTCGAACTAACAGCGACACAGCGCGCTGTTTCCACTTTGTCGCCCGTCAGCATCCAGATCTTGATACCAGCGTTGCGGAGAAGCTCCAAAGATGGCTTCACGTCCTTCTGCAGCTTGTCTTCGACACCAGTCACTCCGAGGAGCTCCAGGTCATGCTCGAGATATTCTTTCACGACGTCCGCAACTGCAGCGTCTCGGTTGTGCAGTGCCAGCGACGCTTGGGCGTGCTTGGCTGAAAACTCCTGGTAGCTTTGCGCCGACAGCTTCTTGCGCCCCACTACCAATGTCCGCAGCCCTTCTCGGGCCATGTTGGCCGTCTCCTCATCCAGCCAGTCATTGGCAGCGACAATCGAGGTCATGACCGTGTCCGCTCCTTTTTGGTAGAACCAGATTTCGCCATCTTCCGCAGATGGCGATGACTCGGGGCCATGATAGAACTTGACGACAATTCCCATCCTCTTGCCTTCTGATGTGAAGGGGAAGACATTTAGTATGCGTACACGAACGACGACATTGCCAGTGTCGCAAGACTGAAGCGTCATCGACTCCCTGTCGCGCTGGAGGAGCCTTAGACCCACGTTCTCTGTCCAGCGGACAATGGCGATCTCATCAGGAGATGATGCTTGGTAGGTCGTGACCATGTGGCCATTCTCTTCTTCGGAAGTCGGAGTAACATTATGGCAAAGTGCTAGCGCCAGAACCACATCTCTCACCCTGGATCCGATCTCGCGTCTGGTTCGCGTAGCTGAGGTCAATGGCGCAGTATAAGTAGACGATGGTGTCACGAGCGAGGGTGCCTCGCCAGCTGGAGGCGAGAAGCTCTGTTTGACATAAGAGGCGACCTCCTCCATGGCCTCGTTGGCATAAGAGACAGTGCCAACATGTATCTTTTTCATCTCCATCTCTGCTTTGATCAGCAATTGAACTAGCCGTGCAGTGGATAAACATACCGTTCTGGGTGAGGGTGCCTGTCTTGTCGCTCAACAGATATTCTATCCTGCCCAAATCCTCAGGGATTGTGCTGGTCCGCACGACAGTATCGGGTATGGTTTTATCATGCTCGATAAACCAGGCATAAACTGACTTCCCCATATCCAGATTCACTCGCAATCCGACCGGGACAATGGTCGAGAAGAGGATCAAGAACCGCATCATGGAGACGTACCAAGAGCGCCCATCAATCTCACGGAACTTTGCTAAAGCAACCAGCACGAATGACAGAGATAGGGTGAAGATACAGAGAAACTTCGTCAGAGCGTTGATCTCATACTCCAAAAGGCCAGTCTTGGATCTGGAAGGCGACGTGGAAAGCGCTTGTCGCGTCTGAGGACCAGTATACACGACTACAGCCAACACGCTACAGCTTGAGGCGAGCACCGTATTCGCCCATACAGTGTTGTCGATGCTCAGGGGAGCTGACTTGACCTCATCACCAGACGCTTGATCGTCATTGTGTGGATCATACTGGCGCTGCCGTCTCGGTTCCAGCTCAACTGTGCCAAAGAATTCGTTCACCTTCTTGTCTGGTTTGCCGGCAATCACGCGTAACCTGGTGTATTCTCCGACGTCGAGATTCTGAGTCAGCGGTGAAGTCAGACGCAATTTCCAGTCGGTTTCGCCATCAAGTTGGTCGGTCCGAATGAATGCTTCGCCAGACGTAGGAGCAGCTAGGGCGGGGCCACTGTTGGATAGATTCTCGCAAGCGCCGATGGTAGTAGCGTGTTCATCCAAAAGGGTCGGTGGCGTGCTAGGGTCGTGGCTCGTTGGACTTGCAGGAGGCAGGCTTTCAGGAGAGTACGTCTTCAAGATGACCATGTCTGCGGGCACTCGTTGATCCTTGGATAGACGTACGACATCTCCTACTTTGAGATTTCGCGAAGGCTTCGTGACTTCCCAGAAAGTAGCAGTCGCTAACCCTTTGGTTGTGGAAATGGATGACTCCTCATCTCCAATCTCGCTCGTGCGGCCAGCCGCTCTTTTATTCCCCTTCCTCAACCTGCGCTTCTGCGCCGTGCTCTTGCCAGGAGCCACTCCATTACCGGTACTATTCTCCTCAAACTTCAAGACTGTGTAGCCTTCAGAGTTGGCTTCCGCGTCCCTGCGCCGACGCGCAATATCATCTAAAGCTTCCTTTCCAAGAGTGATCGTGATGACAAATGCGAGTGGAGCGATATATGTCGACAGGTAACCAATGCGGAGGGCGGGTATGATTTGAGATAATGCGACAAGCAGAAAGTACATATTAATAAAAAAGGAGAATTCGTTATACAGGGTCCGTGGGAGGAAACTCCAAGGTGTATACTTTGCGTTCGAAACGGCGTTCGCAGGAAATCTGGAAGTCTGAATTCTTCCCACCGAGATGGTTCGCTGCGAGGTGGGATCATGCTCCTCCTCAGGATCTGATTCCTCCTCGTCGCCTAATCGTATACTAAACTCCTCCGGTCTCCTCCCAGAAAGGAAACTCGGAAGGCGTATGTTGGAGCTTATCCGAGAGAGTGCAGAGGGAGGCTGCTGGCCTCCTCTTTCCTTCCGCCGCACACTGTGCGTTGGTAGCAGTGGGGCGTCATCGTCACCAAGCTGGGCTGAGCTGCCACCAGAATCTCTGTTCCCGCCATCATGATCCTCTATCAACTCCCGGAGATCCTCCTCTTCTGCTTCGTGCGCCTTACGCGTATTTCGGAGCCTGCTTGCCCTCAGACTACGCAAAGGTATCCTAGCCCCAAGCTCATGAAATGGCTTCCTGGTTTCCCTCGACGGCCGTGGCGACGGGGAAGTGGCAGTCCTCGAGGAGAGAGACAGCGGGTCGAGCTCCTCGAGGTCTAGGTCAAGGTCGGAGTCGTTCTCATCGGGGGCATTTGGTTGGTGGTATTGATGTGGAGCAGCCATCGGTCATGGAGAGCGCTGGAGGTGAGGAACGATGTCTGCTATGATCGCAGATATATCATGAGACGTGAACAAGTCTCTTCACGGATTCGAACATCTGGCGGGACGTAGTCTATGTTTAACGTAGAAGCGGGAGAGTAGACCCTGAGCTTGGGGAGCTACTAGGCGGCCAGTTGTCCTTTTGGGTTGCCGGCGCAGAGAATGGGAGAGCGATCCAGCGGTTGGCAAGGCCGGCGCGGGCGTGCAGTATGGTAAGCGGTTCTCCAAGCACGGTGAATGATTTATGCGAGGCTGCGAGGGCCGGGAAAGGGAGAGTCCTGCTCCCGTCGGCGGAGGTGGACGGGCGAGGTTGCGGAGGTGCCACGCAAAGTGTGGCTTGGCTGTGGCTGCTGGCCGAATGTGGCGTCGAGGGCTCTCTTCGATGCAATCAATAAACCACGCCATACGAGGAACACATGGCCTCTTCTCAACACTCACATTTCCACTTGTCAACCATGCAGCCGGGCATCGTGTTCCCTTTCTAGCTTTTCGGACGGGCTTCCTCCCACCGGCCGTTTTCTGTTAGTCCTTGTCGCTTATTGCCTCTTCTGCTTCTCTGTATAGGTACGTTCAGGGATGACCCCATGGTCATGAAGCTTCAAGCCCTGCATAGCCATATCAATCGCACGCTGGCGATGTTGTTCGATTGCTGGCCGGCTTTGGAGACCTCTTCGGCCTCTTCCTACCTTTCCTGTTCCCGTTGAAGTCTACAGCACGCGACCCATCTGGACAATCACCCCCTGACGCAGCTTGCGCAAACTGTCACCATTCGCGTCGACTTCGTTGCTTACATCTCAGACAGTATTTGCATATACCCTCTGTACCATACACGATAATCAAGGGCCATGGCCGACAACGACGCGCCCGATCTTTCGTCCGCATACGCAGGCATCTCGAGCTCCATCACAACTCACTCTTCTTGGAATCCTGCGCTACGACCCGACCATGACGAACCTCGGACTACCGCACACCCTGCGAAATCTCCAGTGGTAGATGCGCCTACCGGCGCGCCCACTGATACCCCAACACATGCGCAATTTTCCGTGGACGAAGCAGTTGAAGACAGCGAACTCATTGCTCCACCAACAGCGGCGGAGCAACAAGTTGACTCGAGTCATTTCGAGGTGGACCCCAGCTCCGCGGAGGACTTCTTCGACCGCCATGATTCTGAGGACAATTTTGAACACGCTTCTCAGCAAACAAGTGCTGGCCCGCCCGCCCACGGGGATAACGGAGGTGAGATCGGTGGCCTAGCTAATGGGCTAGAGAGTCGGCCGACACAACGTCCTAGAGAAGATACACATGTAAGCCCTGGAACGTCTCGGCCATCCCCAGAAGACAATTCCCACACCAGACAAGCGTTGGAGGGGCACGCAGCTGAGAAATACGAACACCAAGGCGAAGGGACGCTGTTAGAAGAGGCTGTTGTGGACGATGCAAAGGCACCTCTCGTTCCGGACACGGAGTCGGCCACCGACGAGTGGGAGGCTTCGGGAGAAGTGTTTGATTTGGGTGGAACAGCCCAGGATGCACATCCGTCATCATCAGAGGAACACCCGTTGCCTAAGGCCACTGCGGAGGCTGCCGGGACGACTGTTGGAGATCAAGTGATTGGCAATACCACGGTCGGCGGCAATATTGGCGAAGAGATAGACTGGGGAGATACAGGCGACTCCGATTTGTTTGGTACACAGGCCTCGACAATGCAGGGTGGCAACGTTAGTACTGCTGATGCATCAGCGTGGGATCTAGCTCTGGATGACGATTTTCTACCTGATAACGAGGACGGGACTGCTCCCTTTGATCTCGATGAAGATGGATTCCTCGAAGATGAACCGGTTGAGCAGACTGCCCACTCCCAGAGTCCGTCGAATCGATATGCTCCACAAGCAGTTCAGACTCCGGCTACTCAACCTGCTCCCAGTCCCTATACTCCGCCAGCTCCACAGTTCACCGACTTCTCTCAGTTGAACCAAAAGCAGCCAATCGCAACGCCGAACGTTCCTTATGGTGGATATGGACAACCCACTCCCTATCAACCACCACCACCCAGACCTGCACAGCAAACTTCGGCCGAAAGTTTTGTGGATAAGTCCAAGGGGGGGTACCATTCGCCGTACGATTTGCCAGAGGATGTGGTGACAACGAGAAAACGGCCTGCTGCCCGCCCTACCCCAAGCCCTTATGGACAACCCACTCAACCGCCCTCCAGGAGTGCCAGCAATGTGTACACTGCCCCTGCCACTGCCGCCGTCCGCCCACCTCCACCCATGGGTGCCCCTAGCTTGACGCCGCCATCTTCGAGCCAGTCCAACATGGCCTCCATGACTGGCATGCCCCCACCCCCAAAGCCCGCTCCAGCCAAATCACCCTCAAGTGACTTCTTTGCTGAGCTGCCGGTGACTATCAAACCTAAGCCGTCAGGGCGTCACACTCCGCAATCGGCCCCATTACAGCAACCACCTCCACCCCATGGGCCACCGCAACATTTACAAAAGGAACGTACAAGTTCATGGTCATCTTTAAGAAATGAAGTTTTCCCGGATGGGCATAACGTCCCTCCCCTACGTCAGCCTGAGCGATTGCCTGTATTTCCGGATCAGCCCTCGGTTCCTGTCCGTTCCAACACCTTTCCCATCCCTCCACCTGCCTCCACGACCGTGCCTTCACGCTACTCTCCGCAGCCACCAACAGCGCCGGCAGCATCTACAGCCATCAATCGGTACTCACCCGCCCCTGCGCCCACCGGGGCAGGCGCAAGATATTCTCCCGCGCCATCCCCCGCTCAAACGCAGATGCACAATCGATATGCATCCGAACCATCTCCCGGCCTGCCAAGGACGTCTGCACAGCCGTACGCTCCTCGCACAAGTAGTCCGCTAGCCCACCATACCCAACTCCGGTCCCACGAAGAACCATCTCATGTCCCACACCTGGCTGATCATAGGGGTCCTGAACAGCATCAAGCTGCGCCCACAGACAATGTTTCGGGGTTACCATACCGGACATCGTTAGAGGGTGTGCGAGAGATCGATGAGGAAACACAAGCTGTCTCCCAGCCTTCAGCGCCAGCTGTTTCCGCAAGGTCGGAAACACCTCCGATGAGAAGTGGCCCTGCTTCGGTGGTTGACTCGCCGCGGAAAACATTGACTTACACTCCGCACTACCAGCCCACCACATCCCATGGAATGGGCGCAGGTGTCGCCGCAACCGGGCACTCGCTTTCGCAGTCGCCGGAGTCAATCACCAAGCACACTGCGCACCGTCATCTCTCGTTGGACCATGGGGCAGATGTATATGGCGTGCCTCCAACTCAGGGTTTTGGTGCTCCCTTGGCTTCGCAACGTAACATCAACGTTATTCCGCACAGACGCCAAATATCGCATGATTTCGCTTACATACCGCCTCAAGATGAGCGCTCCGCAGATCCGCTTGAACGTTGGAAAGGATATCCGATATTCAAATGGGGTTTGGGTGGAACGGCTGTCACGTCCTTCCCTAAACAAATTCCCCGCTATGGAGGTGGTGCGTCTCAGCCCATGCTGAAATGTTCTCCGGGCGAGGTCAAGCTCCAGAGCATGAAGGACACATTACCGCTTTCAGAAGAGGTTGTGAAATTCCCGGGGCCCCTGAAAACGAAAAATAAGAAGAAAGATGTCTCCGCGTGGTTAGGGAAACACATCGAGAGCTTGGAGGTTCAACTAAGGGCACCTGGCTTCGAGCATTCACTGAGCCCAGACACTTTCAAACGTTTTCAGGAAAAAATCCTGCTTTGGAAGGTTCTACAGATTTTAGTTGATAACGACGGCCATTTGGAGGGTAATGCGGCCGTCGACGCTGCCGTTCGAAAGGTCTTGGCACCAGAGGGAATTGACTCAACGTCCAAGTTAACTACTTCCGTCCCTACAGCGGCAGATCTTGTGGGTGAGATATCCAGGTCGACCCCTTCTGGCTTTCACTCTGATCCGGTTGATCCTACATCTGTCGGTGATCTACGGGGGCTTCTTACCAAGGGAGAGAGGGAGAAGGCCGTCTGGCATGCCGTGGACCATCGTCTCTGGGGACATGCTATGCTGCTGTCCTCCACTCTGGACAAAGACATCTGGAAACAGGTTGTGCAAGAGTTTGTACGAAAAGAGGTGAAAAAGGCTGGGCCTGATAACCAAGCCTTGGCTGTGCTGTATGAGATCTTCGCCGGCAATTGGGAAGACTGTGTGGATGAACTCGTGCCCGCTTCGGCACGAGCTGGTTTCCAGATGGTGAGCGCTGATGGCGCTGGTCCTACCCAGAACGCGTTGCAAGGACTAGAGAAGTGGCAGGAGACGCTTTCACTGATTTTGAACAACCGGAGCAATGGAGATTCAGCAGCCCTGCTTTCTCTCGGACGACTGTTGGCAGGTTATGGGAGGATTGAGGCCGCCCACATATGTTTTCTCTTTGCCCGCCACGTTGCCTATGTCGGCGGTGTCGATGATGCGCAATCTGATATGGTCCTCGTCGGCGCCGACCATCGCGCACACCCTTTGAGTCTCGGTATCGAAATGGAACCGATCCTTCTCACTGAAGTCTACGAGTTTGCGCTCTCGCTTGCTGCACCGTCTGGCTCTCACATTATACCACACCTTCAGAACTACAAGCTGGCTCGCGCGCTTACCCTCGCCGAGTATGGCTACAAGTCTGAAGCTCAGGCTTACTGTGATGCTATAGCAGCTGCTATGAAGGCTACTACTAGGATGTCGCCTTACTACAATGGCACCTTTATTGCCGGCTTGGATGATCTAAATAAGCGCCTCTCCCAGTCGCCCAAGGATGGCTCATCTTGGATATCAAAGCCGAGTATGGACAAGGTGTCAAGTTCTCTTCTCTCGAAGTTCAACAGCTTCATCGCAGGAGAGGACGATGATGTTGCGTCGAATAATTCAGCAGAAGTTGGCCCCTTCGCTAGGATTGCCGGTAACACGCCGACACTCAGCCCGTCCCATTCCAGTGCGGATCTGTATGGTGCCTATTCGAGCTCTGGTGGCGCTTCGGCTCCCCCGTCACTGCCTGCAAATTCCCGTTACGCCCCAAGGGCCTCGTTGGATAAGAGCGCCACAGCATATGAGCCTCAGGGCAGGCCTTCGACCGAGTCGCAATCGTCGAACCCATATATTCCATCACCAGCACTGTCTGGACCTTACACTCCGCAGTCACAATTCAGTCCCACAAGTGTTCGACCCGAGCCATCTAAGGCCCAGAGCTACGCTCCGCTAAAAGCTCCTGGGGCATCATCATCGCACAACCCATACCAGCCGACGGCGCCGCCGGGGGAACACAACACACCATTCTCCGGGTATCAACCTCCGCAAGAAAGCTTCGACAGTGCGCCATCCCATGAAAGTACACAGTCGTCTAATAGCTATGAGCCACCTGCCATGGGCGGTTACGAACCTCCTTCATACGAGCCTTACAACCCAGGAGACGAGGATAAAGCCGATGACGAGGCGGAACCGCGCAAGAAGAAGTCATTCATGGACGATGACTCAGACGACGACCTCATCGCCCGTGCCGCCGCTCTAAAATCAAAGCAAAAATCCGAAGCCGACCGCCTTGCGGACGAAGCCTTCCGTAAAGCCGCCGAAGCCGACGCTCAAAAGGACAAAGAGACAGCCAATAACAAGAAGAGCGGAGGCGGTTGGTTCGGCTCCTGGTTCAAGAAAGATCCAAATGCATCTCCTGGTCCTATCAAGGCGAAGCTCGGCGAGGAGAACTCCTTCTATTATGATCCCGATTTGAAGAAGTGGGTTAATAAGAAAGCTGGAGTGACAGAGACGGCGAAGACGGCGACTCCGCCGCCACCGAAGAGTGGACCGCCAAGTAGGAGTGTGAGTGATGTGGGTGGTCCTTCGGCTCCGCCCTCGTCAGGGGCGTCGTCTGCAGGTCCGCCATCTGCACCGCCTTTTAGACCTCCGACGTCGAATCCACAGCGCAGTTCTTCGATGCCCCCGCCTATGGGTGGATTTGGCGCGCCTGGATCCCGCACGTCGACTCCAGGTGTCCCTAGTGGGGATGAAGGCGGAGCGGGTGGGAAGGCACCGCCTCCGTTGACGAGACCGCCGCTTGTGCCTGGGCAGGGGAATGGGCCGCATAGTAGACCTAGTACCGGGATGAGTAACGCAAGCAGTATTGATGATTTGCTTGGGGCGCCGGGACCGAAGAAGGGAGGCAGGGCGTTGAAGAAGAAGGGGAGTAGTAGGTATGTGGATGTTATGGCTCAGAAGTAGACGAGGGACGCGGGGAGAATGGATCGTTTGTATCTGATTGGTGTATTAAAATGGGGGAGGCGGAATTCAGGGATTGGCGTTTTTGGTGTGTTTTTGCGTTCAGCGGCTAGATGGGAATGTTGGCGGGGGAAAGAAGGGTAATGTAGAGTATTGTATGGGCTAAGCGTATTATGGGATTTTCTTCATCTGTCTGTTTTCATACGAATGATTTGGTACTTGCATGAAGTGTTACCTGGTGCGTTCATGTTGTTTCTCGGAGAGGGTAGATGGAAAGGCCGTAAAAACTGCAACGATGTAGGAGATGGTGGCGGTTCGGGCCGTCGCTCTCCTTCGTGGATGGCGTGGCGGAATTGTTCATGAGATGGAAAGTGACCGCATGTGAGCGTATAATCAATAATTGAGTTGTTGACGCATGCTGCGGACTTGGGAAAGTGAGTTTGATGAATTGATGGCCAGTATATGCGGGCAGTCATTCCAAGTCCCTGATAATGACCAGCGTCCCAAGTGACCATGAGTAGCACCACCAACTTTTCGCAAAATCTTTACTTGTCCAAAACCAACTCCGGGGCGCTTCTTGAGATAGCACTATTTTATGTGAATACAGATAGAAGGTCTGAGTGAAGAAATAGAACCCCTAATGCTCTGCTAGAGGATGATAGCGCTCATTAGATCATACGAATACAGGTCTGCGCGGATGAACTTATACAATTTCTCGTGTCGCGGGCACCACAGCGCCCTCATAGTACTTCTCCCGAAACACATCGTCCTTGAAATCGGATGCAAATGTGTCGAAGTTGCGCATAATGATGATTGTTGTCAAGCTGTCGTCCTTCACATGTTTGTTCGAGTATTTTGCCGTGATGAAAGAGAGAATTGGGGCACCGTGTGCGGGTTCTAACGGGGGGTTCCAAGTGTGAATACCATGTCTTTCTTCAAGCTGTGGTGGCGCAGGCTTCCACATCTTCTGTGAGAATCCTCACATGAAGATAGATGCCCATAGGAAGCCTCGAAAAGCCAAAACCCGACCTTAGAGCCTCACAGCTGCTTTGATCTGAGGGTGAGATTCTTCCTACCACCCTGCTCGGACATTTTGCTGCAAACTCTGTGAGTGGACACTGGCGCCAATCGTATCGAAACTCAACATATCCACGAAAGAATGATCAGTACTTAGAAGGTTGTTCTGCTTGCATTTCCTTCTAAGATACAAGTACTCCTCCATATACTCAAAGACTTGGGATACGAGACAGTGACTGACACTCTGGACAGCTATTGCAAAACCACCATAGCGACCACTCGATGTGACCTCATCGGATGGGACTCAGACTTCTGCTTCGACAATGAGTCTATTCAACCGGCGGGTTTAAAATATGCTAGCGCCAATAAGATACCCTATTCTGAGCGCTGAGTCGACGAATACCAGAGGTCCTCACGTTTTTGACGAAACGTTAACTTGCCCCGATACCAAAGACGAAGTCATAGAGAAATTGCGCAGTCTCTCTGTGTGTGAGCCTCCGGAAACAGTTTGTATCTCTCAAACTCTGGAATACCCTGTGACGCTACCAGGGCTATTGAGACATGGTAAGTGGGGGACTGGGAATTGGTTTTCAGTTGGACTGGTTGCATTCAAGTAGTTTGTTTCGTACCCCATTCGCATTCCGGAGAGCGGTTCTAGATCGCTTGCAGCATATTCAATAAGTAACTCAAGTAGAACTTACTACGAAATATAGATAATGAGTTAGAAAACGCAACCCACACCCACAGATATGTTGATACAGACAGATCGATCTGATAAGATAAGATCAGCTGAGTCAGCTGCTCATCCCTTGCATGTGAAAATGACTCGTCGCGGTTCCAGACGTTCCCCAAGCCGAGGCCGAGGACAGCACCCCGGACATAGATACCATCGTCCTCCAGCACGACTCCGCGTCCACTTCGCCATGCACGCAGTGTCCATGCAAGGCTGTGTGGACCATCTCGCCCCTCTTGGATTCAAGGACTACAATTGCTTCTGCCCATATCGCGGCGCTGTTTCATGAAACCGGGTGCGGGCCAAATAACCGCCCCGCCGAACACTGGACATGTCTGATTCCGTAGGTACGTGTTGAAACGTGAACATGAGGTTTCATTGTTTCTATTTATGTGATGACTGACCGCTTGGCTGTCCAGATAGAGTGTTCAGCCATGCTCTTAATACCGTTAACAAGATCCGAACCGGAGCGCAGAAACCGCCAACCGCCACGCGATTAAAGCTCTATGGATTATACAAGCAGGCGATGGGTATGTCGTAGGGAGCCATGGTGATTTTCGAGGCTAAATTGATTATAGAGGGGGATGTAGAGGGAATTATGGAGCGGCCATCCGGGAGTGGAGAAGAAGCGCAAGGCGCTCGTGAGAAATGGTACCTATTAGCTCGCGCATGCGACCCCTATGCCATGCTGACTATATCAGGGACGCGTGGAAACAGCAGAGCGGGCTCTCAAGAACGGAAGCCAAGCGGCGGTATATCACAACGCTTATAGAAACGATGCACAAGTATGCCTCGCAATCCGCCGATTCTCGCGAACTGGTTTTGGAGCTCGAATTCGTTTGGGATCAAGTCAAATCGAACGTACCCTCTTCTTCCTCCTCATCTCCGCTTCAGACTCTCGGTAGCATGGGGCTTCACATGCAACCTCCGCCAACCTATGCACAATTCAGCGGTTCGCAAATGAGAGATCCGGAGGACGAACGCTTACAGATAAGAAGTCCAATGTCTCAATCGGAAGAAGAATTACAGGAGGAGGAAGATCAGGTGGAGGAATTCGTAGACGCGCCAGACTCCCAATACATTCCATACACAGAAGGCGAAGACGCGGCTGTCCAGGCCGACCTCATACCACCACCGCCCGTCCCGATACCAAGAGAACCCGGAACCCCAGTTCCGCGCCCTTCAAAAGAAGATCTGGCGGATCAGAAATGGAAGAAGAGAGTCGAGCAAGCCCTGGTGAAGATGACAGCAGAAGTGGCGGCTTTAAGGGAACAACTGGAGTCGCGTCGATTGTTCAGCCATAGTCCGAGATACAAGTTCTTCCGCTTTGTATTCCGTTTCGTGTGGGGTAGCTTGAAGCACATCGCCGTAGATATAGCGATTCTCGTTCTGGTTCTACTATGGATGCGAAGCAAGAAGGATAGACGGCTAGAGGGTGCTGTCAGGGTCCTTCTTGGAGATGCAGTGGCACAAGTCCAAAGAGTCGGAGGTGTACAGATAGGGAAGATTCATCTGCCCAAACTCGGAAGCAAGAAAACCGCTGGTGGATGATGTATTGTCGCAGTGTAAGATATATATTCCGATGTCACTCAAGCCTCTTTCCCCCCGTGCTAGTTCCCTCCTTCACCCCTTACAGCTGCATGTTCCCCAGCGTCGTCCCATCCTCAATGTGCATCTCCTCTTCCACCTCCTCGATTCCCTCCCGCAGCCCTCCGGCATACGTCGCCTGGTCTCCCGCCTCTTCTGCTATCTCCCGCAGCGACGCCAAGTACAACTGGCGCGCTTTTTCCAGGTCCGAAACCAGCACCTCCGGCACGAGGTACAGCTCGTTCTTGTAGCTGCCCTGCCTGCTCTCCATCACCTGGGCGATATAGCCCAAAGTACGCTCTCGGTCCATGACCGCGGCGAGTGTCCAAAGTGCTCTCAAGAACCTGTTGGACCACAGGTTCGGGTCGACGAGGTCGGCGTCCTCCTCGTCGGTTTTGCTGCCGTCGGGGAGGGGAACCCGCGGCGCGATGCTTGCGGGGAGGATGTCGTAGGGGGTTTCGAGGCCCCAGGCCTGCATGATGGCGGCGAGGCGGCTCTCGGGGGCGCGATCCCGTTTGGGCTGCTCGTTTTGGTCGATGACCTCGGAGGCCCTTTTGAGGTAGTAGGTGGCATTGTCGCTGAGCAGGTCCCACCAAAGCCGGACGTGGTCATTGGAGCTGTTGACCAGGCGTAGCTGGGGGTGGTGGGCGTTGCAGGCACGCCGAATCGCCGTCATGATCTGAGAAGGACGGTGATGTTCATGGCGGTGTAGGGCCACCCGGAAGGCTTGCCCCCCCGTACTGGACGGAGAGGGTTTTCGTCTGTGTGGAGGAGGTAACTTTGGGCATGGTGGCGGATTGGAACTGTATGATGGTGTGTGGAAGAGGAGGATGGTGATGGCTAGGTGGCAGAAGGGTGTAGGAAGGGTGCTATATAGGAGGAGGCAAAGGGAAGGTGAAAGTGAGTTGAGCACTACGCTATGCTAGATAGGGAAGGGAGGGCGGCGTGAGCAGGTGAATGAACCTGGGTACCCGTTTGGGAACCATGGCAATCGGCTTGAGTAGGGGTATCACCGAAACTAGTCTCTTCAGTACTTGCAATTTTACTTGAAGAGATACGCCACGGAACGCTTTCGGATTTGTCGTGCTCAGTCTGCAGTGAGGGCGCAGGCGCAGTTTGGAATTATTTGCTGTATGGGTTCAAGGAACACATTCATGGACAGGACGCGACCAAGAGCATTACGAAGCGTAGTATGCCAATCTGTATCCATAGTCATTGGAGATAGGAAGTCGCCTTCCTATCTTGGAGCATAACCTTAGATCCCGGGGCGAGCCATAGAAAGTGGAAGAGGTTCCTCTGAGTGAGTGAAAGACGTGAGTGAAGCTTTGACGCACAACTGCAAACGGGGAACCCTTCCTACAACATAGGAGAAGCGCCACAGTCGGAGCCACACTCAGCATCTCCCACAATCTTTTTATGGTCTATATAAGCAATAAAAGAAGTAACTCTATCACCAAACAACATGCGATAGTCCAGGCGGTTGGGTCCTGCGTCTGGATCAAAAGATGCGCTTCTTCGATGCAGTCGGTCTATCAAGTGGAGTTTGGTAATTTTTTGGTCGACGGTTCGATTCACGGCGGCGCCTTTTTATTTTGCTTTTTTGCTTCGGTTTGTACGAAGTGAAAGGGCACCACCTGCGAACACGCACGATGACAGTTCACACGGCGAAACCGCAGCACACGAATTGAATACACTGAGGAAAAGCTCGCATTAAATGCTCTTTAAAGACCCTGGACTCCCATGACATGCCTGGTATCACCGTAACTCCATGCGATTACAATTCGGAAACCATGGACCTGTTATGTCACCCTCAGGGACACCAACAACCGCTCCCAGAATGCGCAAGACTACCACTCAAACCTAGTGACACCTGCATCAACATTTGCCCACAAACTCACATCACCATCCGCATCCTCCAAGAACCTGACACACCTCATCCTAGCCGCAGCGTTAGTCTCACCCAAGCGCGGTTCCTCGTAATCAGCATTGAGCCGTTTCTTGATCAGAGCACCCGTATACATGTTCCACACCTTCAAGCTCCCGTACTCGTTGGCGGCGGCAACGAGCCCAAGTCTAGAGTGGACGTCCATGCCTAGCTCGAGAACATCTTTGTTCCGGTACTCGCGGAACTTGGTGATACATTGCGAGCCCACGAAGGGATGTCCGTTCCTTCCGCGCCACTTGGTCACGGGTATGTGCTCCGGTCTCACCGGTGGTTTCGAGGCGCGCATATCGTAGGTGCAGAGTGTGTTGAAGAGGCCCGCACAGACTATCCTCGTGAAGTCGTCGGCGCGACGGAGGTGACTAATCGGTGCTGAATGCGAGAGGATATGTGCGGAACCGTGAGCGCGGGTGTCGTAGATTAGGATCTTGCCGTCACGTTGTCCCATGGCGATTGCGGTATCGGAGAGCCAAGTTAACGCTAGAATGTCTGAGGTTGACTTACGCAAAACCTCGCACTCCCATCTTCCCGATTGTGCACGCGTGTAGAGCTGCAAATTTGACGAGGCCGCGACAGCGACAGCCTCGGTCGCGGTGGCGGGTACACTTCGACCTGTCTCTGAGACGGAGAAGTCAGGTCTAGGAGACGCGCCCCATATGCTTGTGCAGTGTCGCGGTGTGAACTGCTCTCCAACATATGGGCCATCGGTCTCCGGATCCGTGAGGTACACGACTGGCGGGCGGTCAGAGCCAGAGGTTGTAATTACGAGGGCCCTCGAGGCTGGTAGGAAGTTCAATGAGGAAACCGGCGACGTCATCCGCGCAATAGTATCAGCCGGAAAACGAATACCTGGAAACGCCTCCTTAAGGTCGTGGCATAGGATCTGAGTCTCTCCGGACACGGCATAGAGAACTGACAGGTCGGGTCCGCGATCGAAATACCGGATGTTAGAGGGAGGAATGACAGAGTGACTGTCGTATTCCGCAATTCCTGCGCCCGGCCACACTGATTGCAAATAGTAACCCCGTCTTGCGATACCGAGTTCGCGCTCAAGGTAAACTCGTGATAGGGCACTCCTAGGCTGGGAGAGGACCACTGTTTGCTTCTTGCGGCGTTTGAACTGGCGCGTTTCTTCGGCCTCATTCCTCTTGTGCTCCCGTTGCTTCTTAACATTTGTATGGGTGTACTTGTATCCTGGTGCGGAGCGAGCTTCTGTTGTTATTCTGAAGTATTTGCCCTTCTCCTTGTCTGTTTGTTGTCAGCCAATTTTTCTGAAGTTGCTGCATGTCAGTTCTATGAGGAGCATCCGACCGAAGTAGAAGCCAGGAATCTCTCGACCGTCCATATTGCGCGGTTGAGGTTTGCTGCTTGCGCAACTGGCGCCGTCAATTTGTGTAGTGAGAGTTTTACAGTTTATGTACAACTGATGTCCAAAAAGAGGTTGCACTACTCATGGTCAAGCTTTCTTAGCGGCAGATCGCTCACACGAGTCATGCATGCTTACCTTATCGATAACGGCCACTTTGCCGAGGCAGATGCCACTTTGTGACGACACTCAACCACCAACCTGACGTTCCGGCGCCAGAAAATATGCAGAAACATTTCGCCTCCTAAACGGTTTCGTCTTCCCTCCTGAGAGTCTCCTCTTCGCCTCCTCTTCCTCGTTCTTCAAATTCCTTCTCTCTCCCTAGCACCTTTGCACTCGCTTCATGCTTCGACAGGTATTGTCCCCGAAGAACGCCACGTTGTCATACTTCCGCCTCTATCAAGTCATGTCGCACCTTCAGATGCCGAGTATAAACGGGTCGTCGCATAACCTCCATACACTATCTACTCTCCCAAAATCCAATGTCTTTACTTCCAACCTCCCGGCAGACCCAGAGTACCCCACTCCAGAAATATCTGATTCTGCGCCCCGCGAGGATCTGGGTCCCCGCATGGTCAAGAACGCACTGTTTACCTACGTCCGCCCCGAGATCACACACTCTCCCGAACTGCTGGCAGTTAGTCCTCGCGCTCTGCAAGACCTGGGACTGAAACCTGAGGAGGCGGAGACAGAAGAGTTTAGACAAGTGTTTGCTGGGAACAAGATTTTGACATGGGATGCTGAGAAGAAAGAGGGTATATACCCCTGGGCGCAGTGCTATGGTGGCTATCAATTTGGACAATGGGCAGGACAGCTCGGTGACGGACGCGCCATATCGCTTTTCGAAGCGACCAATCCCGACACCGGGGTGCGCTACGAAGTCCAACTGAAAGGTGCCGGCCGGACCCCTTACAGCCGATTCGCAGACGGGAAAGCTGTGTTGAGGAGCAGCATAAGAGAGTTCGTCGTGAGCGAGTATCTGAACGCAATCAGGATACCCACAACGCGAGCATTGGCATTGATACTTGCGCCGCGGTCAAAAGTCATGAGAGAACGCTTGGAGCCTGGTGCCATCGTGACCCGCTTTGCCCAATCCTGGGTCCGCCTGGGCACATTCGATCTCCCCAAAGCCCGTGGAGACAGGAAAACCCTCCGAAAGCTCGCAGACTACACGGCCGAGCACATCTACGGAGGATGGGAGCAGCTGCCATCCAAGCTGAAACCCGGTGAACCCAAAGATACATGGCACGACATAAAATACGACATTGCGAAAGACATGGTGGAAGGCCCAGCGGGCGAAGAAGAGAACCGGTACGCGCGATTGTACCGCGCCATCATTCGCGCCAACGCCCGCACAGTCGCCCACTGGCAAGCTTACGGATTCATGAACGGCGTGCTGAACACAGACAATACTTCCATTCTCGGGCTGTCAATGGACTACGGCCCCTTCGCTTTCCTGGACCAGTTCGACCCCATGTACACCCCTAACCACGACGACTACATGGGCCGCTACTCCTACCGCAACCAACCCACAATCGTCTGGTGGAATCTCGTCCGCCTAGGGGAAGCCCTAGGCGAGCTCATCGGCCAGGGCCCTGACGTCGACGATCCCACATTCGTAGAAAAAGGCGTTACGGAGGATGGTGCGCAAGTGTTAATCAAGCGCGCAGAAGGCATCATCGAGCGCGCTGGCGAGGAATACAAAGCGGTTTTCCTTGCCACATACAAGGAACTCATGACTGCTCGATTGGGCTTGAAAACGTTCAAGGAGTCAGACTTTCAAGATTTATTTTCCGAGTTGCTGGACTTTTTGGAGAAGTATGAACTTGATTTCCATCATGCGTTCCGCAGATTAGGACATGTGAACCTAGAGCAGTTGGCGAGTGAGCAGGGGAGAAAGGATATTGCCGGGTGGTTCTTCAAGAGCGATGCTGCCCCCAGACAGGAGGATGAGTCGAGGGAAAGAATCGCGCAGTGGTTGGAGAAATGGGCGGCGAGGGTTAAGGAGGATTGGGGTGAGGGGAAGGATGAGGAGAGGCAGGCGGCGATGGCGAGGGTGAATCCTAAGGTAAGCTTCGTCTTCCTCTATTACTGGTAGACGAACCGCTGACGTTTATTTGTAGTTCGTACCTCGTTCATGGATCCTCGACGAACTCATCAACCGTGTGGAGAAACAGGGGGAGCGCGAAATCTTGCAGCATATCATGAAGATGACCCTTAATCCTTTTGAGGAGCACTGGGGTTGGAATGAGAAAGAGGAGGAGCGCTTCTGTGGCGACGTACCGAAGTTCAAGGGGATGATGCAATGCAGTTGTAGCTCGTAAGCGGCATACTAAGCAATTTCGTCAACAGCATCCATTTTCGTTTACAATGCTAGACATTCTATCAACTGGAAGACAGGGTAGACCTGTGAATATAACACTGCAGATGAAACGTCTAACCATCCACTCCGCCAACCAAATACTCGCCCACCTCAATCCCCACACTCCGCCCCAAACTCCTCACCCACTCCCACCCGAAATTAACCCTCCACCTCGCACTCGCGTCGAGCGGATCCGCTCCAACCATGCCTCCCACTCTAACCAACAGTCGCATACTCGTCAACGTAGCAATCTGGGTATAAATATCCGCAAGTTGCGGCACAGGCGCATCTAACAAACTCCTAAAAATCGCCAACAATCTGTCTAGCGGAAAGGGTGATGGCGTGAGAAGATGTCTGGGTATGCGTCTGTGCTTGGACTTTGTTATTCCGGAGTGGGAGCAGACTTTACGCTTATTTTTGCGCTTGTCGCTGTGCTTCATGAAGTAGGTGGTGTCAGTGCGGGAGGGGTTGTAGCTGGCCAGGTAGGCAGATATGAGCAGGTGAGTGGTATAGTACGGAAGGTCGTGTTGGATGGTCTTTCGCTTGGCCACAGCTGTATTGTTCGCGGTCTTCTTCGGCGTAGTGGGAATGCCTGCCTTGGCCGTTTCCGTTTGGTGCTGCCCTGCATTAGGTTGCACCTTGATTATGCGGTCTAGGACAGCATCCTCTGTCTGGAACAGATGGCGCCTGTTTACCATCAGCCGGGAGAAGTCCCGCGTACCGAATGTGCCATCGACTATAGGGGCGACGAATTCGCGCCAGAGGCGGAGACTCGTATTGCGGAAGCTGACGAGGTCCCGGCCGGTGTGCTTCGAGATACTCTCCCAAACGGCAGTCAGGAAGCGGTTCCAGAGCCAGGCATCGTCTTCCGCTGCCAGGTCCGGAGTATAGTCTGGAAACTGTTCGGAAGAGGGTGTAGTGAAGAAGATTTTCGGAGGTGACGCGGAAAGGATAGTTATGAGGTCCTGACGTGTGTATGCGGGAAAGTTCAAGTGCGGTATGCCCGGTTTATGGAGCAGTGAGGGTGGCAGTGTCGTTATCATTATAACGGACAAGTTAGATATCTGTGGCCATATAAAGTTAGATGTGGCTCAGTTGAACTCCGTTTTAACATGACATACAATTTCGCCGAACCTCGTCAGCGCCGGAAGCAGAGTAGGAGGCGCCTCACGCTGTGCGTCTATCCCATCAAAAACCACTATGAATTTATCTCTTCTTCCTTCGAGCATCTTTTGTAAATTGACCACCAGACTGCTCAGGTTCTCCGTCCGAGAGTAGGGTCTTCTGTCCATCTTCCCGTCTCCGGTCGCATCCAAGGCATCCAGGCAACCACCCACGGTGCGCTCTAATAGATGTCTTCCTGTAATGCATTCGCGGCAGTTGACAATGACATGTGGTAATGATGCGGCTTCGAGGAAGGCCTTGATAAGAGCCGATTTTCCGGTACAAGGTAGGCCGTGAGCAACAAGCAAAGGCGGGAATGGTAGCGATTGCTAACGTGGTGTTATTAGACATTCCAAACTAATAAACAGTGAGGCGAGAAGGGAATGGACTCCATCATGTAGATCCAGAGAATAGCAGACTGTAAGACCGCAGCGCAGTGGGAGACGGAACTGATCAACATACAGAGTACAACGCGGCAAGCTGTTGCAGCTGCAGCTCGCGACAAGGAAATGTAGCCCTCAGCTGGTCGAGTAGCTCGTCGGGCAGCATTTTGTGCTGTTTTGGTATGTGCTCTGCATTCGACGCGTGAGTGAAGTTGAGATAGACTCGAAATTAAGTATTGCGCTAACGGCGGATGATCGACGTAAGGGTGGGGCGCCCAAAACGCGACAGCACGTGATCTCTCCTAGGTCGCCCTCCCGGGCCTCCTTCTGCGATACCCAATGGACTTTCCAGATTGATTCACTGATGTGTTGTCAGTCTCAATAATTCTAGGCAGGGGAGCATCAACCTTGGGTGGTTGTTACTTGCAGGAGGAAAGCCGTGGCGGGATACGGCGGAAAGAAGCACCGAGCCTTGGCGGTTTTGTCCCGTTTGTTTCTCCAGACTTCTCACCACTTCTCCAATACTTTCAACCGTCAATTCCCCCCCTGCGACAGAACCAATCCCATGGTCTCACTCCGGGGCGGTGATGAAACCCTTACAAGCGCTTTTGCGCATCTGGACCTTGTTCCTCGTAAGGGTCGCCTCGTACCGCTGAGGACGAAAGACGAAGTTCGAGCCTCACTCGAGACCTACCAAGCATATGTTGTCGAGCTGCCTTCGAAATATGCCGGCGTGATTAAGGAGTGTGTATACACTCCTCTCTGTATTGTATACCGTGCTAATAGCCCAGCGCCATTCAAAGAGCACTTCCCGACCTGAAGACGGCCGACTTTCAGCACTTACGCCGTGTCGTGCAATTCAAATTCTTGCCGCCACATCTCCAGCAACAGTTCAAGTCACCCAGAGGTGATACTGAACCTGCGCTTGATGATGCTGAGGCTGAAGATGAATCTGCAGTTCGATACTTTCTCGTCTCCCCCACGAGTGCGATTCAACATGCCGATCTGCTCGCTACCCTGAGGAAGAGTCCACCCTTTACGAACAGGCCACCCCGGATCTTTTACGTGACCGTCCCCGCCCTTGCCCCTACATCGGCGGAGCAGGCAGAGAAATGGACGAACCAATTCTGGCCCATCGCCTACAAGAACACGAATCCGTACGGACCGCATCCTAGTCTCGTCTCACGCAATACTGCCGAGATTGAAGCTGACGCTGGACACCTTCTTGCCCTTACCCAGTCTGCCGCTAACCAAACAAGCGAAAAGGGCTTAGGTGAGCAGGTGGGCTGTGTTGTAGTAGATAATAGCAACGGCCGACAGGAGATCATTGCACTGGCAGGAGACTGTCGCTGGCGCTCCCCCCTTGGCGAAGCTGAGCCAAAAGAAGGTCAGGGCAATGTCATGGCTCACGCAGTTCAACGAGCAATCGCTATCGTCGCAAAGAAGCGACTTCGAGCTGCCGGGAAAGACGAGCTTATTCTGGATCGGACTCTCTTCTGCGATACGCCGTTGACCGACTTGGAAGCCCAGGTCTTCGAAGTGGACAATATCGCTCGCAACGGATACCTCTGCGTCGACCTGGATATATACGTCACCCACGAGCCTTGCGTCATGTGCTCAATGGCGATCCTGCACTCTCGGTTCAAGCGGTGCATTTTCGGGACAAGGATGCCTTTTACCGGAGGATTGACAGCAGATCCCGTCAAGGGAAGAGTCGGCGAGAATGTGCATGTTGAGAAGGGACTCGGACATGGTATTTTCTGGCGTCCTTCGGAACTCAATTGGAAATTGTTGGCATGGGAATGGAAGGATGAGGACGCGGCTGACGAGGGCATGATTACGAACAGCATTTCAGATACCCTTCAAGCATAGACTTAGACGCATGGTGGCGCCCTTGCTTTCGGACTGTAATTATAGCTTAGGAGTGTGTATTTTAGGGTCTGTTTCAGCTACTGGGTTAGCATTGATCATTGTCACATGCATCCGTCCTCCATTGCCTCGTCGCCTGTCCTCTACCTCATATCGCTGCATCTAGTGACTCATGTGAAGGCATTGTTTACAATTCCAACCGGTGTTCTTCCGTCCTCAACTTGCATGTCTCCCTAGATCTCATCTATTCCTACCTGTAGCCCACCAGGGAACTGAAGGATATGGAGTTTGTTGGATGAAATCAACGGATACCATGGGAGTTGCATGCTTTTGCAGAGTACTTAATGTCCACTTCATCTATTTATTCCGAGCTCAAGTTGTTGTTTCGACAAGAATGCATGCGGTTGTATACCGACAGTGAGGGGGAAAAGTAAGACTTCGGTCTCTGGTGTGTAATAGAGGTACACCCACGCAAAAGGAAAGCAAAAAGAACGAAAAAGCGTGGCATCATGGTGATTCGAACCTGGGGCCAAAAAAATGTACCAAACTCCACTCGAATAGCCCGACTGCATCGGAGAAGCGCATCTTTTGATCCAGACGCAGGACCCACCGCCTGGACTATCTCATTTTGTTTGGTGATAGTAGGGAAAAAATAAAAATATTATATAGTAGAGTGAGGTGTCCACAAGTACTAAAAGGGAAGTGAGGCAGAGGTGTGGCAGTTATCTGTGCGTGCCCGCGCCACAGGAGTCGGTGAAAGCAAGCATGCGGATGTTTACTAATGGGGAACGTCCCACTTATTGAGCCTCACCTACGACGCCTACGCATTGGGTGGCACGATATTTCCTTTCTTTTCCTCAACCTACGATTTCCCACGATCACCGTCCACGCGACCATCGCTACATTCCGTGGCTTCTCGATGTCTAACCGTCTCAAATCCGCCCAGGATTTTCCAAGACGTGTCTGGTATAGTACAGTAGTACGATGAGCTCAGAAACACGGACCTAACGGATTAGGCAACCATTGTGTTCGACAGACCATCAATAGGCTTGGAATTCTAGGATCTAAGACCCTTACAGCCACATAGCGAGGCGGTGCAATACATTCTGGCAGATCCTACACCGTCAGGTAATCGAGGCACCTCAATGCCACCGAACGAGCGTCCACTGATCTATCCTGATGTGTCAGGAACGCCTATGACCTCCGGGATGGGAGACGCGGTGCTTCAGTACGACGACCCCGAGGCCAGAACAAAATATGCGCAACCTATAGCACTTCACCAAGGGATTGTCTGCCTCGCGGCACCAGTAGAACAGGACGGGCCATTGGCTCAGAAGACCAGCAATCCTCTGTCTTCCCTCGTTTGCGAGTTCTACAGCGGGAAACCTTCCACATGCGCTAGGCGAGCCCTCAGGCTTGCGGACTGGAGAACTTCCCCTCTCGACAATCAAAGTCAAACCCTGTACTTGCGAAGAAGAGGGGCCTCCGTCGGCCAAACGAAGCTGCAAGACTAAGGCTATCAAGTGTGGTCAGTGTCACTGGCGTCGCGCTTATGTGAAGTCTCACTGTCAATGCAGACGTGCTTCTCTGTTTATTGCCACTGCGGTGATAGAGTGCTGTGAGAGCAGAGACTACCCACCTTGAACCGAGTATTGGCCTCCTTGTCAACAGCAACACCTTTCCACGGCGCGAGAACCACGGGGATTGTAATCAGTTGTTACAAGATTGGGCCTGGATTTCTAAATTCTTGCATATATATACAATCGTCCTTGTCCTACTCAAAGTTGATGCGTCAGGTGTACGCGGGATTTCTAGACAATACGTTGGATTGCATTCCCGACGAACGCACGCACGTACAAGGTAAATGAGCTGGTTACGCGTACTCATTTTGAATAGCCGGGGTGGGAGGCATGACCATGATCATCGTTCGTGACGTCGTGTGACGCCCGCTAAAGTACAGTAACCCAGATACAGTCAGTGAATATAGCCTCAACAGAAAGCAATACACCCCACAAAGTCGTTCCAACGTGACCCTCACCTACATGTCACAGGTCTCCTACAAATCCCACCATCCCCGGTCATTGAGCAAAAACAAACAACAGATAGCACGCCCTCACCCAACCATAACCACATCGCCCCCCTCATTCTTCACACCCCTGTCCCCATCCCCATCCCCGTCCACCTTCACCCCACCACTCTCCCCACCCCTCAACACCCCCTTCAACCTCTCCGGCAAACCCCCCGCCACCTCCTCAACCCACACCCTCCTCACCTCCTGCGCATCCCCCACCAACCCATTCCTCTCAAACACCCTCTCGCAAAGCCCACAAACCACCGCCCTCCACAACACCGCCCTCCCCTCCCTCCTCACCATATTCCTCGCCGCCCTCACACTCTTCACCGCCTGCTCGCCCACCGTCTCCGAGAAGAACCGCTCCGACATGTAACACAGGCAAATAGCTACAAATTGGAAATTCTGCAGCTGTTGCGCCTTGGTGAGGGCGTTGCTGATCAGTGTCTTTTGGCGGTTGATGCTGAGGGACTCGGGGGTGTTTTTGGCCAGGGCGACGAGGACGCGGAAGGCGGTTTCGAGCTGGAGGTTTGGGTGGGTGGGGAGGAGGGGTTCGAGTTGTGAGGATAGCAGGTCGGATTGCCATTTTTGGGCGGGGTCGGAGCGGAGGAGGAGGAGGTGGTTTAGGGCTGCGAGGATCGAAAGGGTCGTTTTGATGTCTGGGGGTGTGCCGGGGGCGGGGAGGGAGAAGATAGGGAGGGAGTAGCCTGTGGCTGCCTCTGAGAGGGATCCTGTACATTGCGAAAGGAGCGCGGAGAGGTATGAGGGGTATATGGTGTAGGATTCATCGTCTTTGAACGGGGAGACGGCGATGAGTTTGCGGAGGGAATCCAGCGCTTGGGTGGCTTGGGTGAAGTCTTCTGCTCGGCAGGCCATGATACCGAGGGAAAATGTAAGCTGCCAATCGAGGATCATGATCCAGCTGCGTTGCGTAATGGCATCAGGCAGGGAAGTGGGGCATGGTAATGGGCGTTGTAAGGCATCTGCCATTCGTTAGCACTTCCCGCTTCTTGAGGAGGTACACTGCATACCCTGAGTGATCCTCTGCCCCTCTTTCAGATAAGCCCGCCCACGACTCACTTCCGTGACACTACAAGCAAGTCCGCTGAGGTGATACGCAAGCATCTTCAGACTGTTCTTCGGAAGCCAAGACAAGACAAGTTCGTCCCGACCGTCTTCCGCCTTCCTGAACACCCCTCCGGTGCATTGGGTGAGGCTCTGTCCGCCAGAGCTCTTCTCAATAAGAATGGAGAACACGCCGTCGTCCGGACCGGGCTGCTTATCCGCTTTCTGTTGCAAGGCATTTATCTTCTGCCAGTCAGGTTGACCCCTCTGCAGACTGCACGCAACATCAACAGTGTCGATCAGTGCGATAATCTGCCCAAGTCCTTTCGAGGACTCTTGGAGCTGATATGTCCTGGCAGCGGCGATCGCACGCTGCGCATGCTCGAGATGGTCCGGGCCACCTGCACGGAGGTGAACCATGGCTTCAAGAGCAGATGCAGCTATTGATATGGCGCGGTCGCCCCGCTTATCGGCGAGTTTCGTAATCTCATGCAACTGCTGGAGAGCGGAGGCGCTCTCGGGACGGCCAGGAACACGCAGAGCCAGTGATACCTTGAGGAATCGGAAAGCATATACCCAAACAATGTGCTGAAATGCCTCTGCGTCTCGAATGGGTCCGTCGAGGGATTTCAGGGCGGCGCGGTGGTTGGTCTTGAACTGGTAACGAGCTTGCAGATGCTGCATGCTGTATCTTATATCAAGGAGACGACTTCTCGCACATAAAGCAATCTGTTTAAAAGTTAGCCGTCGCCGGAGCATCGTTCATCAGCATTGCACTTACACCCTTGCTCAGCACCTCTTCGATCTCAACATCATTATCTGTCTCCTCAACAAGTAAGCTCGCATATCTCAACATCAGTGACGCCTGCTCTCGAGGCGGATGCGTGAACTTTTTCAACACAGACTCCATACACCCAAGCGCCGTGGCCATGAGCTTGTAATACTGATTTAAATGCTTCTCGTTCTTGATTAATGATGGCATCGGTCCGATGCTCCGCGCGGCGTCGATATATTCATCGGCAGCCTGCAGCAGTAGGACAGCCAGGTCCGTCGGTAGCGCTTTCGGGGACGGATGGGGAGGTCTGGTTGGGCCGGGCGCTGACTGCGGAGTTGGATTCTTGATGACGATTTTCGGATGCGCTCTCGGCAGCGACGAGGGAGTCCGGGGTAGCCCAGAGGAACGGTGCTGCGGAGCGGAGGACGGTTGACCCGGAGGCCGTTGCTGTTGGGGTGTAGAGTGCTTCTGCAGAGGTGGCCGTTGAGCCTCATGACTGGCATTTGCAGCTAGCAAGTTTGACGATGACGGTTGAGGTCGCATGGCATTCTCCTTGAATGATGGTGCCCTTTGGACCGGCCTCGCAGCAGCCGGAGTCTGCTGAACCTGCTGTGGTCGGGCGTGCGCACCTTGTCCACCTCCACCTCTTATTGCAGGCCCATCACTTGTCCTTTGCGCTTGAGCTGCCCTCGCCTGACCCGTAGCAACATCGCTCTCCCGTCTCTGGCCCTGAGCATGTGCCGGAACCTGCACCTGCACTTGTCTTATCCTCGGATTGTGCATCCCCGCCAGAGGACTCGAGTTGTATATTGCGTTACTCCTCTGTGGAATCACGACTTGTGGCTGTAATTGACGCGGTTGTATCATGGGTCGGGGCTGCGGCTGAGGTGTTGTATACTGCTGCTGCGCGAGGGTCTGGGCGAGGGTCTGAGGCGGAGTGATCATCACGCGTGGTTGTTGATGCTGGAACGATTGCGTTTGTAATTGAGGTGGTACAGGCGAATGAGGATATGCTTGCGCATATTGGTGAGTTTGAGGCTGGTAGTGCTGTGGAGGTTGAATCGGCGGAGGATATTGCATCGACACGGGAACTCCATAATTATTATTTTGCGGCGCTGGGTAGCTACCTGGCATCTGCATGTGCATCTGTGCCGGAGGAGGAGCTGCTTGCGGAGGATAGTATTGCGCATTTGCGTTGGGATCCGCGTAGCCTTGCGGCGGCCAGTGATAGCGCGGATCCATCTTGACTCTGTGCTCCTCCCGTGGCGCTTATAGATGAAGGCTTAGGAGGGCGGCATGGCGGTTTCCTGAGCTGAGTGATGAGATGTCGTGAATTGTTGCCAGGGATGTTGGACGCGGCGCGGTGAAGCGCGCGGGTGGCGCGCAAGATCTAGCCAATCGGAGGTAGGGTTTTGCGGACCGAGGCATCTGATGGATGATACATATAACCTTGAAAACTGCGCCTCCGACTACATTTCTAGATAGACTTCCCCCGTTCCATTCTTTTCTGCATATTCGTACAAGAAGTCCCTCGTTCTCTTGTTTTGTTGATTCCACACCACCATGTTCGACCCGTCCTGGCTCCTCGGCCATGCCCGCACAACCTTCACCCATGCCACCAACACCATCCCTCTAAACACCAAGTCTGGCCGAAAAACCACACTCTCAGATCTTGTCCGCGATGTAACACCACCATGTCGTCTCAACCCCTTACTCTTCAACGGCCATTTGCAAACAATGTGGACTGCCGTAAAGGAAGCCGGTCCCGCAATCTACTACAAGCGCCGCGTCTTCCAGTCGACGCATGCAGTCTATCCGGGCCAATTCGCTGTCGATTTCGTTGTCCCCGTGCCAAAAGAGGGGGAAGTCTGGGAAGAGGACGAGAGTTTACCTGAAAGAACATTCTACTTTTCGGAAGAGGAGTTTGAGCGGATTGGGAGTGGGGATGGGAAACCCATGCTGGTGTGCTTGCATGGGTTATCAGGAGGAAGTCATGAGGTTTATTTGAGGCATGTGGTTGCGCCTGTTACGGCTGATGGGTGGGAGTGCTGCGTGGTAAACGCGAGAGGGTGCGCAATGTCTAAGATTACAACGCCTCAACTGTTTAATGCGCGGGCGACATGGGATGTACGGCAGACGGTCAAATGGTTGAGGAAGACGTTTCCAAATCGACCACTGTATGCTGTCGGATTTTCGCTGGGCGCAAATATCCTGACAAACTACTGTGCCGAAGACGGAGACAAGTGCGAGCTGAAGGCGGCGATAGCCTGCTCGAATCCATGGAATTTGGAAGTGAGTCATAGAGGATTATTGAGGAGTTGGTTAGGCATGGAAGTATATCAGAGGACGATGGGAAGTAATATCATAAAGCTGTATGCACAGCACAAGGATGAGATGCTGAAGAATCCGAAGTTAAAGCATGAGGACATCATGGCGTGCAGGTATCTGTACGAGTTTGATCGGTAAGTGGGGCATTTATGTGCTATTGAATTCGTTGGCTTATATTTTGTTCAGTGTTGTACAAGCTCCTACATGGGGATACCCAACGGAAGGAGCCTACTATAGAGATGCGCAGTCAGTAGATGCATTGACTGCTATACGGATACCTTTCCTAGGCATCAGTGCGGAAGACGACCCAGTAAGTCCCACGTCGGCTGTTTCCCAACCGCAGTTAACACTCCCCAGATATCCTCAGTGGAGGCCATCCCGTATGAAGAGTTCAAACAGAACCCGTATGCCGTCCTGGTCACGACCAACTGGGGCGGTCATCTGAGCTGGTTTCAGATTGGCGGCAAGAGGTGGTTCGCCTCTGCAGTCGAAGCGTTTCTGCTGAAGATGCACAACGACATCGACTCGAGCGTGACTCCAAATGTGAATGGGAGTGCCAACAATACCCGCCCGACGTCGAAGTATCCGATATGGGACCCGAACAACCGAAGGTTACAGCTTCCGTTATGAGGCGCGAAGCCACGTAGATAGAACCAGGGTATCATAGATGTGAACATAGATCAGAACCTCCGACATATCGCCCATCGCCAACCTCCGAGCTTTCAACCGAAAGACACCCTCTTCCTCGCCTTCTTCTCCTTAGGCTTCTCATCCTCCTCTTCCACGGCCACCCTTGCGCGATCGCTATGCCTCCTCTTCCCTTTCTTCCCCTTCAACGCCTCCTTCTTCTCCTCAAACTTCTTCTTCTTCTCCTCACTCCTCTTCTCCATCTCCTTCCTCTTCGCCTCCCTCACCTCCTCCCACTGCCTCGCCTTCTGAATCTTACTCTCAATATGTCCCTCCTTCTCCGCCTGAACCACACTCATAATCGCCATCATGCTCTCCGGATCATCCACGAAAACCTTCCCCTTCTTCTGGCCCTTGGGCTTTGCGATGCCGGCGGGTATGATGCCGTTGAGCTTAGGAATGTTGAGCTCTTTCTCCGTGTAGACGCGCTTCTTCTTCTGCTTGGTGTCGCTGGACGTGAGGGATTTGGTCTTTTGCGCACCACCGGGTTTGGCGAGGGCGAGAGATTTGGCTTTGCGCTTGGAGATTCCGGTTGGTGCGCTGCCTTTGGGCTTGGATTTGGACGAGGAGTTGGCTTTTCCACTGGGTTTGCCTTTTGATCCTGAGGATTTGGTCGGTGTCATTGTGACTTGTAGTTGTGTTTGTTGAACAAGAAGAGTTCAGTGAACCGCTATGTGATTTGCGATTTGCAGGTCGTGAGCTCCGCTCTGGAACTTTTTTCCAGCACAGATCTATCCCCGGCAAGCGCACCCGGCGTTCCTTGGCGCCAAGCAATTATCCAGCCTTCCGGACCGCAGCTCCCCAACGTCACGGCAAGCGACAGCAGTCAGCATTCAGCGAGTCGCAACCCTCCATATAGCACACTTCTCTCTCGGTACAACTCAGAAACTAACAGGCCGAATACGTACCCTCTCCGATGTCATCCCACCGCCTTTTCCGCTTCCCCAAGCCCGCGTGGCTCAACAGCGCGAATGCCCGAACCGCGGGCGTCTATGCCGCTGGTGTACTCGTATGCACTCTCTATCCCCAACCTCTGCCCTGAGAACCCCTAAATGAGGAAATAGAAACTAACAAACTCCTCCGCCAGTTCGGCCTCGGTTTCTACACCCTAATCGACATAGCCGTGTGGTCCAAATCCGCCATGAACCCGTCCGACCCCCCCGTCCACATCACCTTCGTCGACTGGATCCCTGGAATCTGCTCGGCGCTCGGCATGCTCGTCATCAACAGCATCGACAAGTCCCGCCTGTCCGCAGACAGCTTCTCGTATTCTGGGAATGGGGTTGCGTGGAAGGCGAGGCTGGTGCTGTTTCTGGGTTTCGCGCTTTTGGCGGGAGGGTTGGCGGGGAGTGTCACGGTGCTCGTGTTGAAGTATCTGGTTAGGGAGTATACCTGGCCGACGATTTGGTTGGGGATTGGGAATGTGGTGGCGAATGGGTTGGTGATGTTGAGGTGAGTGATGCGGGAGTGGAAGGTTGCGGATGAAGCTAACGGGAAGCAGTTCCGCGGTGCTTTGGGTGGCGCAGAATATGGAGGATGAATATACGTATAACCTTGCGTTGTGAGAGGAGAGGTGGCAGCATGATTGCGTCTTTCTGGGAGAGATGGCAATGCCGTTCACGGGGTTTTCCTTTGTGTCTTGGGTCCGACGGCGTGTTCTATATATCCTTGTTTATGGGACTTGTAGTATTAGATAGCTGGGCGTACTGGATCGGATGGTGATTAACAGCAAATTCACTAGTACATCACATCGCATCCTCCATATATCTTCTCCATTGAAGCGTCATAATCTATCTTTGCAACGAACATATCCAGCACCAAACAATCGTACAGGCGCGTTCCAGCCTACTTCACGAACAACACCATACAAACTTCCCATAACGATTCCCCCTTAGCGCCAGTCAAACAATCCCATCCGCGTAGGTATAAGCAACGAAACAGAGTAAGATATTGATGTTCGGAACCTGAAACTCGCCGCCGCTTGAGAGGTCACACCCAGGCCTGCTACTCAGAAATCATGCTCCTCCTGAAAGAACAACGTAAAGCTCATGATCGTTCCATATATCAACAGACCGCCGACGATGGACATGACGGCCGCGCCACCAGCAATTTGCGCCGAATGCCAAAGCAGCGTTGGCAGGGCTGGGCAGTGTCAGCAAGCATCCTAGCAGAACACAACGGCGCACAGTCTGCCGCTTCCCAAAGTCGCAGCACGGCGGCTGCTTCACGAAACATTAGAGCACTCACCAATCCCCATGACCACAAAGAAGCCCGTCAGGAACCTCCCGAAATCGACCACGCCCGAGCCGGAGCTCTCCATGAAGTCATCCGGGTTCGCAGCGCGGCCGCATATCCAGTTGGGCAGGGGAGCGACGACGTAGGTGGCAACGACGAGGAGGGTGAGGTAGTTGTGGAAGAGGGCGGAGGAGAGGATGACGAGGAGGAAGCCTATTGCTAGGACCTGTGGAGACAGTTGTTAGCAGTGTGTGAGGTGCGAGGGTGAAGTAGTGACGGAGGCGTGGAGAGACGTACAAAAGAGAGCGCTATGATAGTTTTGAGGCCCGCCATGTTGAGAGCCTGTGGGTGCTGTAGAAACCAGACCGGAGAGGTGTCGCTGTGGAGACCCTTTGCTGAGTGATGGTCTGATAGATGGCTGGGGCCGACTTGAGTTGTGGTTGCGTAGCGCCGGTCGTTGAATGCTGCGCACGGGCCAGCTCTTGGTTTGGAAGCTCTGGAGCTTCGTAACGGAGAGATGCCTTGAACATCACAAACAACCCATTTTGCCGCGTCCCACGCCTTTGCTACTTCCTTTCCACTCCTCTCGGTCCTTCGCTGAGATTTACTCCTTTCTCCGCTCTCATTCTCTATCTCCTGGAAGGCGTCGTAAGAACCCCGCGACAGTCAAACAGCAACTGCCACCATGTTCAGAAACAACTACGACAACGATTCGGTGACATTGTATGTTACCGTTGATGCTATAACCTTGAGCCTGTTCTAACTAGCCTAGCTCACCACAAGGCCGCATCTTCCAGGTCGAGTATGCACAAGAGGCCGTGAAGCAGGGTTCAGTCGTGGTGGGTGTCGTGAGCAAAACACATGCCGTTCTGGCCGCCATCAAGGCACGTATGCTCCATTTTTCTTGCCAACAACCCACTAATAATACTCGCAGCGAAACGCAGAAGAGCTCTCCTCATACCAGAAGAAGATCATCCCCATAGACTCGCACTACGGCGTCGCCCTCGCGGGCCTCGCATCCGACGGCCGTGTCCTCTCCAACTTCATGAAGCAGCAATCGCTCGCCTCTCGCCTGACCTACGACCGCGCGATCCCGCTCTCCGAAATCACACTGCGGATCGCCGACCGCGCGCAGACGAACACGCAGCAGTACGGCAAGCGACCGTACGGCGTGGGACTGCTGATTGCAGGCGTCGACCAAAAGGGCCCGCATCTGTTTGAGTTCCAGCCGAGCGGTGTTACGCAGGAGATGATTGCTTGCGGGATCGGGGCGAGGAGTCAGATGGCCAGGACGTATCTGGAGAGGCATTTGGAGGAGTTTGAGGGGGCGAGTAGAGAGGAGCTGATCAAGCATGCGTTGAGGGCGTTGAAGGAGTCGCTCAGCCAGGATAAGGAGCTTACGGTCGACAACACGAGTGTAGGTGTGGCTGGCATTGGCGAGAACTTCACCTTATTCGAGGGTCAGGAGATCGCCGAGTGGTTAGATACGACGTTCGAGAACAAGGAGAATGACGAGGAGGGTGATGGACAAGGGGGAGAGGCGATGGAGACCGATTCATGAGGGATGACTTGTTCATGACTGGTATCTCCGCTTCATGAGTAGGGTGGGCTCCCCAGAGTGCAGCTTGAAGATCTCCGCACCTGTCCTCCGATATAGACAGCTGAAGGCCGGTTCTGATGGACCGTAGGCCTGGGTCAATCTCTGTAGTGAAGAACACATGACGTACGGTTTCCCGGCCCGGGGATATGCAATTGCATTGTTCGCTGGGGGTTGTGTATGAAAATATCCACTGCGAACTGACGGCTGCATTCCGCCGACGCAGGACAACCCAGAAGGCAAATCAATGAGCCCTTCGTACATTTCTACTAAACTGTACCCTAGCATCACAGATCAATCATACCATTTCTCAATTGCCCTCCAGGATGGTCAAGAACAATTTGTCACGTGACCGCATTTTCTCCCCAAGCCTGTCCGCGGTCTTGAGCTTCATCGATCAACTTGCATCTCTCCACCAGCAAACCCGTCACCACCGCGCTACCACCATCTACCACGCCTTCTCCACCTCACAACCATCACAATGGCATTCGCTTGGAAAGCCGCCGGGCTCACGTACGTTTCTTCCTTGCTCATGCGCGCGCGCTGGCCCCGACTGCCTCGACCCGGTTCGGTAGCTAACAAGTTTTTTTCGTCTTGAACAGGTATAACCGCTACATCTCGGTTGCGTCGCGCGTGGTCCGTCGCTCGCTGAAGGAGGATAAGAGGATCGCCGCTGAGAGGAGGGGAGAGAGCGATTTGAGGATTGCGAAGTGGGAGGTGAGTCTGGTTCGGATCTTCTGCGTTGGAGAAAAGGGAATTGGAAGTTGGCTGCACATGAGATGGACTCAGCAAGCAATATGATTGGATTGAGAGTCAATTGGAGTCTACAAATGGATTGCTGACGATGGGTCGTGCAGAATGGAAAGCAGGGCGAGGTGAAGAACTTGGATCAGGTGAATGAGGCGGCGTTCAAGGATGCTGCTGCTCAGGCTTCGTAAACGGCTGCCATACCATGCGCACGATGGAAGGGATGAGGGTGGATTGAAGGGATAAACGGGGTTGACGGAAGCGCGAGGCAGTGGAGGATGGTGGGCTCTGTACACTTTGTATCAACATCAAAAGACAATGCATGAGGGATTTGAGCCGGGAGGGACGCGTTCTGGAGTGTTGGAGATGTGTGATTTTATTAATCGAGAGAGTCGTTCCAGTTAATCTTCTCTCTGGCTGTATATGCACTTGTTTGATGAATGTCTCTCTGAAAAGGTTCCGAACTTGAGCTGTCGTCGTCTGCCCCACGTGAATCTAAATAAGGTGGGATGATTGAAGCCCTAGGTTCTGCCATTATCCTTCGCTCCCTAGATAAAGGGCAGCCTCGCCTCGCCTCATCGGAGGCGACATTTTTGATTAAGAAAAAAACATGCGGGCATGAATGGTAGCCTGATCGGAACTGCTTTTTACATCGAGCCTGCCGCGCCATTCACACCTTGACTGCCGCTTCCCGCACCATCCCCGCCGCCGCTATCCAGGTACACCATGGCGGATCCATTGCGCGTCAACATCTTGACAACGTTCAATGGCGATACTTCGCACTTTGAAGCGAGTGGTACGGTCCTTCGCTCGCTCGTCCTCTCCCCGTGTAGGCGCTGATGGCGATCCAGATCGGTCATATCAAGCTGTGCGAGACTCCATCCAGCTGCCTTCTGGACCCACGTCTAACCTGCCACCGAGACAGGCATTGCAGCAACCGCGTCTCCCTCAGAGGAGGATTGTAGATATTACGGAGGAGTTCACAAAGGCCTGTAGTGGTGAGTTATTATGTTTTCCTCACTTGCAAGGCTTCGATGCTGGTACCACGGTCATTACCTCTACTTGTTACCCTATATGCATTCCTATGCAGATGTCTGATACTAAATGCCCACAGCTCTCAAGGTCGGACAACTCGTAAAAGATGAGCACTTCACATTGTTCGAGTCCGTCTCGGCTCTGGAGGTAATCTAGCACCTCATTCCACATGCATCTCTTCCATCTTACACAACCCTCAGATCATGGATCCTAAAATGGACAGCGGATTTTTGCAACCAGGAGAAACTCTGGAAGATGAATATGACACCCTGGCACCTCTGCTACCGGAAGAAGTCCTTGGTATCATGGACCAACTGCTTTGTTACGAGATGGCATGGCATACGGGATATACCCTCTCGCAGACGCTCTTCACTTCGGTTTATATCGACAAGTTGCTCTGGCCGGAACCGAAGACGCTCGAGCAGGTGCAGTTCTATAGGGGTTCCGTACCGGGCAGCAGGAGACCGGGACCGTTGTTAGAAGTGCTGAGAGCGTATTGCCTAGGGTTGGTCAAGTGCTGCGATTTTGTGATTGCGAAGATCACGGCGAGACATTATTTCGAGGAAGAGGATTTTGCGACGCATACATATCATCGGACCTTGTTCCCGCAGATTCCGCTAGATGTGTTTCTGAGGGAATTGGATGCTGCGGTAGAACAATTGGATGAGTACGTTTCTCACCCCTCACACCCTTCTTTCTAACCTACGCTGACAGTGGATAGCCCCGGGTTGACCATCACGGATTCCCTGAGAGGAGCCATCACCGGGCGTCTCCTGTTCCGAAAGGCCTTCCTCCTCGCCCTAGATCTCGACTGTCCCCTCCCTCATTCTTCCTCGACATGGCCTCCGGTCCTCTCCCTCCTCCCCTCCATCTCCACCACCCATCAGCTCAGTGTTCCCGTTCCCGGAGCCTTCAGCAACAAGATTCAACGCCGCCTCGCCAGCACTGTTCCTCCCCGCCCAGTTGTCGAACTCGCCTTCTCAGACGCCTTCACCCACCTCAAGCAATTATGCCACGACTGCGAAGAAGCCACACGAGTCCTGACGATCCCAAAAGACCCCATCGAGTTTGAGAATTTCCTTTGGGCCTCTGCCTCGCGCTTTCCCGCTCCATTGTGCTACGCCAGATCTTACTTCTCCACCCTCCTAACCGACGAATCCACCGTCGTCTCCACCCCCTCCCTCCCTATGCAGGACCTCCAACTCCTCGTCTTCCCTCCGCACTCCCCCCTCATCGATCCGGTGAACTGGGCAATCGACCGCCCGAGGGATAATTCACTTCCGGAACCTCCGCGGTTACAGATTGCCATGCTGCTCGACGGTTTCCTGGAACGGGCCAGCGCGAGTATCCTCGATTACTGGACGGCGCTGGGCCAGAATGCGTGTAGATTACGAAGGCTATTGACTCATATGATACTGGGATTCAACGAATTGCAAATGGATGCCGCCGTCGTGGACGAGGATCTCGCGCGCGTTGCCCAGGAGGTTCAAGCTATGGAGGGCCATCCCGGAGCCGTGATGATGCCCCGACCTCTCGAGACGTGGACGTACTTTAAAAAGCTGAGCCTGGTGGAGAAATGCATACTCCTGGGCTTCGCACAAGATGTCTATCTCCCCGAGGAATTCGGCGGAATGTACACGTTCCTCTCCCTCGTAACGACGCGCAAGGCCGCCCTCTTAGACACCATCTACGCCCATTTCTCCGACGTCGAAGCCCAGTATAGAAGAACGGGGCGGCCGCCGGCGTGGGCAGAAGACGTAGCTGTGCATCGAGACTGGTACATTGACACCCTGAGGCATTATACGAAAGGGATACAGCATCTCAGCGCCGCGCTGGGCGTCTTCTACACCACGATGATGTACCTCGGTCTCGTAACGGGGGGCTCCATAGGCCCGTTTGGCGATCATGCGAGACGGTACGAACTCCGCATGCGTCCGTTTTTGGCCCTGGATCCGGTCGAGGTTCCGGCGTGGGAGGACTTCAAGGCGCATGTGCTGCCATGGGGGGAGTACAGTAGTCCGGATCGGGGGTTTGGTGATGTGCTGAAGGGAGGCGCGGTGTGGGGTGGTCTTGAGCTTGATCTCAGGCAGGCGAGGGAGGCATTTGCGAGGGTGAAGAAGGCCGGGGCGGAGGGGATGAGGGCGGTTGGGTCGAGGGGGGTTTGGGAGGGGGAGGTACAGGGGTTGATGAAGAGTTGTGTCGGGTTGGGGGTTGCGGTTGTGGGGGTTAGGGGTGCTGTAGAGGGTGTGGACGTGGATGGAGATGGAGGGTGGAGGGGGAGATTGGGTGTTAGGATCGAGGTTCCCGGGATTAGGGATGGGGGGAAGGTGGAGAGATATTTGGAGGGGTGGGTTGTACCGAGGGTGGTGAAGAATTAGGGGAAGGGAGGGAGGGGCGGAAGGAATAGGGGTATATGGCTGTACTCTCTTCTCACTCGGGTTACCATATCCTCACATGCGAATGGTCCAAGAACGCCGGTTGATGTCCCTCGTCACAGATATGCGTATCCTATCCCATCCCATCCCACCCCATGGACCTCCGAACCTGATGCCAATACTGAACGCCTAACTCCATCCCATATCCCGCCCATAACCCATGCATATCCGTATCCATCCATACCCAAGCAGAAGCAAACATGTCCAAACACGCGCATCCCTTCACACCTCCGCACTCCGAATCCCCTCCCCCTCACTTGACCGATCCTAACCTTTGAACTTCATCAAGCACCCCTCACGCACCTTCCTCACACTCCTCGCCGATATCCCCCGCTCGCCGGCTTGCTTGGACGCGATGCTCGATTCCTTGAGCAGTCTAGAAAGAAAAGAGAAAAGAGTAGTTAGCTTCGTCGTATATCAAAGAGAGATAGAGAAGGACCGGGGGAAAACGCACTCCTCCATGAAAACGAGATAATTCAGGAAAATCTACTCGCGCCCTCGCGTTAGCCATTTGCGATCCTCTTCCACGGTCCTAACCTAACTAACCACCGCCAATTACACATCTGCATTCTCGTTCTCTTTCTTATATCTTTTTTTCCCCCGGGGAAAGATTCAAGACGTACCAGGATATCCGCATTCCTGCTCAGCCCGCGATTCGCATGCGCCTTGACGATCTTCTTGACGGTGCCGCGCGGGTAGAGCGATGTCGCTGGCATGGTCTGTTCTGCAGTCCCCTTTTCTCCTTCTTTTCTTCACTTGACGTTTGTGTTTCTCTTGTCCCTCAGCGCGGCATGCGGCTGTTGTGTGTTATGTATGTACTGTATCGTTCAGGTCCCGCTCGCGTGGTATATGGGCTGAGGGGAGTTGTGTCGGCGTTGATGCGGCGGCCGCGTGGAAAAAGACACAATACGACAGGAGAGGGCGGTGATGAAGAGCAAAAAGGTGTGCGCGACGTCCTGAGGTGAGTGTCATATAAGCGCCCTGTTGATCCTCAGAGGCATCGCGGTCGCACCTCGCGCAATCGATCGAGATACGCGCTGCCACATGACCGCGCCAAGGCTTTTTCCAATGACCACTCACGCATCCGATCTAATCCGAACCACTGTGGACCATGGCTAACATCTGAACAAACGAGATAATATGCTCCTATAAGACACATCTATCTGGGACAGGTCACAGGTAATGGTACATTGCAAGCTTCGCCCCAACATCGCATCAAAAGGTTTTCCGCCGCTCAACCCTCCCCCAACTCCTCCACACTCCATTTACCACCCTCTATTTACGCCTTGAGGCCGAGATCCTCAGCATACGGGAGCACCCAGAGGTCACCGACGGCCGAGACGGACGCTTTGCTCTCTAGTAATGATTTCGCGGCCTGTTGTAGTGATGTTAGTATTCTTCATAAGGTGGAAATATCAAGGAGCTGGTGAACTTACGCTCTTGAGCTTCTCCTCCGTCACGCCGTCAATGGCCTTGGCGACCTCGTCAATCTGGTAGGGCTTGCTGCCGTGCACAAGACCGGCGCCTGTGAGCTCCAGGCCAGCCTCAATGTTCTGGCCGTACTCGAGCTCCTTAAACTTGGCAGCAGCCTTGGCCTTTGTGAACTGCTCCTTGGAGATCTCGCCCGCCGCGATCTTCTTGATAGCCTCAACGGCGGCCTTGGCGGTGGCAGCCACGTTCTCCGCAGAGCCAGTGATGGTAGTGTACAACAGACCCGCGTCCGAGTAGATGGCGCTGGTGGTGTTGACGGATGTCGAAGGGGAAGCCTTGCTTTGGCCGAGGATGGTGAAGCCGGAAGACCACTTGATGCTGGACCGGCCACCAAGGAGGGATGCGAGAACGGCGATCTCGGGCTTGTAGAACTTGCCGGTAAAGGAGCTGGAGCCGGGGAAGGCAAGAACCATGGCATTTCCGCTGGCGTGCGCAATACGCTCCTCACCTCCGTGGTACTTGGTCTGCTCCGAGCCGGGGAGCTGCTCGACACCGCCGGCCGGTACGTCGTTGAAGAACTCGCTTACCCACTTGGAGAGCTCGCCGTGGTCAGCGCCGTTGGCGACGACGGCAAAGTTGGACTTGGCGAAGGCGGTCTTGGAGAAACCCTCAATCACCGGGGGGTTGAGGTACTTTGTGTACGGAATGGACGAAGAGGATGCCGTGGGGTTTCCGAGACCCTTGTGGAATGCGAGGGCGTGAGCGGAGTTGATGGCCATGTCGGTAGGGTTGGCGAGGAACCTCTGGTGGGCGAAGTGGATGAGGGGAAGAACTTCCTCCAGGTAGACGTGGTCTGCGCCAGTCAGTAATCATCCGAATGGCAAAACCTCATCCTCGACATACGCTCAAACTTGGTCGACGAAGCTACTTCGCCGAGCAGCTCAACGAAATACGGCAAGTCATCGCGGAGGAACTTGGCCTCGAGAATCAGGTTCTCGCGAGTGTGGAAAGCCTTCAATTCGGCTCCGAGAAGCTCGGATTCGCGAATGATGCGCAGGGTCGACCTTCGTGCGGTTGACTAGAGCCCCAATTGAGTGTCAGTGGAGCTTCTTGACAGCAATTGAAGGCTCAATGGCGTACCCGGAATGCGTAGTTCGCCAGAGCCTCCGAGAGGCCGGGAAGCGGCTGGTACCTGGAGCCGGCCTTGGACACCAACGCAAGCGTGGTGGTGGGGCCAGCGAAATCCCGGCTGGCGTACTTGATGCCCTTGGACTCGCCGGACTGATAATGGAAGGATCCCGACGCTGGGGCAGCAAGTCCTCGGCGCTGGACCGGGCGGACGGCCTGGCAGACAGCGCGTTGTGCGCCCCGGCAGGCGCTCGAGCGGGAGAGCATCATGGAGAGAGCGCCGAGCGAGGGACCAGCGAAGGGAGGGCGGACCGCAATGGGATGGGGGAAATTGGAGGGTGGATGGAGATTCCTGGTGGTGCAAGCAATGAGGTTGAAGTCTTGGAGTCGACGCCATGTACATAATCTGCGCATTGATTGGGCAGGCCAATCGGGGAATAGTTCCGCCGTGGCCGGCTCCCCGCCATAGTTTTTGTGAGAGAAGTCGCAGTTCCTCACCCTTCACTTCCGGTCCCCATTGGCGACGTTCCGCTCGAGAAGTTTCCCACTAACTCACCACCTCCCCAACGCATTCATGTCTCGGCTGTCGTTACTGCTACTGCCGGACGTCCTCAACCCCGTTTAGCCTCCGATATGTCTTATGCGCAGCGGGAGACTCCGGTCGGTGTTCCTGTCGCGTGGATGCGGCATGGTTCACACGCTGACTGTGAAATGTAGATACTGGCCGAACTCTGCGAACTCCTGGTTGAAGACATATATGGCGAGCTTGCAGCTGTATGTTCTCTCCGCCCGCTACATGAGACCCTCATGAAATCTCCCTTCTCTTCATTGCCGTCGTAGAAGTCGGTTGTATTCGCTGCTGACCGTTCGAAAGCGCGTCTTCTCCGTTCTCGCCCGCCATGGTCGTCAGACCCTCAGCGCACTCAATAAAGCCTCGTACCTCAACAGCCGACAGATCAAGCACGGCCTAGTCGTCCTGATTCAGCAACACCTCATTTTTCACTCCGCATCTATCGAGCCCCACGCCGCCTCCTACGAGATCGATTGGCAACAGGCCTATGGTCTAGTTCGCTATGGCAGAACCCTCAAGTCTGTGGAGGAGCGGTTTGGTGACAAGGCTGCCAACGTCATGTCTAACCTTATCACACTTGGCCATACACGGATACAGGATCTAAGAGAGGCTTATTTTCCCCCACACACTGAGGAGAGCGCATCGGGCGAGGAAGGTGCCAATGGTGCTTTAGGGGATGCCAAAGCGAATGGGTCTCTCTTTGTGAACGGCGATACCGGCATGAATGGCCACGCTAACGGCACTGCGCCACCCAAGCTGAATGGCGTGAAGCGGGCTCGACCCTCGGATGAGGAAGAAGTCGATGGAGAGTATGAAGACCGAGTAGAGGACAAGACTATCAAGTCGGTTGCCGAGCTGGACAGCATCATATACCATCTTATGCTACAGGGTTGGATCGTGAAGGTGGAGTGGACACAGTACCTTGGTCCCGGAGACTTGCACGACATCACCCGTCAGGAGGCGATAGAGAGCGTAAATGAAGGAAAACTTCCCCATGGCACAAAGGAAAAAGAGGCCGTCGCATATGGCATATTGCGAAGGAAGAGGGAGATACGGGATGAATGGTTGAATGTTCCGCAACCGACGACGCGTAAGCGTACTTCAGCCGATTCGGATTTGAGTCGATCGAACAAGAGACAGCGGCTCGCTGGTCCGAATAATTGGGCACCACGCGATGACGAGGTCATTGTTCTTGATGAGAATCTGACCATCCGCGCCAATCCTGAGAAGATGACAGTTGCGCTGCGTACAGATATTCTCGTTCGGCTCGTCCGCCAGCTCGTCGGCCATGTCCCTGCGACGGTATACGAGACTATGCTACGGCAGATTGAGGCGAACACACCGCGCTGCTACGACGAGTGGGCCGACCCCCCACCAGCGGACACAGCAGCTATGGCCAACGAAAGCGTCGATGCGCGATTCCTGGTCACATCCCGCGAAGTTGCGAAGAACATTGACCCCTCGATCGACCTTCTCGAGGGACTGGACCCACACGGCATCGTGCTCATGACCTACTCCACCTCCCACGTAGACAAGAAAGGAAATATCGTACCCCCGATCGACCCCTTCAACCTCAGCGTCGATGCCCGCGCGCGCCTCATAGACAAACACATCACAGCGATAGCAAATCACCCATTTCGCTTCGCAACCTGGCATTCCCGGGCCGGATTCTCGCAGTGGCGTATCGATTTCCCTGAAATCGCCCTCTCATTGATTCAGCACGAGATCGAGACCACGATCGCGGCGGGTAATGAGAGGGATAAGAAGTATGGCGTTAAACTTATCCGGGCACTTAAGAAGAAGGGCAAGTTGGACGAGAGACAGATGGGCAATGTCATGATGATGCCGGCCGCCGAGATCCGAAGTGTGGTTAATGGCCTCACGGTCAGGGGCTTCGTGCAGACGCAGGAAATTCCCAAAGTGGAGCGAAGAGAAGCAAAGCATTCCTTCCACCTCATTTGGTACGATCGGCAACGCGCGCGCGAGAAGTTACTCCAGGATACGTATAAAGGCATGGTGAGGGCGTTGCAGCGACTCAAGTATGAGAAGGAGACGGTGGCGGGTCTGCTGGCGAAGGCGGAGAGGACAGATGTGGCCGGGAATGAGGAGAGGTGGCTGAGCAAGGGGGAGCTGGAGGCCCTCAAGAAATGGAGGGGTGTGCAGGAGAAGGTGTTGCTGCAGGTGAGCCGGATGGATGAGGTCGTCGCGGTTCTGAGGGACTTTTGCGGGCCGCTGGTAAGTGTTTAGGTCGATGCTGGTGCACGAGCGGTGTGCCATGCCTGTACACTTAGCTGTACTCTTTTTGCCCAGCCTACGAGCGGCTTATTTCTGCCGTTGGTACTGCTAGGCTCCTCGAGTGTTACTACCACTCCGTTCCATTTCCATCTGAGGATAGGCATATGTGCGCCACTGGGCATAGAGACTTTCATGAAATTTGATACCCCGCCGCATTGGGTCGGAGTTTTCCGTTTGCAATGTCGTACCTAATGAGACGAAGGGGTATGTGAGTAGCGATGTTGATGCTAACAGGATGTGCGCTCTGAAGGAGAATGTTTCAGGATTGGAAGCGATGATGGAGAGATATAAGCTTTATTGATAACGTATAATGGTTTTCGTGAGTTGGCTTGTCTTGTATACATGTCTCGATGGTTCCTAGCTGGTAGAATATTACCTGCATCATCCATGATGTTAAGATATTCGAAATTCTTAATATTGACCGGACAACACCTGTGGAGCAAAGCTTGTAGGATTAAAGTCTGCCGTACGGTCTGTCCTTTCAAGCTGTGTATCTTGCAATAAGAATGACTTCAAGTTGTGTCATCGGCGCGGTACTGAGTTGATTCTGTTATTGTGGGCGAGGGATGCTGGGTTTTGGAAGGATTGTCAATTCGTGGTAAGGCAGATATAGCTTGGCCTGTTCGAACCCTTAGAGAAAGAAGTGATCATAGTCGTTCGGCTGTCGTTTGATATATGATCAACATTTTCTGGCCTAATTTATGGCTCGCGGTCTCGGAGTTGTAGAATAATGATCTGGTTGTGGCGCTGTTTCATCTTCGCGCGCTGCATGAAATATGTCCATGAAAAGTAGCCCCCTTTCCTTCTCTTGGATATCTCGAAGTCTTCTTCACTGTTTAGTATAGCAAGTTCCTCCCCCTTTTCTTGCCGAAGTACTTCACTGACACTCGATGTTTCTCGACCTCATCCCAAAGAAACCTAGAGATTCCAGATCACTATATATTTCAATAAGAACAGCATTATCCAAAACAACACTCAGCGATCCCCAGCATAGCATCCTCCCGCACAAGTTCGAGCCTACCACAACGACAATTTCCATATGCCCCTCAATCTATACTCTCTATAGCACTCGACTCTTGGTGTATCCCTAGTATTTGAGCTAAGAATTTTTGACTTCTTGAACTCTTCCAATATCATTATATAATGCCTGATCAGTCCTGCCCATGTACAATTCCCACAAAAGTGAAGTGCGTAAAGTCTGCACATCGCGCCAGCACTTGAGAATATGGTGGGATAGGAAGGTGATAGGCCGATGGGTCCTTCTGCTGTTGCAGTCAGGCTCGGACTCTCATCCAATATACCTACCATGCGCCTTCCTCAGCCGCAAGCATCCTATGCTCCGATCCTGGAATCGAAAAGTAGACGCTCGAAGAAGATTGCGGTACCGTGAGTAATCTCGGCCACTTATCCTACACTCGCTTTATCAGTGTGCCACTTACATCATTGCACCACAGCCGTGCAACCCAGCTACACAAACACCTCATTTGGCTATCAATGGCCCGTGCGTCTAGCTTAGCTACTCACTCCTTAGTTCACTCTCACCTTCCTTTTCTTCTCTCATCACCTCTCACCAACAACCGGATAGCAAACAACCCACCATGGCTGAGACGAGCAAGTTCCCACCCATCCGCGCCTGCATCTTCGACGTAGACGGCACTCTCATCAACTCCGAAGACGTCTACACGGAAATCTACAATCACATCCTGCGCTCTTATGGCGCCCCGGACTACCCATGGAAGGTCAAAGCCATCCAGCAGAGTCGAGGTCACGAGGTTCGTATATACACTCACAAACGCACCTCTCACTGCCAATCCACCACCTACACCCCACTTGTATATCCTTAACAAAACAGCTACAACAAAGGTAAATGGAAAACGCTTCACTACCCTGCTAAACAGGACAAAAACAACAGGGCACGCAGCGTCTCCTCAACTGGGCGCAAATCGGTCTCACCCCTGCGGAATGGAAGGCCCTCGAACATTCTCACGTCCAGCTCTTCCGCACTTGCGAACTCCTGCCCGGCGTCTCGTCTCTGCTGTCGACGCTCAGTACCTTGAAAACACCTTACCAAGCCGTGCACAGCTCGCAGAACAGTCACTCGTCACAGCAGCGTTTCGAACCTCTGCGTCTCGCGCTCGCCAGTTCGGCGGGGAAGACGCTGTTCGAGATCAAGACGAACCACCTACCTATAATTGCCAGCACTTTTCCGCAGGGATGTAGGGTGTTTGGTGATGACGAGGAGTTGGTTGGGAAGAAGACGAAGCCGGAGCCGGACCTATTTCTGCTGGCGCTGAAGAGGATCAATCTGAGCATGGCTGCTGGGTCTCCCAAGTCTTCGTTCTCGAGCGCGAGTGATGTTGGCCTTGGCGGTGACATAGAGGAAGACGAGAGTGAGAATGCGATTCAGCCTGAAGAGGTCCTTGTGTTTGAAGATTCCATTGCTGGCGTTGAGGCGGCGCGGCGTGCTGGGATGAGAGTCGTTTGGGTGCCGCATCCTGGGCTGGCAAACGTGGCTCGTGGACGGGAAATGGAGGTCTTGATGGGGGTAACGGAGAAAGATGGCGCCATCCCGGCGTTTGCTGATGAGGAGGAGGGTGGTAAGCCAGATGTGGAGACCGAGGGCGGTGTCGTCATGAGGTCTCCAGATGGATGGGCAGTGATGCTGAGGAGCCTGGAGGAATTCCCATACAAAGAATTCGGCTTTGATGTCGATGAGGGAGCCCTCACCAGCAGTTGAGGCGGGAAAGTATGGAGATGACGAATGCTACTGAACATCCTGGCAAGGATGGGCAGTGATGATTATTCCGGGGTTGGGTTCAGCTCTGGGGAAATACGGGGAGCATGGTCGATGGTAACTTAAACATGATCGACGCGCAGATACGCTGGAGTCTGATAGCCATCTGCGTTGCTTATGGAGCCCACATGCATGCATAGAGGACCACGATGAACAGTACCATTGCAAATGCATTTTCTACGCAATAACTCCCTTGTGTATCCTTTGGCTATTCCACATCCTGTGATGCTGCGAGACACATAAGAAAACACGAATCTTCATAGCTATAGCCTATAGGCAAGGCGATGCCCAGCTTTCGCGGCGGCCTTTCTTTAGCACAACTTCACTCCGTCCTGATCCACCTCGCCATCAACTCCTCCACAACCCCATCATCATTACCTCTATTATGTACTGTCACTGCAGATTTCGGCTCTCTCCCAGCGCTCTCCCGCGACTGATGTTTCATGTAGGGTGAGATGAGTTTCTTCCTGGCAAAACTTCCATGAAAAGGTCGCAGAATCCTCGTCCTCTTCCTCACCCTTGCCATCACGGTCGACACGCTCGAAGAAGTAGTCGTACTCGATACCGATATCTGAGGGCGCCTTCGCCGCATATACGACACGAATATAGGCAATGGACGGAGTCTAAATTTCCTTTCCACTCTGTTGCTGTCCATACTGCTAAGATAAGAGCTATATCGCCTTCTCTTCCCGTGCACTCGCGCTTGCCGCTCCTTGTTTCGCCGACGCTCCGACTTTTCGTATGCAGAACCCTTGCCTGCCATCCAGCGCCCGAGTCTGGCCCGCCAGCTGGTCGATGTGCTACTCGATGTGCTAGTCGACGTCATGGAGGAGACTATCCGTACCGGGGGCCGGGATAATGGCGGGAGGAGTCCTGGGGGTGGTGAAGGTGCCGGACCTGGAATATGCTGGAAAGCAGGTGGCGGCGGTGGAGGAGGAGGAGGAGGCGGAGGCGGGTCAGGAAGCGGCCACATATACATGGAGATTTCCATGTTTGGCTTGATTGTGGCCCCCCAGAGTTGAGGAAGGATGGCCGCGCCGTCGGAGCCAAGGAGGTTGTAGTGCCCTTGCTGGACGTGCGAACTGATGACTGGGATGTTGCGGAACGAACTTCGTATGAGCTGCTCCATGCCCTGTCCTGGCAATCAGCTTCGAGTCCCCAATGAAAAAGGGAGGACGGAAAACGGCACTTACCGCCCACGTTTGAATAATGTTCCAAGGGAAGAAGAACTTCCTCCCGACTGCATCCGTGAACTTGATAGGTGCAGGCACTTTCGACGGCCTATTTGCAATCTCTTCACGCATTGCACCCACCACTGATGCCCTCGATGATGAGGCAGGCTGGTGAGCTTCTGGGGCTCATGTCTTGATAAGACCCGACGTAGGGTTCCACCGGCTCGTTTCTTTCAGTCGGAGGGATGCCTCTTTGTCAAAATTCATCTCTCCATTTCTCTGGTGGGAAGTGATCCACATTAAAACGCCAACTTGAGGGTCTCCAAAGATTGAGGTGACAGTGCGCTGTGTGCGTATATCAACGTACACCAGTCGAGCCTTCAATATTTGTACGTGTTCAAGTATAAAGTTCTGCTGCAAGAGGTTAAGCTTATAGAGGAATTCGAGGGGATCTGGCTGAGTTTGAACAAGATCTTCCATCTCTTGTTCGCTCATCTCCACCTGATGGACGGTAACCGCGCGGCCAAACCCAGTGCTGAAGGCTGGAAGCGCGCCTGTAGTCCATGTCTGAAGCTTTCTTCGTTCTTTTGGTTCGAGGTCGGCGGATTCAGATGCTGATCTCGCGACAACGCGGATGTCGTCAATGCCATTCGCTTTTAGTGCTGATGAAATCTGCTGTTCCTGCTTTCCCTTTCCTGGAGCGGCCGCAGACAACGGTCTACCCTGCTCATTCGCAGGTTGAATCGGGCCTGAAGCTAGAGAGTATGCAGGGCCTGCATCTGGGCAAGCTGGCAGTGGCACTTGGTTTGCCTTGTCCTCTGGTGCAGTCTCCGGCGGCTCCAAAACGTCCTGATTTCCTATCTTCCCTCTCTTCCCGGGATTACATTCTCCTTTGGGTGCTACGGTCTCAGGGAGGACTGCAGGTCCAGGGGATCTAGATCTTGGATGCGCGAGTCCAGCGGGAAGAACCCTCGTCTACTATTTGGGAGACTCCCCGACACTTTTCTTACTCCTAGCTGTACTAATCGTTCTCTGTGATACTGGAACCGCTTCTGCATTTGACAACCACGTTTCGATATGTGGCTCTTTGGGCGGGGTGATCTGTCCTATAAGCGGCCTGTCGTACGTGATGACAAGGACACCCGGAAAAGATACTTCCGGTGTCTTCTCCCGTCGCGGTGGAGGAGGCATAGTCTCAGGTGAGATGGGTGAAGCGGCGGGTATGAGGGTTGGCTTACTCGGCCCTTCTCCAAGTCCCTCAGGCTCAGTGGTAACATCGGCATGCTCAATGTGCTTATTCCGATCTTGCTGATCCAGGGCTAATTCTTTCTGAAGTACTGGTTCTTCTTCCCTACCTGGCCGGGACGAACCTTGGCGCTCACCCCGTGCTGTTGTGTCCACTTTGGCAGGTGTCTTTAGGTCCCTGTCGACGGATATTCCGTTCGTCAAGGCCATCAGGGAATAGAACTCCTCTCATCGTTTCAGGGGACTCGACGTCGTTCATCTCGACTTTTTTGACTTTCTCTTTTTCTTTCCCATTGTTACTATCACCCATATAATGGTCGCCGCGCCCAGTTTTCCCTACCATTCTGCCAAGAACGTTCTTAACTCCATTAGTCTGCGCAAACTCTAGATGAGATACATTAGCACCGGCCTCTTTGGCCCGCCTCAGCCTGACTATGGTTGCCTTCATCTCTTATTTCTCCGTTTCGTCGACGACTCTACATGGTACGCTCCGTTCAGCAAGCGTCAGGTTAGCTACCGCAATCATAAGCAGAAGATTTCCTTTCGAGTCTCGCAGATCGTTTCGGAGTTCGTCAAACTGGGGCTGGAGAAAAGGCCATTTCGCCCTTTCGGACCGCGACAGTTCCACCTTCTTGGCCTGGGGGTCCGCAACGGCGGACTGCTTGATTTGGCGACTAGCTTTTTTCAGATAGACTTGGACTTTGTGGAACATGCGATCGCAGTGCTGTATTGCTCCTAATATGTCGGAGAGAGCAGTTTGAGTGAAAAGTGAGTTGCGAGCCCCGTCGTGACCCGGATCCGGCCCAATGAGATCGTGCAATTGATTTCTAAAGCCAGTCAGTCCGACGATAACTGAATACATTGCGCATTCAGACTGGATCAAATTCTGTGCCTGAGGGCTTCTGGTTGATACAACGTGATAGGAGTATCGGTAAGCTCTTACAAGATCGCACAAGTACTACTGATATCATTCGCGATATTCTCGACTCGCTCCCTCGCCGTAACCACCTGCTCCGCAAGCCCGAACAGCGCAACTGAGACCTTGATTCCTGCCACTGCGATCGCCACTATAGAGGCTGTGATACTCAAAGGGTCTGTCATCGCCGGCGGTCATCCCTATGGTCGAAAAGGGTCGGCATCCTCGTGGTACTTAGCCATGGATTTGACGGAGTCGATTGCAGCCTTGCACAAGGTTTTCGAGCTGAGGTGATGGCAGACACAAAATACGACGAGGCTGAAACGTGGGCCGTCATGTGATATGCAGGGATCCCGACGAATAGAAGTTTTTCAAGATATCACAGAAGTTGGCTGCAGTACTAGCAGAAGACTGAGTGGATGAAACTACCGTAGGAGGCGAGGTTGTTGGTGCAAATCAGTGCTTAGACCATGTACACCATTGCTTGTAGCATGAGTGGACGAAATCGAGCAACATCGTGGCCGCAGTTCGAGTCATTTCGAGTCAGACGTGATTTTTTCCATGATTAAGGCACTCTATGCCCTCTTGCCAGCCCGAGGTTAGAGGCAGTTGATGCATCCGGAATGCCTATGGATTCATTTTGGCCAGCGAACCGCCTTGTACGAGGTCCAGCATCAAATGGGTTTACGGGTCTGGAGGGATCGTATCCAGCCGGCAGAGGTGATCAACCTAATATGAGTCCTTGCTCACTTTCGGAACAATAGAAGCAGGTGAAGAAAGAGTGATGATGAGGGAACGCTGAATTGGCGTTGAAATAAGGTAACCCCAGCCCACAAGGCCAAGCCACTAACCCAAACCGATCTTCACGCCACGTGATCTATCGAATTATCTCCAGGCACGGGGGATTGCGATCGAATTTAGTTGATGTGACTGAAGTATAGTTGATTAGCTTTATCTGGAGCTCCGCCAGTTAAATATGTGGCTTGGTGTTGGATACTGATTGTGTCAACCGGCACGAACCCCTGCCGAACTCCAGAACGACATCGAACACAACCCAAATCTTGAACTGCATAACACCGCCATGGCGGAACCACCACGCCCACTAAAGAAAGACGGAATGTCTCCTCCAGTCTGCAGCTCACTCTCCAGTGCGCAATCAAGACCGCTTCCTCGCATCCCACCTCAGAGTTCAACATCATCCAAATCGCTCCCCTCCCTGCCATCTCCATCTTCATCTCCGTCATCAAAACCACTCCCACCAGACCCACTCCGTCATGTTCCAGAACCGAGAAACCCATCACCAAAATCTCCAGACTATCGCACCACCCTTCTCATCGTTGTCGGCCTAGGTATCTGGTTCCTTGCTATCGTAGTTCTTCTACCCATCATCATGGAGAGGGAGGCTATGCCGGGATTGAATCGGTTATTGCGGAGATTAGTAAAGATGGTGTGGAACAAGAACGGGAGAGAAGAGGGCGAGCTATGAGGCTCTTGGCCTCTTCCGACGTTGATGTGGAAGGAGAACAGGCGTTACTCACCTCCAACGTCCGCGAGAAGGCGGTAATGTTCCGTAATTCCAGACTGACTACGAAAGCTCTACAACAGTTGAACGTTCGTCAATTCCACGAAAACCTAAACAAGTGGATCAGGAACAACCAGCAGTAAAATCACAGTTGCATAGGCATTTTACACATTTACTCAACCGTAAATCCGGATCTACAGCTTCGCTTCCTTGGTCGCATCGTTTAACACCTTCCTGCCTCCGAACCCAAACAAATACGCCGCAACCTTCCTCATCTGGATCTCCTCGCTCCCCTCCGTAATCCTATACCTACGATGATGTCTCCAGATATGCTCGAAGGGGAAATGCCTACTATATCCATTCCCGCCATGCACCTGGATCGCGCGATCCGCAGCCTCACAGCACAACCTATTAGCCCAATAATTACACATGGACACCTTATCCCCAATCTTCTTCTCCACCTCAACATGCGGCATCGAGTCCATCTCCAGCGCCGTCTTGCGGATCAATTGCCGGAGCATCTCACACTGCGTGTGCAGCTCAACGAGCGGGAACTGGATGGCTTGGTTGTGGGAGAGTGGTTGGCCAAAGGGAGCGCGGCGGTTGGCGTACTTGACGGATTCCTGCACGCAGTAGACGGCGGCGCCGAGAGAGGAGGCGGCTTGACGGATGCGGTTTTCATGGACGAAGGCTTGGGCGACGCCGAGGCCGTTGTGGATGGGGCCTAGGACGGCGGAGTCGGGGACCCAGACGTTTTTGATGGAGACAGTCGCGTGGTCTGTCGGCATGTTAAGGGTCCTATGAGGGGTGTTAGCTGTGCTTGGGTGTAAGGGCAGAGAATATGAAAAGACAGAAAATAGGAAACGGCGTACCATTCGTATGATACAGCTTCGAGACCAGGTGTGTTCCTTGGGACAATAAAGCACGAGATACCCTTGGCATCACCGTCCTTTCCAGCTGTCCTGGCGAAAATGAAGCAGTGGGTGGCATGATGCATACCAGTCTGCCACCTCTTCGCGCCGTTGAGCAGCCAACCCCTCACCCCATTCCTAGTCTCAGGCACGCTCCTAGTCTCCATATGCGTAGCATCCGATCCATGACCCGGCTCCGTCAATCCAAAGGTAATCCTCGTCCTTCCCGCCAACCTACCCTCAATCAACTCCTTTTTCTGCTCCTCGTTCCCAAAATGTTGCAGCATAACCACATCGGGGAAATTTCCTACCATGCTGTGCTCATTCTGCAAATCATTAAAAAGACCCAATCCCTTGGAAGCAAGGTGTTCCCGAATAACCGCCATCCAGAGATTCATTCCGCGGCCATCCTCACTACTCCGTCCTCCAAACTGCTTAGGTAGAGACAACCTGTAGAAGCCAGCTTCGTCGGCAAGTTTCCTCGACTCGGTGAGGAGAGCTTCCCACTCCGGGCGGGGGAGACCGCCGTTTTCCCAGTCTGTGCGCGAGTTCTCGCGCCGGTAGTCGAAGAAGCGGTTGTTGTCGTCTTTCATTTGGAGGGGAGTGATCTTGGCGTCGATGAAGGCGTCGAGGTCGTCCAGGAATTTTTGCAGCTCCGGGGGTACGGAGAAGTTCATCGTTTCGGCCATGTGAGGGAGATAGATGTAGTGTTCAATTGAAACTGCTCTGTCTGCTCCTTCTGTTTCATTAAAAATGTGAGGGAGATTAGATGGTGGTACTGTAAAAGCAGTGAAGAGAAAGAACCGGACAGTGCTTCCTCCTCAGTGACTGGGATACCGATAATACGAGAAGAGCAAAATTGGCCCAAGGATATAACTTTTGTTGATGCGCTTCGGTAACATTGCGGATGACTCGCTGCCGCTTGGTCGTGGAGGGATATCTGGGGACATGCGGAGGTTTGCGGGGATTCATTGCCAAGAGGTAGAGCCTCGGTTTATCATTTCCAAAGAGTGGCAGCCTCTCAATTTGCGATGCGAGAACTGCACGTCGATGAGGGTACTCCGCGAAGCATCCTTGCAGATCGTACTCCATTCTCTGAAAAGGTGATGTTATTAAAAATTACTTCGTTACTAGGGTTGTGAGTTAATACCGAACTTAACCTCGCAATAACTAAGCCCACTGCAAAACCTGCTAGGAGTAGAACTTGATCAAATATGGAAAATTTCTTAAATTTGCGAAGAAGACATACTGCTCTATTTACCTACCCCTATCGCCCATACAACCATCAAAATCACAACTTTGTGATCATTCAACATATGTAGACAAGCTCCTCCTCGCAGGTCCAATAATCCAAGTCTCAATCCCTTTGTTATCTCCCGCAACCATTTCTGCCAGACGCAGTCGAATGGCATTCCTCAACGCCTCTTTAACGTCATAATCATCACTCACCTCAGGCGACAACACCAGCACCATCGGGCTCTTATTCGCATTACAACGTCGAGAAAACAGCGCAATGCCATCGTTGATGCATTCAACGATCTCGTCAGGGTCTTCGGAGACAAAGACTTCGTTTGCGCCGGGGTACTGTTGGGAGGGAGCGACCACGACCGAAGATCGCCGAGAAGAAGTAGAAGCGCGGGAGGTAAATGATTGTAAGGTATTGCGACGGGGAGAGTTGGAGTCAGAGTAGAAGAGGCGAGAAGAGAGGGAGTTGGGCTGGGAAGACTGGGAAGAGGTGCGATTTCGTTCTAGTGTCCGGAAGAGAGGTCCTTGTAGGGTGGGTCGGACCCAGTCGGTCTGGCAGGCAGTCGAAGCATTGCTACTACCTTCATCGGAGGAAGATTCTTCTAGGAAGGGGCCCCTTTTTACCCCCTTCTTTTGTTTGGAGGAAACCAGCTTGACTGTTGCTGGGGTTTTGGCAAATTTAGAGGCATGCTTATCAGCGTCGAGATTGTGAGTTGTCCTGGCGCGCTTTCGCGGAGGTGGGGAGAACTGGATCGGACTCAGTTCGTTTCGAACGGTGCTGGGAGTCAAGCTGACAGAGCGGATACGTTTAAGCGGCTTCTTCACCAACGTTCTCTTTTTGATCAACGTGATCTCGCTCTGCTCGTCGCTCTGCTCGTCGCTCTGCTCGTCGCTCTGAGAATCAGATTCATCCAGATCGTCATCATCAACGACAAACTCGTCAAATTCATAGTCCTCATTACCTGGCTCAAGACGGCTGTCAATAGAGATCTTCCTCGGATCTCCCTTCACGATGTCGATATCTTCGGCGGTAAGGTCGTCGAAGTCATCCCACTCACTGCCATCTTCCTCTTCTTCATCGCTTCCCAGTTCCGATTCGGAAGCTTCACTGTGAAAATAATCTGTAAGCCATGTTGCAATGTACTTCTCCTTGTTCTGCGCAGTGGCAGTCCCTCGGGAAGTTACGGAACGCTTCTCTTTAGGGGAGGTAGAAGACGGGGGCGTTGGAAGAGCGGCTCTTTGGTTCTTCGCTGGCGATTGCTTTACGATCTTTGCTTTAGTTGCGGTTCGTCCTAGCCGCAGCTCCTTTGCAGAGGTGAATGGCGGGGACGTTGCAAGGCGGGTTCCTTGCGTTTTCGCTGCTATGCGTTGCGAGCGACGTACGGCGGGCTGGGACGGCATGACTTCAGATGTTAGTTGCTTCTTGCAATATTCGAACCAGATGGGTTATTTGATTTAGGTGAAGAAGAAGACCGAGCTGCACATTATAAGGGACGGCCGGTTTTTGGGGTTGATGTTTCGCTCTCCTCTCATGCAGTGCATCAAGGTTAGCACAAAGAACATGTGGATGCAGAATGAAAATATCTCTTTTCACCCAAGTTTACACAAAGGCCTCTTGTTACAAAGGTCATTGTTGCATCAAGGGCGTCCTTTGTCCACATTCATGGAGCCCGAAAGACGCGACTTGGCGGATTGTTTTCTCTCCTCGATTCGTAACCCCTCTCCATGTTCCTAAGATGGTAGGCATCGTAGTCTCAATAAACTCTCTCAAAAGAGATGTCGCTAACAGCGTTTATCCTGCTAAAACTGATGGGCATTTGGAAGTGTTCAGAGTTAGTGAACGTCGGACGTCGAATCTTGTGGGGCGGAAATTTAAAGATGAATTAACTATCTCACGCTAGTCAATTTCGGGGCAAGCGTGCCCAGCTTCCCTCTTGCGAGGCCACTGTGCAATGCAGGGGCTCAATCTTCATCTTTCCTCTTGTCCGTCGCATTATTCTTTCTTATATTGATTTCTCCATTTCCACATTGGATAATGATTTTGGTGGATACTGTTGGACATCTCGACTCTGGGTTGTCCGCTGCGTGATGCCGGATACCCGAAACGGGGCTCTCATGTCGTCCATGTCCACAATATCACAGCATGCATTGTTCAGGGCCATTAGGGCAACGGAGTAGTTTAAGAGCTGCTTCCAATCCATGACGAATGAATTGGATTACCTCTCTTGCCATACGAGCAATCCGGTTCGAGCGTCCCGATTACCTTCGCGCATGGCTCACTGGGCATTACCAAGCGATGGTAGGTGCCACGACATATGGCTCGTCTATTCGCGATCGGACTCCGTTGTTTACGCCCGTACATATGCGGGATGCGCATCTTACTTCCTTATGGGAATCTAGCCGACGGCTGAATTTCCCATCATGGCTACCTGAGGCTATAATGTCAAACATTATGATTTTCATTCTCAATACCAGCATACACTACGCCCCATTTAGTCATAGGGAATTGAAAGAGCTAGCTTTAGAGAACAATCAGCTTTGTTTGGAGTCTTCTAGGCTCACAAAGATCGCAGAGTACAACCGACTTGACAAGAGCCGAGTCTGTCAGGTAGGGTAATGGCCAGGGTCTTCACTGTTCCCACTCAATATCTCCCCAGTTATGACGAACCCCGGTCGAAAACTGTGCATTGCTGACATGGTTATGTGCATTCGCACCAACTCCACAAAACATCTTCGGCAGTTACTTCCAAGGCCCACAGCTTCGGAATGTGCGAAAGCGCTCCCTGACCTTCAAGAATCTCTCATAAGTAGCTGGTCCAAGACTTAGGTTCACTTCGGTCTTATCGCTAAACGTTCGACTCCTTACCATCTGCAAAGAGTGACAACCCCTCCAGGTCGGCAGGGACTATTCCTCCCCTACCATCACCATGGTAAACTTAGAAACCGTAACACTGCTCTTCGCAGCCACCACCACCCTCGCAGACCCTCCACCGACCCGACCCCTCCGCCCCATCACCCTCTCCCGCACTGGTGGCTTCAACATCGGCGGCAAAATCCTACCCCACCCCGTCCTCCCCAATGAAACCCTCTCTTGCGATCATGGCTACCTCGAATACTTCATCCCCTGGCGCCCCCGCAAAACCTCTCTCGTAATGTGGCACAGCTCCTCGACCCAAGTCTGGCAAAACCGCTGGGACGGCGGCGAAGGCTACAAAGACATGTTCCTCAGGCGCAACTACCCCGTCTGGCTTTGGGACGGGCCGCGCGTGGGCCGCGCAAACTGGGCGTGCGAGCCCACATCGTACACCCCCAGTTTCACATCCGACCACGCGAATTTCGCGGCCTGGAATTTCGGTCCCAGGTACAAGCAGTGGTGGCCCGATGTCCAGTTTCCGACCACGAACGACACGGCGTGGCAACAGGCGACGAGTAATCGCTACGTCGAGTATGATACCAAGGCGAACGTGGAGCTGCATTCCGATGCTGCGGCCATTGCGGCGGATTCGGGCAAGATTGGGAATAATATCGTTTACCTGACCAATTCCGCGGGAGGCTTGCGGGCGATGATGACCACGACGAAGGCGAATGGGACAAATATCAAGGGGATTGTTACGTATGAATCTATCGGGTATGTCTTCCCGGATAATGTGAATATTACCGCTGGGACGGGTGGCTTTGGTCCATTTGTGGTGCCGCTGGAGAAATTCAAGAAGCTCGCGAAGGTGCCCGGAATTCAGTTCATCTGGGGAGACCATCGGCCGGAGAACCATACGAGCGTGATGGAGAGTAGGTTGTGCGCCAGTTTGATCAACAAGTACGGAGGCAACGCGAAGGTGGTCAAGTTGGGCGAATTGAGGGGTTTGAAGGGGAGTACGCATATCCCGTTTGCGGACTTGAGTAATGGGAGGGTGGCGGCTTTGCTGGATGAGTTCCTGGAGGAGAATGGATTGGACGAGTATGAAGATGGGGATGACTGGAATTGAGTAAGGAATATCTGGCGTCTGTTCAAAGAGAAAGGTTTCCAAGACTGGCCAGTAATATGTACAATCAACTCCAGCCACAGACATGTCCAACCAGTCTAAATTGCTCACACACCAGCCAGCCACGCTCCCCTGCAGTAGTGTCTTCAAAAACTCACATGCGTGCTTCATGCTGAGGGAACTGGAGATGCAAGCCAAGTGAAGCTTTCCCGAGCAAAAGGTGAGCGAGCGCAGGCCCGAGGATGTGGCTACAGAGAGGTCTTGACCGCATCCATGCTTTGTATCTCCCTCTCGAAAGAATGCAAAAAAAAAAGAATTGCCCACTCTCGGAATCGAACCGAGGATCTTTGCATATCAGAACATAAGTACGAGTGCAACGCATTACCACTGTGCTAAGCGGGCAGGAATTTGATTTGTTGAAATGTTTTCGCCGTCCAGGCCTCATATGCCAGATATCTGTTACTTCGCGTTATCTCCAAGGCGTGTGCAATAGACAAATGGCCTGCAAGCTGCGTGACAAAATGGGGAAACGAACCACGTAACTTTTGAGAGTTTATCATAGAGCTTTACTCATGTAACTTCAGCTTGTCGGCCTCGGATGAGTTCCGCATGCGAAACTTGCCACAGCGAAACACTCCCAAACTATTCTAAGGGTACCAACTTACCAGGCTAAAATGCCGCTTCACTAGACCACCGTACGTGTGTACTGTGGAATTTCTTGGGGGCCTACAGTTCATGTATCCCCTAGATGTTCGGTTCTAGTATTATTCCAAGCTGGCGTAGAAGAGGTGTCACGTGAATGTCACGAGAACAGATATTTATCTCGTACTACCGAGGACTTCTTCAAACTCGAATATCGTGAAGTTGATAAGAAAGATGGCAAGTACAGTAACTGTATTATTGTTTTCTTTCTCTGGGCCCCACGCGGCTATCTTAGGTTCTGCCCTTAGAAGATAGCGTTTCCATTCACATGGGAGCTGACACCGCCTACTGACTGTCAGCAGCAGAACATCCGCGATGAGGGTCAGATACCTACCTGGACAATTGGCGGGCGCAGAGGTAAAGAAGAAAAACCATCTATTCTTCTCTCTGCACGTCTTCGCCAGTTTCTCGAGATCCAGCATCTCACCCAAAGGCATGCCCCAAAGGGCGAGGATGTACTCATGGAGGTGGTAATCTGTCAATGTCAATGATCCATTGCACAAAACAATATAAATATTCTGTCATACCCTCATGAGTAGGCCACGCCTCAAAAGTCGGCGAATCGCCGGCAACCGTGGCGAAGTAGCAGTCATGCAACCAATCCAGAGTTTTCTGCTCCTGGCTCAAGCCTGCGTATCGCAGACCGTCCTCTCCGTCTTTTCCGGAACCGTGCCTTAAAGCGGCCTTTTCACGGGCCTCGGGAGACTTCTGGTCATATGCTTCCTTCCAGCCGCTGCGAACGAATAGCATGTCACCAATTCTGATGTCACCGCCTTGGGCGGCGGGGCGGATATCGATGCCCTGGTCCTTTCCGCATTGGTAGAGCTCCTCCCAGGAAATGGGGTAGTAGTCAAAGGGGTCGTAGTTGATGCCTTTCTTCTCTGCGTAGCCGCGGTAGTCAAGAAGGACACCACGTCCAGCAATGCCGTGCTCCGCCCAGTGGTGAATGGAGCACTTGTGGTTTGCGCTTGGGCCGACAATGTCCGAACCCTTGGTCTGGTGGATTTTAGCTTAAGGATTGGGATACATTTTTTCATGTGACTTACCCCATTGTAGAAGCTCCCGGTGGGGACGTGAGCGAACTGGGGTTTCGTTAGATTCAGATGAATATTTCAATGGGTAAGGGCGTACATGTCGGAAGCCGTCCCACTGGGTGCCGCTCTGGGTGTTCAAAACATAGAGATCATCATAAGCAATATTCTCATGAAGCACCTTGATCTCATGCTTGAATACCTCACGGCCGAATGCTGGCTGTTTGGGGCAGTCTAGAGGCAGGTTCACAGGAACGATCTCCCCAGTTCTGATCTCCTTGGACGCAGCAGCAACTCTAGTGGGGGTGAGAAGGTTCAGGCGGCCGATCTGTTCATCGATCAGCCTTTTATTCTCCATACCATTTTCCACGTACGTAGTCATTCTCTCCCCAGACCCACGCAGCCTCCGGCGGCGCTCCCTGGATCTGAGGAAGCTCCTTGCGAGTTGGGAACCTCGTGCAGTCAGGATCCCAGGGAATCGTAGTTGCTGTCTTGTTCATGGTGAGGAAGTCCTTGATCTGGGTCAACCTCTGGCTAGCGGCGCTCTTCTGATCAGCCATTTTGTGATATGATTCGTGCGAGAGGATTATGAAAACATGCGAAGGAAAGTTTCAATGCAAATGATAAACGCTTCTATGAAGCTCTGATGAGGTTATAGCTGTGCCGTATCCGCCACGCGGAGGAATACCGGGTCCGAGACCCGCACCCCGCATTTTCCGGGATCGATGAACTCTATAGTGCGACACCGAGGCATTCTGTCCTTGTATGGTCTTCATGGTTGGCTGACTGTCGCGCGATGACTCGGTTGGCCAATCAGTGGAACGCGTAGATTAATCGTTCAAATCGTCGTAACGGCGGAGATAGACCTATAGAGATCAAACCGTGCGACGCGTACTCCCCTGGATGAGATCATGTCGTAAACTGGAACAGAATGGAGATGTTTGGAGTGTGGGTGAGACGAGTTTGGCATTTTCCCGTCGAGTGAAGATATTTGCTTAAGCTAGTCCACTTGCAGCTAGCCAATAAATTTCCCTTCTCGGTATAGTGTATCTCTCCATCTTACCGTTGTATTGCTTTACACAACATGAGATAACCTAGCGTCTTTCGTTGACATGAGCTTAGTGTGCCAAAAAGCGTCCTCAATAGATGTAAATAGGAGGGTTCGCCTGTAAGCAAAAGACTGGTATCCCAAGGATACCGAAAATCGCTCTCATCAGGCCTTCGGCGAGTTGGCCTGAAGGAATGGGGTTGACCTTAACGATGGTATTGGTGAATCACCTCGAAGTAGACAATTAGCTGTGTGTATCAAACCTTGGTAGACACTGAGCAGCTGATAATCTACTGACGTGCCACGATAGCGGCAGTTCACGGCGTCTGTACTGGTCGTCCCAAGGGGGCGGTGGTTATTGGAGAAAAATATGGACTCGCCGGGTGCAACGGTCGCAATTTGCTTCTTGGTCATTGCTTGTGACTTCTATTTCTCTAACTGAAAAATTCGGCTGGGTAATATGTCTGCATGTGGATGTGTAGGACACGGAAAAGCCCGTGCTCGTCCTAGAATTAGTCACTGCAGTGCGTGTTGTTCAACACGACACAAACGCACGGGAAGTGCGTAACCTAGGAGGAGAAACTATTATTTGAAGGGGACAAACTCGTGCAAACTTTGACTTTCCTCTTTTAGTCCCTCAATATGAATCTCTGGAAGAAGGCGCTGCTGGGTTTGACTCTGACATTTAACAACTGGTAATGTCCTCGGACTGCTGTACCACTAAGTCATTTCCACCTGTCGACTCTTCTACTACTTCAAAAACTGTATAGTAGACTGGTACAGTCACCCAGATTCATGAAACTTTGATGGCGTACTGCTCACTCCTCTGACACTGCTGCTCTATTGCACCATGCTTGGATTAGGAGCGTGACTATGGGCGGCTCCTTAAGACTCACGATCTCTATATTTAAATGCAGAATAGAAACGCGCGAAAATGGAAGTATAGTCTGCATAACTTTTTATCGTATCGAAGAACTGTACTTCAGATTTGCACATCATTCCCAACGATCTCACCAAAATCAACAATCCAACCAAGAAGGAAAGACGACCATGAGCGGAATATTATCAAACGCAGTCACAGAGAAGCTAGATAATGGACCACCCAGCTTCCAAGGCGATGGTCTCAAGCATAACTTGAGCGGTGTATACCGCATGGTCGACACACGCCTGAGCCGCGGTACCCTCTGGACGACGGATATGGTCAAAGAGATGCAGGAGCTCTCGAAGCGTCTTGACAGTCTCAAAACCGGAGACAAATACAGTGTTACGGCTTTCGATGGCGAAAAATGCGGTCTAAAGGTCCCGCCATTCAACACTGAGAAGGAGTCGCTGGCTCTGAAGATCGTCGGCTACCAAACGCTCTCCCAAAATGTTGATGATAATGGAAATTATATCTCAGAGAATGTATACCGGCGTGTCCCCTTCTTCATCAGCGCCGAGAAAGACAAGAAAACACATATATTGCAGCAAGACTGTGTGCCCAAGAAGGGAATATGTTCATGGCAGAAGGGTGGAACGCCCTGGAAGATCTGGAAGCAAGAATTTGAATCCGGAAAGAAGTGGGCGAAGTACGCCAAGGAGCTGGAGAATCTGGTAACGAAGAGTTATGCAAAGTTAAAGAATGTTGACAAAATCGTGTGTATCGCCCTAGGCTCCCTCAAAACTGGTAGTAGGATTCCTCTTCCTGGAGGGAAGTTCCTCGACCGTGAGCAACCGGGCAGTTATGTACAGCACCTAGCTGCTGATAAGATGAGAAAGAAACTGGAGGAGCTTACTCGTAGAAGGATCATGATTCTAGCCCAGGATCCAGCTTACTGCGGAAACTGTGGAGAAATACTTCGAAAAGAGTTAAATATTGAGACAAGCACACATTGTGATGGCCTACTCAACATCACTGCCAATACGCTAGTCATCAGTATTGCACCGAGTTACGACCTTATCGGTCTCACATGCGACATCACGCGGGACTTTGGCGGGCCGCTTGCCATGCTTTGCAACGAGATAGAAATGGACGAAACCCGGTGGGACGGGTATTTTCCAAATCAGCCATGGCTGAAGTGGGACCAGTGGGATGGGACCTCCAGAAGTTATGTGAATGAGGATGGGAACGCCGCTGACCATACGACTCGGAGTATGGCAGAATATGAGGCAAAATGCACCATCGCTGATTTTGGGGACTTTGAAGACATCTACAAATATACATACAAAGAGTATAGGACTAAGTACAGCGATGTGCCGTTTCCGGGAGAGGTTAAATCAAATCGAAAGAAGTTTGTTGACGGGAAGAAGGGAGATGATGATTACAAGAAGGAGTATGGGTATTCATTCGCGGAGCACTTGGCTCTTGCAGAGAGGGCTCATCCAAAGGGTCCAGGGCCTAATTTTGGGGAGCTGAAGCTGTATGTGCGAGAATCGTAGAGTGAGTATTCTGGTCGGAAGATAAACCCGGAGCGGAGGAAACTCTATTTCACATATCTCATTTGCAGTTTCAACCTCATGTGTTGATGATACAGCTAGACTTTGCGGGCTCCAATAGCTAACACATGCATTCGCTATCAACGGAGTGCTACATTTGTTCCATTACGGTTGCTAGATGCCCTTGTGCACACATCACTAACGAGCTTGAGTCCGTGTTGCCAAAGGCTGCTACCAGAACCCAAGTAGTTGTTGAACACAGCTTCGCTCATGCCCTGCCGATGAATAATCTGGCACCCAATCAACTGCCATCTGCTGCTACTCATCGAATCAAAGTCGCCAACCAAGCAAACTCATCAACCTCTGTCAATCTCCTATCAGCGTTAGAATACCTGTAGAGAGAAGAATCGGTGGCTGTGCTAGAAACATGTACGTTGTATTTGACTTACACTGAACCGGCCACTGACCCTGGGTATGCTCCTGGGACAAGTCTACCCAAGTCCTTCGCTGTCTCCATCTCTTCGCTTTGCCTGGCAATACCATTCCTCGATTCCGTATCAGAGTTGATTTTCTCTTGCGGGCTCTCGGTATCATTGGCGAAAGCGTCTTCTTCGCTGTGTTCTAGTATGGGCGAACACTGCTTTCTATTTGCAATCCCTCTGCTCTGGAAGGATTTCCTACGGTGGTGTTTCGGTCCTTTGCCTGGTTCACTGTCGCGATGTATCTTTTCTACGATGGGAGGGCTGACACCATACTTTGATTGGCGAGCTTTCCGCGTGGGTAGCACAGTATTGGTAGCGCTTTCGGTGGCCGCAGCTCCTTGTGGCCTTAAATCGGATATAAGGTACACTTTTGAAGAAGCTGAAGAAACTGGCATGGCAGTGGCATCTGCAATATTAGCTTCGGCCTTCTTCGACGTCCCATCGTCAACAGAGCTATCGCCCAAGAATACTGTTCTCCCACTATGGGTCCCGGGCAAAGTCCCATGAAACTCTGCTTCACAAGGGTTCGCCCAATCAATTACCGCAATCCCGTTTGCCTTTAACTCATTGCTTGCAGTTTGTGCCTTTCGCGCCATCAATGCAAACGCAACCCACTCTCCTATCGATCTCAGCATTTCCTCGAACTCGTAGTCTCTGTGAGAGAAAAGGCCGACGGATCCGTAACTATGAGTTTTATTCTTGGCCTCACGTCTCAAATTCAGGAATAGCTCTGATATTCTGTCCAGAGCTGCGTGTAGGAACGTGGCTGGATAAAGTTCGAGTTGCTCGGGTTCAAACTTCCGCAATCCGTGAGCCACAGCCTGGTTAACAACAAAGTCTTTCAGGTCTTTACCCACGTCTTTCGCCGTGAATATATGCATGATCGTATCTGGATCTGGGGCTTGTCTGAGCTCAAGTTTGTCTCGCAGCAAACCCAGGACAAACTTGCCAAATCTAGCGTCTCCCACAGCTGTCGCAAGGATGTGTGCATTTATGAGCGGCCAGCAGGGCACCCATGGACAAGTGTTTAAGTTTTGTCCTCCGATTGTATTTTTAACGGTTGGAAACACGATCGTGCCGCTGGAGATGTATTCGTAGTACAGCGCAAACGCAGTGGGCTCCAGCTCGGGTAATGATATGATTCTAGGGGGAGCAACAACGGCTTGTGCTTCCACATAATATGTAGAGAGTTTTGTCGCATACCGGAGTGCTAACGCTGGTACGCGGAACAGCTGAGGTGTCAAGTAGCGGGAATTTGGATCCTGCCTGCCAATCAACAGTGACACATAAGGCCCTGAATCTGCAGAGTAAAGTGCAGAACGGGGGCTTGGGAATGATAGACTCTGTTGGGGAACTTTTATTTCGGTACGATCTTCGCTATCAAGACCGGCGGAGCGCTCTCTCGTGAGCCACGGTGCCACGTCTGTCATTTTTGTGCGTTTTGGCAGAAGTAGGGGGGCAGTCGTCAGGTTGGCTGTCGCTGGGTTGAGAATCATATTGATCATTCTCCTGAGAGGCTTTCCCTTGCGCTTGGAGGCGTGCTGTGCCCCAGAGTCCATATCGGAGAATGCCTTAGGCTTATTTGTACACAGCCAGAGACAAAACCAGCGATGCTATTAGATGGACTCAATGCGGCACCCACCGGCAGGCGATAGGGCTATTGAGCACTTCCGACGCGAAAAATCAGAAACCACCATGAGCATATGGATGACACAGTATCAATTATGAGACATTGCAACCTGCGTCGAGTGACGTGTTAGGTTGCGAAGAAGGGTTTTGTGAACAGAGTCAATTTGCAGGAATAGTCATCACCCTACCTTTCTGAGTGATTATTACGTCACTTGAAGCGACGTAAGACATGAAAAGGTGACATTTTCGTGAATGATTGAACCGTGGGTCATTGTTGTCAGCGCAATCGAACGGGCGTCGTTTGTGTCAATCGACCAGTGGTGATGAAGCGAGCAACATTTGTTTAGCAGCCAACCGTTTCTCTTCGCCCTGTGGTACTGTAATTCCGCGTAGGGATATCCTGTAGTAAGACAGGAAAGACATGTTATGTTGATATGGGTCATTCATACGATTTCGCATGCTTGAATACACGGTAGATCAGCCTGGCTCTTCAAAGTCGCGCGATTTCTCACCTGAAAACAATTCCTTGGGCCAGCACTAGGTGAACCACATTGCAGCAAGTCATGGAAAAGGAACTCCCCTCCTATAATGTGTCGACAACATCCAGAGCCGCCCATCTTACCGCACCACCCCTCCTGCTTAAACACTGCGAGTACCTCAAATCCCAAGAGTGCGCTATCCTCAACATGGCATTTGGCAATTCCAACCACGTCTCCAAGCCAGCCAGAATCTCCTTCAGCATAGGTGCCTTCGACCGACCTAAAATACTTGTTCCGACAGCCGCCCTCCACGGCATCACACCCGATGTATTGAGAAGATATCTGCGCTGGCTCACCATCACAAAGCCCTTAGGTGCTTGCCAGGACGCATCGGCGCCTTCTAGTCACCCGCTGGAGAACTTATGTACCTGGTCCCAATGCCGCCACCTTCTAGACTCTTACGTCTTGGGCGTGAGGATCAGGGATACGGAGTATCAGCAATATATTCTCCAGGAGCTTCACAAGTGGGTATCACCGGAGCCGGAAGCGGACGTTGGGGGTTTGGAGCTAGTGATGCTGAGCGAGGATGTGGATGGGGAATTGAGGAATTTCGTAGTAGATCGATCGGTTTGCGATAAGGATAGCGTCAGGAGTATCTTGAAGCTCTTGTTAGCAAAGAAAGACCAGAGACAGCTAGACGAACAAAAGGCGAAGGGCATTACCGTCAAGGTCTCCGGAGTTGATAGGTCTATGGCTCTGCCTCTGTCCAAGTTCTCGAACTTCCCCTACCTCCCGCCCCCCGGAAATGAATTCCCAAGATTCGGAACCGGTCCCATAGATTGTTGTCAGAACAAGCCTTTACCACCGCTCCCACTCGAGGCATCAAATTCCAGTAGCTCACTTATCCGTTGTTCCAATGAGTTGTCGGAAAACCGTACTTTCCGATCAGGCGGCTTCAGACATAGCATAGCAAGATGCGATGTCGGGCTGGTTCATCGAGTGGGGCAATCAAAAGCGTTTACCCGATTGAAGAGACTCAGAAGTATATCGGTTGGTGTCCTGCCTTTGGTTCAGGAAAATATCCACGAATGAATGAGGATTTCCGCTAGTTTCTATCTGTTTTGTCCTGTGTCGTCATCTTTGATCGGTTTCATGTTCGCGCTTTTGCCATCAGGGCAAAGTCCGCTCAAAGCGAGTCTCTGCCGTGTCATCCGTTGCGTCCTTTCGGGTTGAGATGGAGACCGCTCCAGCGCGCGGCCTAGTTCGAGACTCAACAGAGGGAGGCCGTGAATAGTAAATGGAAGCTATAAAGTCGCGACTGAGAATACAACTAAAAGTTCTGTGAGTTGGCCCAGGTGCGCTTCACTGGTTTCGGTCAGCTCGGTCTCCGCGTGATACTGAGGCTCAGCACTTCTGCGATACCCCTTGCGTAGACGGTACGTTCTCGAGAGGGTCGCGTAATTTCCATTTCCGCCGACCGTGAGCGTGGCCGTATGCTGTTGGCTTGTGTGGTGTTTCCAAGGTTCGGTTGTCACTAGAAGGCGCGGTTTCGCCGCATGCGCTTTACTGTGAGGACTAGCCACTAATGTGTGGGCTAGAGTGCGAATTTCGAATCGGTCAACTTGTTGTAACCTTGTGAGCTGGACGGAGCAGGTCATAATTATTGCGTTATGTGTGGATTTTCGTAGGGTGATGTGATTGGCTCCGTGGATAGCTATTTCAACCTGTTGTTGCTCTGGCGTGCGGTTTCTGGCAGTTTGGAGGAAGTAGAGGTTTGTTCAGTCAGTGCGTGTGAGTCGGAGTAGATGTACGATCTCGGTAGCGTCGCCCGCGAAGCTGGAGGTGAAGTTCCCGTCGAAGAGTCGCGCAACGTGAGGCTGCAAGTTCCCAGATGAAAGCTTATAGGTTTTCTTGTAAATACTATCTGGTGTTGCTCTAGAGAGAGCTTCTGGTGTTCGTCGAACTTGTGAGGTGGTCAAAGTGAAGGTGATGGGCCCAACCCCCGTCTGCGCAGAGAGCCGTCGCCCAAGAAGATGATGCCGGTGAGGCAAGCTGTTATATTAAGCTTTTTCTAGGATAATTATGAGTAATATCTACTTGCTGGTAATCATGCCTGTGGTGTTGAACGTGACACTGGGCCTTGGTGGTGAGTCTCACGCCTCCAGGAGGAGCGGGAAAATCGCGCTATTGCCTTCTTTCGATGCCCCTCGTCCGTAGAGGCGTCAAAATGTTGCTTATGAGTTTCCAAATGGTTATTATATACGTTACCTCTTTTCCAGTGCTTATGGAGTGGCGTGTAGGGCTTTGTAACGCTCAGTTTTGAGCCTCTCTCACCGACGCAGACTCGCCCCAAAAGCTCAACGCACAACGCTCTTCCTAAGACGCGGTGGGCTGAGATAAGATAGATGGCCTAGAAAACGCTGCATGCATCTCAAAGCGCGCACTATGAGCTCTAGAACCCGCCGGAAGGGCACTGGGCTGGCGGAGGCTGGTCGCTGCGGGTCACAGTGAGCCCGTCTCGGCTTGCGCCGCCTCTTGGGATATTGAAAACGTCGTACAGAGCATCAGTACAGCATTTGGAGTCACAAAAAGGACATGTATCCTACTATATACACTCATTTCGGTGGTGTGAATGTTCCGTTCACGTGACTTTTTCATTCACTCTTGGCGGCTCGAGCCTCACGCCGCCACATCGGAGGCTGGGGCCTGAGCCTCTGCGGCCAATCAGGTATACAGAAACCCGCAAAGCCACAGTTTCCAAAAAGTACGCTCGCTCCGACATCTCGCTTAGTAAGGGCCAGTCCCCCCCGGAGTATATAAAGCCTGCCCTCCTACTCCATAACCCTCTCTTTTACATCCCACTCCCACTTCGAGGCCTTCGAGAGCGAGTTCTTCAGTACCTTCTAGGTCTGAGACTTGAATCTTCGATCATGACTTTCAAAATGGTCTTCCAATATCAACATCAACATCAATATCAACAACATCACTTCACTACTTCCTTTGTCACATGACCTCCTTCGCTTCAAAGTCAACTTCACTTCAACAACTTCTTTTACCTTGGTCGACCTTCACCTTCATACATCACTTCATCCTCTCTTACCTTGGTCGACCTTCATCAACATCATCACTTCACATCATCATGATGGCTTTGTCTTCATGACTCTTCAGGTATGTCCTTCGATGTGCACTTGAACATCACTGACTTTCTATTCAGTTTATTGACGCCAGTATTCAAATCTTCACATCGAAATCCTTCCTCCTCCGAAATCATTCCTCGCCTCGATTGCCTCCTTCCAAAAACGCACCGGCGTCCTCGAATACCCCACTTTTTTCTTCGCTCCCGCACCGTTTTAACATTTCCGAACCGAACCGCATACACACACATACATACATGGTGGTCCAGGTGGAGGAGGTCAAAGAGGAGGGACAGACCAGGTGAAGTGGAGGATGCTGTATCTACATGTGACGCCCTCATACTTGAGGCTCAGGTCAAGCATGTACTCAGCCGTCTACGTCGAGACGTTAAACTCTTATGCATCGCAGCTTTGCTTCACGTCTGGGTTGGATGGAGAGGGATTAAGTTCCTGGCGTCCCGGACTGGCAAAAACTCATGAAGTTCAGTAGTGAGTGTAAGTCGATGCGCTTGCTTGGTCGCTGGCACTGCCACCCTATAAATGCAAGCAGGACGGGTGGAGGAGGGTGGCATTCATTCCTTCTCTTTGAGAGGATGGTGCCGTTAGAGAAGGCAGTCGGCCGGGGGTGTGCTTACACAATGATGGTCTTGGTAATGTTGAAATGGACTGTTGGACATGGGCACTTGGACATCTGTGGAGGACATGGGGACTCTGGACATCTGCGGAGGACCAATTGGGACATGGGACATGGGACATGGGGACATGGGAACATTGGGCAAGGACATGGACACATCAAACAAAAAGTGGTTGGAAATTGGTGGATATTTGTGGACATGGAACAAAGGGCAAAGGGTGAACATCAAAAACAACCAACCAACATCAAAAACCAAAAACCAAACATCAAACACATCAAAACACATCATCAAACATCAAACAACATAACACAACTTGGGACTTGGGCGTCAGGAAGAAAGGTGGATACATCATCAAATACAAATACCATAACGTTACAACATGAATCACATACTTCATCATCATCATTACTGCTTTCTTCTCTGTCTCTGTTTCCTGTGATGTCTTGTCTTGACTTATCTTATTATTGATGCCGGTGTCTTGCCTTGGTGTTTATGTCTTGTGGTGATGTCGATGTCTTATATAGGATGTGCGGTGGTGTCTTCACTTGGTAGTAGTGCTATGAAGTCGAATAGCATTAGACACCGTGTGCGATGCATGTTCTATATTCCCGCCCTGCCTGCGACCGCTTACACACTCTCTGCTCTCACACCCCTGATCCCTGGAGTCACGTATTCTGGACCTTGCGGTCCCGCTCTCTCCGATGCACTTCCGACGGCATCCCTGATTATAGTGCTGCTGATCACGGTCTCACTTCCTCTTCTCTCCAGTTTCCAAATCACTACTTCTAGTCTCCAACTCACTACTCCCTGTTCACGGCTAGCCTTCCCCTGATGTCACGGCCTTGGTGTCTTGCCCTCACGACTTCCGTGATGAGTATGTTCGCCCTTTCCGGTACTCTACCTGCCGCTCCTCTTATCGCGAAGGCGTTTTCTTTTCCTATGCTACTTCTCTTCCCCTAGCCGACTTTCTCTGAACCCTCCGCCATCCGTCTCAAGAAGAAAGCGGGAAAGAAAGTTGTGCGTGGATCTACGTTCCCACAGTATAGAAGCCGACCAAATCGTGAATGTAGAATCGTAAATGCATTGCTCATAAACTACATATACATCTCGGACGCCGTCCCGAAAACCAGCAAGGGAACGGTCCTGCTCTCCTTCGTCGCCTTCGTCGCAGCGCCAATCCACCTTATTTCCGCCCAACCGACATCGCCTTCAAGGCTAAGTAACGGACCGCCTTACGATCTTCTTGCTACTCGCTGTTAGAAAGCCTGAATCAAACTAGGGGAAACGGAGGAGGGAGAGGAAGAAGGAAGACTCACGAGCTCCCACTCCCGCTCCACACCCTGATCGTGGGCTTTCTGTCCCTCGGTGTAACCGATTCAGTCCCTCCTCCATCCTGCCCATGTTCGTCTTTTCCACCTACGGCCCCACAGTCAATCTCCGCGTCCACCACGGCCTCCGCTTTCATCCCCGATGCTCTGTCTACTGCCGAAGCCAGCGGCAGCGCCGCCGATCTAGGTCTTCCCACCGCCATTCCCACAGGCACTTCCTTTAACCTCACACCCAGTGTCCGCTCTTCGCTTTTCAATCTCGCAAGCGCCACGGCCGCGGTTCCCGTCGACGCGGCCGTCATAGGCCTCGTACCTAGCGCTTTTCCTTCCTTCCGACCCTGAGACGCCAGCACAGCGGTCGAAGTTTGCGGACGGCGTAAGGGGAGATTTGCGGGTATGGGTGCCAAAACGGGGCCGGAGTTTGAGACGATGTTTGTGGGCTCTGCCGACACTTTGGTGGAGTCTTTGCGAGTGACTTTGCGGATCAGGGATTTGAGTGTGATGCTCTTGCGGCGACTGTGTTTGGTGTGTGACGGGAGGGCGGGCGAGAGGACGGTAGACATGGTCGCGGAGTCGTTGGTGGTATTGGCTTTGTGATGGTCTCGAGGAGTAGGTACAGCTGATGTGCTCTGTATGAGCCCGGTCGCCTGCGTCGTGACGGTGGTTGGATGCGAAGGGAGTGGCGGAGTAGGTTCTCGATGAGCACTCGAGAACTCATGAGAAAGCGGGTCAACAGTGAGCGTGGCGCCGCTGAACCTGGCGCCCTCGATGTCCTTCGAGACGTCTCTCTTTCGAAGCCGATTGTGGGCAAAGCGTTCGCGGTCGTGCATGAGTTGTTCTTTCGTGGTCTCAAGCTGACACGTATAATTCTTGAGCCTCTCGAGCTCGGCCTGCATGGCGGAACAAGTCGCTTCTGCCGCGTTTTTGGCCGCCTTGGTCTCCTCAAGTTGCTTTTGCTTGGTTGAAGCCGTCTCCGCCAAGCGTTCAAGCTGGTGATCCCTCTCGTCCAAGAGATTCCGCACCTCTTTCAGCTGCCCTTCCAAGCGCTGAAAGTGTACAAGATATACCAGACTCGGCCGCGCCGTTTCCATATCCTCATGGACCGATTTTTCCAGCCGCAGTTGCTTCCTGAGAACCTCTAACTCGTGCTGTATGCTAAAGAGCCTTCCGTTGGCCTCGCGGAGTCTCTTTTCTAGACTATCACGCTCTGAATGCAGTCGCAGATTTTCTTCTTGCGCTGCGTTGAACATTGCCTCCAGCTCTTGTTTGTCAGATTCCTGGATAGTCGGCAGCCGGGACGGCGAATTCTTCTGGCTCTTGCGCAACTCCTCGTCCAGCCGAATCGCCATCTCCCGCAGCTTATGCTTTGTCTGTGTGTGCTTTCGCCGTTCCTCGATCAGCGTGTTTTGCGTCTGCTGTGTGCAATCCCAAGCCCGCCGGAGCTCTTCCTGCAAGCTCTTCATTCCTTCGGAGCCATTGTGGAAGGTCGCAAGCTCCTGGCGCAGTCTGGCAATCTCCAGGTCCTTCTCTTCCATGAATCGAGTGTGTTCCTGCGAGTTTCGGCCTTTGATGTGCAACAATCTGACCTGCACAGCTGCACATTGCTCATCACCGGAGCCAGGATTCAGAGAATCTGATTTTGGCTGGTCCATTCCTTCATATGTGGCAATCCTATCTTTTAATGCTCTAACGTATGTCTCCTTCTGTTCCAGGGCCATGTTACGCTGGCGGTAAGCATCCTCAAGTTGCGCTTCTCTTTCTCGAAGCAGGCCCTCCTTATGCTGCAGAGCTTTGCGTAGCGCGAAGAGTTCGATGTCTTTCCGATAGACGACTGCTTGATGGTCCCGCGCAATGGCTTGTTTGATTTTCCGAGTCTCCTCCTCGAGGTCCGACCTTTGTGTTGAACTTTGTTCTGCGAATGCCGGTCCTGTTTGGCTGTGTCTTCGCCTTGGCGATCTATCATTGTTTATGCTCACCAAATTCGCGCGAAGTGAACTAGCGTCGAAACTTTGGCATTTTCGGTTTCGTCCTCTTTGTTTCTCAGTGGAGGGAGTATCGTGTGGCTCTTCATGCTGATTATGGGGTTCGCTATCTCTCTGAGTGTGCCTGCTACTGATTGGGTGCACTAACGACTTTTCGCGCGAAAGGTCCCCGTGATAATGACCAGCTTTCCGAAGTAACATCTTCTGGAGGATCTCCATGGCAGCCATGACAGCGGCAATAAGCAGGACGTCCTTCAGTCTCCCCGTTTGCACCCAGACACCTGCGAGGGTCAATATACACAGAGCGACGAGGATCAGACTCCGATACGCGACGACAGAGGATTCGGGAGAGCCGTGTGTTGAGAGTGCGATCGCGGAGGGTATAATGGCAGCGATCAGAACTGATGCCGGTCGCGGGAAGCGTTGTTGGAGTGACCAAAGATCATGGAGTTGGCGTAAAAGTTGTTCGAAGTTTGTTTCGGAGCATTTGATGCGTTGGATATGTTCCGCGATGAGGAAGATACTGTTTCTACTAAACTCCCTTAAATCGTGTAAGATGATTGTGGGTTGGAAGCCCAGAATAGAGGGGAGAAGACGTAGTGACTGTTGCAAAGACTGGGGCAACCCTTGCAGAGACAGCTCTTCGAATGCTCGTCCAGTTATCTTGCGGAGGGCGGCGATCACTTCTTCGCATGTTGGGACAAAAGCATCATATAGCCAGTTTTGCGGGCGATAGAGACACACTGCAATCGCTGCAATGACGACGACGCCGAAAACGAGCCTCGTTAGGGTCACCGGGATGAGGTTCATCGTCTTCGTGCGACTAACTACCATTGCGGACGTGATGCGGTACTTGAAGCGGCGTTCAGATGCGTCCAAGTCCCCGACCAAGGTCCCTGAGCTGGAAAGGAGCGGCGGCCGTCAGGGTCAGCATATGCTGTCAGGAAAAACTCATGCGTGCATCTGGATGACTGAATGTATGAACGTGGTTCATTCGATCCCTTAACCTCGTGCCGTGCGTGAACTTTAGAAGACCGTCACCAAGAAGCTGTAAGATGCGACTGAAGAGAGGAGAGGGTAGAGGAGCAGAACCTGAAAAAGAACCTCAATGAATAGAATATCAACGAGCAGCAAACAGAAGCGTCCGCGAACGCCGGGCTTAAGTGCAGTAGTGGATAGCCCCGAAGAAGGGAGCAACAAGAGCATTGATCCTAGTTCCGTGGGCGAACAGGATGCTTAGTCTGCGCCATAGTTTATGCGTTTCGATCCCTCCACCAGCCCATCGGAGTACTTTGTTGCCACACTCCAGGATGGCAGATAGTGCTGCACCTCGTCGAATGCGGGAATGGCCCCTGCATTTGCATCCGACCAGATACAGACAACTCTTCCAGAAGGCGGAGAATGCTCGCCGCGGTCCCATGCCACGCTAACGTTCCATGGTTGCGACCACTCTCGATGCCAGAGGCGTATCTCGCTAGAGCCGTGGTCGCCAGTCGCATTGAAACGAGGGTCTGAAACACCCCCCTCCACCCGCAAATCTGCGATCGGCGAGTCGAACAGAATGCGACACGCGCGTGTGTTTTGCCCGACCACGCGAATCGTGGCCTCATTGGCCTCTTTGTTTCGTGAAACATCATAGTCGAGCCATGTGTCCAGGTAAGTTCTGTTGCTATAAGTGGCCATTTTCGGCACAACGCGTGCCGACAGTCCACGCCACCCGCATTTGATCAATTTGGCCCGCGACGCGACTTCTGGCGTCGTGCAGTTGATTTGCTGGCCTTGTGCGCTTGGTATTTCCCTAATTACCTTCTGGACGTACTTTTCGAGGCCCGTTAAGGACACGACGTTGTCTCCAGTGTCCAAATCGACCTGTTGTATAAAGTATACCTTCAACCGGTGGTCTCTGGAGAATGGAAAGGCGACGAGGTTGTATATCATTGTCCCAACGCAGACGAGAAGCAGGAATGTCGGGACGTGGTAAGTGAACCGATGCAGGAAGGGACCGGTAGGCGCGAGGAGCAGAATGGTGAGGGCGGCGAAGGCAATATAGATGAAGAGCGAGGAAGCGCCATCCTGAGGAGTCTGGTACAGTGCTGATGTTAGCAACAAAGCCACCTGTCCTACCAAGATGACGTTTATAGGAACCAGGAGCAGGAACTGGATGACCCAGAGGGAGCTGGGCATCCTTGCACTCCATCCTTGCTCGTTGTGATATGCATTTGCAATATCGACTTCGCCATGGTAGTCTTCCCGTCCTGTGGGCTCGTCGATCGAGTGTCTGCTCCCGTACCTGGCAAAGCTACGCTGGTTCCCTCGGAGAAGGGATGTCGTTTCGGTCGCTTCCTCGTCCTGAACGGGCCGATCGTCTGATCGAGTGCCACTGGTAGTGCCCGTCAGCGGCCTACTATACGCTTCCGACGTCCGACGAGTTGTGCTCTCGGTGTCGAAGTGGGCCACGTAAGCGGCCTTTGTGGGGACGAAAAACAGCTCCAGGTACGATATCAGAAGCGCGAAGAAGACTGCGGCAAAGTAGAACATGATGAAGTATCCGCCCGCAACTTGATAGTCGTTGGCTAGGACGGTGACGTAGATTAGTAGCGCATAACTGCCCACGAACAGCCACATCAGGGTGTACATGCGCTGAAGGGCCGAAGGCCGCATTGCGCTTGCGCCTCGAAGCAAAAACCAGGCAACGAAGAACCATGCTGAGAGCATCATGCTGAATGGATATTGTTAGCGTAACCTGCAAGTGGCGACGGTTGCACATACCTCCAAACAGCATAAGGGCTACTATGAACAATGTAGGGGTTCGCCCTAACAATGAGATATGCCAAACCCACAACGAGTGCAGTGGCCGCAACGAATGCGAACGGAAATCGGAAAACGCCGCGCCAGCCATATAGATATACAGGTTCGTCGTCATCCGAGGAATGAATGTACCTCTTTCTGGCAAACAGATAATTTTTGTCGGCCCTGGACAAGGCAATCGTGAGGGTAATTAGGGCGATAGGAGCGACGACCAACAATGTAACGTTGAGTGCAAATAATGTGTGCAGACGGAACAGGACGAATGCCTTTCCGAATATGTCAAACCAAACCGCTTCAGTGCCCTTGCCCGCATCCACTCTGCCCTCTGGGCTTGACTCTCCGTTGCCACTGAATGCATTGCTCATGTCGGAAGCAAGACCACGTGTAGTCGCAATGGCGGCAGAGAGCATGTGCCACACGGAGTTCAAAGACGTCTCGCGAGTGGAATCTTCGATGGTATGATACCTCGCTCGTGGTTCCATGAAGGCAACATCGAGCCCTCGGAGACCCAGCTCGCCGTTGAACACGACATAATCTGTCTGGCTTGCAATAAGACCCCGCTTGAACCCGTCGGCGCTGATGACGGTACCGAAAGGATTGGCCGACTTCTGATATGGCCTGGTCACCTCCTCGTCGGTGCTTCTAAACAGCGTCGCTCGACCTCCTGCTCCGGCACCTTCAAGATTGAGAAAGGTATGGGGAACTTGGGAGATGGGGTGTCGCATAAACGCCTTGGCGCCATTCAGAAAATCCTCTTCCCCGTTGTTGAGTAGGAGTATGATGGTTCGTTTCGGCCAGTTTTGAGGCTCAGTGAAGTAGGAAAGAAGCTGCAAAACCGAAACGACGCCTACGCCATCATCCGTAGCGCCATAACCCGTGCTTACAGAATCGTAGTGAGCGTTAACGAGAACTCCGCCGTTTGTCGCAGCTCGACCCGTGTGAGCGGCAGGGTAGAATGGCTCCTTGTCTTCTGAACCGCGAATGGCAACAATGATATTGTTTCCTTCGAAGTAAACAGTGGTATTGCGGGAGGAGAAGGTGGCATTGGAGATATTGTCATCAATGATTTCCACGTTGTCGCTGTCAAGATGCTTGGAAGCTACAATGCTGTGGATGCGGGAAAGCAGATAATCTCGAACATGGTCATTGGCTCGCGAGTTGTACGGGTGAAAGCGACGAGTAATCTTCTGCAGGTCTGCCCATGCCTGAGTCAAGTTCGTCCCGGCCGGTGTAGAGGAAGGGTACGGCGGGACGGTCAGATGAATGGTGAGCAATGCAGCGAAGAGAGAGACGTAGGTGACGGTCGTCACCAGAATGACGGGCAGGGGTCGGAAGGCCAGCGGGTTCTTCCACTGCGCCATTGAGATCTGGGTAAGCAGAGCTTAATGCATGGAGAAATGGACAAATTGGGTGAGGAGGCCGTGATAGGCCAGGACTTCTCGTCGATGGTGTTTGTTCCTTTCGAGCTTGACGGATCCTCGGCGGTTCGCAGCACTTGAGACAGAAGCTTGGAGGTCGTGCGAGAAGCTATGGCCACATGATGTGATGACTAAGCTTGAGTTCAACTTCAATCATATCTTCAACCAACATCACACCTCGACCACATTTTCCACCTCCCAATCTACGGCCGAGCTGATGGTCGCGATGCGCCCAGATTTGGTCAGGGATTATTGCCGCTGCTCTTTTTAACTAGAAAATGTCCAGCGAAGGATATCCGGACCCGGAAAATACCCTCGACTCGGCGTCCTCCGAATCACCACCACCACCTCTTCCTACCCTCACAGACGCACCAAAAACATTCTCCGGATGCTGTCTGGGTCTGAGCTTACCCCTATTGAACCATGTCCATATGACTCTATCCGCAGCCCCCGGGTTGGTCATCTCTATAGGCAGCGGATATGGCCTGCTTGAAGCTCTCCTTCTGTCACGGCCATACAGTGTAAACATCATCGGCGTAGAAGTCCAGCCCAGCTCCAACCAATACCTCCCACCTAGTCATCATCGCGTTGTAGCCGGTTCACGGTTTCTGGATTCCTCTGCTCTAAAATCGGCAGTATGGTTGTTTGTGTATCCCAAGAGAGTGGGGCTCGTGGGGGAATACGTAAAGGCGTATGGAATGGGGCTTGTACAGAAAATAATCTGGGCCGGGCCGAAGCTTGATTGGGACGACTACAGGCCTGTTTTCCTGGATAAATCTGCTGGTATGATCTGGCGCGTGGAGACGCGAAGCGCGGACGAGATCGGAGGCCACGCATGGGAGATGCTTGCCATTGCGACAAAACTGAGAATCCCATGAGACACTTTGGTCCAGGCCGGGTCCTTACTTCTGCCCTCTCAACAAGATGCTTGAAACGAATCCCAGCCCAGTGCCAGATTTCTAACATCTACGCATGTATACTTATAACCTTCCATCCTTGGGTTTGCTCTGCCAGGCCTATGCGCTCCTTAGGAGAGGTCCCGAACGGGAGAATCCGGTAAGTACTAAATTACATTCAAATATCACCCCTACCTGTCCTTCTACGATCTCAGTCTGCTTTTCCTCCCTATCTCTGTTTTAGTCCCTCCGCGTTGCTTTCTATCTCCCTTTAAACAAGAAGAAGACTAGGCTGGTATAGTCATGAAGTATATCTTGAATTTCGTGTCATATATACCTCCGTCCGTATATTCATATCTATGTTGTTTCTTTGCAGAATTACAATCAGTGTGTGATGTCACGCCTTTCCTACCCATTTCGAAGATGCGCCTAAGTACCGATATTCTCCTAGACCTAGGCCAGGAGGATCTGCCCTATCTGTTTTTCCGCGCCGAGTATGTCTTTCTTGTTTTGTTGGTTCCCCTGGAGTGGGCACTCGAGATTCATGCTGACCATTGTACAAGCAGCTATCTGGTACCTCCCCCGAGCACTCCCTTCTTGCAAAGGGTTGGTGGAGTTTATCATAGCCCGACCACCTATGTGCTGCATAGGGTACCTTCAGCATTGGAGGCTCGCCGCCGCCGGTGCCAAGGGAAAGCTCCCTGACGCCTTTCACCGGCGACCGTCAGCCCGAGTCCAACCTGGACCGACCAGATGTCGTCATGAAACTTTCACTGGCTTCACCGTCGCGTGCGCCCACCGCCTCGCCTGCGCTCGGGCCTGCTCTTGCTTTGCTCGTCCACCACATACATTGTTGACTTCTCCAACTCCTCCCTTCCCCCAACATTCTCGCAACCGCTGGCCACAACCACACTGCAAGCTCTCTTACACTACAGCCTTTGCCAACATGGCACCTCCTCTGGATAGCCCTCAAGCTATCTCCCCATTTCTCCTCTGTTATCTTCTTCTCATCATCTCCTGCGATTTCCCCGGGATGATTCGCCGTACGGCCTCCCCTCTTTACGATAACATCGCCCTGGTGACCCTCCTGGGCCTCGTCGCCGTCACCCTTCTTTTCTCGCCCGCCCAAATCGTCGCCGTTATGACTGCCGATGGCCACGTTCCTCCCTGGGTTATGGTCATCTTTGAAACAGTTCAGTCCATGGTCCTACGCTTTCAAGACTGCAACTCGGTTCGCCGCTCAATAAAGACGTTCCTGGCTGTCAACAAGTTCGCCAGTGTCGATCAATATACGGCTCTACGGTTCCTTCCCATCGTGCACTTCACATACACAGTGTACGGGCTTTGTCGCGATGACTTCAATACTCCTGCGCCCATCTGGACTCGTATACGCCAAGTCACATCAGCTCTGGCCTACGTCAAAGTGGGCGCATGGCTCTTTGGCACCAGTCCTTACGATCTGGTGGGAGTGGTTTACGCCATCTTGATCGCGCTCTTTTGCCCGTCGGTCGAAACTGTCGACGCCGTTCTCCTGCGAGTCTTTGAGGAGACTATCGAAGTGTTGCGCCATCGTTTCACCCGTGTTCTCGGCTATTGCATTCTTTTCGTGTTGATCGTATATGTGGAAGCCAATGCGAATTGGATATTCACGTATGATGTCTACGGTCAAGCCGCCACGCAAGTTGTTACCCTCTGGAGACTCGGCATCTACATTACCCAACGTGGACTTCGTGCCTTCGTCGCGACCCTCTCGGCGTTGATCCTCAAGATACATCTTCAGAATCCGAGCTGGCCAAGCGTTCATCTTATCTTCGGCATTCCCTGGAGCTTGTTCGTAGGGTGGGTGCTGTCGCAAATCCTTTTCATTCCTTCTTTCACAGGCATTGCGGACTTCGCCATCGGCATCGTCACGTACGCTTTGATCATCGCACAGCACTACGGCTTCAGGGTGATCTCCCGAGTTGAAAGCCCTCTGTTGGAGGCGGCTTTTGTCATTGTCTTTGACGCACGACGACTAGCACCCGCCGCTTGGGTGTGCGATAACGCCATTTCTCCACTTCACAAGCAGGTACTGGTTCCTCTGTACGGTCGCCTCGAAGGGTGGGCTTGCAAAAAACCACTCCAACGCTGCTTCGTTGCTGTCGCAAGTGCGGCGGCCGATCCCATCTCTGCCTTCAAAGTTTGTGCCGAACTGTACATTTTGTGGCGTCGCAGGCTCAGGACACCCCGTCTTCCGCCGCCGGAACCTCCTCGTCCGCCCGAAACCGATGCTATCGCTGAGTTCTTTGGTTACAATGAGTCACCCCAGCCCTTTGTCGGTGTGTCCGATCTGGCCGTTCAAGAACTCTTTTGGGGGGTGGACCGGAAAGTTATGCGGCAACTCAGAAGTACTTTTTGCGAGAATATGCTTGATGTTTCGAACGACTTCAAACCCCTGTCCAACCGTCAGGTCAGGTACAAGAAAAGAAGTCGTCAAACACACGTGGACGAGAGACTTCGCCGCACGGAGACATTCTTCGATCTTTGCTTGCGCGAACCCGTACTAAACTCCGAACCACTCCTTCACACAGTCGTACATAGGCCCAGGGTCGTGAAAAGCTTTGGAGGAATTACCATGGTGCGTAGGGGTACAGCGGAAAGGACTTCTGCCACCACTCGAGCCCCCGAGCCCAGAGCCACGCAGGTTCAGCCCTCATCCGCTGTATCGGCTATCCTTGCAGCTCCCCAGCCTACGGCGGACGGCGATTCTCTGGACACCCCGCAGCAGCCTCTTGCAGATACTCGGGCTTTTGAGAACACATTTGCGGAGTCCTTGGCCACTGCTTCACCATCTAACAAGGATTCAACGCACATCGTCACCCAGAATATTCCCTCGACCGCAGCCTCGTCTGATACAGCAGCTACCCAGCCTACGGCACAGGGCGATCAAGTACAGCAGCCCATTCCCCATGCCACTTCCACCACCCCTTCACGTTCCGCCGACGCTCCAGCATCGAGGGTCCCATCAGATGAGCCCTCAGTCAATACCTCAGATGATACGATAGCTCTCAAGCCCACCGCGGGCGAGAGTTGCGCGAGCACAGCGTCCCAGTCTGTTGAACCCGCTACTCCTTCTGACGATGCATCTTTCGAGCCAGCGGGCACTACTTCTCCACCCACGGATGTTCCGGAACCCAGGGCCACATTGGATGGACCCTTGGGTAGCACTCCTGTTTCAGCAGAAGCCGCAGAGGCTGAGGCCGTTGACCCTCCGCCTGAGGATCCAGCCGCCGATCCTGCTACTCTCGCCAACGCATTCGCTGAGCCATTGGAGCCAGCTTCACCATGTATCGAGGATACGACCCCTCGGGCCACATTGGATGGACCCTTGGGTAGTACTGCTACTCAAGTCGAAGTCCAGAGCGATGAACCGGCCAGCCCATGTGTCGAGGAACCCTCCGCCCATCTCTCCAATTCAAATACCGCTCTCGCTGAGCCATTGGCGCCGGCTTCATCAACTACGAATGCTTCACAACCCAGGGATGTACAGGAAATTCCCCTGGTTAGTGCACCAGCATCTCAAGAAGCCCAGTCAGCTCAAACGCGGAGACGCCGGCCTAGACGCAATGCAGACCCGAATTCTTTCCCTACGCTCAACCGGGTGCCAAAGCCCATGCCCTCCCGCGCTCTCGCTCCTCAACAAACCCAGCCCTCAGCCCGTGCTCCGCTGATTGATTCCCCTCCCGTTTTCGAATCCGCCCGGCACTCATCTCCTGATCCGCCATCAAACATTGCCCTAGAGCCTGTTGATCAACCAGATGAGCCGCGCGTGGAGCCGCGGATTCACAACTTATCGCCTCCTGGGCGGAAGAGGCGGCAACGTCGACGTCAACCTCCACCGGAACCAAGAATTGCACTCCTCAAGTCGCTTGCGGCAGCCCAAGCTTGTCAGCCTCGTGAGCCCGCCGCGGTGAGTGCTGTGTCCTCTCGACCTCTCGCCGAAGAGGCGGCTACCACCGTCTCTGTGGCCGTTACTTCCTCGGAGATTAAGACGAGCGATGAAGCTCTCCAGGGCCGGACGCAGCGGCCTACTGAGCCAGCTTCCCAACCAGCAGTTGAGCCCACTGTATCTGAGAAGGATGTACAGATGGATGACTCGCTGCTGTCTGCGTCCGGCCCGGTGGATTTCCATAACCCCCTTCTGGCGGATCTCGGTAGTGGCTTCGACCCGACGTCCGTTGACTCTGGCCCTCTGTCATCTAACAATCAGGCGGGGCTTTTGAATGCAGGCGCTTCGAATTGGACGAATCCTTATGATGGACAGTCGGTTGGCCCCAAGACCTGGGTCGATACACCATTTACTAGTTCTACTCATATGGTGGATACTGCGTTCAGATTCAGTGCCCCTCAGCTGTTTGCCAATGACAACAGCATATCGGGGGCTCCCCAGGCTGCGACGTTCTTCAACCGTGAGTTAGCAGAATCAAAACACTACAAAGATCTCTCATCCCAAGGCCAAAGCTCTCCAGATCCCGATACTCTACTGCCTGATCTTGGACCGATGGAGTCCGCTGACCCCGTCCTTGATCTCGACGAGATGGATCTGGTTCCCGCGATAAGCGGGACGAACATTCCTGCTTCTCTGCGGGACTCTGAAGGTGACGAGACGATGGCCGAGCAGGCCCACCAATTTACGAATCCAGCTGTGACTGACACAGAGATGTATGAAGACGTTGGTCCTCATGGCTTTCTGGCGGCTCAGTTTCCGGAGGTCATCGGTGGGACCGCTGTCGATATCGACATGAGTGACAGCCTCACAGAACCATCCCCGAATCTCACAGTAGGGATGGCTGTTGACACTCCGATGGGCGAAGGTTCTCTTGAACTGATTGGCACTCAATTTATTCAGCCTCAGGAATCGATCACTGCAGCAGGTGCTGACGCTGAGATGGGGGACGCCGATGTGCAGCCTAGCACAAATGTCACCGGTGGCACCTCAACATTTGGGAACGGCCAGTCCTGCTCTTTCGTGTTTGGTCTGGGCAACACAAACGCCAGAGACTCACAAATGGCCGACTCAGTGAATGGCTCTGCGTTCCTGACTTCTTCCAATGGCGCTTCCGCTCCGATGAAACGTTCCAGCGCGCCTCAAGCTACAGATGGCAATCATGACAATGGAAGGCGGGGAGCACGGAAGGCGAACGCGAGACAGATGGCGACTCGCAAGATCCAGAAGCCCGTAAGCAGGGTTGCTAAGAGTTATGAAAGTGGGAAGGAGAAGCAGAAGGCAGTGGTTGACAATACTAACGTAAGTTTCTAAGAGTCGCGTTCTGGACATGGTTCTAACATTAGATAAGATTGACCACCTCATTGATCCGCAGCTGCTTTCGCAGGACTCTAATGCCGCTGCTCGAACCTTGTTCCAGTGTTATTCCCCGCCCGTAGGGTATACTCCGCCGACCAATTCATCTCTATCCGCTCAAGGCTATTCTCCGTCTCCAGGATATACTCCGCCGGCGAATCCATCTCCATTCACTCAAGGTTATTCTCCCCCCGCGCCGTCCTTCTCATCCGCCTTAATGAATCTCACTGGTTATTCGCCTGGAGGGAACAAGTATGGTGGATCAAGTGTCGCTGGTCCCTCCAGGACTAAAGCCACAGCTTCTGCGCCGGGCAAATCACTTCCTCACCCCTCGCCGGCGGCGGGCAACGGATTCTCGGTCACGAGTCCCGCAACTTACTATACTTCGCCTCAGACTGCTTCTGTTCCTCATACACCGTCAAGATACCCCATCTCTCCGAACCGCAATATGTATTCGCCCACCTCGCCCGCTGGTTACTATCCCTCTCTACCGCGTCAACCCCAGCTTAATGCCATCCCATCCCCTAGTAGTCTCCCCGGCCTTGGATATCTTGCCCCCGGCCCCACGAACGCAGCGTCAAATTCCATCGGCGGCTCCGGCGCCATTGTAACGAACGCATATACCGATCCGCACATACGCCACGCCCCAACAACAGAGGCGAAGATCATGAGCAAGGCACAAAGCCTCACGGAAACCATGGACGCGCGCGAGAAGCAGCTCCGCGAAGAAGCGCGCCAAATGCTGGAGCAGGTCGAAGACGATGCCGAGGCTGCCGCCAGCAAGGCAAAACGAGCCGTAGCTGCTATGGATGCTCGCGAGCGGGAGCTTCGGGAGGCGGCGCGGTTGATGGAGGAGCAATTGGAGGATGGTGACCAGATGGTTTCGCATCGGATTCGGCGGGTGCGGAGAGATTGATGGGGGCTTTGTTGGATGGAGGTGTTGACGGGGGTGATTAGGGTTGCTGGGAGGATGTTGCAGAATCGTCGGAGGGGTTATTATAGGAGCTTTGAGGTTGAGGAGAAGGTGTGATATGGATTTGGAAAGCAAAAATGCTTTATTTCGGAGTGAGGGGTTTTTATGTATTTGGGTTTGGCCAGGTAGATGTTGGTATGGAGGAATCTTGAGGATGTTATCAGTGGAAATGGAGGGAGGGGGTAGGAATATCTGTCTACGGGTGTTGGGATCGTTAGAATGGTGCATTGAGGCATGTGGAGGAGGTTGAGGTAGTTGGGGGCTTGGAAAGATTGGTGGAGGAAATGGTACTGTAGATAGAGTAGGTAGCGGTGGATGAACTGGCCAAACCCAATGCATAAATGTAATTCATACATGTTCTTTGTCAATATTTACGTCGTACAGCCCTTTACCGTTCTGAAACGATGCTACACCTGGTAGTCTTTGCGAACTTTGATCTTCAATCCAGAACGTAAGCGACCGTCCTAATCACTGCAGAGTCAAGGCCGACCGTGCACAGAAAAAGACTCTTGAAGACGCTGGCACACAGCCTGCTTTACTTGAGTACCAGCTTGGTATGCCTTTCGTGAAGCCTTCATCTACATATTCTTGACAACGAAGCTTTGTTAAATTGCACATGTATTGCTTTGTCCTCCCTGGGGAAACCTGTCACTGTGTTGCCGGCAAATAGGGTTGCTCGTAGTAGAAGCAAAAACGAGGCATTGCTGCCTATACAAAAGACTGTACCTTACTGACCTGCATAACGCCTGGTTTCCTGTAACGCTTGGTCAACATTAAATCTCCCACGACTTCACCACCAGCTCAGCACACGAAGTGGGCGATATTGAGACGGTGCTTGAAGTCCTGAAATTGCTGAAGATAGGAAGTAGACTTAATGATACAAACACTGCTGAACAGTATAGGATTACTTGGGTAACACTAGCTAGGCATATTGAGGTGCAAGGTACTGTCCGGCCGAGACGCATGCAGTCTATGTACAATGAGTAACTTCCTTTTACCTATTCCAACCATAATTCTATTTATACCTAGGCTATAGTTTGTGCCGTTAGACAGGAGTTAAGCCTTGGTAATGGCGCTTTGTATCCTTCTGATGGCAGTGTGTTAGAGCACCCTGTTCGACCCAGTCTACCCTAGGTCAGAGTGAACCACGCATCATCCCATTTCGCTGCTGGCCCCCGTCGTCGAACGCGGACCATGTCAATTCCGATGTGGACCGAGCCCGGAGCGTCTCGAACCTGTTCTTGCCCTGGTGTCTTGTGGATTCCGGGGGCGATCGAGGCTGGACGGACGAGGCAATACCCTACGTCACAATGGATGTCCAATTTTTCAGAGCGTGTCATATTCTGCTACCAAAGACTCCCAACAGGAGGTCATTATCCAGAAGGAGCAACATGGTAGGAGCTGTAAATGAACTGGACGGGCTTATCAATCCCTGGAATTTCTCCTCGTGATAATCTGGAAATTCTTGACCGAGATCGTTGGATGTCAGGTCTTTGTGGTGAATCAAGGCGCCCACTGTACCTCCCCCTTTCGTGAATTGGCTTACCTACGCTGCAAGCGAAGCAGCGGTTAAGAGAATACTGAAGCCTCCATAACCAGCGCGATGCTATGGAAATCTCTGGACTTATCCCGCCGAAGCGCGTAATGCAGATGCGGGCGGGGTTCAGCAGTTTTTAATGGGCACGAATAATCCCACCTTACACGGACGTCAAAGAGTAGATTGAAAGCAAAAGCAGGGCTCTATAAACGCTAATCTCAGAAACCCACGGGATCCGTGTAATACCACCATGCATCCCGAATGCGCTCGTCCCCCGGGAGTCCATCCAGAATCAGTGGTAAGTATTTGACATACCATCCACTCAGCTTGTTATGTGTCCCGTGAGCCTTGCAATGCTCCCAATAGCCCGGTAGCCAGGCAGACTGCTCCCAGTCAATAACTGCAGCGACCCGTGGCGGAGCGGAGGATATAATGATATTGCTTGGATGAAGGTCTCCATGTGTGAAGACTATTTCGCTGTCATCAGGGAGTTCCTTGCGATACGGTTCCGGTACCGTCTCTGGATCAGGCATCTTCCGCTTGTACTGGAGTGTGTACCAATCATGAAAGTCTTTTACAGAAGTGAACGGGCCGGTCTCAGATTGAGATTCAAAGAAGAGGGCTCTCTCGTAGTAGTTGCCTCTCGTGATACTGCCTGGATGTTTGGCGTTAATGTTTGAGATGTAACGAAGAGGGCTAGGATGCAGACCAACTCACCGATGAATTTGTCCTCAGGACTCTGTTTGAGCTGACGTAAGTTGTGTAGAATAGTTCGAAGTTCACTGCAGATCCGCAATCGGTCATCTTCTTCCATCCCCGACCACACATCTTCCAACGTCGTCCTACTTATTGCCTCCATATAAAGAAAAGTTTCATGGCCATCGGTACGCCATCCGTAGATTTCGGGAACAGGTACAGAGTCTCCGCAACTGTGTCGAAGTGCGTAAAGAGTTTGTCCCTCAATGACCTTAATCTCGCTGCCCCACTTAACGAACAGTGACATTTCCTCAAACACGGCGGGCGTAGGGCGACGGTTATAGCGCTCCTTTACGCCTCCCGTCCTCCAACCCCAGTAAGTACCAGCAGAATATTGAGCCCGCGCTCGCGATCGAACTTCCTCGGGAGACGGCAATTGATCGTGGTGTTGGAAGAACGAAGACGGGCGGACATCGAAGTTTGCAGCCTTTGGACGTCTGCTGGCGTGACAATGGCACTCTTCATGATGACTACAGTCGTGGATTAATGGAAGACGAGTAATTGTGCTAGTGAGTATGTGGACGGACGAAGGAGAAAGGGCACAGCCTTCAGATACTTGTGCGGCGAGGTAACGCCAAGTTAAAACACGCTAACCCTTAAGGGACTTCGCTAAGCCTAATAGAAAAGCCACATGCATGCTCGGGGCTCCCTTTGTACCTGAACCACAACTTTGCCGGGGAAATTTATATTCTTAATTTTCATACTCAAGAACATAGGTCTAGACAGCTTACGTAGAAAAAAATAAGCAATCTCATCCTTGTAAAGTGAAGGCCAACTGTTAGCATAAATAAGTTATAATTTTCTACAAGAGGAGCGCCACGGTATTGGGATCCAGCAAGATGGTGAAAACTAGAGGCCGACAAGTCTCATATGTAAGCAACATGATCATTCACGATTGGGAATGAAGTCTCAAAGCGGAGGAGCGAAGACTTGCCGCATTGGTTGGAAACGGAAGAAGTATTCACGCTGGAGATAGATCTGTTAGATATTTGTTGATTATTCTTACCATAGGTATCGTAGATGGTCCAACAGTGAAAATCATATCGCCCTTTCCCGACTAAATACGTGAAGACTTCTTTTCGTTGTTGACCGTTCCCGTCCGAAGCATATAAACATGACAGAGTGACATCCTGTGGAGGGAAATACGTTGGACAACACCTCAGTCTCACCGCCCACACCGCCCTCCTCATCCTCGGGGAAGTTGGGCTCTCCACACACCAAGTTGGAGAATCCATTTTCCCATCTTCGGCAAACGAGGTCGCCGCCAAATGGCTCAGGCCTCTTCAATCCAGCCAAGTACCAGTCCCACATGGACTTTCGCGTCTTTCACCGAGCTCGCCCCCACGTGATTGCGCGGAACCTCTTCACCCGCGCCCTCCACGTGTTTCTCTTCGCAACCAGCTTGTTCGCGTGCCCTCATACTCTTCGCCCCCAGGCAACCTTGTCCGTCCGTCGTATACGCTGAGCAACGTCGCTCCAAAACCAACTTACAGAAAGCCAACCATGGCTCCCATATTCCCAAAACGGACGGAGTCAGATCAGGTAGGTGGATTGTCGGAGCCTCATAAACAGACATGTTTGTTTCGAGTCGAGCTCATGCGCATGCAATCTTCGACAGCGGGCTGCGCTCTGGAGCTTCCACGGACGTCCTGCATGTTGCGCATAGGCACTTCAGTCCGTTGGAGACACGAGAGCTAACAAATTGCTCTAGGTTTCTTCAACAGAGATGCGCTCCGTCGCGAAAATGAACGCCCACATCAAGAGCGCAGAGGAGAACCTCCAAGGAAGCCGTGACGCGATCGCCGCCCTGGAAGACGATCTAAAAGCACTTCAAATCCTCGCCATTTCGCCCAAGCTATACTTCGCCGCGGAGAACGCACCGCGCGCCGCTCGTGAAGCGAAACTCCAGCTTGACCTCGCTCGGTATCGCCTGACGGAGGTGGAGAATGAGAAGCAGGCGCTCAGCATAAAGTATCTAGCGGCTAGGCAGTCGCAGGAAGATCTCAAGAGCAGAAACAAAGAGTTGGTGGAAAAGGTCATGGGGCTGGAACGCAGAGTGGTCGAGTTGAGTAGTGAAAAAGATGATGGCATGGGCGATAGGAAGGATAGCGGCACCGGGGTCGCCGACACCGGTATGCCGGATCACAAGGATGATCGGTACAAGTCGAAAATACGCAACACCAGTAATGTAGAGAAAGGCGTTGAGAAGGGCGCGAAGAGCAAGAAGAGTAGAAAGACCGCACCACACGAGGTAGAGGAAACAGATGTAAGTCTAGAGCGAATGAGGACAACGACAAAAACACCAGTGGAGCTGGAATACGCTCTGACCAACGCGAAGAAAGAAATACAGGCTTTGAAATCCCGACTGGAGCATATCAGGGCAGAGCGCGATCGGCTCCTAGCGGACGTAGAAGCGGCGGTCCCATCCTACATTTACGAAGCCCAGCTACGCGACGTTCACGCAAACGCCAATGAAGAGCTCGCGCGGACCGGAGGCCAGCTTGAAGAACTGAGGCAAGCACATGACTGGGCGGTGCGGTCATACTGGAGTATTCTCGAACAACTGGATGCCGCAAAGGCCCTCAACGTCCAACTCACGGCCGAACTGGACGAGGCCCGGATTGAGCAAGAAGAGCTGTGCAAGCAGTTAGAAGAGACCTTGCCTGAGTGTTGCACAGGACAGCTCGACTGCACAAGTTGCGTGTATCATCTGACTCGGGCATTGCGAATTTCCCAATCAGCAGAGAATGCAGCCCTGGAAATGGCAGACCAGGCGAACATGGAGCGTATGAGGACCTGGAACGAACTACAAGAGATCAAATGGTCCCTAGCCCAGCGTCCAGCAACGAATCGCCTGAGCTTCGCGTTGCCAACCATTCAAGAAGAGGACGGGGACGGGAACGAATGCGGAAGCCAGAACGTTGCGGCAAACCGGGAACGACGAATGGTTGTGGAAAATAATCTTTTTGTTGAAGAAGCCGAAGCGAGTCAAGATGGGGACGGTGACAGTGACGACGAGTCGATTGTTATCGTCCTGGAGTCGGAAGCCGCTGAGTCTAGAGCCGCGACGATCAGGGCCCCTCCGCCTTCATCGGTGGAAGATGCCCAGGTTGACGCAGTTGTAATGGGACATCGCTCTGCTGACTCAATTTCAGTTCCATCTCGGGAAGAACCTGCCCCTCTGATCGCCATTGATACCTGGGAAGCAGAAGCACTGTCCGAACGGATATCCCCGTCTGCGAGCCGCTTCACGACATCTGAGTGGCAGAAGAGCTCGGTCCCGGTTCTTGATAGTGCCAATGTCGTCCGCACGGAGCCTGCGGTAAAGGACGTGGGGACTGATATCCGTCTTGCGTCTCCTGCCCTTTCCACTAAAGAGGACGATACCAAAGGAACAAACATGGCGCAATCGTCCACGGCACCATCTAACCAGCCTACAACCTCAAGGTCCGTCAGCGCTTCCAAACGCGCTTCAGAAAGACTGAATGACCGTAGGCAACGTGTTTGTCCAGATTGCTATGGATTTGCGCGACGCTCATTTCTGACACATTTGACCGGCCTCAAACCTGAGGCGAGATCCAGACAAACCCGCGAGGCTTGAAGTGTCTGGGCGCAAGGTCGAACTCTGCTGGCTTCTCATTTTCATTTGGGTGGACGATGCTCGGCATTTTGGTACAAGGGTTTTCCGCGATAAGTGTAGTTTCTCTTTGTGTGCAGCCCTGCGGTACATGTATGTAGGTGAAATCTGGGACGGGCAGTATCTGCGATTCGCGAATTTTCCTTCCCTCTGTCGTATGTCGAAAAAAAAAAGAAAAGTTTAAAGAATACCAGAATGATTTATACAAAGTTCCTTTGGAAGAGCGTGAGAATTTGAACGAAGTGACCTTCAAAATGTGGAAAAGATGAGACTTTAGTTTGGAGCAAGCGCAAATTACTTTGTTTTCTACTGTTGCCCAGTCTACACAGTCCTCTTTCTTCTGCCGTCGTTTCTGTGATATCTCCTAAGTGGAGAGACTAGTCAAACCGGATTTCCAGGTTTCAGTGTTCCATTGGCGGCAATCATGCACTCTGCGCCGAAGGGAGGTGAGGTGCTCCAACGCAGCCTTGCCTGTTGAACGAGAGACTGGTCCATCAAGTCCAAGAATATGCCAGGCGCGGCTGGGTCAGCGCCGATGTTGCTTGACATTAACTTGTCGGTGGTTCCTCCATCGGTGTCAAGGGAAGCGAGTACCACGACCAGATCGCTGCAGTCGAACAAGTGCATCGCCTAAAAAACAATCGCGCGAACTCCATTTTGTCAATACCTGAACCCGCAATCTTGAAAAGACTGGTGACATGCCACAGTATATCTGCGTGGGTATTTTCTTCGTGGCAACACCCTGGGCCACCAGGGCCCTCCATGATCCCACGTAAGCACGGCTGACCAAGTCCTAATGCTTACGCGACGGTCAGGCGAATGCGTGGCGCAGAGCACCAGTTTATTTCTGGCACAACTGTTTCAGCTTCGATCCTTTGAGTCCTGAATGCATGAAGCGCGGAATCACCGCAACTCATCCATGGCCTCAAAGAACCCCTCCATGCGATATCTCCACGCCTCAAGCCACGGCTTCATCTCTTGATGGGCCGGCGCCCAGAACTTCTCATGCACGGACGCGACTCCGGCTTCTATATCTCTGGTGTAGGGGAAGTTGACGTTCCATGTGTTGCCGATGGGTTTCCAGGGCATATTTGCGCTCCAACGATGCGCGTAGTTGAGTAGACTTTGCTCGGGCAGTGCCGAATTGAACCGGTCCGGTTGCGCCAGAATCTTCATGTAGTGCTCGAATAGCTCTTTGTCGGGTCGAAAGACCATGAACCCTGCGTTGAGGTTATCGTCGCGTATGTAGTCGCCATTGCCGACCTGGGGAGGGTAATTGTGGTCGGGACTTGTCTCCATCGCGGCGGCGAAGGCATACGTCGTCGGGAGCTCACCTTCATCTTCCTTGTAGATCTCTGCGCTTCGGTTGGTACCGGTGGTTTGAAGCGCTACAGCAGGATCGTCGAAAACGCCATCAATAGGTTTGTTGAGAACGATGTCACTGTCGAGGAGACAGATGCGGTCGTATTCGGTGTGCTCCCAAAGGCGGAGCTTCGAGAGAACCTCGTTGTACTCTCGCTGTGCAGGTTTGATCCAGTCGGCGTGTATGGGCTTCACCTCCTTGATCACTGCACCATCTTTGCGCAGCCGCTCCCGCTTCGCTTCGGATACATTTTCTCCCACGAAGACTACAAAGGGAATACCCTTATTCTTGCTTCTTGTCTGCGGGTTGTGAAGGAGCTGATACGCTAGCAGCCGCGTCCCCGTAAGGTAGTTATCTTTCGCCCAATCTTCATCGCCTGATGGACCGGAAAGCAGGGTTGCGAAAGCATACTTCGGTCCCTTTGGCTCTTCCGCAGGGGGTTCTTCGACATGAAATTCGTTTACCTGCTCCGGAGGTCGTTTGTCGGCTTCTAATCCTGCCGATGGAGGGGACACATAGGGGTCCTGATGTGCCCATGTTTCTCCTTGCAATCTATCGTGGTGTATCCAGAGGGAGCCAAAGAGGAGAAAAGACACGATCGCTGCAATGTATATGGGAGCTTTGCTCGACTGTGAACGAAGGAAACCGACAGCCATGATGGTGTGGACGAAATGGCAGAATACGCAGATGGAAAGAGCGAGCGACGGAATGAACGCGAGAAAGGAGCAAGGCACAGGCGAAGGAAGGAGAGACCCCGCTGAAGGAGCAGAATAGCGCCAGAAGACTCCTTCAGTCAGCCCAACCGGGGGTTATGTATTCTACGGAGTAGTCGGACGCGTCAGGGATGCACGAATCTTACCTACGCCCCGTTCGTTCAGCGACCCACCTTCGAACAGTGGTTCCAGAAAAATATGCCCAGCCCCCGCGGACAATACAAACCGTCAATCGCCCTGATTCAGTTCAGCATGAACTTGATAATGTATGATTATCTTGCTCTCCTACATTTTGGAACTTCCCGTGCACATGCCCAAGGGGTGAATACTTGTTGCCCATGAACAAAGCGCGAGAGGTTCGCTGCAGGAGGTACAGCCCCGATGACCCGAGCAAATTCGCTCGCCTGCCTGTGCCTCCATGAATCGTTTCTCGTTTGACCGCCCTAGGTATTTCTTTTTGAGCAGTTCGGACCCTAGGAAGATGTGGCGCAGTCTCGCCCCTGAAGAAATGAAAAACCGCTAATGTGGATTCAGCCGCGCTACGCCGGGGAGCCAGAGCTCACTTCAGCACAGAACATGGAGGAGATAAGAATAGCAGCGTTAAATACCATCAATGGAATCGTAGAGTAGGCATAACCCTACGCACATACGTGCTCGCCGTACTTAACAACTCTCCAACAACTTGATCCAGTACCAACAGGCGGAAATCCATTCCTTAACAGTTGTTTCCTGGCCTCTAACCGCGATGCCAAATGCTGACGCAACACCGCCCCCACGCGATTTCTGCTTGGACGGAGGAGAATGGACCAATGATAGTCCTGGCAATGATTGGCCCGAGTATGACGAAAGAACAGCAAAAGGCTATTCCATTCTAGGCGATTAAGCGATTTCTACGATACACAGTACATCCCTTGACGCTTTTCAGGAAAAGATATGCACGGAGTATTCCGAACTGTGAATGACTTCAAGTTCGATGCCTCCGTTGGACCAATTCTCAAAGACGGCCATTTGTTCTCCGTGCGAAAGCGAGCTCTGGAACTGGATATCCATCCGGATGGCGCAAGCTGGGAACCCCCTGAGCATCGACGCGAAACAAAGGGAAGCACTGTACCCAGGATGATATCGTGGTTTTCATGACTGCTGTCACTCACTTCTCCAGGACCATTTTGGATAAATCCTATGAGAAGACCTGCCGCCAGTACGATATCCCCAACCGAGCTCCCTTTGCTGCTCCTTCTCGATTCCGCTGTATCTTGCACAGTATCATGAGAATCGGCAGAGAAAAGCCCAGATGGCAGTCCATCTGAGGGATAGTCTTTCAGCGCTGGAAGTGCCTGCGATGCAGCTTCAACCCATTCCTATCATGACCACAAATGCGACGATCCCTCGGACACTGAGCAGCGGAGATCGACCTCCAAAAGTAGCGCCCGATTTCGCGCTGGTAGGGCTTGACACCACTTGAAGATCCCCAGCTGGCATAACGGGAGGCGTTATAGTTGGGCCACGAATTGGCGTCGTTGTTCCACCAACAAGACCAAATGTTGAGCCAGAGGAAGATGTGAGGGAAACCGGCGTGCCATTCAGGGTGATGGGACTACCGGGGCCGAGTGTTTGAGAGCCGACAACATAGAGGACGGTGCCCGAGACAACAGTAGTGAAGATTGGAAGCCCGTCGAGAAGCCCTCCGTGGGTGAGCGCGGTTGTGGCTCCGCTTTCTACAAAAATAATGCCGCCGGCGGGGTCCTTGCTAAGAGATAGGATCTGATTTCCGACCGTGATGGACTGTCCCACAGTAAGTGTTGAACCGCCAACTACATATTGGTAGTCCGTTATTATGGTTGCGGTCACATCCCCAACAGTGAGAGGTGGGATAACCCGGGTCGCCGGGCTGTCACCGCCGGATATGATGCCCTGATGCGTGGATGTTGAGCCTCCAATCACGACAACAGGCCGTCCACTTGGATCCAGATGAATCACGGTCCTGCTTGGCTTATCCCCAATCGTTACAGTCCTCCCACCAGGGGTGAGCGTCTTGTCGCCGATCACAATGGCAGGTACCGGCACAGGCGTAAGGACATTATCGCCAATTGTCACAGTTGCGGGATTGGTCACGGTCGGGGGCTTTGTTGGCGTCGGTCTTCGAGAAGGGGTTTCCTGCATCTCATTCCCTTGTGCCCAGTCTGTTTCGGAAAGCTCGATTCTTGGGCGAAAGAATATATTAGGAGGACCGTCGTCTGGGAGTTCTTCGGGCTCTGAGATATTCGCAACCCCACTCTCGACTAAAGGGTTAGCCGTAGGGTAGGCAGACTCATCGCTTGATATAGGTCTACTGAGGTGCATTTGGGATCCGGTCGTATCGTTGATGATGGTACCGCTATCAGCGCCTTCCGTCGGTTGACTGAGTATGCTCGGGATAGGCGTTACAGATGCTCTGGCATCTGGCGAACATCCTATGTGCAAGGCTCCGAGGCGATCTGTTGCATTGCATTGCTCTGATAGAGATCAGATTGAGTCGCTCTGAGATGAGATTTTGTAGTTCTTACCCTGGCCCCTCGCCGAAGATCCCGCAATAAACGAAAGGAATGCCGCAACCAGTGTTGCGCGTCCGAGGAGTGACGCCATAGTTCCTTACCCTACACGGCACCCATACCCGTGCACATAGGGCGCGATACGAGGGGACTTGAGATGTCATTTCCTGCGGAGCCGCTTGCGAAGGGGTCACTCAGAAGTTTTCCCATCATTAGTGTGCTATTGACCCCTGGCACAACATCGTTCAGGAGTAGGGCCGATTACAATCATTGTCCAGCTACAACAAGTTTAGCAGTATGCATAGACCGCCAGACTCCACTTCCGATCCGAGGCCGCAATGAGCCAATGACGGTCATCTCAGGAGGTTGCGCAATTGGAGAAACTTGTAAGGCTGATGTCCGTGAGATTGAACATTTCGAACGATTTTCGAACGATTTTCTACCCTGTCGAACCATCCAAACGGGGCGCGGAGCTTCTTGAACATGTTGAAAGAGCGAAACAATTGCATGCGCTGATTGCATCTTTGCTTGTAGGTAGTGGAAAAGGAGACGCATCTCTGAAATACGCGATACAGAATTCGGCATTGCTAACTTATTGCTACCTTTTTCGGGTTGCTCACCTCATTTCGTCCTTGCATTGTCTCTTGGACGCCGACAGAAGCTTTGTTCAAAAGTAGGTCGACGATTCTTATCATTACAACTCACTTCAGAGCCCTCCGGTATCGGAAGGCCGTGGGGCTGGTTGAGATTCATTCTCAATGCCGGGCTCTCTGCGGACTGCTTCCTCAAAGACAGATCTCTCTTTATTGAGTATTTCCTGAAACATAATGTCTTATATTCCTCAGGTTACGCACCGTATATGGTTCCCAGCATCTCATCAGACAGCGGCTTCCTCTCGACGTTCCCATCGGATAATGGCGGGCCACTTCGGGGTTGCGAACATCGATGTATAATCTGTCTCTGGGACAATGCTGGAGCCATCAACGGTTGAGAATCTGAAGTGACGGACCAAAGTCGCAATGATGACACTCAGATTAACGTACGAGGCTTTCTCTCCTATACATCGATGCCTGCCGGCACCGAAAGGTATAAAGGGAGACTTCGTCCCCTTGTTGATGGGCCCATAACCGTAATCTACGATCTCGGTGTCTTGCTCGTCGTTATCTGAACGTGATAACCAGCGGTGAGGCTTCCACTTCTTCGCGTCGGGAAAGTATTCTTCGCTCATGGCGGTGATACTGGGGGAAGCGAGGAGCACCTTATCCGTACCGACAACATACGGAGTGCCAGGAACGGGCATTGGCTTCGTGACTTTGCGCAGAATGGCGAGGATTGAAGGGTGCACTCTCAGTGTCTCCTTGATGACGCCCTGCAGAAGGGGCATCTTGTCCAGATCACTGTATTGGAGTGGACGTAAATATCCGTTACCGCTTTCGCTTAGATTCCGTACTTGTTCCTGGTATAGTTCTTCCTGAATATCAGGCCTTGCTGCCAATTCCAGAAGGGTCCAGGAAGAAGCGGCGGAACTGGAGTGCTGACCGCCCATCAGTAGCGTTATCATAATATGTGCTATCTCCTTGTCAGGTACTGGTGTTCCATTCTTGTAAGTTGAGTGCATGAGGTTCCATATCATGTCGTGTTCGACTTCGCCTCCTTCTAATTCGACTTTGCGGCGCTCTGCAATGATATCTGTGAATATTTTACGAATCTTCACATGCGCTATATCCCGCCGGCGATTGTGTGGCAAGGGAGCCCAGGGGAGGAGGAAGTTGATTGGTTGGAAGCCCAAATCAAGGTCGTGATAAAGCCTTGCCATTCCTCTATCCAGCTTGCTTCGCACCTCGGCCCCTTGAAGGGCCCGGGCGGCTGTAAATATTGTGAGCTCGGCCATGGATGGGGTGACATTCAGCTGTCCAAGTCGACCTTTCAGCGATTGTGTTGTCTTGATGTAGTCAAGAACTTCTCTTTCGATAAGTGAGACGTGTTCTTTAAGGGCTTCCTGCGAAAGGCCGAATTTGATAAACCTCTTCTGTTCCATAAGTTTCTCATTAGGGCAGTCGTACACGACGTCCGTACCAAACATCGGGATCGTCAATGGGCCATAGATGTCTTCTGCGTTGCAGTCGCTGTGCTTAGCATTGAGGATGAAGTCGTTGCCACTACAGCCGAGATAGCAGGTCATTTTACGCCCAAAGAGCACAAATGTGAATATATCTCCGTGCTGGTTCAGTTGCGGTTAGGTCAAACACTATTACCAACCGCACGTGGTGGGCAACCTCTTACCTTTCTCCGGCAATCCTCCAGAAAGCGGTGCGGATTCTGACCATATGCAACAGCGTTCCCAACAAACGGCACACAATTAAAGACGAGAGGTGGCTCGCTTTTCCGGCGAGGAAGAAATTGCCGTAGAACGTTGACGAAGACGAAGACGATCAGTGAGCTGATTGCATATCCAGAGAACCACAAAAATGATGCCATCACGAGAGGAAAGTGTGGAGTGACGAGGCAACTGAAGACTGATGGCACCTTCAAAGCGAAAAGAGACATAGGAAAAAAAATAGTGGGTGATCATATTCGAGTCCCAGTCAACTTGCTGTTGCTAGCCAGCTTGGCGCGTAAGCAACCAGATGTCGTGCGAGAGCTGCAAGCCACTAGCGGGCGTCAGAAAATTTGGCGAATGGGTGAGCAATGATTTTAAATATCATTGTTCCCTGCACTCCGCTAGAAGGCGAGCCTTGTCAGAGTCGTCGACATAGTTACCACTCTATCGCGAAAGTGACACTGTCTCGTGCAGAGATGCCGTCGCTCAGTGTCGCATGTATGACTCTAGAGCGTTGTAGATTGTACTGTCTATGTTCCAACTTACGCAGTATACCTCCAGTAAAGCAGCGTCACAAAGGTGTTCGAAGAAAGTTGGTGATTGAAGGTACTGTTGTCGAGCAACAACGCCTTTCGCCCTTTTCAAGGGCTATGGGTCCCGAATCATGGAACGCTATTTGAGGGGTGCCCTCGCGACCGTTTTACATCCCAATGCCATGACTGTGGTCGTATTTGCTGGAGTGTTATTTGTCCGTCGCGAAGCGGGTACGTCTGTTTTTCCCCACTAACCTACCTTTAGGTACCGAATCAAGTCCGCAAGTAAGACGCATATTCACATAGCGTAGGTGGTGTATCACGACTGCAATAGTGCATGGATTGAGGTCTATTGTTCGAAAGATAAAAAAAAAGGAAAAGGGGAAAGGCGATACCTATGTGGGGTAGAATAATCTGTCGTGAATGACACACTGTTCCCCGGAGAAAGGGTCGACGCGGCTAAGTCTTTGTCGATGCGAGAGACGCGGGTGTCGGTGCCTTCTGCAACTTACGAGTGATGAGCAACCCTTAGTAAAATTGAAAGCAACACTTTCTTCAGTTCAGGCGTGTACATTGTGGTACCGGCATTAAAGAGTATGGTGGCCTTCCAGCGGACAAGTTGAGTGGATCCGGAGACCGTTGTCATGTCCACATCTCCGCAAGCCAAGGAAGAAGTTGCGCCCAACTCTAATCCACCGAAATACTAAGTTCTCGGACTCTTGGTACATGCCTCTGTATATGTGGCCACTAGGCGCTGCGCAATCTATTGGATAGCTCTCACACCAGAACCGGGTAATGGTTCAAAACCAACATCTCTTGCAGGGATGTCAGGGCGATTCTAGCCAATAGTGAAATTTTCCTTATACAACCCAATACTAATAGATAGACTTACAGTGCGGACGCTAAAAACCACTCGTGCTTGGAAGCTTCGAACTGGTATTTAAAAAGGCAAGCTCTACGTTCCACAATAATAACGGAGGGGCCGTTTGACCCACATAAATCAACGCAGCGGAGGATAGCACATTGAAAGCACTTCGCGAAAAACAGGTATAAAGCTTACAAGCGACCGACGGTTAAGAAAAGAAGTGCACACTGGAGTCTAGAGACAATCAACAGGAGCCAACGGCATAGCCATGAAGAGACCCACATTATGCCTCCCCATCCTCCTCGCCGCCACTTCCTCAGCAAGATCCATACTTGCTACGAGCCAGCGAAGCTCTGAGCTTACTGACGACTTCGACGGGCCAGCTCAATGGAAGTTCACGCTGCAGAACTGGTCCGGCGACGGCTGCCCTGACTTCGGCAACACCAGCGCCACCCCCGGTTACAGTTTCACGCGCCAAAGCTCAGGCCCCTTCATGTCAAATAGTTCCGCCGACACTTTCTGGAGCTACATTTCGTTCCCGTGGATGCAGGCTTCCTTGGATGGAAATAATCCTTCAAAACTGGCGCGCATTAGCTGTGATGTTACGGTGCTTTATGAGGAAGTGACGCCGTATGGGTCGGCACTCCCACCGGAGAAGAGGACGCATAAACTGAAGTTGCACAAGAATGGGAGCACAATTGAGGCAAATTATAAGCTAGATAAAGGCGTGAATGCGGAGTGGCAGGTTCGGTTTTACGATCCGCAGGATTTCACTGTCATGGTATGTGAGCCTTTCAGATTCTGCCCATTGTGGGAAGCTTCATGGTCTGGCAGATGTTTGACCAATGTCTGACAATGAGTAGGCCCAAGATTGGGCTAGTGTTGACGGCCCTCTCGAAAGTGGGAACGATACGCATATGGCCTTTGAGTGGCTGCCGCCTCTTTTTGCGCCGGATCCGTACGTACAATCAGAGTGCGGTCGCAGCGTCTTTCGCATTAGGCTCGATCTATGGCTTGCTAGCAGAGCGACAGGAGCTGGTGGGAAGGTCTTTTCAAAGAGAACAGACTGGAACAATGGAAAAGGGAAGCAATGGGACGGAGTTAATTTGGGGTACAGTTACGATTGGGAGAAGTGTTGAAAAACCTAACTGCTCCACCCATGGGCATTACAAGCATTGTCATGACTATCGACTTCTGCGATACAACTAATAGCAATGATTTGCAACTAGAGTCAGGCTCTTGAGGGACCAGATCATCAATTGAGACCAATTACATTATGATTGATGAATCTAATTCGATTTTGGTAATTTGCTCGTAGCAGGGCTTTACGAGTCCACTGTACATCAATGCGATTATGTTGTGAGACTTTCTACACACTTATGGCTTGCGCGGAAAGGTCTGGACACAGAAATAGCGCTCTGGTAAGCCTTTACCTACAGTATCCCTTACTAGACTCTAGTGTCTTAAATTGAAGATTTAAAACATGTTCAGTGAAGGTGTGGTCTCTGAGGTGTTTTGATTGCTAAGCCGCCGAGATGCAATACGCACTTCGGGCCACGAAGGTCACGCTAGTCAACTGCTTGACAGTGACCAATCATGGCATATTTATTGACCTACAGACCCAAAGGTCAAGGTTAACAAGGTCTAAAAGGCACTGTTTATATAAAGCCCTGACGGTTCATCCTTAAATTCCTTAACGAAAGAGGATTTTTGGTACCTCCCGCCCTTCCCCAAGACCAATATCACCAACATTCACTGGCAAACAATAACCCCGTTTTGCAGATTCTGCAAACCCCAAAGCGAACATCATTGCCGTTACTCGGCAGCGTAGCAACCACTGCGTGGCACCCGAGTCCCTGAAGATTCGGCACGAGCCACCACCGCTGACGATGTTGCCGCGGTTGGCTCGAACCGGGTTGCCCAAGTTGCCAAAACTGGCCGCGATGGATGTACGGACGATGTTGCGGGGGATTTCACTCTGAACGCCGGTGCCGGTGTCGTCACGGGAGAGTTGGACGCGCGGAGGGTTAGTAGGGACTCGCGGGGAATTGGACGGAGGATGAGGAGAGATGGAGGGGGATTGGAATAAATGGATGCCACTGACAAACCACAAGACCTGCGAAGAGAGCGGAGAGGATGAGTGTAGACTTCATCTTTGCACAAAGGATATGTTGTAGAAGCGGAGGTGCAGTGTGGAGATTGGATGAGCTTCTGATGATGATGGTAGGAAGATAGTTGAGCGGGTAACGCACTGCATTTTATACATGATTTCGAGTGACCCTGCCTCATTTCCGTGTGGCACTCGTACCCATTCTCGAAAACTACCATTTCCCCTTTTCGCCATCGGTCCTTCCATGCAGTGCTGAGATGCACCTCTCTCCCCACTTTGGATTGAGACCAAGCATCTGGAACATGAACTTGTAAAATGTCTCTCCAAAGCAACTGGTACCCTAGGGTAGGATTTGAGCACAAAGCGTTTGGCGGTGAGTACACTTCACACTGACACTTTTGACAACCAGTGCCATCACTCGAAGTCAGCATAGTGTCGTCAAAAATGTTTGAAGCCAAGCCCCTGTCATCATCACTAAGATGTGGGGAACGCGGTAGGTCGCTGTCTAGTCGCCGACGCAAACAGCCGACTGATAACCGACTTCGTAGGTGAGATACTCTGTGAATTAAGTAGGCTGTATAGGCCAAAGAGGCTTAGTTGGATGAAAGATGATGTTCTACCGAAAGTTCTGCTCTGGTGAGCTCAAGATGTTGAGGTAATCGGTTGGAATAGATTGCCCAGGTGGATTGTCTTGGCGTGCTTACTGGGGTTGTGGTGTACTGCAGTAATGTGCGTACAACGTGAGTATTGCCCTTCGGTCAATATCAGAAATGTGATTTGCGGAGTCACTCCAAGCTGGGAATGGTCGGACATCCCGGGTGAATTGTGCGAATGACCCTCTGGAATGAGACTGCGGAGCGCACCAGGTTAGCCAATGTGCAAACGAGAACACTGCTCTTGAAAAAGAGAATTTTGGTGTGAAGTTTTTCGTTCAACGGGCGTTATCTGGAGAAATACAATAAAGCTAAGAAATCGAATTATAGCTGCGTCACCCGCACCTCCTTTCACTCTACTGGGAGAGGTGTACGTGTCTGATGGAAACTGCTTTTGATTGATGCCAAGATCATCCCATGCTCCGATGACGAGGTATATCTAGGAGCCTGTCTGCTGCTGATACAATTCTCTATGAAGATATCCGTAATGATCTTCAGGGAAGATGTAAAACACTGATTGGAATCCTGTCACGCGGAAATGGCTTTGGCGATACTCCAGTCAATGATGATTGATGCAGCCAAATATTGTACAGTAATGAAGCCATGTCAGTCTCCAGACAATGATAATGCGTTGACTCCTTTTCAAGCAACTCCTGACTCACTGCAACACCTTCATCGCTTAACGTTTTCGATCCCTTCCTTGATATCGTGTGCGGCCTTTTCTGCAGTCTTGTCAAGACTAAGGTGGGAGTGGTAGAGCTCCTTTGTCATGTTAGAGTTAATTGAGTCTGACTGCTATGGCCGACGTACTTGCTCCGCACCCTCGCCCTTCGCCTTGGCCATCTCTCGTGCTCTGGCCCATCCATCTGCTCCGAGACCGAAGTGCATCGCATAACGATCCTGCTCGCCACCCTCTCCCTTTGCCATGAGAATGCTCCGGGCAGCGGCCCTCACCCTTTCCTCATCGAGGCCAAAGTGAGATCGATAACGATCCTGCTCTGCGCCAACTCCCTTCATTGTGGCGACTTTCTTAATCTTCTCAAGCCCATCACTCCCAAGTCCGAAATGAGCTTCGTACCGGTCCTGCTCAGCACCTGAGCCCATTCTTGACGTCCTATGGACGGCTTCGCGGGCGGCTTTCTCGGCGCTTTCGGTGGCGGCCGCTTCATTGCTCGTGTTGCTGAAACGGTTGAACAGTGTCATTGTGTTCGGAATGGGTGAGGTTAGAGATGTTTCACTTCAGTTGCTTGGAAAGATCTGATTCTAGTGGTGAATTTGATGCGTATGATATTGAGCAGAGGAAGACTGAGGTAGAGCTGGCCCTATATCCCCTCAGTGACGGGGTATGACGTAGCCAGGCAGTGAATATGCCACCACCCTCACGTGACCGGGGTGGGGTTGATCCTTCCAGCATATCCGTCGCCTCAAACGAGTCTGAGCTGGGGCGTGAAAGAGAATAGAAGGGATACAATTCGTTGTAAGACGAGAAGAGGTGCAAACAGGAGGAGAGGGATGTGCAGGCAGAGCGCTGAAGGTGAGACAGCAAGCCAGAGGTTCCAGGACTCTTGATTGGTCAACTTCGCGATATCGATAAGAGACCGCTTGAAAGCTTGGTGTTGATCTATTTCATGCCTCAACACGTCCATGATTCCATTTCCTACTTCTCGAACCAACATCTTATTATATACGGAGTACTAGGTAGACTAGTAAAGTCTAGTCAGGAGACTGTAGGCGCAGTTCTGTATTCTTCTCGGTCTTTTTTCTCTATGTTAACCTCCCAACGGCCGGCCAACATTTAGCTTGTCCCTTGTCTCCTCAAGCTTAAGGCGCCGTAGTTCTTCGCAGCCGGCGATCCATCGATCGACAACTCTCAAATGACTCAAACGAGAATGTCCGGAAATTCAAGTGCCCGGATTGTGGCTAACTATACGCCATCACTCCCAACGCCATTTCCCCCAAAAGTTGAAAAGAACTCCTGATGGGTATCAATTGCCTCTCGCGTGGAACCATCCAAAATTAGGAAGTAAAGTGCGATACCGAAGCCGTGGTCAGTGGCATAATCGTAATATTTGATCGAGCTCATATAGTGAACGCAGACTTAGTGGGAAAGCGATGAGTCGATCTCTGAGAGTGCGCCTGTTAATCTGGACAGTGTCCATTTCCACGGCGCCGTCTTTCCCGTTGGAGTCTCTGCATCCTTAATTGCTTCACCTGAGTAAGACGACGGGTTAGTGCCATCTCGATTCTCCCCCCATGCCTCAAATATGTTTCGTCCGCATTGTAGTCCAATAAGAGCTCCACGATCTTGTCGCTTCTTCTCGAGTTTGACCGCAGCGCTTTTTCCAGCGGCGAGCACAGGTAGTTATCCCTGCAGTCTACGTCCGCACCGAACCTGAGTAATTCCTTGACCAGGTCTTCTTCCTCATGGCGAACAGCGAGGTGAAGAGGATTTTCGCCATGGCTGTTGAGATTGTTGACCCGGAATCGGTTCCGCTGCAGTTCTTCGGTTTTCAGAAGTTTGGCTAATATGCGCTTATTTCCAGAACACACCGCGTGGTGCAAGGCGTTGTTCCCGTTCTTGTCAAGAGCTAGGAGCGTATCGCCTGCCCTCAGTCGCTCTTTGATCCCGTTCCAATCACTTTTCTCGATTGCGGCTATCAGTTCGCTCGACAATCTGTCCTGCTGGATAGCGCTATCATGCCGCACCAGTCGGTTGGCTTGCTCTGTGAGGATTTCGTCGCCGTATGCTTGCAGTCCCTCTCCATTGTGGCCGTCTCTAAGACTGTAGTCGCCAGTGTTAGCACCCTCCATCACATAGGGAACTTCCATGGCCACATTCTTAACAGCAGACATAACGTACAATATTGCAACGCTCAGCGTGATTTGTATATGATTTTGCAAATCGCGGATCACCTCTTTGACCTCGTCCAGCCGCTGTCGCCCTCCGCCCTGGTCAAAGGCCCAGTACTCTAAGACTCTCCGGAACGGTGTGGGATCGCCGATATCAATATCATCTCTTATCTGGGTCAACCTTCTGAGTTGCCTCCGAGTTTCTTCCGCTTGTCGACTGAGGTTTCTCGCCGCACCTTGAAGCCTCTGATTTGGGCTGTCGTTGATCTCCTCGAGGACAGAGTGGACCAATTCCAGCGTCTCGGCGTGGCGCTGAATTAGGTTACCAAGGTCTCTGACTCCTAAGCCTTACTTAACAGCTGATTTTCGCTAAGTCCAAAGAGAGATGATATGCGCACTGCCTCTAATCAAGCGGACATACGATTCTTACTTACTGTTGAAATGCTCTCCGATCCCTCTTGCAAAATCTTGGATGAATATTGCGGCTTCTGCCTGGATTAGTGTTGCGCAGGGAATAGAGGATGTTTTCCGCACTTGAAGTGAATTGCACAATCTGGAAGACCGCAGATAGAGCGGACACAGCGGTTAACGGATCGGCCATCTTAGCGGCGCAGGTTGAATCGATGTGTTCGGGGTGAATGGAGGCAGCATACACAATAGACAAGGCGCACACCCTCCCAGAAGCATGGACACCCTAGACCCCGCTTTACTAGGAAGAGGCTGAGCATCCGCCTCGTTTTCGACAGGAGGCAAGAGGCAGAGTAGGGCCGATGGTCGGCGCCAGGCTGAAATGGAATGCACACATTCACGAGAGTAGAGTTTCTCATTACAAGGTGTCCTCGAGGCTTCGTCTTCATCGAATCTGTTTAGCGAAGCGACTGTTCGTATGTATAGCGAAACCTTTTCTTTACCCCGCAAACAAAAGGAATTGTGGGCAACCATGGTTGAGGCTCAGACTCCGTATTTCGCCTTACCAGGCTGGATATCCTCACGACTTTCGCCACTATGCACCCTTTCACCGGTTTCTTGGACCTTCAGCCGGCCCGCATTGCTGTCCAGCCGTGTAAGATGCACAAATATGTGTTCGAAGCAATCCAAGCGAGGCTTGGATCATAGAAGTCGAAGGACGTTTGCTGACGTGGTCAATTACGAGGTTCAAAATCTAGGAGAAGGATAACCAATGACCTCAATGACTGCTGCAGTGTTCATCATCCACGCTGAATGGCATGTGGCATAAACTTTCTGCGATTAACTTTGGCTGGATTCTACGACGCCTGACAATCATCACACTTCAGTACTCGGCTAATTTTTTTAGGACATGGCTTCGCCAGAACCGCCATCAGCCTGATGCCTTGCTATCACACGACCAGGCTGTCCTGCCTTGCCCATAGTGTACTCCGGTGAGCCTCAGCCTTGTACGTCGCAACCCAATGTTCCTAACTCTTTAAAACGGACAATCTCTCTTCTACCGTGTTGTTGCGTCACCATGGAGCCACAACGTGAGTCGTTCGAACTCTCGCCCAGAAGGCTGAGGGAGTATACAACTTCTGGTCAGAATACAGATAGGGTAAGTACGAATTCGCTATCTGCATCTAGCATTTACAGTTTTTTCAGTCGCCAGTTGCAGGTAGTATGCAAAATTTGGAGGCCTTTTCGGCCTGAATTCCAGAATATATTTCTCCATGTCCAAACATTGGCACTAACCGTACTCTTACGCCATATTTCGCCCTCTCCGGCACTCTCTGTTTACTCGACTGTATACACTAACCTTTGCACGAGGAAATACCTGCTGTTCACCCATCAGTCCGTGAAGCCGATGCATTATCTGAGATTCGGAGCAGCATCATTTCAGAGGACACCAGACCACAGGAAGAAGTCGATGTGGATATTGACAACCCACTCAGAGTCTTGTCCGAATCAGAGAGAAACAGGAAAATCAACGAGCTAATCGAGTTCGATCGTGGTTTGAGGGATTATCGCAATCTCCTGAGGCGAGGCGGAATACATGCTACAGTACAGGTGCCTAGGATCGTAGTAGAAGACGACCAAGATGGCCAAAACCTCTCCAGGGCTCAGAAAAGGTATCTCAAACGGGAAACGAAATTGGGAACATTCAGGCAGTCCAAGCATTTACGGAGTAGCCTCTTAGCGACTTGTTTGGCTGGAATGATTCAGTAAGTATACCTGTTTGCCCTAGATACTGAACGGATGTTAATGTACAAATCAGAGGATGGACGCAGTCAGGTACGATTCTACTTTCCTTCCTCAATTCTTTATTGACACTTGTAGCAATCAATGGCTCCAACCTTGCCATGGCCCAGGAATTCCATATCCAAGTTAGCAGTAGGCCCATTGCCACACCTGGTCTTCCGGAGCCTGGGAAGAGCGAACACAGTCTATGGATGTTCGGCTTTGTTACCGCGGTTCCTTTCCTCATTGGGGGCATTGTGTAGGTTTTTGCCTATTCACATCTTTTGCTTCCTCTGCTTAGGTTCTTCAGGGCCCCCATCATTTCTGATCCATTGCAAGAGCGTCATCTAGGACGAAGAGGAGCGATAGCAGTAGCATGTTTGGTGTCCATCGGTGCTACTATCGGGCAAGCCTTCTCCAAAACTCTGGACCATCTTATTGGCTGTCGACTTTTAATCGGCGCTTCACTGGCCGCAAAAGCGTCTGCTGCACCACTACTTACCGCTGAAGTAGCACCTAATCATTTGAGAGGTGCGTTTTGTGCGCAATGGGGCTCGTTTCTTCATGGAACTTACCAGGTTTAGGTAATCTACTTGCAACTTGGCAACTCAGTGATGCCTTCGGCATCTTCCTGGGGTTTTCCGCTAATCTTGCCATACTCAACATTCATTCCGCAAATTCAAATATCATCTGGAGACTGCAGACAGTAACAGTTCTTATACCCACCGTTCTTCTACTTTTCGTAGTGCTTCTCACACCAGGTCCGTGGATTCCGCTTTCGTAGCGCTGTAGCTAATGAGGTGCAGAGTCACCGAGATTCCTTATGAAGCATGGGAAGTATGTTGTACGGACCGTTGGTTGGAGTTGCAGGTATCTAATGCGTTATCAGACTGCGCCGAGCCCTCGAGTCATTCATCTTACTACGTCCGACTCCAGTGTCTGCCATAGCTGGGGCGCGAGACTTCGTCTATGCGCATTTCCAGCTTGACGCTGAGAGCAAATCAATGGGTAGACATTTAGCAGCTCGCGAAATGGATGACTCAGAGTCAATTGGGAGTGAATATCCCGACGACGATAGTATTGCAGGAGTACCGCCAAGGAGACACCTACCGCCACCCCGATATCATCACTCGCAAACCAGCTATTTCCGTAGATTGGCCTATTTTTGGCGCGTTCCCCGGGCAAGACGGTCGCTGGCGTGCGCTTCAACTGCCATGGTTGCACAGCAATTTACTGGCGTGAACACCATAGGTTGGTTCAGCCCTCAGGACCCTTCTTCAAGCCTTCACTAAGGTATAACGTTACTGCAGTATTTCTCTCAACTGTGCTGCTCGCTAAAGCAGGGGCATCCGCTGTCGACAGTGCATGGGTGGGCTTTGGGTTGGGCCTGACTAATTTCATGTAAGTGGGCAGTCCTGGGTCGCAGGGCAGCGAAAGTAACAATTGCAGTTTCGGGATCCCGGCATTCTACTACGGAGAAACTATTGGACGAGCAACTCTGCTCCTACTTGGGTTTCCCTTTATGTTTCTTTTTATGCTTCTGCTCGCTATATTCTTCGGTATCCGTGAACCCGGCGAGCATTCCCTTACCGTACTCTTTGGCATCTTTGGTCTGCTTTTCATGATTTCTTACTCGCCGACGGCAGGGACGTCACCATTCGCTATTTCCGCGGAAGTATTCCCGCTGGTCATTCGCGAGGTCGGACATTCACTGGCAGTGACTGTCAATTTCGTCTTGCTGGGAGTGGTGCTTCTGGTATTTCCAAGTCTGAGCGACAACAAGGGAGCTTATGGTTCAAGCCTGGGACTCTTCGTAAGTGACACCACCAAATGGTCGTGTTTGCCGATCTAACGGTCTGCAGGCAGGGCTTAACGTAATTGCCTTCGTGTTGTGTTATCTCTATGTCCCAGAGACAAAAGGCAGGTACGTATAGTGCTCGGATCTACCCATGACACACATGACCTGACCGTTTGTACCCAGAACCCTAGAAGAGCTGCGTTCAACATTCGATCTGCCGACCAGAATACACATCCGCTATCGAATGCTGTACATCACAGAATGGTTCGCCATGCGCTTCCTCCTACCCGTTGCTCTCAAACTTCACCTTTTGAAGAGCAAGCGCAGAAAGGATCTCAGGGAAAGGTCCGAAATGTTCAAACAGAGGATCACTTTCCATCGATGGGGGCCGGAAGAGATTCAAGTCGCCAGGAGGCGATGGCAGGCAGCTACACAGTGTGAGACTATCCCAGACGTCGAGCATCTATTCTACCCATGGGGACAAGCGAGGAGACCTCCGCCAGGAAGGGTGGAAACCAACGGGGATATTGACGGACAGAATCGCTGAGACTAGGGAGAGAGGATTGGCATATAAGGTTCTGCCCGGATTTGCCGCACCCCAGGCCAGGGATGGTCTGGCATATATTGCGGTTGGCCATATGGCATCAAATATATGGCTTAACGGAAGCGAGTCGCGGTTTCAGGTGCCAGGGAATGTCTAGAAGTTGACCTGCACACTGTTAAATCTATCTCTCGTGTTCCCAACCTATCCCAACGAGCTGGCCGGTCTCTCAGCGCAGGAAAGGTAACCGCCAAATACCGGTCGGTTACACCAAGATCAATATGCGGAACCTGTTGGTGTCGGTCCCGTATGGTGCACCGCACTGCCTCCGAACAGGCAGATCCTCTTTTTAGGTGTCTTAAGATCGCCCTAGACTCACGGGGCAACATTTACTGATTATATGAAGCGACAATCGTTAGGCACACTGCGGCTGAGACGTCTGGTTTTCCATGTACGACTGTTGCCGCGGCCAGTTGGGTATGAAAGGTGGGAGGTACGCGGTAGAGACGGTGTGTTTTGTGAAGTCGGAAATAGGGCCCGGTTCGGCGAGCAATTACAATCGATGAGAGGACTGCGAGACAGGCGACGTTGCAAGGTGAAAACCTCCTTATTTGGGTTCTACAAAGTTGAGGTTGATTTAAGCATTTGGGAAAGACGTTGAAATAGAGTCCAAAAAGTGGGTCATCTGTAACCCGGAATGGTTGCCCCGTTGATCGACGCTTTCCCAATTTTGGAAAGTTGCTGACAGGCAACGTAAGCTGGACATTGACACAACTGTATCTCCAACCCCAATCCACATCGCTAGCATTCAAGTTATTTTGTGTGTCTATTTGTGTCCTCAAGATGAGGACCTTCATCGCACCTATCTTTGCCGGGTTATCTTCACTCGCAATCGCTACCCCTGACCCGTTGATCACTCCAGCACCGGCATTGGAGCTCCATTTGCGCCAGCAAAGTGCGATAGACCCTTCATTACTAGGTTGGGTGAGCACAAGCGGCGCATCGGCATGTGAGTTTCTATACAGGAGTATCAAATTCTTGACCACAGCAACTAAACATTCACTAGTCTCCGACCTCCGCTCTTGTGACTACCCCGCGACCCTCTCGTTCAGTGGAAGTTTCGCCCAGTGCTGCTCCAAGGACTCGCCATGTAACTTCTTCTCGACATGTTCTGACGGCAACCTCATTGCCGAGTCGACCTCTGTCTTCTGTGACAACGGATACTGCAATACAGGTCTCATTGTAGCCTCCGCGGGATATACGGGTGGAGCGCAATATCTGGGATGCTGGGCCACGAGTTTGGGCAAGGAACCTTTTGCACTTGTGCAGACCGTGAATTCCAGCGCTGTCGCAACTGGCAAGCCTACAATCACGTCAGGGTCTGTAAGTGAAAGCGAGAGTGGATCTGGTGCTTCGCGGACTACTGCGCCGACCGATTCGTCGCCCAATGGAAGCACCACTGGGGAGACGACAACCAAGCCGACTGGTGCTGGTGTTGGAAAGGACGTCCAAGTTATCTGGGCGATCGGTGGTGCGATGGCAGGACTGACTGCCATGTTTTAGTTGATTCTTGCTTTAGCGCAAAAGCAAGCTATCGAGGCTTGAGAGTACATTTAGTTGACATTGCTTGTGTATACACTTCACGACACTCAGTCCTCGGTTAACTAATTGGTTGGCTTCTGGCTGATGATTTTGTGCAGTGTCTACCAAGCCGTTAATGACTATTCGACGAGACATGTACCATCATAGATATGCTCTCAACACTTGCATTTCATTTGGGAAAATGCAGTTCCGCAGTTCATTACTACAGAACTACCATATGTATTTCTGAGATACCTATCAGCCCATGGACGAGTTCCCAGCGAACACTCACATCTTGCCTAGAAATCAGCCAAGAGATACTCCAGCCCTTCAGTCTCCTTCTCAGCCTTAGCCTGCTTCATCTTCGCCTTCTTGTGCACATCCCGCAGCCCAGCCCGACGCTTCGTACGGCGATAGTGCCTCGCAAAGATAGACATCTTGCCCTCAGCATAGACCGCATGCTCATCATATGGCAGATCGAACACTTCACAGATCTCCGACATCTTGATTGGAATGTGATTCTGCAGCATGGCCTGGTGGATACTTGCAGCGACGATTTGAATGGAGATCTGGCGCATCTTCCTGTCTATACTAATAGTCTTGCTCTTCACGAACCCAGCGTGCAGATTCATGGCCGCCTGCTTCATCTGGCGGAAGTTCTTCGTCCTGCGGTATTTGCCCGGCGCCTTGTCGATGAATTGATATATCTTTTCTTGCGCAGCCATACAGCTGATGATGAAATCCGTCTCGCCGTAACATTCACCATAGTTCTCTGTGATGGTGTAGTCAAATGCTGTGGCAATCATGTTGAATTTCGGCGGCGATGTTTCGGAACGTCCGGCGAGTTGAACCGCGATGGTAGCGAGCATGTTGAAAGGGGCGTGGCGCAGCATATGTTGATGGCGCACAAGGGTGTTGAAGTTATCGAGGGAGATTTTGGTGAGCTTTGTAAGGCTAAGCTGGGACTCGCACGCTGTTGCGATCATATCTTTGAATCGCTTTTCGTTCAGAGCTTCGAGAGCGCGGATGAGTGCGATATGATTGATGACTCCATCATGCCCATAAGGCAGGATGAGAAAACCTTGAGGAGAGATATATACTGGCTGAGTCCCTCGAGTGACATCTTCGTACTTCTTCCTATCAGCTTCTTCCTCTTCTGGATAAGCGAAGGAAGGAAGAAGAACGTCATGCCAACGCTTATTGTAGTTCTTCTTTGCCCAAGCGACACGGATTCGAGTGCATAAAACACAATAGAACATAGCGTTGTCCTCGGCTTCCTTGTTCCACGCTTCATGGCAGTTCTTCCCGCATATGGTGGGCATTGTGGTGTAGATCGCGTGACCGCAGTGAAGATGATGCGTTTGCCTGAGGCCGTTGTGACATGGACGATTCTCGGGTATACCCTGGGCTACAGCTTCGTCCACGACTGGCTGTATGATCGCCTTGGAGAATTTCTGGTCGGATAGGATGTTCTCGATCCCGTGACTGATGTACTCAGCCTGGAGACGGTTGATACGCTCCGTGGCGGCCTTCTTGCTCACGTTGTTGACAGTTTGACCAGGTATTAAGGCTCCATTTCGATCCAAGTGGGGCGCAAGTGTGAACTGTTTAGGCCGGTTGCTCAGAGCAGCATCCCCTGCGTGTCCTCGAATGTCCTGCTCCATGCTGTCATCAGATGTGACTATCGATGCCGTGGACGGGTTGCGGTTGCCTATAATTGTCGGATTGGTTGATAACTAAGTAGGGTTGTGAGGAGGTTGAGGTTGAGGTTGGGAGTCGAGCTTTGTGTCCGGATGTGAGTCCGGAAAATGGCCTTTTAAGGCGAGGCGCTTCGTGAAAGTGTGATTTCAGGTATGACGGCCTTGTACTCATGGTCTGAGCTTTTCATTGTGAACGTATTTCTGCGCAAGACTTTAAGCTGGACAGTGGTGAAAATTCAATGACTCAGTGTGGTGGCCTCGAAGCATTGTGGCGAAAACAGCCACGAGCTGACCAAGAGCGCCCAAAAACATTTTAATGAACCCACAACAGAGAATATATTCTTCTCCAGTGTCGTGCTCATGAGGAGAGAGCAGAATCACACGAAAAATGCTCCGCCGAGGACGTTTTCTACTTCCCTCATCCCGAATACCTAGTAGAACCGATGTAGACTCCAAAAAGATACTTGGCTTTGTGTCTATGTAGCTAATTCACCGCCATTGGTGATATGGGAAAGGTAGCTCACAGCTCACTTCAAGATACAGCAAGTCTCCGGGCCCTTTTGATTTCGGCGATCTTCTAAAACCGCCTCTCCTACGCTTACGTGACTCAGAAGCTTCGGAAACAGACGGAGATTCAATGAGAGGTATTCTCGTCAACTACCAGTTTACTTGATAATAGCAACTCATTTACACCTAAAGATATTGCTCAACTCGTTTAGAAACTGCGAGCGTGTCCAGTGAAGCCGTTTATAATCGGAGAGCAATAAATTGAATCACTACTCGCTTTCCCGTACATGATTGAGGTTTTCACAGAGTTCAATTTCACAGAGTTCAATTTCACAGAGTTCAATTTCACAGAGTTCAATTTCACAGAGTTCAATTTCACAGAGTTCAATTTCGATTATGCAGCAACGTCATTGCCTGTTTCGTACTCATGTGTCACCTCGATTAGTCGGGACGTTTCTTGAAAATGCGCCAGAACCAGCCCTTACGAGTTCCGCAGTGATATTTGTGTGCATCTTGAGCCAATCTTTTCTCCCTATTGTAACCCAAGAAAGTGACATACTGCCCGCTTTCATATCCCGGCTTCGTACTTCCCATCGAGAATGTCCCCTTGCCATTGGTTTGTGATGTCTCACTAACACGTTCAGATGTAGATGGCCTTGAGAATTTACAGTTGAGCATATGGGAACGCTCTGATCCTCCTAGATAATGTCCGTCAGCCTATTTCATTAACAAGGTCGCAGTTTACACGGTCGCATCAGCCACGCCGAGGTTCTCGCCAGCGGTAGTTACACAGATTATGCTAGATGGCCCACCACTGTGAAAGATGAGTTGCTTACCGGCCCTGATATTGTTGCGTTGCGTTTGCTCGCGTCGCGACATATTCCTTGCGGTGCTGTACTCTGTTGGTAAGTTTATGAAGCAAAGAAGCTTATTCATTTTCTTCAAGCAATGTACAGGAGACTTTTAGGCCCTTACAGTAGACGCCGAGTGAAGTTTGCGTGGTATTTCCAGGCGTAAAAAGGCGGCTAGGAAAGGTTTACAAGAAAATAGAAACTATGAACTACCCTAGGGTAGCCTTGTAAGAAAGAGGATTCCTGCAACGCCATCTTCACCGCGCTTGCATGGATATACGATGGTGGGCCTAGTACGTCCAAGTGAACTTCGTTTGTATGTCTGTCACTAGGGCACTGGCCGTTGGATCAGTACAGCGCTGTTATGTGTGAATCATTGTATTTTCGTGAATGGAAAGCCCACTCGTGTCAATCACCAAAGATAATGCTGGCTGAGCATGCCCCTAGCTACTGGATATACGATCTACACGCTTGTACACCTTCAAAAATATATTGAATGCGCCAAGTGATTATGACTGCGTACCATTCCATACTCGCTCCTTTAAAATATATATCTATTTCGCGAGCCCAAATTGTTACCCCGAACAGAATCCAAGAGTTCAAGTTCCCTTTATCTACTCCGGCCATCTGCAAATATGCGCGGTATCAGTAGAGACGCATTCCTCAAAGACCCTTATTTCCTAGTGGAATCAGTATGCGCATGAGTTAAAAAGTTACTACATCTTCAGTTACTGATCCCAACAGAAAAAACTGCCCAAATGGACCAGTGAAACAACTTTATCGGAGAAGGTTACGCAAAGCCTCATCGCTCAGCCCAAAGCCTGCACTCCAGCCAATAGAGGTGCTTCTAAACTTGCCCCTAACCCATTGGGTTCGTCGAATTCTCCGACAGATGAAGACTGGGACGCAGTGTCACACACGAGCGCAAGCGGAAGCGAAGACAACGGCACCACCGCGATGCAAGCGGAAAGCCGGGAAATTGCTCGGTTGAGGGAACATGCAGCCTTTAGAACTGAACAAACTCAGCGACGAAGAGATCAGGTGGCGATAAATTCTCGTGCCTCAATGGACGAACAGCAAAGGGAGCAGAAGCGACTAAAGAGGAAGGAATGGTACGAGAGTGGCGGTGAGGTTGAAACCCGTAAGCAAGGGGGTTGGTATAGCTGGTTGTCGAGAGCTTTTGGAGACAGACGCTAGTGTGACAGCTATGTCTGCTGGGTTTTCTTACGTATTATCACGGTCAAACAGCAATTCCTGTAAGAAAAAGTCCCATACGTCGAAGTTGCAGCCAATATTGCGTGTGCTCGGCCAAGAATCCTGTTGAATCCACTATCTAGCGGCGGCGGGAGGCCGAAGTAACAGGACGTCGTTGTATCATCACCAACACAATAATTTAGTTTATGACGATGCCTCATTGCTCAGCAGTGACCTTCGGGATCCGCTCAAATAGAGTTCATCCGAGATAGTAAACCGCCGTTGATGCGACCTCATACACTTTAAGAAATATGCACCATCCAGGTCTTACGCGTGAACCTATTTTGTCGTGCTCGTTCCAGATACTACCTCAATACATGTGCCTTGAGGTCCGTTCCTGAACTCAACAACCCTAGTCCCATCGCGGGTTTGAAGTCACGAAGCCTAATGTTTATGATTATTTCCATAATCGTGTAGCTTACTGCATCATTCTTATACCACACAAGCGTGGCTCGGCTAAATAATCAACCAGCTGTGTGGACTTCCTCATGCTGACCACTTCACTAGTGACCGTTCCAAGATTCAATGATGTTACCGAAACTCTCATTATAGATTGTGCAGCACAATGTCTCACCGCATTCATGGTAGGTGTACAACGCTGAAACAGCTTGGATTTCAGTGATCTAGGGCGAGACGAATAAATATACGCAACCTCGAGACAAGTTTTGATGAAAGTATTTGGACGGCCCTGTTGCCCATGTCCTCTCTCACCACCCTGTTCACTCTTCTGGAAAACAACTACGAAGGGTGGTGGCCAAGATTTGCTCCTTGTGTCTACTCTCACGTGCCAAGGACGCTTTCACCCTGACTCTGATGATCATCAGCGCTATTTCACAGATGTACTTTCTCTCAATAGGTGCCTCCCACAGTGGCCCAACAGGAACCCAACCCCAGTTCCTCAACTGCAACCCAACCACAGTTCCTCAACACTACTGGAACTCGCCGCATTCCGAACCTCGTCGCACGAACTCAAGACAATCGGTCAAAGTCCATACTCGGCAATATGAAGCGGCTGCTGTGCTGTAGCAAGGGCTTCGTCAAAGAGTTCGATGATCCAACCCACCAACGCCATCCAGAGAACTCGGCCCACAACCCTGAAGCCTGGGAGGTCGAGGCCAAGAAACGAGTACTCTTGCGCGGATATGACCTCAATGGTCATCACCTGGGAGGTCTCGATGATGGGGTGAAGGTTCGAGACTTTGCCTATCAAGAACAAAATTCGACCACGGGTTAGTTCTTCTCCAAGGCAGACTAGGCAGTGTCGAATATGCCCTCGGCCTTCAAATCAGACAAGCTCACTTTTGTTGCAGTTCAGAACTAGACGGCCGAAGTCCCCTGAATGCTCCTTCACCCGATAAAGGACAATTTCTTAGGCAATGCCCCTGTTAGGGAGCTTATTGGATACCCAGGTGTGCTTCGATGGACATGGCAATGTGCTTAAATGGATATGGAAGTGTGCTGGCAGGCTGAGTCTCTAGGTTTTGGTATTGATGCTAGCGAACTTGGATACGTGTTTGGGGTTATAAATCAATGTCAATGACTCTCCATTCCCGGTAAACAGGTATCAGCCCACCGTCTAGCTGAATGTCATCATCATTTGGCGTTTCGTCTGACTGCATTGAAAGATTCATCGAAGCGCTAACTTGTTGGCTGCACCAAGCGCTTCAAACACAGTGACCTCCCATAAGCAACTAAGCTCCGAGACCGTCACCGCCACCGAGGGTAAAGCTAGTACAAATATGCTTGCAACTGACTGGTGAATGCCTCGAACTTCACAGGGGTTTTTGGCAGAGCTTCTGAATGGCCGCTGTGCAGTGGCTTAACCTTGCGACAACATCTATAGTCTGCTCTATGGTCTTTTCTTTTATTCACAAAACGCTCTTATAGAAGAATCCAGGCAGATAAGGTTTGACTGGATAATTGAAGCCAATTGATTCCTTCCGAAGCCCTGAATATTTCATAGAGACCTTGGTTCAACATAACATGAGTTAGGTTGAGAGTTTCGCCATCATTTTCATATCATCTCAGAACTTCTGCTCGGAAGAGTTGTTGATTGATATCCAAGAGAACATCAGACGTGTGTTCACTATAAATGTCCTTGTGTGCAACCGGTCCTTTGACGTGAGTAGCAATAAGACCGTCACTCTAATTACTGGCCTCGGCTTCGTGACTTGATCGCTTCATCTCCAAACAGACACTGTCGAATTAGACACTTAATGCTCTTCTAACTGGGAGTAGTAGTAGACACGATCCTGGGCCTCAAGAAACTGTTATGCGGTCCCAGGTTTGCGCAGACGGTCTCAAATCTATGCATCCGCGTGTCCTCTATGACGTAACAGTGACTCGACCCTCGAGGAATCTGACACTTGTTAAACATAACACAGACTCGTTTTTTACTTTGCGTTGGTCCGTCATTCACTGTTTCTATATATCTGCGCAATTGTCCGAACCAAGTATGCCTGAGAGCTTTCCTGCATACCAAGTTTAATATCTCGCAGAGCGTGATAAGAGTAACGTCTCGACTGTTCCTGTGGTACAGGAACATCACGATTAGAAAATGGACAACCACGATCCACTCTTTAATATTTTACAGTCAACCTCGGTTCCATACTCAATCCCGGATTCCCCTGAATATGACTCCCTCCGCCTGCCGTACAACCTCCGCCTTCAACCAAAGCCGGCCGTAATTGTGTTCCCGCAGTCAATTCAGCAGATATCCCTCGCCCTGAAGGCAGCCTCAGAAGCTGGGTTAAAAGTGCAAGCTCGAAGTGGCGGTCATTCCTATGCCTCCTTCGGTCTTGGGGGAAAAGATGGAAGTATGGTGATCGATCTCCGAGAATTTCAGGATGTGGAGACACTCAATGAATATGTCGATCCCAGTACAGGGGAATTTTTGAGGGGTGTCGTTGCAAAGGTCGGTGGAGGAGCGAGATTGGGAAACATGGCACGCAAGCTCTTCCAGCAGGGTAAGAGAGCATTGCCTCATGGCACTGGGTCCGGGGTTGGTATCGGAGGCCACTCAACACTTGGGGGATATGGATACGTTAGCCGAGCTTGGGGGCTGGCATTAGATCGGATCGTTGCAGTGGATGTGGTACTGGCGGATGGCAGAGTTCTTCATGCGAATTTGAAGGAGAACGAAAACGTCTTTTGGGCAGTGAGAGGAGCAGCACATTCGATCGGCATTGTGGCTACTTTCTACATGAAGACGGAAGAAGCCCCATTACAAGTCATCTATTTTGAGCTTGGATGGGACGGCATGTACGAGGATATGCAGAGGTTCACGAACACCTTTCTCGAGATCCAACACTTCGCAACTGAGTCAGGTGTCGTTGACGAGAGGTTGACTTTTGGAGTTAGAGTGGATGGAAGTACCTATAGAGTTACAGGAGGGTTTCTTGGTGGGGAAGATGAATTCAATGATAAGGTAACACTTCTTCCAATGCAGTACAAAACCTTGGTTAACCGATTGGTAGATATTACCCGCGCTAGTGAAGAATCTACCTGCTCCATCTTCAACATCCATTAAGCCCCTGGGATGGATCGAATTTCTCGAAGTATGCTCTGACAAGGGAACACTAGATGTTCCAGCGATGGGCACGGACGAGCATAAATCCTTCTATGCAACGTCGCTCACTGTCTCAGAGTCCGAAGGTCTTACAGAAGCAGCAATGGAAGCTTTCTTTGAGCACATTACTTCTCCACCATTACCGGAAAAATATTTTATCATAATCAATCTTCACGGAGGCTCGAGATCTTCGATAAATAACAAGGATGAGGCTTTCTCAGCCTACACGGACCGCGACTCCCTCTGGACATTTCAGATCCCGGCTGACAGCGATACTGCAGAATCGAAAGACTTTGTTATGGGGATTCGCAACAAGATCATTGAGAAACAAAAAGGCACATCGTTCGGCGCAAGTTTAAGCTATATTGATGCCGCATTAAGCAGGGAGGAGGCTTGGAAAGCATATTACCGCGATCAAGAAGTGGTGGAGAGGTTGAAAAAAATCAAGCGGGAAGTGGATCCACGAGAGCTGTTTTGGAACCCGCACGCTATTACTGCGATCGGAGACCGGCGCAGATAATAAAAGGCTCGAATTTTCATGTTTCCCGGGAGATTTGGTAGTACACCGGCACCTTCGCGAACGGCTGACACGTGACTCGTACAATCCATCACTGCTTCAAGCATGAGTAATTACGCTTTCTTACTGTCACGTTGAGGCAGCTGTGGTGCCCATCTGTTCTCAGTGAACGGAGGTACAGCCCACCTGGTTCGCTGTTTCACATCTTCTCCGAATCAAAGCCTGCCCCGCACATGTGGCACAGTTCCAGCGCCGCGCTGACTTGGATTTTCCCTCACCCGCCGACACATTCCCACGTTGACTTTACCCACACGCGCTCCAAAATGCTGCAGCACCAGGCGGACCAGAACGCTCAAAAGAAGCTGTTCCCACTGGTTCGTAACAAGTTGCGAAAGCGGTCCCGATACACAGCGTGCTGGCCGCTCCTCGAGAATCCGGAGAAGATACCTCAGATCCACCCTCAAGACCAATCGCCATTATTCAACAAGCTTCGGCCTGAACTTCGACTTCTCGTCTACAGAGAACTCCTTGTGGATCAATCTGTGTTCACGCATATCATTCATCTCCAAAAGGGAACGGGACGCATAGTGCATCGACGATGTTTCGAAAACGATTCGCCCTATCCAACATGGCAACATAAGTGCTATCTTGACTGGCAGCCCTCAGGGTATAGTCTACTTGCGATACTGAAAACGTGTCGGCGCATGCAAGTAACACTTCCGTAGCTTACGACTAGGCTGACAGAATTGAACAGGTATGCGGAAGCACTGCATCTGCTCTATGAAGAAAACACGTTTCATTTTAAGGGCGCCTTGGGTCTCTTGAAATGGGCTTCGGTTATCCCCGAGCCCCAGTGGACTTGCCTGCGTCGCATACACATAACTTCGTTGTTTGAGGGGATTACAATTGACGTCGCACGGTGGAGACAATACCCGTATCCGCCACTGGGAAAGTACCCTTATCCACCAGATATTCAGGACGACTGGAAGGCGTGCTGTGACCGCCTTCGATCTCTCCCACATCTTCGGCATCTGCGCTTTGATCTTATCCTGCGCGGTGAATTATGGTGGCAATTGACGCCTAGAGTCCAAGCAACAACGTTTATTTCAGTGCTACGACCTCTTCAGTCAATTTGCGCAGATAAAATTGAGGTTGAACTGAATGTTGAAGTCCCTCAGAGCGTTTGGGACGTGCTTGGCAATGTCAACTTTACGGTTATCACCAGATGGAGACCATTTAACGATCAATATGTAGTATGAGCCAGAACATGGATGAATCATTGACTGCACTTCAACAAAGAGTTGCATGATTGGCTTCTACAGAGTCCATTTTGGGCGATCACAAAGACCATAGTTTCAACGGTTGCTCGAGGGGAACGACATTTCCACTTTTTGTCAACCATAGCCGGATAATCGTTCCTCGTCATCATGTGAACGACTAATATGTTAGTTTCGTCAATCGTAGCCAATCGTAGAAAGATTACTCACCGCTTGCAAACAGAGCGACCGTTTCAGCGTTGTTGTCGGGCGCGTCCTCAAAATAATTGTCCACTAGGGAGCCTGTTTTGGCCAATTCTTTGCATCTGGCCCAGCCATAGGCAGGACGAGGAATAATTCCAAACTTTTTAACCTTGACCTTTGTAGGATCAGCATGGATGAAGGTAACAGGACCGTTCTTTAAAACAAGAGAGGCTTACATCATCAAGCTCGCCCCCCATCCAGGTGTGTGTTAGTTCATGCAGAAGTACCTTATCGAGTACGTTATAGACGTCTTCATCTCAATTAGTTGGCGCGCCTCTACACTTATCTTTCATAATAACTTAAACTTACCTATTTGATTGAAAAGCCACTTGCCTTGACTAGCCTTACGGATGACTTTGCGACCGATCTTAGTTTTCAAACGTATATCTTCCCCTATGATCATCTCGTGTTGCTTGAGAAACTCCACAAACCAGTCGCAAAGCTGAATTTGAGCGGGCCATCTGCGAGTGTCATCGTCGGCTGTACCGAGCCAGGTGACGGCGGCAGCGATCTTCTCACTGCCTTTTTCACACTGTCTCTCTCTCCATCTCAGCTTCCTTCCATTTGCTGTGATGTCATTTTATTAGCCATCAAAACCTTGAGCTCATGTTTGAACTCACTCATATCAGTTGCCCATCTGCTGTGTGGTGATTCTCTCTTGAAGCGAGATCCATCACAGAAAATAACCTTGAGGCGTTCAGACTTTGATAGAGGAAAAGCCCATGCCTAGATAGCATCCTGTTACACTTACCGCATCCCTGTTGTCAGGGCTATCTGTTTGCGTTCCCAGGTACCTTAGGATATTCGTGTACACAGCTGAATTAAATCAGAAGGGCCATCTTGCCTTCCAGGTTTTGAGGGGCAGGTCGGGGAAAGTACGTACAGCCGACCTTTTTAAGGTAGATTTGGTTAAGTTTCTGTCCTTCCGCACCTTTGAAAAAGAGGTCTTCGATCAGGTTGTCTAGCATTTTGTCGCGGGGGGGAACATCGAAACCCTTGCTGATTGATCGTGAGCTTTGCAGTGCACTGGCTCCGGAATTAGCCATGGCAAGTGCAGACTGCATCGCGGTATTTATCTGGTCACCTTACAGTTGCATATATTAGCCAAGGATAAACCCGATTATTGTGAAGGCAATGTGCTACACTTACCCAGACCGGCCTTTACGCATGATTCATCAATTTTGTATCCTCTTACAGAGACTACAATCGATACGAGGAGGAGAGTCAATGGAAACGTAAATATTTCCATGTTAGTAGTGCTTTACGTAGCTGGTATCGGAAGCCGTGTACCATTGTAAGTGAGTCCACTTGCGGGGTTTTATCATATATATTCTTCCGTAAGGCTCATAGTGACGTGTTAGCAAGAGCGAGAATTATTCCATGTTCCTTTCAGAAACGACCTCCAATGATGGACACCAGAGAAGCGCTGTGTGCTGGTTTCAGTTGTTTGCCGTGCCATATGGCACAGGAGCGGCTCAGGGATCACGTCTGACAGCTACCCATGCTTGAGGAAGTTGGCGTTTATGGTAACAACACTGCCCACCGTAGCTCATGTGCCATAACCGATCTCCTGGAACATGGTCTCCCAATGGTAATATTCACTCAAGACTCAGTCCGGTCATCAACCGGGATTCATGCTATAGCTGACGGGGAGAAATATAAGCCATAAAACAGACTTTTTAAACCTTCATGGCATGTGTGGGGTTCCTAGTCTTGGGAGAGGAGACGAAAGGGCAATCGCTTCCATATGTAAATCACAGAACACCCAACAACCACGTTCCTTCACATAAAAATTCCGATACTAATTAGAAGGGGTATGCAATATATGGACAATCTCCTAGAACCGATGCGAGTGCCTTCCCACCAGTCTGGGAGTCAGCAGCCGTGCCACATTTGTCGCCAATGTGAACACCGTCGCGCAACTGATCGTCTACGATCCATCTACGTCTCCCAAGTCGACACGCCGTGCTGCGCCCATCATCAAATGGGCTGAGTCGTCAGATGTGACGTTGTACCCTGAGACATTCCTGTCAAATGAACCTGTTACTGGGTCAAGCACATTGTGGCAACGCAGTGCCACATCCTAGGAGTTGGTGCATTATAGCCAAACCCGTCCCTGGAATTAGACTGCATTTTCCGATCCCTGGGCCACTGGATGTCTGTGAGAAGGACACATTGCCCACTTCGAGGAAACCGCCGGGCTATAGAACTGTCAAGGATACATAGTATAGTTTCTTACTGGCCATGCTGTGCGCAGTTCACTGCCGAACCGCTGGATTATAAAGAAGGCTCCAGTCGGGCTCACTCTGACCTCCCGTCGTCATAGCTACATACCTACCCTCCTTTCTTAGTAGGATTCCTCCTTAGGATTCTTCATTATGAAGTGTTCCATGACCTTTGCCCTTACCGCAGTGGGCATCCAATTGATCTCCGCCGCCGCAGTTATTCCACCCACTAAGACACCTGTGTCTGCTCTGCGGGAGCGCGCGGAAGATCCAATCCCCACATATACAGCCGGGGTTCCAGAAGCGTATGTCCGTGAAAACGTAAGTCTGCTCTTGCCTCTGTCATCGCATAGCTAAATACCGTAGACGCAGACACCACCTCTCCCAAGTGGATCCGTCATTCGTCTCTTTCCCGATGGGTTTCATGAAAACATCCCTGTAGAGGGAGTTGATGTTGCTTTTGGACCTGACCTCGAGCGGAAATTGGAAGAGACCTTTGGGGAAAAATGCAGCAGTGAAAAGCTAATCGGGGACTGCAGCACGGCACTGACTAATGCACTTCCCCAAAACGATCTGAAGTCCCACACAAAGCGGGTGAATCCACAGTTAGCAATTTTAGTGCCTATCATCGGGTATATCTGGGCCATGATCATGCTGGCAAACAGGAAACCTCCTAAAGTTATACATTTAAGTCACAAGGAGCTGGGTCAACTGGAAGGGATTGGGTCTGCTACGGTTGTGGCAATTGAAACAGGTGCAGACCACGAAGTAGCGGGAACACTAACGTTTACGGCAGTTGCAACACCAACAGAAGCGTGAGAGGCCCTGACAATATTGACAGTGCGCGTATTGACATGAATTTAGGGCGCACGTCTCAATAAGCATTGCGAGCGCCGATAACGGGGCAATCAAGAAGGATGATCTGGTTATCGATGTACCTGAACCGGTTGCCACTCGATTTACTGATTTCCTCGCAATGCTGGGGGTTGCAGATGCCGTGGAGAAGTGCAAGAAAGGGAGCGCAAAACGAGGAATCGACAGGCGGGTTCCTCCGCCGGACAGTCTTTCTGAGGATTGTATTCAAGACATTCTCAACTTCGCGCGGGCTGGCTTTGACTCAACACCTGACGTGTTTGCTGGACTGGCTCCAAATAATCCGAATAATCCCCTCAACCCTGGGGATGGCCAATTTGGAGGTGCGGCACCTAACATTCGCCTCAATGATGAAGATGTCTTGGTACTTCTGTTGCGTCAGCATATTATGAACAGGAATATCGACGAACAACAATTGGCAGGAACACTAATGTTGGGTGCGCTGGTTCTCAACGTCGTCTTTTTCATCATTACAGCTACGCATCAGGCGGCGCCGCTCGTTGTCAATCTCAACAAAAATGATTTAGGGACCCACTCAGTCGATGATATCAAGTGTCCAAAAGACCTTGTTTGCCTGAATCCCGATTGCGACGGAGAGGAGGTATATGGGCCGTTCTTCGGCGAGAGAAAGTCATACCAGACTGGGTATTGTCTCAAAGTAAATGACAGTGGACTAAGTACTCTCGAACAGGCGAACTAACTTGCTCATAGAAGCCTAACAGATTCTGTCCATGCGAAAAGGTTGAAGAGTCGATATTGCATGAGTTGGATGCCGGATATATTGAGGCGCAATATGCCTTTCTACAAGAGCTCATCGGCATTGCGGACAGTACTCTGAGCGGGGTGGAACCAGAGTGCATCAAAGGCGGTGTTCCAGTCAAAGCCAAAGAAGAACAGTACGATAGGTAAAGCTTACAGAGACGCACAGATCGCCGAGATACTTATAGATTGCTTAGATGGGTGGAGGCTGCGTGTAAAAATCATGCCGAACTGAAAAAACGCGACATGACAACCGGACCCTCGGGAATCATCAAACGAGATGGCTGGGAGTATAACGGCGGTGACAATGACGAGGGATTTAAATATTCGTTTCGTTGGAAAGATGATGGCGAGTGCAAGTTCAGTTGCACTGATCTATTCAACACACTGAAAGGAACCGGCGACTGTCAGTATCCCCATTGTTTACAGAACGACTGGCTCACTTCGATGCAGGCATATCCAACAATGGGATTACTCGCGGGGCCGCCATATTCACAGGATGTGGAGAGGCGTCCTTCTATCTCAACGAATACTCGCCGCCACCGACCGACAATCCCATGACCTCATTTCGCGCCCAGATCACTCAAGAAGCTCGAGTGGATGGTAATTCGTACATTGAATGGTCACTTTACAATGGTCCAACAATTGAGAAAGTTGAAGGTCCGTCCAGGAAACTCAGTTTCGAAGCTCCTTCATTCCTAGTGGAAATGGTGGTCGATGAACCGAACGACGTAGACAAGACCAACATCCGCTTCATTGTCTCAAGCCGCATCCCTGATTCGGAGAAACGAGAAAGATTCTCTGTCGGAACCAAGGCAAATTTTTACAGAGACGCAATCGGGATCTTTCCCTACGCCTTCTGCGAAGATCCAAGGGATAAATGGGAGAACCTTCCAAATGGGCAGGGCGGAAAGAGAACGATTAACTGTTACTTTGACCTCAAGTATGACAATGTGTTCCACGATAAATGCGACGAGCGTCTCGTGGTGTGCTGGAACATGGGGCCGCCAGAGTTAAGAAAATGGCCGTTCTGAGAATGATTCGCTTTGGCTTTGCGGAAAGAGATTGGAAAGGTCATCATTTGTAAACCAATCGGAAACGGCTGCGAGACTTTTGCAATCAGTGCTCTAGTGTCTATTGTGTGCAGGCAAGTTCTTTCCGAGAATTGCCATTATTTTTCGTATTGATCTTTGACGCTAAAGCACATCTGGTAGACTTCTTTCATCACGCTCATATCTTACTCAAACAAAGGACTTATGGTTTTAGATGTTATGCTGCGGTAACGTTTAAAAGCAATGTCTGCGCAACCTACGAAGAGCTCTGTACATCTACCGCCTTTTTTCACGTCCGACTAAACGCCCCCTGCACTTCCTCTGTACTGCTGTTTTCTACATCTAATCTAAACAGCTAGCAGGGCAGCAATATAGGAGGTCCTGCAATTAGCTTTGTAGCGTGCCTCTATATATAGTAGTATGTTTAAAAAGAAAATTTCACCTGTTGCATTATTAAGTCGTAGCTAGTTAACTTGTGCTAGGTAGGTAATTCCACCTACGGGGGAATTGCAGCCGGATGTTCAGTCGGACGAGGAAAGCCGCAGTAGGTCTGGTTATGTGCGGCTGATGGACTTTTTCTCTGACAAATCCCATACACCGCAGCAAGTTAATGGAGGTTCGTCGCTTCGCAAATTTTACCTCTTGCATCTTAATAGGCATACCTTCCTCACTTCTTTGGGCGAAGGGTGGAGAATGTTCCTCCCTCTGGCTTTGCCAAGCTTATGGCAAGCGAGTGAAATGGAGCCTCAAGCATTGCGGGCCATTGACCTTAGACCAACCATCATTTGGAAGTATATAAACGTTGGCGCAGTAGGTAACGGAGACAAAATCGTGCATGTCCTGAGCCCTTGCACCTGCGCATGAGCTGAGTAGAAAGGGGTAAGTGAAACTGCCCGTGGCCTATTGTCTTTCAATCACTATAAGCCCTATCGAAGACTGCCATATAGAGCCTGCAGGGCAAAGCTTAGAGTGGCAAACGAGCCTGACTCTCCCGTTTCACCACGGAATATGTCTTCACCTTGCTAGTCCAGTCGTAGCATTCCAATTCACTCCTTCAGATTTATGGTAGCCCCGTGTTTGTGTCGCTTGATCTTTTGCAAACATTTCACATCAGAATCAATACTAAACTACTATGCCTTCTGTTTGGGCCCACTAAAATACTCCTCAGTATCGGCGTTCATCAAACGGAGGGTGACAGGGTAACATGCCGCAATGCACCCTAAATTCTTCAAAACAAAATGTAATAAACACCTGTTTCTCCGCTTAATACAGCATTTTTACATGCGTAACTGCCACTGATGCTTTATGTTTCAGGTTTGATCGCTGAGCGATTTATAAGCGTGCTACTATATAACATTTAAGTCATACAGAAATAATGTTTCAGGTGAGATGGCCGAGCGGTCTAAGGCGCTAGCTTCAGGTGCTAGTCATGAAAATGGCGTGGGTTCGAATCCCACTCTCATCAACATATTTTTGCCCCTGGGTTCCACTCTGCTGAAGTGTTCGTTGGGTGGTGCAGAACAAATTTTCCTTGTGCGTGGCACTGAAACGAACGGCGTATATTTGAGTATGGGCCAATAAAGGCCCACCTTTTCATTTTCCTCTCCTCTGCTATTCCTAGAGTATGGTTTCTGCAAGGCTTGAAAACCCGTTCGAAATAATTAAACAATAAGAAGAGTGGCAAATTGCAACATGCATACTGGTTCCCTGAACTCTCAATGTACAGGAACAGAGTCCGCATTGGCGTCTTCAAAAGGCGAGTCTAGCGGAGCGAAGATATTGTCATGCCGGCTATGGCGTTTGGTGGTGCGCTGTCCCTTCATTGACACTTCACAGTGAATGTCAAACAGTGCCCAAGGGCACCGCAGTTATATGAAGGACTTACTCCGACTTATGCGTATGAAGTATACTTGCTACATAGAGTTCTGCCTCTCGAGATATTGCCATCCGCAGCCGGCATGAATCCAAATGGGCCTGCACGCCCACACTGTCACTCACCTGGTGGAAACCCCCCTATGTACGCATACCAATATGAGTATCTGATACGGTCAATGTCGGCTTTGAGAGCTCCAGGGCTGCTCGTGTTTCCTAGAAATCCGAATGCTCTGCCTGTAAACCTGTATAAACAGCGGAGTCTAATAGATTTTGACTACTGGGCTGCCGTCAATGATACGCTGAGACAAAAAGGTCCGTAATATGATGACAATTAAGACTAGGTTTAGTGATGCATGTTCACGGTTGCTGACTTCTCAAAAAGGCGCGGTTCTTCCGTATGACTTCGCAGTGATCTGCTCAACTCCAGGGCACCAACGATGCAAATCGCTGAAGCAGAAGAAAGGCACCAATATCACAACCGTAGTGCTTAAGAATCAGGCAAAAATAGGTACTCACCCTTTAAGCTCCGATACACCAATGAAGAATGCGAAACAGGTCAGTGCCGAGTCCAGAGTGGAGCAGTCAAAGAGTGTCGAGATTTTCGGCGTAACCAGTCATGAAGAGCCATTGCAGACCTTGTTCGAGACGGATCTGGAAACCGCTACAAACTGCACAGAATATGAGAAGGGCCAGAACGCGGCATGTTTGATGCCGGCAGATATGCCTGGGGAGAGAGTGTTGAACTGGGTGGAAATATTCGATAATCTGAGTAGCATCGTAAAGCGCACAGTTTTCCGCTGGGTTGGGATTTTAGTCGGAAGCATGTAGATATAGTTTCCGGCCCCTCTCTATCGAGAAAGTGTTGCTGCAGAACAATGTTAGTGTTCAGTTCACTGCTATAGCTATCCTTGAGGAACCGGCTCCGTATGTTGACACGAACCACGTGGAACCGTAGGTAGTGCCTATTACCAATTGTTTTGGTGCAGACCTGGCAAACCGGTACCCAAGTTTGGGTTGGGTCATTTGTCGTTGTCTGCATGCGGTGTCTGCGGGGAACTTGTCAAGGCCGACATCCGTACCCTCGGGTGCGTGAAGTGTCCGTCATCATCAGTGGCAAACAGGAGGCTCTCTTCTGATGGAATATGTCCATCTCTGATATCCTAGTACTCTACTTAGAGTATGTAGACGATAGAAGTCACGACGCATGGTAGTGAGGGCGCACCAAGCTCAGACAACCGGGTGCATTGGATGCAGTGGTCACACTCGGTTTCTATTCACTCGGGAATGTCGCAGCTGGATCCCCTGATCTGGAATCTACCGACGTGTCGATAGTTCACAACCGCATGCGGCGCAAACAAAGTGAAGGGATAGTCTGATGTGGAGTGCTGAGAACTACGCCAGCCACCGATGTCCATCACGCTTATCTCCTTCGGCTCTCCTTGCATTCGTCCTCAATGTATACGGCGTACAGCCAGCCCCCTGCAACAACACACAGTCCTCGCACCGACAGCTCTCTGCGAAAACCACGGTGTAACACAAACAGTTCTCGCCTTGCGCCGCCAAGAGATCCGTCGAAGACCGAATCCCTTCATGGCGCCGTTCAATGCATGTTTGAACAACTGCGGCTAAATCCACTTGCCCTTCTCAACCTTGGACTTCTCAGTGCTGCTTATGCTCACAATGCGCACGTCTCTTCCGTCGACTCCTGCTCTATGAATGCTCTTTGTCGGCTTCCTACGCGGATAAGGACACCGTCTATAGCATTTCAGATTGCGATATGCTTTCCCCAATATCCACGGGGTCGCAGTCGGCCCAGAGTGAAGGTACGGTGTAGGGCAACCTCGCACTCACTACATCGAGATAGGATACGCTAGCTGACCTTGGACATCGTACAGGAGCCTCCACGTCCTCGTCCGTTCTGTCCCCTCCCTCGCCCTTAAGTCCTTCAAGCCCACAAAAGGAGGCCGCGCCGCGCAAGAAGAGAGGAAGGCCCAGGATGGATCCCCAGCAGACCAGAGCCGCTCAGCGTCGGGGAAAGGGGTCGCCCGAGGTTCAGTTCCTGACGGCCACTCATCCCTCGGAGTTCAAGTCTGCCGAAAACAAGAAGACGGTGCGGTCAGGAGCCATGAAACATTATCGGAGTCAATATAAAGACCACGGAAAGAAGAAGAAAACCCAAGACGACACGGCAAGCTCATGTACCCCTGTGGCAGGACCGAATGTTGAGGGTTGGCCTTCCCGAACCATGCCAACCGCAGGCCATTCCGATCACCAACACCCATTACCCAGGGCGTGGGCAGGTTGGAGAAAGGAGATACTCAATCCAGAAGCGTCCGCCGCCATGGTCCCACATACGCCTCGCTCACAACACGTCGTATCTAGCGTGTCTCCCTCTATGGCCATCGTGAAGGAGGTGGATTACGAAGAGAACGACTCTCACGAACAAGAAATGATGCAAATGTTAGTACACGACCTGCGTATAATGACAATCGGCGATGGCGTTGATAGTTTCTGTGTCTTTCCCCAGTTTCGCAGCGCGGAACTGAATTCAATGAATCTCGTTCGCGAATGTAAGCATTGATTTAAGTGCGCACGCAATGAGAGAATCCATACATTTTAATAGTTTAGCCTACAACTGCTGACGAGTCTAGGTCTCCGAGCATTTGCAACTCCCGCCACTATTGCTAGATGGAAGCCCTTGATGATGGTCCATGAGCATATCTTGCTCAGCTCAACTGCCATCGCGTCTACTTGGATAGATATGCAGACCAGGATATCCGGTGACACACGCCGGACTATGCTCTTGAAGGGCGAGGTGATTAGCTGGATCAATCAGCGCCTTCGAGATCCCGCTCAGCAATTTCAAGACTCAACATTGATGATCATCCTGCAATTGTTAGTCGGAGAGATGTGGAGTTGTGACGAGGAAACCTTGCGCATCCACGAAAAAGGGATTGCACGACTGATCAACCATCGGGGTGGTATGACCGGCCTCGGTGGGGCTGGAGCCATGGCCGAAGTGGCAGCTTCGTAAGTCGTTCACACACGTCTCCGACGATGGCTGACAATTCCAGATGCTGCCAGCATACCGATATCATATGTGGTGCATCTCCGCTTCCACTCTTCCAAGAATGGGAGTCGATGATGCCGACGCCGGTGGAAGACATTGCTGGAATACCATGGTCGCCACTGTTCAGCCCCCGCCTGGAGTTCTCTAGTCTCCGTTTGGGCCCGCGCTGCTCCCCAGAGACTTACGATCTACTATGTGCCATGCGATATATTACCGATCTCTTCATAGAACATATGGAAAAAGACCCTATTCGCGAATTAGAATCCGACGAAGTCGTTGATATGACTTCCCCTAACCGACGGCAACAAGAATACGACACGAAAATTGATCCCATCTACCAACATTTACTTGACCTTCCATCGGCTTCCATACCCGGTCTTTCCACTTCCAACGACTGGGTTTACGAGGCCTGCCGAATTGCAGCTATCATTCATGCAACGGCTATCATACGCCGCGTCCCTTTTCATGTGGCTGCAGAAGGTTCGGAACGCGGTCGACGCATGACTGATGATCTGTATGCCGCTCTAGAGCTCTCGAACACGCAAAATGTCTGGGGCAATCTCGCGGGGGTGTTGTATTGGGTATCTCTCGTTGGCGTTAGTGCTGCGCGCACCCCAAAGGCAGTGGAGCTGTGTCGGCTCCCGGGCAAGCAGGCAGCTCAGCCCCATGATGAGGCTTGGGTGCGCAGATGTTTTGTCATGTATGCGACACGGACGATGCTTATATTGATCTTTCAACATCCACTACCGGTTGTCCTGTCTCAGCGCAAGATGTTACGAATTCAGGAGCTTGTGGGAAGGGGATACGCCAGCTCCAAGCTTTGAATGATACCCATGAGTTTAGTCGAATGATATCATATTTGTGGGCACGACCAAGTCCACTACCACCGAAGCGAGCGGTGAGCTCAATATCTGCATTTTGTGCGTAGGGTGTCCTTTCCTGCCAAGTACGACTGCTCCTGACTTTAGAATACAAATATTGAGCCTTCAGGGAAGCAGCGCCCGATAACTTCAGTGGCAGATCTCATCTGGCGACTGGTCCCGTCTAGTGCCACCACATCGATGTGCATACTTCACCACTTTCTGATCCCCATGCAAGGCCCCCAATGCCGAACGTTCGTTCACATCCCGTACGCAACTGATAGTACATCACGATCGCTTTCGAGTTCTCTGTCAACATTCTCCCGGCGCTATCTATGGCCGACTCGTCTTCCCTATGACCTGCTCGAATCTCGACCGCCGGCTACGACTTGTACTGTCGATTGCGCCCGTTAATATTCGTCGCTAGCTCTTATTATTCTATACCAGCTGTAAACGACACAAGCGCCATAGATATAACTGCTATCGTTGTGGTGATCGGCGCTTGCTGATTCGTCCTCCTCGTTCTAATCGGTGTCATCGTACTGTATATCTGGCAGAGCAATCGAGCGAAGCGCAGTCAAACTGTGGACGGGCAAGTCGATGAAGCTCCTCGTGCGCACCAACGACCGTCAATTAAGCTGGGTAGGCCAAGATCCATGTCGCTGGGGACGCTGTTCGCCTTTACAGAAAAAGAGGTCTTGGTGCCCTCAGTCAGTTCCCTGATACAAGCCGCAGACGAGGAAATGTACGGTTCCGCGCTGTTCAGAGCTGTACATTGCCATGCCACATGCTGTTCGACTATCGAAAGCATCCTTGACGCATTCGCCGAAGCTTTGAAGGGGCAGCCTTTTGCAGAACGAATAAGATATACATCCCAGGTTCGCCAATACGTTTCCAGCAGAAAGCACCACAGGAGCGGAAGGCATAGTTCCGGAGGGACGAACGAAAGATTATCTATTGTGAGCCTGCCCAAACATCCGCTCGATATCCTCGAACGAGTATTCGGAAATGCGCGCTGTAAGAGAATGCGCCACGAGCCGAAGCTGGTGCGCTTAAAGAACCCATTACTACCTTGCAGATCGGAGTTTCGATATCACGACAGATCGTGGATGCTTGGTTTTCTGCAACTGAAGCAATCGAAGGCGCCGATTCAGATTACCGTTACTTCTAGCGAACTGGTCGCGTTCTCACTCTTTCTGGCAACTCCATTGGTAGCGGGCTGGTCTCGTAATAACCAAGACCGTCAAGAAACCGTCCAAATATCAGAACCCGGCGCCGTCGGCATTTCCTTCCAGACAAGTCCATCTGCAGATGGTATCCGCCGCATGCACCTTCAGCGCCGTGTCCAAGACCTATCAGAAAAAGCACCTCTGTTGTCATCTGGATACTCGAGCTACTTCTCAAAAGTCCTCGCATGCGGTTGCCTTCCTCTCTCAAAATCTGGACATTCCACAGAAATCATATATATCAGCTCTAACGTAGCCAGGGCGATATGCTTGGGAAAACCGGTGATGCTGCTTCCTTCAATCCGCGTCCTCTCTATGGCTCGACCAATCCAATTCCTCATGCGTTTGCCGCGTGGCCGCACTCCTCTTGTTCATGTCCTTGCGTCCTCTTCGCCCAATCCTTCTAGCCACCTCCCAGACGATCTCCTCAGCTGTCTCTCCATCCTCGCATTGACCCACCCACCGCCAATGGCGTCCAACGCCCTCATCTCCACCATTACCTTCATCGCCTCCGGTGGACTCCCTCCAGGCCGCCTGCTTCAACGTCTAGAGTCGGTAGTAGGGAAGGTGCATCGCTACTCCACCTCTCACGCAGGATTGTTCGGGGAGATGTACCGTGACACTCAAATCCGCGAACTCACCAGGGAGCACCTACGGCTGGGGAAATTTGGCATCGACTCGGAGACGCGCGAGGCGCACGACGCCGCCGGAGCAGATACCATGGGGCGCAAGGCAGCGAGAGTGGCGAGGTGGAATCTTGCCTTGCAACGTTTAATGGGCATGCTTGTTGAGCGGGGCAGGTATAAAAGAGACGAGGCCGTATCGGCCGTCAAGAGCTTGCTTAAAGTGCAATTTGAAGAAAGTTATCGGGCTGCGTTGAGGGCGCGGGAAATACGAGTTCCTGAGAATCCGAAATCAAAGCGGAGAACGGATATGCCGACCCTGGCTAGGCAGGTGGAGGAGATCTTGAAGATGGAATTGCCGCTAGATATTGACGCGCTTGCAACTTTGGCGCGGCTGATGTTGGTGGGGTGGTGTTACAGTGTTGTGGGTGTGGCGTGGGAGGATGGGGAGGAAGGGGTGAGACTGGAGATCCCGAAGGAGGAACATGAGATGGTTCTGATGTAGCTTGAGCCGTAATGCGGTGTTGGGACTCTATCCTTATCATTGAAGCCTGTGGCATTTCTAGGGGGCTGGATGTAAGAGCAGCCATTAGGAGTATTGTCCGGCTTGGAATCAGGGTTTAGTTGAGAGTAGTGTGTACCTTTGAGCTTCTTGGATACCCGGTACGTATGTTAGAGTTCAGTGATCGGGATGTTAACTTGCATAACATCGGATCAGTTGATTGAATCGCTGTCGTCAAACCGCCTTTTCTCTTTGGAACAACTGAAATACCATTCAGTTATGGCCCCTCTAAGCATCAACACCATGAGACCTGAATAACAGGTACCATCCAAAAATGATAACCCAGACCAACAATACACAATCCTAGCGTCGCACTATTCATCCGGACCCATGACCTCCAATCCCTTGCAAACCCCTATCCACCCATCCCTCATCCCGTACCACACCTCTTCCATCTTTTCACCCTCCCTGCCATCCCTCCTCCTTTCCATTCTCTCTGCCTCATCACCAGCTCCATCAAGACTATTCCTCCTCTGGCGACTAGGCGCCCTCTTCTTATGTCTAGATGGTAGCAGAGTATCCACCTTCAACCCCTTTCCGTCAAGCTCGCCATTGACCTCATAACCGTGACGGACAGGTCCACGCATGCTCCCAGGGGAGATGAGTGTGCTGTCGAGAAGGGCGTGCCAGCGGGAGAGATATATACCCGGGCCGTGAGTTGTACCGTAATGCTTGCGGTGCGACTGCTCGTTTGGTTGGGAAGAAGTAGGCTGAGTTGTCGTACGGACGAGTGTCTTAAGCCGAGAGCGGGACGTTCTGGTAAGCTGTTCGAGGTGCTTCGCATGTTTGTCTAGTAGCGGCTTTAGCTGTTCCTGCTTTTCTGTCGGCAATGATGAAAACAGCGAGTGCAATGGGCCCGTCATGTCACCAGCGCCTCCAGAGGCATGGCCCTCGTTTCCGGAGCCGTGCGTGCGGAACTCGCCGACACAGGATTTCGCATACTCGAGGTATTGATTTGCAAGATCGGGTGCGTTCTTCGCGACCTGATGGAAGAATTTGTGGGCAGAGGGAACGTGTTTGCGGAGGAGTTGAACGTAGTCTTCCACTGTTGGCATGCTAGAGGGGCTCAGGTGAGAAGAGTCCGCCGCGCTTGCGGAACCATCAAGAGGGACAGGACCAGGTGAGCTGGAGCGGCTGTTATTTGCGCTTGATGTTTTACTACCGGGACCGTTGGCACTGTTGAGTTTCTTCGGTTTGGAGACTTTGATCAGGTCATCGATGAAGTTTTCGGCATCCGTCACAGTGCCAGAGAGATCAACGGCGTTGTGAACTGCCCTGATAATGGGTTCGAACGCTGATACTAGGTCCCGTATAGCGGATGTCAGGAGGTCCGGCTGCATTTTGCAAAGGATCTTGGTGAGTTCTTCTCTATCGCGTATTGAGAGCATTGTGCTGTAGTGCTCCATAGCAAGGTCGTGATGATGTGCGGTCAAGGTATCAGGGTCGATGTGCGGATCGGACGTTTCCAGAATCACACAGATGATGGATTTTGATTCCCGTATCGAGATGTTCCTCCCTGCCTCGTGGGTGTCGCGAGACGCATATACGTAGTTCCGTATTGCTTTGAAGACCTTCTTCTCTGGTGCGTCGCGCTGGGATTCTAGTTTCTGGGCCCGTCGCTGGAACTCTGCTGTGTCCCAAGCCATGACCGTAGAGATAATCTGCTGCATCAGATTCATTCCGTCGTTTGCATTGTTGGTAATACCCATCCAGTTCGTAACAGCAGTGAAAGAAACCTTGGTCAAGACCAGCTTGACCATGCCGTTGATCATTGTTGCTGCATTGCCCACTCGTAAAGTCTGCTTGACAAGGTAATATGGCACAAGTCGATGGACGTTCTCGATTAGCCGGAGGATATACTGGCCGTCCGGGGACATTATAAAAACATGGTGTAAGAGAGATGCGAGGCTATGCGTACATTAGCCAGTGAGTCTAAAGACGTGCATGCACCAGGGGTCGAACTTTAGTAGTATGTACTCGTGCGCTCCTTGGACAAGGCTTGAATGGTCTTCCAGTTTCCCGGTTTCCGCCGTCTTTTTGAACGTCTCTTCAAGCAGGTCCCCATATATGACCTCCCTGACAGCGTCGTCCTAGGCGCGCAATATATCCTCCGGGTCGCTGGTGTTGTAAACTGCTGTCCTGTCCTTCTTCCCTGAAGGCCACCCTCCTAACATTCCCCGCGCTACATACTCAAGCATACTGCTGATCGCAGTCGCCATAGCCTTCCTCGCCCCGATAGCTCCTTTATCATAACTCTCACTCAACTCCGCATCGCCCAACTTCTCCACCAACACCTTGACCTTATCCTGCCAGAAATCGACTCCCACATTTCTCAAGCCAGGTAACCGCAACACGAACTTGTTCAACATATTCTGAAGCAGCGGCGAAGTTGTCTGGACGCCATCATTCTTACGGAACGGGTATCCATATGTGGAGATGGCTTGAGGGTATTTGAAGGCTTCGATTTCGGCGTACAGCTGGTGGTGGATTAGGATGTCAAAGAGAGCGTGCGTTTGTGCGGATGTGAGCGGAGGAGAGGTCATGATTGTGGAAGGGGGTGCATGTTGTTGCGCCTTGCGGCTGTTTGCAGGGTGTAAGTATGTTTGGTTGACGAGCAACGCGGCATCAACGTCATCAGCTCAGATTTGTGGCTGTACGTGGCTGTGTGTGGCTGTGCCTTCTCATCGATTTTGAACATGAACGCAAATATCAATGCATTAAAGTGACATTAACTTTGCGTAAGAGGGATTTAACATAATATGCGGACTTCATAGGAGTTAAGAGATGTATAACTGAATTGTATCTCAACCGCGCAATACCGCATTAAAGGCCTCCCATAGAGGCAATGCCACATGATAGGCAAAGAACATTGCGACATCTTCCTATTACAAGTTATCCGGTCAATCTCGGTGCTACAGAGTTTGAGTCATATTTGTATCTCCTCCACGGTTCTATGCCTCACGAAAAATGTCCATCGGCTCTGGTATAGCGAAGTTATATTTTCGCCGCTGCAGGTGGTCAAGTACTCGGAAATAAACTGTGCGCCCTCAAAACAGAAGCAGCAATGATTGATCCAAAAAGAATATTGATTTGCCGGAGAAGCTTGTGATGAATGATCTCATCGTCAAATGGTATCCCAAGAGCCCCTTTCTAGGTCCAGATCCTGCACGTATGGTCCAAGCCCGCCTATCGAGGTGCTCCTCCGTTAGCCGGAGTTACGAGGACTTGGAAGTGCAAAGCCACTTACTAACATGAAGTAAATACGCTGGACTTGGGTTTGAGTAGCATCGGACAATCTAGAGCGGGAAGGCAGATGGGATGTTTCAATGACTCGACACATTCAAGCAGGGAACTAGGCGGAAAAGAACGTAAGTCGTGTTCATTCAGAGAGTATCCGTAGTATTACTACTCCTGAGTGAATCTCGATGCATGTTCATTGCACAGAACTACAGTCTCACTCCATAACGTCTCATCATGAAGAACAAAACCCGCAACGTAATCACAGTACCCAAACATACCATCCATAAGACGAGGGAGCCACTCCCTATAACGATAAAAAGAATGGTGACCCCTACTTGTAGTAAGTCTAGTAGAGTTTCGCGCTTCTCTGGCTTTAACAGAGATGCGATCAAATTAACACCCAAAAACAATGCGGGTCGGTCCAGCTTTGTCGGAACCAGATTCAAGGTTGCTGCGCCGAGAAGAAACAGCAGGACGCCGCTGGATCCCATATTGAGTCCCAGGCAAAGGGTCACGATTGATAACACGAGACCAATATAGAGAGTCAAAAAGCTTGACTTTGGCATCGATGCATCCGCTGTAGGAGGAAAAAGAACGATCGTAACACGCGTTGCGCAATATAATGGGAGAAAGTAGATAATGAAGGCGTGGGGGAACGATATATCCATGACCCAACGCCAGACGCTCGGTTGAATGACTCCAATGTCGACAACGAGGTTATCTTGTCCGGCATGTCGCTCCCACGATAGCTTTGTCCTCAGTGTTTTTGGTCTTTTATGCAGTGGTAGTAGTAGAGCAAGGATATCGAGGTACCAATGGGGGAGGAGACGTAACACATACTGAAAAGGTCTACTCCGTGAGCGACTCTCGGCGGGGCCCCACCGAGTTCTCTGAGGGCCTATCTGGATTGTAGCATCCCTACCGGCAGATACGTCCATGTGAGTGGTTGGTATGGCATTCACGCTAAGCCGGTTTCTGGTTGTATCCCTAAACCGTTGTATACTGACTGTGGCCGCATACGGAGAACCGACATCAATGTCGACCCGTACAAGGATTTTGGACACTTTCTGAAATGACCTGCGTCTCTGCGGTTCGGGCTCAGCTGGGGTATGTGTCGTATTGGAGTATTGTTCTTCGGACGGTTCTGTGAAGATGATACCATACGATAGGGTGTCACCGGCTCGGAAGGGAGTTAGCTCGAATCTCTCCATCTCCGTGGCCATATAATGCCAGTGGTCAGACGGATCAAGGTAAACCATTTGTCGCCATTGCAGATGTCGAAAGCCTGCGTATCCGGGGAAGCGAACTATCATAAAGCGACGGTTCCCTGCTAAAACTGATCTCAACAGAGAGCAGTCCCTAATGGTGGCAGAATCATATTCCGCCTCTGTTACCAGTCGAAGTCTGCTGACGCCTTGCCGGACCAGGACCTTCGCATTCCGATCTATAGCTCTCAGTCGTACTCCAATGCGGCTCGTTGGGTGATCCTTTACGCATGAAAGGACAGCAACATATGAGTTTCTCTTGCCTCTAGCTCTGAAGATAGGCAGTCGTATTTGGAGCCCCTGATTGTTGAGAGAAAATGGCGCAAGGTCTTCATTGATTGTAGAGATGCAATTCGATCTGGCGAAGCATTCTGGGCTAGACGCAAGCAGATCCGTGGGTTCTCCTGTATCACCCGATGGCAAAGTCCAGGCGAGGAATGTCTGGTCTAAGTTCCGCTTGATAATTTCCTCTTGAAGTCTCTGGAAAGCCTTGGAGCCGCCTTCACCGTACAAGAGGGGCATATTGACGTCAAAGATTCCGAGCAGGCTATAGGCGATATCTTCATCTCTCGTTGTTTCCCGACCGGCCGCCCATGCCATCTTCGTTGCTATGCTGGCAGCTCGAACATATACAATAGAGCCGTTTCCTTGCAGAGCTCTCCTGTCAATCCCGGTCACACTTTGGATCGGTCCAGCTAGATCTCGTCTCGTACCCATATGTTGCCACTTTGAGTTGTAGAATTCAACTTCCCGAGGCGCTAAAAGCTCTTGCAGCGTCCACCCACGAGTATGCCACCGAGCATTCGGAAAGTCGTCATGGCCTTCAACATCTTCGAGGAAGGCGTAACACATGGCCGCATCTTGATACCATTTGAACATGGAGTTGATGGATTCGCTCAAAACAGCGCTGCTGGTTTTATCGATGCAGCAAGTGTCGACCCATACATAGTCATAGCCATCTTCTTGGGCCCGGTGGCAAGTGGAAACAATCTTCCTATAACCGGATTTGTGCCTTGCGCTTCCAGCCTGGTATTCTTGGAACGAAACCTCCTCTGGGCCCCAGGTGTGCGAGAGGATAGCGTACCGCTCCAGACGACTCCCGACGTCCACCAGCTCGTAGGTGTGGGCGTTTATGAGCCACATGGTTTCTAGAAGAGATGCTTGTGCTGATCCCGTTGGCGGGACGATGTGGATGCCTTACAGATCTTATGACCCAGCTGGCAGTCTTGACTCGTGATGGCCAAACATGGTTTAGCGGCTCTGTATTTGAGCCCCTGATGTGTGGAAGCCTATAAGCGCTGACCAACCATAAGCTTCAGCCTTGCGGCGGAGGAAGTCCAGCAAAAAGTATAGAAATGAAAGAGTTACCTTAATCAGTCCCGTCCTTGCGCGACTACAGTATCGAAGTTTCCCAGTTTTGTGTAACAGCATCAAGGCGTAAACCTTTCAATCGAGCAGTGACTTGGATTTCATAGATTCATCAATTCATAGCCATGTCATCCCAAGATCTACGCCCGCGAATCTGCGTAAGTGATAAATATCCTAACGAAGAAGCCCTGCTGACATTCCATAGCTTCCAGGATTTGGCCATTCACTTCAACACTGGTTGACCACAAACGGAAAGGGAGAGCCCTTGTCTGAATATCTCTGCGCCTTAGCCCGCTGGAGACATAGTCCTATGACCATTCGAGATCGCTGCATGCTAGCTTTCATGAATGAAATCACCGACAAGCCAGAATGGACCCGTAAGGTCTTCAATGAAAGCATTGTCAAGAAGTGGAAGAGCGAAACAATGACAATGGACTGGGACAAAGCAGGTATCCCTATGGGAGACTTTAGCGGAAGAATGTTTGACTACGTGGGTAGTTCATCGTCTCGATATTGCGCCTTTCGGCTGTCAGACACTGAGGGTTTAGTGCATCGCAGAGCTTCGAGACAAGGCCACTTTCTCTGACCAATATCACATGGTTCGAGTCCTTGATATCGATGCCGTGATTCTGAAATCCGATAACGCAGTGGACGCAGAGCTCAATGCAGCGCTCCGGTCTGCCGTTCGTCCGCTGGAAGATGTGCCGGACGTGAAAAAGGATTGGCATCCTGGATCCGACGGCAAGGTGCTGGATCTCGTCCATCCGTCACTTTTCCCTCTTATTTACGGCCGCTCTCGCATTCTGCCAAATTCGGTCGTGTCCCTTGACGACTGCGTTAAAAGGATAGGCGAGGGTGAAGTCATTCCGCAGCCTACACAATCTACCATCCAGAAGGTTAGAACGCGCCAGAGAATAAAAGAGTGGGAAGTTTGGTCCAAAAACTTCCAGTGGCTCCCTTGCAATGTGACCTTCCCTGATGGAAAGAACGCAAGTATCGAGTCCTACATCAACAACCTCCATCCCGACGACCATGCGGACTTGTATAGGGTGATTGAGCAATTAATAACCAGATCCGTGCCCCTCTTCAATATCGTCTGCCAGTTCCACCCAGGCGGTTCAAGGAAACAGGGACATAGAGCATGGACGGACGCAATCGAAGCTCATTCGCCCGTAGAGCCTATGCCCCCAAGGCCGCAAGACCCAACTGGCGAGGAAGACTGGACAGACGACAGGAGGAGGTGCGCAGACACGCATTGGCGCCATCAGTGGTGGATGGAAAACCGCGTGATGATCAAACCGGAACCGGAAAACTACGGTGGATTACAGTATACGAAAACCCCAGAATTGATTGATAACCAATTCAGCTTCCTTGGGGAAAGGCAGAAAAATTTGCAGGTCATCGTCAAACTCGCAAACATCCACCTCACTCCCGAAAAGCCAGAATATGAAGGCGGCGGTTGGCATGTCGAGGGGCAGTTGAATGAGCACATCATCGCAACGGCTCTCTATTACTACGACAATGAGAACATCACAGATTCTCGGCTGCAATTCCGCACGAATGTGGTCGCTGGGGAGCTCGAGGTAGATCTTGACTACATGCAGAATGACCATGAGGGGATCGAACAGATTTTTGGGTTCCATGGCAACTATGATGAGGCGGTTCAGGAGTTGGGTTCCGTCCTCACGTGCGAAGGAAGACTCATAGCGTTTCCAAATGGTTTTCAGCATCGGGTTGGCGGATTCAAGCTTGCAGATCCCACGAAACCCGGCCATAGGAAGATCGTGGCACTTTTCCTTGTGGATCCCATGCTTCCGATCATATCGACGGCGAACGTTCCTCCGCAGCAACGCGACTGGTGGCTGAGGTCGATTGGTGCTAAAGACGGCGCGCTCGGCGAGAGGCTGCCCGCTGAGCTGGTTCACATGGTCGGAAGCCGTGTGGATGACTTCCCAATCGGACTGGAGGAAGCAAAAGTGGTTCGGGAGAAGCTGATGGAAGAGAGGGGGAAATTGGATCGGACTGTTGATACCGTGTATCGGTATGAACGGTTTTCTTTTTGTGAACATTGACGGCCATGCTGTGGTGGAGCAGTGATATGTACGGCTGTTTATAATGGTCCTTACTTATTCCTCCCTCTTGATAACCCAATGGTATCAACTAAGCGTATTGAAATTAGCAAGACGGCCTTAATTAACTCTATTTCTGGATATTGATGACAACTTGCTGATTCCATCAGCTCCATGGCCATGGCCGATGTGCCGAGCCCGTGACGCTTCTAGTATTCCGACCCATATAGAACATAGTACATAGATACCATCTTACATTCATATCAAGCGCCGCCCTGCCTGGTGCACCTCTCGCAAAGCGCTCTCACAATCAGTGCAATACCGCTTGATCCGCTCTTCTGCGTCGCCCGTTTCTCGATTTACGGCACCTTTCCGATCTGTGGACTGACCAAGTAGACCGCCAATCCGGCTGCAGGAACCTACTTCTTCTGCCAGCCAGGTCTCGAACTCTGCAGCTAGAACTTCTTGCTCGATGCGGTTGACCACGCGCAATGCCACAAGGACGTCATGACGGCGGATGCTAAGGGATTGTCGGTAACGGCGGAGGCGTTCTTGTGTATGTCTCGAGGACATGGTTGGGAAGTGGGAGACAGCGTCATCCGTGTCCTTGAGCAATGAAGCGAAGGTAAGGTGGCTATTTTTATGGCAGTCAGTAGTCAAGTCAAGGCCCAGCATCATCAAAGCTGTCAGCTTACCATTTATTGTTCTCTGAACCGGGAATTGACGCAAAGAACGGGACGACGGAATCATTAAGATGAAGGAATGACTCTTCAACATCCCTGAGGTACACAGCACGCGACATTGTGCTAGTAGACACAACGCCCAGGCTTTTCATGAACTTAACCGCATTCCTGTCTTGCCACCAGAGCCAAGTGTCACGGCTGGTGTAAAAGAGGTTCGATCCGGCACTCAAAACTAGGAGCAGAACAAGGAGCCTATGGGCGGACACAACCTTACCCAAGCTGGCACCAAGGGTAAGGATCCAAGAACATACTCTCGAAATGATGCTGATAAGGATGTTACCAATAAGCTGTGCAATGAACGAGCCAGTTGTCTGGCGCCGGAGCTTGAATTTGCGAGGCCGATTCGGTGGCGGAATATCCTTCGCCTCCACTTGCACTGCCGTGCTTTGCGCCCCTATATGCCCGAAAATGCCCACAACCTTATGAGTGGATCTGTTATGTCCAAGCCTCGCTACCTGATCATTGACCACATCGAGCAGGTCTTGGGCTTCGAGCTCCAAATCTTGCAGGCCTTGTCGTTCGATCAATCTCTTTCCGAATCGGGGAGCCCGATGCCAGTCAACTTTGATGTGAATGGCAAGCCTGCACCTTGCCTTGTGAACATGCGTGATCACAATTTTACTCAACAGCATATAGCGGTCTGATGCGGGGAGATGCCAAGGCACTTTCCTATCGGCCACGCTATAGCAGAGATGATCGTTGAGTACCTCAATGACTTGAAAGTCGTTGATAACGATCGCACCTCCTGACCTTCCAGGCTGGGCGACCTCATATTCAAAATCGCGACGTTGTGTTCCGTGTTCGTTTGTCGTCCAGGGTCCTTGAACGACACGTTGCGCCCACCGTTCACGGTATAACATCTGAAAGACGGTGCTCTTATCGCCAAATAGGATGTGAAACAGACCCTTGGCGCTGATGTCAAACTCCTTCTCAGCTGCAAGTCCAGTCATGCCTTGGGGTACGAAGACAACAGGGTGTGACGGCAACTTGAACTTTGTCGCATTCTTGTTGAACTCTATGCCTTGGGTGGGAAAGAGGTTACCATCAATGCGAAGGCTAGCTTTGACGTCTCTTCCACCGTCTAACGGGTGGTGCATGCCTATGTCTTCCCAGTCTGCGTCGGGCGACTGGTCATTGTCACCTCCTTCATGCTTGATCAGCATCCTCACCACCTCGTCAGGGCTGTTCTCTTGTGTGGTGGCGTTGCGAACAAGGAAATTGAGCCTCCGCTCGAGCAATTTGAGTGGTTCAAGGAAAGTCTTAACAGTGAGCCGCGTTGCGCCATCTTTCCTCGCGTTGGGCTTGAAGTGTAGGAAGAGGAAGTCGCAGTCCTTACCAGGTGCAGCAGTCACTTCATCGATGGACGCAAGGCTTATACCTGTGATCAATACCATGCCCAAATGGTTGCTGTAGAAGTACATCTCTTTCGCAGTCACGTATACTCTTCCGGGGAATTCTTGCTGTTCGGTCGGATTCCACACAGCCCTGAGCACCATGACCAACTTCTCATCGCGTGGTACATTGGGAAACAGGATGCGGAACTGCGCGTCCTGCAGTCGGAGAGTTGCCGGATAATAACTAGGGAAATCATCTGTGACCGCAGCGGGTCGTTGGGCGGGCGTTGTACCACCTAGACTCATACTCTTCCGATGGGCTACAGTCGCTGATGTCGTGCTTCCTGCTGACGGGGTTTGGGAAGACATCTCCCCTGATTTATCTAGGGGCTCAAGTCCTGGCGAACGTCCAACGGGACTGGGTGGTTGAGACGCGCTCCGGTCGCGGGGTGGGGTGACTTCTCCACGCTCAAGACGATTCAAATAGCCCCAGTTGACCGAGCCCCACAGGTTTGCCATAAGACCTCCAGGCATATTACTTGACTTGCCAAGTCCAATGCCTCGTTCTGCACTAACGGCGACTGCAGCCTTGCTAAGGTTCGTTGCAGCAGGGGGATTTGCCAGAGTGGACGGCGCAAGGCTGCTTACGGGCAACGTCTGCCCTACCACCAGGCGTGTATCTGGTAAGCCTTGTGCGGGTGCAGTGATTTGCCCAACTTGGACGATGTTGTGACTGGCGGAGGCTAAACTCGCGGAGATGAGGCTAGCGATGCCGCCAGTCGTGGAAGAAGGGTTGTTGGAACTCAACTGAGGGCCCAAAGTTGCTTTGCGGGTCAGGTCGAGCTTCTCCATAATTCGTGCAGCATGGTCGCGCCGGCTTCCCTCGCCCTCTCTGTCGTTCGCGGTACCGCGCCTTGTTATATCGAAGCTTCCTCGCACGTGACCCTCACCGCCGGGAATAGCAAGGGAGTCTCCACGCTCAGACGCACCCAGGTCGTCGCTGAGTTGAGATGCATGTCCTTCTGAGGTCTTCGCTGCAAACTCAGGGGCTACTGGGGTGCTGATGGAAAATGCGGCATCCACGTTCCCTTCTTTCGACGTGTCCTCCAATGCTTTCCGCTTGGCCACTTCGAAGGATGATATCCAATCCGTAAGCTCGGCCTGGGTCTCGGCCTGTAGAAGGACAGTCGTATCTTTTGTCTTCACTTCGAAGCAAAACCGGCGTTCCTCCTGAAAGGCCGGCCGAATTCCGCAAAGCAGGACACCGACCTTCTCGGATTCTTCCACCGCTCCGGACCGCGAGCCCTGCGCGAGCCAACCGAAAACACCATTCTTGACGAAAAACCACCTCCTAACCCAGTATGTCCGCGCAGGCTTTCCGGTTATGGTTCTCTGAAATAACCAACCTTGCTTCTCTGCTTTTTCATTTGCGGGATCCGGTTTGGCTGGTGAGTGCAGGTTGGCCGCTTGTGGCCCTTGTTTCCCCAAGTACGGCACGGTGGAGGCGGCATAGTCGTCCAGATCTCTCGAAGGGCGGGCAGCTAGTTCAGCCGCATTCTCCACTTGTTGCCTGGCCAAATGCAGCTCCCTCTTGAACACCCTTTCACCATTCTCCATCTCTTTGCTCCATCCGCGCACCCGCTCTATATCTGCGTTCCATGTAGCAAACGATTTGTTCGATGATTCCCTGGCAGACTTCATATCGCGCCACTGCTCATTGATAACCTTGACCAGCAGCTTATCAAGATTGGCCCGCACCTGAGGCGCCAGGACGCAAAAGTCCATGCTTGCTTTCAGGTATGCGCGGCGCGCCTCATGAAGTTGGAACGCATCTTCCCGCAGCGAAGAGGGCTCTTTGGTCTTCGCCTGGCCGGCGTATCGCGCAATCAAGCCATCGAAGGTGCGTTGTGTGGCGTCCAACGACTTACGTGCCTCTTTGAGCATGCGCAAATCACTTTGTACGAACGCCTTTATGGGTTCACATACAGCGCTCTCTCCCCTCTTCATCGCCCTGAGCGTGCCATTCCAGAAGTCCCGAGCTCCTTCTCCAAAGCGCTTTAGAGCCAAGACTGTGTAATCGTGGTCGAGTACAGCTTCCGAAATCTGCAAAGGGGGATGTGCCGCTTGTATGTAGTTGTCAACAAGAGTTTGGAGGGCGTTCATCTCTGTAGCGAGCTTCGAAACCGCTTTGACGTACGTGTCGAGCCATCGTTCCACGAGATCGATCTGTTCGCTAAAATGGACGGCGGTAGCACGGAACGTAGGTGAATCAAGGGCGGCCTCTTTGATAACCACGGGACTGTTTGTCTGTAAGTATCCGGTACCCGAAAGCTAGCAAACAGTGTGTGCGACGCCTACATTAACGCCAAAGGCTTTGCTACGGGCTCCAACACGGGCGGCTGGATCGCGGCGCCATTGCCCGCCATGTCGGTGCCCTCGGCCGTAGGGTCAGAAGGGTTGGAAAAGGAAAATCCGCAGACGAGGCATCGAACAGAGAGGTCTATGCAGTATGGAATGAGAGAGAGGTGCAATCTGTGGAAGCTACCTCGACGCGTCTACATCCAAGTCAAGCACCCCACGTGCAGTGGAGGTCCATGATGTCTCCGAAGGTTAAATTACTGTTCTACCGGAAGCCCATTGGCCAGCTCTCAATTACGTCAGCTGCCGCTGCTCCCCACTGTAATACCGGAATCAGACCGCCCGGCAGAACCACGCTTGGCACCCAAAATTTATTGTAGTCGCAAAACCATCGACCTCTTACTTCCATTCACGGTTACTTTTGCATAAATATGACGAAAGACAAGGAAAAAAGGGAGCTGAAGCGGACGAAACATAGCTTGGGGGATGACAACGCCCCTCTCAATGCTGCGGACGAGCGACCCACGAAAAAAGCAAGGCTACTCGACGACAGCGACGGCGACGGCGACGATAACGGCGACATTGCGTTGAAGGTTAACGAAGAGTATGCGCGGCGCTTCGAACATAACAAAAAACGCGCGGAAAGACATAGACGTAGGTTCAGAGCCCTCTCTTGAGACTTTAACTGGATCGCTGACTGCGGTAGTCGAGGAAAAATACGGCAAGAATGCGGATCAGGACGACGATGAGTCCGAAGAAGATTCTGAGGAGGATGTGACTGAAGATGACGAGGGTGAACTTCTTACAGAAGCCCTAGACGCTGAGATTGCTGCTACTCTGCGCGCGATTCGCGCCAAGGATCCTCGCATATACGACAAAAATGCTAAATTCTATACGGGAATCGACGAGGATACTGAAGGGGATGGCTCAGGGGCACAGAAGGAGAAGCCGATGACTCTGAAAGACTACCATACGAAAAACTTGCTCGAGGGAAAATTCAACCCTGAGGAGGAGGAGGATGCGGCGCCCGTCAAGACCCATCAACAGGAGTTAGAAGAGGCCAAACAGGAAGCTTTGGACGCGATAAAGGCAGCCGCAGGCTCGGACGATGAGGACGACGACGACTTCCTCGTCGCCAAGTCCAAGCCGGCCCCTAAGGAACGCCCCACGATCACCGAAGAGGACGTCGAGAATGCGGATAAAGATCCCGAAACATTTCTCTCCAACTATATGGCTGCGCGCGCGTGGATACCGACCGACAAGTCGCAGTGGAAACCGCTTGAGTCTGACGACGATGAGTTCGACGCAGAGGCGGAAGAGTTTGAGAATGCATACAACCACTACTTTGAAGATTACGAAGGCCAGAACGAGAAGCTTGTCACATATGCCCGTGACGCGGTAGCCAGTACGACTGTGCGTCGAGAAGAGAAGAGTGCACGCCGTAAGGCGAGAGAAGCAGCGCGAGCGAAGCGTGAAGCCGAGAAGAGGGAAAGGGAAGAGGAGCGTGCTCGACTACGCAAACTCAGGGTAGAAGAAATGGAAGAGAAGGTCAAACAGATACGAAAGCTCGGTGGCTTCAGTGCACGGGACTTCAAAGTGGAAGACTGGGCCGATGTTCTTGAGGCCGACTGGTCAGACAACCAGTGGGATGCGGAGATGCGGAAGCGCTTTGGCGATGCATATTATGAGGGCGAAGAAGAGGATGATTCAGATGCCGAGGGCGCAGACAAGGGCAAGAAGAAGAAAAAGAAACCGAAGAAGCCGAAATTTGACGATGACATCGACATCAAGGATATCGTACCTGATTTTGACGATGAGGAAGCGGTTGCACCAGACCTCTTGTCCGACAATGAAGACGTAGATATGGCTGACGGTGACCTTGACGAGGACGACGCGAAACCTCGCTCCAAGAGCTACAAGCAGCAGAAGCAGGAGCGCGCCGACGCGAAGAGTGCGGCTCGTCGTGATCGCCGCCTGATCGAAAAATTGGTCGACTCCAACCTGGAGGTTGAAGCTGCCCTGGTCTCAAAGAAGGGATCTGCTGGATTTCGCTACCGTGAGACCTCCCCGACTACCTTCGGCCTTACTCCACGGGACATCCTACTCGCTACCGATGCTCAGCTCAACGAATTTGCTGGCCTCAAGAAATTGGCAACATTCAGAGATCCTGCCAAGAAGAAGAAGGATAAGAAGCATCTCAGCAAGAAAGCCAGAATACGACAGTGGCGCAAGGATACGTTTGGTGACGAGGACGGACCAAAGGGCGGCTTTGAGCTTCTGTTGGGAGACGAAGCTGCTCCTGTCAGCGGCCCAAGGAACAGCAAAGAGAAAAAGGTCGCTGTTGAGGCGTGTGCTCTTGATATCCGGGAAGACGATGGAGATGGCAAGAGGAAGAAGAAGAGGAGCAGAAAGCGGAAGAGCTCTGCGGTTGACGCTTGATTGTTTGATAGGTAGAGGTCAACGTGTTATCGGTTATAGCCGCACGCACTGACATCTAGTTCTGGTATTTGTGCCTGTGCATCGCCGCATGCAGTAGATTTGGGTCATGGGAATGCAGTATGAAGTGACAAAACGCAAATATGGAAGACAGGCATACGCCTATTCGTCCCACCGAGCAAATCTGTGCAATTTCTCTGCAGTCTAGATTACCCAGCCAGAGCAGCTCTATTGATTACAGCTGAGTAGGCCATCAGTGGAGGTTTATTTCATGGTTTATGATATCTGTACAGGGGCGTTGCAAAGCTAAATAGCAAGGTCTGCCATATAGCTATATCGCTTCTGCGTTCTGTTGTTTACTCTTATCATCTTCAAAACACACCCAGCTCCCTGGTTTCTCCAGTTCTGAAATACGCTTTGTTCCCCGCTGCAGTCTCGATTCAGATACGTATGTTCTTTTGAAATAGACTGACATATCAACTGTGTGCACTGCAGCGTCCTACCTAGCTCGGAGAATTCTTCGCTCTATCACTAAGCTCGATCTTCCACTGGACATCACTGTACAAGTTACCAGTATACAGTCCCTTATAGCTGCCTCTTTACATGATAGTATGATGCGATACTAGTTATGAAATATGATAAGCCACACCCTTTGCCGCCATGGCGCAAGTCAACGTTCCCGTTCCATTCCGAGAGCGTCTCTTGATTTTCAAGAGGCTTAAGCAGGGTGCGCATTGCCCACACTGAGCTTCGTTCCACATTGCGGTTCCACATTGCGGTTCACTAGCGCATGTGTTCTTCTCAAACCGTTAGAAGTCTCAAGCTAGTGTAGGTACCTTCAATGATCTTAGACACACGTAGTTCGAGTCAATCACCCTAGGGTACCTAAAAGAAACGTTTTGCAGTGGAGAAGTTGAGATGACCTTTCGATGCAGTTATTTTCAACTCGCGCACTACTTTAAAATGCTGGCGAGCTTTATGCTTATCAAAGAGACGCGGAGAATCTGGTCGGATAAGTTGGTTGCTACACAAGTGGAGTTGCTTCCGCTTGTTTCCTTAGGTGAAGCCACGGATATGTCGATGGCGATATGGTTACCTAGGTACCCTCAGGATGACATCTACGTTAAATGACAAGCACGAGAAACTGTCCATGGATATCAGATCGGTCGCATATCCAACTGCCGTGAATAAAGTCCGAACTTTTTCCTCACGCCATCTCTTCGGGCAGTTGACGTCGCTAGATATATGAAACTGGCCTGCTCCCAGAACTCCTGGGTGAGAAAAACTGTCCGTGAACTCGTCGCATCAGCATGGACAATGCCGCCCTTTATGTTTTCAAAGAGTATTCTTTATGCCAGCATCAGCTGATAATGATCCGATGATTTTGCTGTAAACGTGTTGTTAAGGTACTCACGTTCCAAGGCGCGACATATGTTGTTTCAGATGGCCGCGAATGCTCGACCCATCAAAGTCCGATTTCAGCCATGTTGAAACAAGGTCGTTTCGCATCGTAAAACAACGTCCGCGGAGCAAAGGGTACTCTAAAAATTGGTCGCACCCTTTGAGTTGCTTGCAGTGCGTGGTACTCAGTCCCTCCTATCGCCAGCGTTGATCGCTGTACTTCGCCTCGTTTTGTCTATTCTTTTCATCCTACATAGGCTTTAATACTCTGTTCGGCTGGATCCGCCCTACGAACCTTTTCCTGGACTGCACCACTATTTTTCGACGACGATCTGCACCCTCCTCTAACTTCTACGAAATATCTCTGTAACAATCTTCAACATGTCCACCCTGGTAACATCGATAATACCAGCTGCAACTACAGCACAGACTGTTTCCGCAACTGCACAAGCATTTCGCAACGCGAATGGCTCACCTATCGTCAATCTCACGGTCGGCAACTATATCACTATTGTTGCCGTAATTCTGTTTGGTGTCGGGCTTGGGCTATTTATTTGGTGGTACTGCGGGAAGAAAAGAGTGGACGCAAGAAACAAAGCGAAAGGTGTGGCATGAAGACGAGCAAACGGCCTGAGCGAACACCCACCCTACGATCCGGAGGAAGGACATAGTCGCTCGGAGAAGATAGCCCGAAGAATGTCAAGTGGTATAAGAATCATGTCCGAAGCATGACGGCGAAGAGGGGCAAGGGGCGATGAGAGGACTCCCGAATTTAGACTTCCAGAAAGCCGGGGAACCATACCGAAGATATGAACTTTACTCCGACTCGATGAGAGCTTTGGACTACTTTAATAACAGTCTCTAGCCACGATATCGCATCAGCTGTCAATGTTTTGGGCGACTTGTCAAGAAATACGAAAGGACGCCATATGACGTTCCAGTTCAACGAGATCGTTTGTTGGAAAGGCAGTACAAAGATTAGCACAGTGGTTATTACGGCAAAAGATCTTGAAATACGCGAAAGGATTTGGTTGCTGACACGTCTACATCATATGTCGTCGGGTTGTCCAATGTATATATGAGTTGCATAGGCAGTAAGCCTCCTCACCTCGTGCGATCCCTGCCGGCCAGAATGAGACGAGGCAAAAATTCAAGATGAAGCTATCTTCATCTAGCGTGTGGCAATATACCACAGAGGACGCGTCCGTAACAGCTGTCAGGCTTTTTATCGTCAGTGCTTCCACCCGTCTGCAGATTTCAAAATTGAATCAGGGATAAAACCTTCAAAGTGCTAGCAAACAATCATACTCATCATGAGCACTATCACTGAACTTCTGTTTATCAAGTAATACCTTGAACTCTTTGAGAAATCGAGCTTCTCGTTATCTGGCGCTGTTTCGGAAGAGCAGGAAGAATACTCTAAGCGCCCATGGAAAACGTCAGGAAGGCGGTTGTTGATATGCTTTCTTCCCTTGCTCTGTTTGACGTCTTCTGTAAGACAGACTGCCCTCATATCGCATCGAGTTCCTCTTGACATTTTTCCACTTTGCATTCTCCTGCGCATATTTGATCGACATTCAAAATCCAGTTGTCACTAGCGTCGTCATCGCTCACAACTGTGTGCTGATAATGAGTCAAAACAGAGTAGGAAACATCGTAGATTCGTCGCATATTTCTTAAACCCCATTATTTGGTTCCACAATCCTTTGGGTTCTTTCAAAGTTGTGTGTCTCTGCTCTTAGGGCGCGACTGCAACGAAAAGAATAGGAGGAGGGAGGGTATATGGTATTCTTCTTCCAGTCCGTTCCATCCCAAATCTGCGAACCATGGATATGATGATGATGTGCATCGCTATGATAGCAAGTAACTAGCGTGCGTCAGAGTTCTAGAGAAATTGAAAGACATCGTACAAGTACCATCCGCTCTCTGCCTACACTCGGTTTCTTGCAGCCATAATCGTTGCGGTTCGTTCTAGGTTTCTTAATTTCGACCTCCCGCAGTGCGCAGCTCTGAGGCAGGTAAGATTTCCTAGAATTAGTAGGGCGAAGCGATTAGGCTTATATAATTCTTGAGCTAGCTAGAACGCGCCTATCGTAAGCTAGATACTGTGTAGCTGTTCTCCGATTATCTTTGACGCTTGGATAGAAGCTCCCAGGGTTTGAGAATCCTATGTACCCTGTAGGGTACCCAGGGATGCTAATACGCACCAACAATACCAGTACTCTTATCAGTGTCCCAATGTCGTATAGAAAATTGAGGGGATTGAGATACCCGCTGAGAGTCACTGTCTCTGAACTCTGGAAAACATAATCGTCGAGGTCCTCCTTTTTTAAGTCGTCAATACGCCCACTGCAAAACAGTAAGGGATAAAAGAAGAATGCAGGAGAAGGGAGGGAAATATATACCTTCCCAACCTCCAGCCTAAGCTGTTCTTACATTGTTTGCAGTCCCTTGAGTGTTCTCCGAGAAAACAGGAATATCCAGAATCATGTAATACCTATCACCATCACCATTCGCAATCATTCACCCGCGACCCTACAGGAAAACTAAAAGGGTTCGTACAGTTAACATCATATTTTTGCTCCTCTGGAATTTGGGAACCATCTCATCGTCGGTACTGCATTTTAGTACCCGTTTTCGCACTCCGTAGTTGTAGGAAAGAAGAGAGATTGGAGGTTGAAAAGCTGAGGGCTTTATATACCTCAAGGGATTGCGCGCTAAGCATTTTCGAAAAGGTCGCACTATGTTTTATTGTCATCTCGATTTGCCCGATCTTATGTGAATTATCAAATTAGGGATGGTGATACCTATCATCATCAATAAACTATCGGCCAAAGGCTTAACAGAGAAATCGAAGGATATCATCACCCTTCGGATCCATGGTCTTTCATTTCGGCATTTTAGTTTTAAGTACCTACCGCGCGGTAGTTAGGGAAAGGGGCGAAAGACACGACAAGGAGCTTTTTATACTTCTTAGGCGCCATGAGTAGTGTTCAATTCCAAAATTGGGATCTCAGGCTCATGGACTTACTCTACTCCAGATTGCGGAATCGCGATACCCATAAACATGAATAGTAGTACACATCACTATCACTACCATAGATTGGAGATGTTCGGCTGCTAAAGCAGTCCAAGGTTCGTGAGTATGTCTATGCTTCGCATCCAGTGGCGCAGACAGCAGTCATTCTATGGTGGCCTTGATTTGTATTTTACATGCAGCTTTTTGCGCAAAAAGATGGCGAGGAGAAAGAAGAGAGCACGGAGACAGAGATGCGAGGATGTTTATATACCCTACGCCACCTTGGTTGGAGGACGAACTGCTCCGTTGCTTTAGTACTCTAGGGTAATTGCACATGTGTGTACTTCAGTCATCGATCAAAAGCTTACATGAATCGATCCTTTGAATTGCAGAGCTGGCCCTAGGGTAGTACCGCTTCTCATCATAACCATCATCACCATCACCACTACCCAAACTCCAGGCCTCCACATATGTTACAAATATGAGAGAGGTTCGTATACACACTGGCACCACTCCGCCGCCGAGCATCATCATCGTCGAATAAGATTTTGATATTCGAATGCAAGTCCGTAACAATTGTATAGAGAAGGGACAAGAACGAAGGAGATCCAAGAGATTTATATACCTGCTCAGCCGCACCGCCAGGCCTTCTCGAAGAAACCTCCATATTTCTCATGTTCTTTGGACATCCTCAGTGCTATCCAATCTGGCACTGTCATTTGGATGGTGATGAAGACGAGGAGCATCCTCAGAATCACCACCATCACCACATGCTACAACTAACACTTGGTACGACATTTGGCACGATAAACCACATCATGCTGGAATAATCCGAATCCGCCAAGGGTGACCGCTCCAACACATCGTTAGGATATGCATCATTTTCTCTTCAGACAGCAACCACAATTTCCATACTTAAAGAAGAAGAAGGACTCGTGACAGACAAGAAGTGCCCTTTATATCCTTCGGCCACGAGAGCTGATCCACCTCTACTAGGGTACTTTGCGACAACTTCCCAGTCTCCAAAGGTCTACCTACGACCGCACAAGCCCATCCCATCCCCAAAACTTGAAATAACGAAGTGCGACCACACATGTAAACACCACTCGACCCGTACCGACAAAACATTCCGGTGATATTATTGACCCCGCTTATGATAATCGTAGAAAGTGATTAATGAAACACATGGAACTAATAACTCACTATAGCCCTTCATCCCCACCACTACACTGTGAAAAATTGCATATGTTAGCATAATGCTCATCACCATGATATAACCATCAGCAGGTGTATCTACCACTTATAGTCGGGGTGTTAATATAGGGACACACGCACGTACGCGCACGCTCCCTCTCACATGTATCTTTCTCTCGTTGATTTCTGGTGAATTCCAGGCCAGGCGTGCCCACGCCTATTTCCTAATACCAGAAGAAGAGAAGTGATCGGAGAGGGGAAGGTAGAGGATTATATACCGTATGCTCGTCTCGTCTTCCCTGTCGATAGTGGGACGGGGAGTCTTTGAGATTGAGGTTGCTGCCATGCATGTTTTCTCATATCATTTTCGGGAATTATGTATTACTCGTTAAATTCAGATATCCATGAGCCTAGTAAAATATGTCTTGAACGAGGAAGTCAGGAGATTGAAAATGCACATCTCCATCATCATCACCAATCCCCCCATCAAACCACTAGCACAACAAACACGCTCTAGGGTACCCAACACATACCCCAATCCACCATTTTCGAAAAACTCCCCGCCTCCTCGCCAACAACTCCAAACACATAACTGGGTGGTATCGCGTTTTTGACGCCCACAACCCCACATCCAATTTTCCAGTACAGATAGAGAAGAAGAGAGACCAGGAGCGAGAGGAGGATATATATACCCTTTACCTGGCGCTTAGGCCCACTGGTGATGGCGACACATGTCAGTCCTAGCAATTCCCATGACCATTTGCGTGTCCCTTCGATGTCAGTGTTAGGCTGCTCAGCAGCCAATGATAATCACCACCATCCACCACCTACGCTCAGAATTAAGAAGATGCTTCGAAAACCCACTCCCCCATCACTCCACGCTCTGTCCGTGACATGACAACCTCCCTCCCTCACTCACGTGGGCGTGAGTAAATGTCGAAGAGCCTGCGAATCAGCCACGGTAATTGCAAAACCACCCTACATTGCACCTCTCCCGTAAACTCGAACAGAAGAACATAACTGTGTGATCATCCTTTTCATTGCATCGATAATCAGCGGCCTAGACTAGCTACACCGAAATAGCACCACTTTCATCTCCGGCAGAAAGGTATCACTGTCCCAAATTGTTGTGACGAATACAGCCCCATCCACCGGTCCATTTCGCTCATCAAGTTCCGTCGCCGAAGAGGGTTGAAGGTCATGACATTGCATTGTGCCAAGACCCCAAGGTTTGCGCCAGTCTGGAAAGATTGAATCCCGACCCCGATGTCTCCATCGCCTACTGGTCATCAAAGTCATCCGGTTGATCGAAGAGGAAATTCGCAGCCAACTCCTCGTTCTTGTCACATGCGAAGTAGGCCTGGATGGCAGCGTCGCGTGAGAAGCCAAGGTTGCATAACTGGAATCGTCAGCAAATACATGAATACTCTGCATCGACGTAGACTTACACGTTGGATGGCGGCATTCTCCTCCTCCGTGACACTGACTACCTGTGCACCCGGAGGCAGCGCCACATCCTCGTCACCGTCCTCGATGAGCAAACGGAGAAAGTCCCCCTGATTCTCGTTGATCAAGCGAGCCAGCTGCGGGTTGCCTGCGGCGACCTGTTGCAAGATGGGCTGGAGCATCTGGGGCTGCTGCTGTACAATCCGTCGAAGCTGCTGGAATTGAGGGTTTGCCGCCAATGCAGCCAGATGCTCCCGGCTGGCTGCGGCTGCTGCACCTCCTTCTTCACCGCCACCGGCAGCGCCGCGATTCTGGCCAGCTTGTGCAGCTGCCTGGAAGAGATTTATCGGCTCGTCCCCTTCACCGGTAGTCGCAGCGGGAGCCGTACCGCTGGCACCCGTATTACCACCGGCGGCCGGGGTTGCGGAAGCAGCTCCTTGACCTTGGGCCTGCTGGGGTTGTTGTTGATCGCGGAGGGCGCTCTCAGGAATGCCCTTATCTCTAGGTTAGCAAATGTTATCAGTACATGTAAGGAACGTCGACGCACATTCAGGAGATACTCCACGGCACGGTCGGGGTTGAAGAATGCTGCGCGCATCGCCCGGTCAATGTCTGCCCTGGCGAAACCCATGCTCTCCATATTGGCAATGGCTGCATCACGTTCGCTCCCCATGGTCAGCGCCGAAGGGTCGTTGAAGCGCGACGACTCCGAGGAGACTTGTGGGGCGGGAGAGGGCGTAGACGGAGCATTCTGAGCGGCGGTCGTCGATTGTACAGGTGCAGCAGGGGCTGCGGGTGTCTGAGCGGCGGCGGGAGCAGGAGTCGAAGGAGCAGGCTGGCTCGATGAAGCGGCAGCGGGTTTGGGCTGTTGTGTATTAGCGACTGCGCACGCGCACACGGGATTCGAGGCCGTGTACCTTCTTGGTCATGCAAACAATGAAACCCTTTTCTTCGATCTTGTATGACTCAACCGTGCCAGCATCTTGGAGGATCTTGCCTGGAAGGAGAGAGTTAGCAGCTGCAACAAGACCCTCTCGGCCAGGAGGACGTCATGCAGCAACATACCAGAGTAGATCAACTTCAGCTCTTCTGACTCCCATCCTTTCTCAGCCCTGATCTTTGCCTTGACGTCGCCAATCTGGGAGGTGTCAGCTACATGGTGAAGTCCCCAACTGTGTGGCGGAACTGCGCACCGTTTCAGATGGCTCGGCGTCAATGACGAACTTGTTCTGTTTGAGATCCTGCGCAAGTCAGTACTTGAGCCGTTCCCAAAGCTGATGAAAACTACCTTGAATGTGATTTTCATCTTGTCGGACGATGAGGTAAGGGTGTGTCGAGCTTGGGAGGGGTGATGGTGGGCGGGAGAGAGGTGGGGAGGCGGTCGCAGGGTATTTGTGCCCTGGCTAAGCGGGTTGATTGGGGAGGAGCGTTAGAGGGTAGTTCCAAAGCAGTGCAGCAACTGTAGCGTTTGCTGTGGCGGTTTGCCGTCGACTGAATGATGGGGAGGTGTTGATGTGGTAGTGTCGGTAAGCTGCGCGAAGGCAGAACCAGGTCCCGCACCTCATCAAGCTTCCCTCACTCTAGTAGGCGGCGGGACTCGGATACGGCGCAACAATTTTCCGTAAGTGGCGGTGGCTGGTAAAAAGTGTGGCTCAATTTTCTAGTGGAGGGTGCGTCACCTCACCGGAAGATCTACACGAATTCACTTCCCTTTTCCGTCCTGGACCCCCTCGGTCGTTTCACCGAATCTTATTGCTCCACCATTTTTATTGACCAAGCCATCGTTTCGTTTTTCGAACTACGTTTCTTTCAGCTGCAACAAGTTGGCGAATGCCGGACTCAACCTTGGAAGCAACCAGCCCGCATCGGGCGTGCACGCGTGCACCATGATGCCTGCCTTCTGTTCAGCCAACCGGTTCGTACCACAAACACGACTGCTGTGCTCCGGAGACGCTCGTGTTCTCGAGTCGCAATCTTCGATATCTGCGGTGGCCATGCAGAGCACAGCAGAATCTGGGTGAAACGACGCCCATTCACTCCTGGCCCTCACAATGCGACTCTATGGCAGTAGTGCCGGTGTCTGGAGAGGCGAGGAGAGACCTGTCTTGCGCATCTATCTCGGTGTTGAGGTTTGGGCAAAACAAAGGCTCGAGAGCCCAAACAAGGCAAAACAACGCGTGGGAAATGAGGGCTTGGCCGCGACACGGCCGTCCATAATCAATCTCAACAAGCTTCCCTAGGTACCGAGTAGAGACCTGCGCACATCCCAGCTCCGGATCCGGCTCCCGCGCGCATCAGGGCATGGGGAATCCGTGAAACGGCGGCTGCGGGGACACGCCTACGGGAGGCCGTTGCGGACGGTATTGGCCAGCCTCTAGTGTTCCATTTCTCCTCGCCCTTCGTTTTCGTTCCATCGCTTTACCACTCTGCCACTGCCGAATCAAAGTTCCATGGTCGTGTCTCTGCCCATCTGCTGTGCTCAACGGTCAACGAGACAGCTCCATGTCTTGCTGGAGCTGTTTCCGAACCGCCCAGCTGAGCATGGAAAGGCGTGCAGCCATGGTGGTGCAAATGCAGCTTGCACGCCCCGAGATGCCTGGGATGAAAGCCTGGTATCCTGGTATGTATCCTGGTAACTTGGTCGCGCTCCACCATGGATGGAGCATGTTGACGCGTGCTGCAAGGTCAGGACTCATAGAACCCACATCACAAAGGTTAATGAATAATAATGGCCCAGCTCTCTTCGTGTGAGGTCTCTGCTAAATTTAATAAGCTTTTCGCCGGTCTCACTCCCTCTCCGGTCCTTCTTCTGTCTCTCTTTGCCCTCCGTCGCTCGCTGCTACATATTACCTATACAATCGCTTCCGGATCTCAATTGCATGGTTTATCTACCGCCAATCTCGCCCGCCTGAAACAAATCTTCAACATACTTCATCCGAATCTACGATTCTGTCACCGCCAAACTCCTTTGCCACGTGAATTTACCGTTGCTCGCCTGCGCGGATCCCTCGACCAAGCCAAGTTATAGCATATCGACATAATATACTATCGGCGTTGTCAATTCATCTCGTACCTCACGCCTTCGGTCCTGGGCGTGTCGTTGGCACCGCATTCTGGTCTTCAGCAAGCATTTATACGTCCTTCCCTTCGGACCGCGCTACTCTCCCCCGGCTCCGGGGACCTCCTCCTTTTATGGCTCTACCACTGTCCCTATAGGATCACGTCTCGTTTGGGGTGGTGTTACCTTCGTTTTTCAACTTGGAGAACTTGGAGACATAATCCCTCACTCTGGAATCCGATTGGTCCGTCTGACTCTGTACGCGCCGCTGCCCTTCTCATACCTCGACTTACAGCGAGGGGTTCATCCTGCGAGGCCCGGTTGATTGTATCTCAAGAGGCTACAAGTTGACAGACGCGGACTTGTCACGTTTCTTGGACTGCATGATACCTCCCATCATTGCCAACATGTCCTCTTTTCGCGACATGCGTTTATCTCTCTTGGGTGGTGGAACCGCTCTCATTACCCTGACCCATACCATCCTGTCAATCATTGAAGCTTCTTCATTATCTACAGCGAGGGTCTCAGTGGCCACACTACCGGTGGCCGCAAGTGTTTTCAATTCCCTCTCATTCTGCTGCGTCCTTGTGTTCTCTATTCAGTATTCTTGGAGGCAGAACGCAGTGGTCCACGATTCGGTCGTAGTCAGACGACTGTTCACCGCTGTGTCGGTCTTCTTCTCTATTGTTGCATTGGTTCTGACGCTCGCTTCCTTCACGTTTATCAAAAGTCGACTGCAAGAAATCAGTGTGGCTACGTCGCGTTCGGCGATCAAACGTTGGGACGGTTATATCGTTGCTCAAATCGTCATATGGACCGCAACATGCGTGCTACACGGGTTCCTTTTTTCGACACCACTATGGCGGAACCGATCCGAAGAAGTCCTCCGAGCTATTCCTTATCCCCGCGACTCAATCATGTCCGAAGTTCGAAAATCGGAGCAGACTACGAGCATGCACAATTTCGAACCTACGCAACCTTCCTCTCCACTGGCGTCAATGCCTGCTTCGGGACAATCATCGCAATCTCTTAAGAATTGGAAGGGCTCGCTTCATGAGGTCGTACGACCAATGACGTCCCGCACAAAGCTCGTCAGCCGCTCCTCATACAGTCGGGACTCCCAAAGCATCTGCTCGGACTCCAACTCTATGGACAATATTTCCCACTCCGATGGCTTCGACTCATGGGACACAAGCAGCGTTTCTATTCAGGCACGGGAAGTGGTAGCTCAAACCGCACCCTCGAGGCGCACCGTTCTAGAACCGATTCCAGGGAGCCGACCGGCCTCTCCGGCTCAAGCACTCGACGGTCCTTTTCCTCTGGAGATGCATCTTGATGAAGATGGCATCCTTGCCCCACCTCCCAAACTATTACCGGATATTTCACGCCCCCCGAGCCCTGTGGTGAATGAAGGACATATCCACCCGTTGTTCCGCTCTGAGAGTCCTCATCCACCAGAAGTTCTGACCCCGGGAACGAGCATCGAGGCGTCTCCTCTTAGCACGCAGATGTTGGCAATGGCTTCCCGGCCATACAATCACATGCGGTCCCACAGTCAGACGGGTAGCCCCAGCATGCGGAACCAGAGCTTCCGGGGGCGGGCTGTGAGCGCTGAGAGATCACGGAGTTCATCGCCTCCTAGCCGAGAGATGACTCCACCAATTCCTGACTTTGTGCTGAACCCTTCCGCTAGGAGCAGCACGAGCAACTTTGCAAGTGGAAAGCGGAAGCATAGCACTGCGTCCAACTCCCCTCCTTGAACACGTTCTTTGTTATGTTTGGCTGCGATGTTTTGGCATGGTTACCGGGGATGTTAATGGGCTACGCATGTTGTTTTACGCGTCATGGTCCTGGAATGTTTTTTACCAGGAAAACTATTCGGGCTTCTCTTGTGTCCCTGCCTATACAGCGACGCAAACTTGCCCCTTTGGAGACGTACAAATCCGAGTCTTTCCTTTTCAGGCGCTTTGGGTGGGAGGTGTTGGGAATGAAATGCCGGGATCCATCTTATGAGTTCTCAGGTTGCTTGTTGGTTCCGGCGTTGCATACGCTTAAGGGGGCGTTGGGGTAATGCGCGCGGTCACACTACAGGCTACATGTGTGCGTCTTGATATTGGATATTGTTTATAGATTATCGAATACCGTCAACATGGATGAGATGCGTCAGATTCGTTGATTCGGTTCTGTGGAACATGTTACTACAGTATGGGTTTTGTCGTGCAAATAAATCGCACATGGTGTCTAGTGCAAGGTATTCCATAGATAGGGGGCATTACCTTTTTCTGCGATACATAAAGTTAGCCACAAGGTCAAGTCAACCGATTACCATCTTCCTGTTGTGCTTCCAGAGTTGTATCCAGCCGTATGTTAAAGCTACCCAGAGAGTCAAAGTTGCAAATCTCGATCCCGACGGGCCAAGTCTAGCTCGGTAAAGTCTTCTAGTCGTGCCCTAGGAGGAAAGCCGGGACAGTAGATGATGGGAGAATGCTCATCCATTCAAGTAAATACGAAGATCAAGTCGAAAGTATAGCCATTTCTAACTACCATCTATCTTGTGCGTAAGTCGTAAAATAATGCTTAGCTACCTGCAATGCCGTGACTACCAAACGAGGATGGCTGGTAGAGAGAGGAGTGCGAGGGAAGGGAATCCATGGAATCTGGGGGTAGAAGAATGTGAGTTTCTGCCACAAAAGACTCGAGCAGTTTGTAGGGCAAACCACCCTTTGGATTATGGTCGCAAAACTGTGAAGGCCCGGCCGAGTTCGTAGCACCGAACGCCGAACGGGGTACAGAATTTGGTTACCCGATTAGGAAATGCCAAGAGACGTCCTCCTAAGCGACTGTGATTGGTCGGCCAGGGAAAGCAGGGCGAGCGGGCATTCACAGTACATAGGTATACAGCGGACAATCGGGGAGAGCAACAGCTGCTCTACTCTCAATAGGCACACAATACAACCGCAGACTTTGTTACTTTTGTCACCGGCGACCACAATAAGATTGCTATTATTGTGCGCAGAGGGAAGAATAATAAGCGCTCCGCATCGTGGCAATCTGGAGCAGCTGGGCTTGGGAGTGCCCTGTCTCATGCCAAGCTCCACCGTCACCTAAAGCGACTATTGCACCCTCACCACCTACCATCGCCTTCCAAACAGTTGACTACCGTTGCCGCAAACCCTATATCGCTGCTCTCCTCTATTCCGACTTCCACTTCTCTTGTTGGCTCCCTCACGTGCCATCTTGCATCCATTGCATCCGCCGTGCCACCGTCAGCTTATTAGGGCAGAGCAACCATTTCGCTTTGCAGGGGTGCCAAACCCGTCCGTCTTCTTCCCTTCTACCCGTCTCTCGAGTTACGAACAACCAAACGCGCCGCAATCAAGACGTCGAGAGTGACCCGTGGGTGAATCATCCGCCTCGGGGCAATGACTCTTCCGCTGGTCGCTTTTTGAATTGCGCCGCCGCGCACGAGGACACTCCATTGTTGTTGGGTTACGGATACGCAGACCCGCTTCGCCTTCACCAAATCGCTCTTCACTTTTGAGGAGGCTGGAGGCTTCAGACTTGTACTTGCACCTCTCCAACTCCTTTTCCTCCATCACTTCTACACCTACTTTTCGACTTTGGAATTTCTGATTCCATCTGCACATCCTCCTTGGGCTGGCCACAGAGGCACGATCTAGACGAAGGCATTTGCCCTTCTGCGTCCTTCGCACAGATCAATTCTGGACCTCGAGTCAAATCACTTGTTTGCGAACACTTGTGAGTATCACGGCACATACGCGCATCTCGATCCTCTCTTCGCAGTCATTGCTGCTGTTTAACATTATACAAGAATTTGGAGCTGATGCAAGCGCTACATCTAGTGGACCACGACAATGCCGCCAAAGCGGAAGAACAGAGTAACAAAGCCCGCAAAGGCAGCGGCTACATCAAAGCTCCACTGTAAGTGATCTCGCATTACACTCCAGGGCTCTCTTCACGGCGAGGCTCGCACACGCTCCCTCCTCGTCTTTCTTCCTGCTTCATCTTCATATAAATCCGGCCAAAGCTAACCTTGGCGCTCCTAGCAACTCAAACTGCCAGCACCAACGGGGTTAGCGCGCTTAAGCGACGCAGGTCTAGTGTGCAGGCCGGCAAGCCCTCGACCTCGCGCCTGCAACCCTCTGAGCCGTTACATATGACTACCCGTGGTGCTGCACGGCAGGCTTCATCCCAAGCTACCAGTCCTGCCGCTGCTCCATCGCCGTCCACCGTGGGCGACGGCATCAACAGCCGTCGCAGCTCGTTGAATGGCATCTCAAATATTATTGCGAACGGCAACGATTCGGCCGACGAAGATGTAGTCGATACGCTCCAATCCAGGGATTCCGCATCGCGCCGCAACAGCCAGCAAATGGCTTCTTTTGTCTCGCAGGTCCCGGATGTCCAAGTCGACGAACAGGAGATTCCAATCGTTGACCCGCCCAAGACGGCTGGGAGAAAGAGAAAGGCGCCGAGCGCCGATTCGAACAACGCGACGGTCATCAACAAGGCTGCCACCACCGTCAATAATCTCCCGTCGCAAGTGGACTCGGACCAATCCGAAAAGCAGCCTCGCAGGAAGAAGCGCAAGACCACCAACACCCCTCCAGAGCCCGTCGATGCTCCTCCCGAATTGACCGACGACGCCTCTACTGGGCCTGCATCGCCAGAGGAACCCATTCCAGAAGTTGCGCCAAGCGATACTCTCCAGAATGTCTTGCCTGCGGGAGCCAGCGATGTTCCTGCCAAGCGCCGCCTCCCCGGTCGCAGACGCCAACCCCATGCGAACATCAATGTTGAAGTCAACTTGCGCCGCCAGCTGAATTTGAAAATGAGTTATCGCAAGCTGGCCAAGGAGCAGAAGGCAGTGCTTGAAGAGTTGGCGAAGCGAACTTTGCATAATTTGCATGAAGATCCCAACTTCCATAAGGAGGCGGCCGAGTATGAGCACGTGATGAGGCAGTTGGATGCGCGCCTGCAACAGAGGCTCAAGGAGATTAGAGACGAGCGACAGATTAAGCTCGATCAGCTTGAGCGCGTGCGTGTGGCACAGGAGCATATCCAGAGGGAACAGTTCATCGTGGGTATTCCCTTTCCATCCCATCATCGCACAATCCGCTAATATGATACAGAACCGCTTCAAGGAGTTTCAGCAAAACTACGTCCTGCAATGTAAATACCGCATGAAGCAAATCGAACGCCAGATGAGAGCTGAGCAAGGAGAGGCGACTGATGATGAGGTAAGTTGTTGGCTAACTGACAAGTCGATTGACAAGTCACTGACTCTTGGGCCGCGTCAGGAGCACGTCGTCGAAGCCACACATATGGCCTTCCCACTGCACGACGAGAACGACGTCTTAGGCTCTCGCTACGCCTCGCGCAGCAGAGCCTATGTTGAGACGGAGCGCATGCTTCGCGATGACGAACTTCGCGCTCGCCTTAACCAGCGGCGAATGTCGTTTGTAGCAGCGAACCCGGATATGGACGGCGAAGACATTCCCACTAGCTTTGGCAACTTCAGCGGACCGGAAAACGAAAGAGAAGAGGCGTTTGCGCATTATAATCTTGCTACTCTTGTTGAGGCCATGGAGGTCGATGGTGAGTCGCCTGCTCCGACACAGGGAGAAGTGGAACCTCTGAAGCCTGGCGTGGATGAGGAGCCTCGGAAAATTGCGTTCGTGGAGACCCCTCCGACGGTGATTCCAAATGATCAGGCGGCTGCTTTGTTTTTGCTTGCTTCCATTTCCGCGGAGAGGCCGCTTCAAGCTGAACAGCCGCATCAGCAGGAGCAGGAAGCAGCGCAGTCGGAACAAACACAAGAGCGCTTGACTCGCGAGTTAAGTCCTGTGCGGGCTATCACCCCTGGGAAGATTGATGCACCGACGAGCACCATTCCGGTTCTTCCGCAGAACGAGGAGCAGGCAAATGCTAAGGCAGATTTGGCACGCCAGCAGGAACAGAACGCGGATCTGAGTGTCGAACGAATTCCTGCGGGGCACCCTGAGGCAGCTGCACTTTCAGCAGAGCTCCCAACAGAACATCAAAACGGTGCTTCTGAGCGGCCAACTGAGCTTCCAACAGAGAAGTCAGCCACGACTGCAAATGATCTTCTAGCTTCGACTTCCCCACGTCGTCCAGGGACGTCCGAACTCCCAGTGAAGTCTACTAAAGAGTCTATCTCCACGCGCATCACCGAACTCCCAGCTGGTCTGTCATCGGTCAAGCAGGGCGTAAAGCGCCAACAAGATGAGGAATCTGCGGACTACATACCCCTTGATGTTGGATCTGACGACCAGGACGATGGCCTCGACAATGACGATTCGTCGGCTGGAACTGGTATCTCCCTTCAGCAGAGAGTGCGGTTTTCGGAGAATCCCCAGTCCTCGCGAGACACTGCCGATGACACTTCCGTAGTTTTGAACGCAGGGGAACCCATGGATCTGGATCAGGATAAAACCAATGGTGGATCGAGCAAGCAGAATGTAGCCGCTGTCCCAAGTAAAAGCCTCGACCGCATCGAGAAGGCCTGGGGTGAGAAGGCCATTGACGAACTTGTCAAGGGCAGAGTCGGTATCACACAAGCTGATCTGTCCAACAAGGAGATATTGGATTGTCTCGCACAGATCGCCACCAGCGAGGAGGTCACAGTCGGCGATTTCATTGAGGCGGCCATTTGGGATCAAGAGAAGAACGGTCCTTGGAGCCTCGGGCTGCGTGTCCCTCAGATCGAAGATATCAAGCGTGTGCAGCAACGTCTGAAAGAGACCGGTGAAAGCAAGAAGGCTGGCCTGCCACATACAGCCTCCGATGCTTCCACCACCAACAACGCCCAAACCCAGACTTCCAGGCCTGATGGGGAACAGACCACTGAAAAAAAACGCAGGAAATCTGGAGAGAAACCTGGTAAGCGCCCAGAGAATGAGCGGCATCTCTCAAGGAACCAGGAAAGAATCATGAGCACACCTGTAAACGGCTTGCAAGTGCTAGAGAAGCTGAGGGCGCTGGCAAGAGAGAAGGCTGAAGGAGGCGAAGCTGCGGAATGGAGGCCGAAAGACTCTCCCCCGTTGGCGGCAGACCGAGGCGAGCAGTGCGATCCTGCTGCTGAATCGTCCCAACACGAGATTGTCGACCTCATGTCTGACGTTTCTGAGCCTGCAGCACACCGATGCGAGGATGGCCATCCTGCTGCTGGATCCTCTGAACGCAAGATTGCCGACATCTTCTCCCATCCATATGAAGCTAGATCAGGCCATCACCGGGATCGCCTCTCTATGTCATCCATCGTCAACGATGACAGGCAACAGGACGAGCAAGTTCGCCGTCTCTCACTACCGATGCCTTACCAGGAGACTCCATCCGCGCGCGAAAGTATAAGCCGTCATGACCCGAGTTTGCCTCTCTCTAGAATGAGGGCGATGGTGAAGAATCTGCAAGACGGTGCGGATCGCCCTCGTGTTGCCTCCGTATCGGAAGGGCGGCGACTCCCTTGGGAGCGGGGATCTCTCGAGACTACGCAGGCGGCATCTTATCACACACCAGCGCCTGCGGCCAACACCAACCCATACGGGAGGGACGGCGATCCCAAGAGTTCGTCTTCCTGGGATCCCAGCAGGCGTATGAGCGAGTCCGCACCCTCCGCTCGTCCTTCTGTCGACCGCCCAGAACTTGGAGGCAGAACCGCAGCTCGCACCCCCCCAACAACTACAGCTACACCATCCTCCTCACGCCCACCAGCAGGGCTCCCGCATCCGCTCTCGTACCCAAATCCGCACCGCTCTCGAAACTCGGCGTCATCTTCTTCCTTGCCCGCAAAACCTGCTGCACCACCACCACCTCAACCTCCAGTAAACTTCCGCTTCGCCCATTACGAGCCTGCTCCCCCTCGTCCAGCGTCTTATCAAACCGGACCTCCGCCACCGCTACCTGGTTTCCACGGCAGCCATGGACGGCAGGCACATCAACTCCCACCTCCGCCACCACCGGTATACCACCAGTCGGCTGCCGCTCCCATCCCCCTCCCACACACTTTCATCGGCGTACAGCAACCTGCAGGAGGAAGCTCAGTAGGAGGCTACGTCCCGCCACCAGGAAGCTTCCAGGCGCCTCCTCCACCGCCACCGCTCCAACAGCAACAACCACCGCGCACAGCGAGTCCACCCGTCTACCCTCCGCTGCGCATAACGCAGTACCATGACCAGGCCCCACCGCCAACGGGGTATCCGCCCATGGGCCCGCCCCCACCGCAGGGATATGCGTATGCGACGTCCCCGCCTCAGGGGCATGCGAGTCCTGCTCCCATCTTGGGGCCTGCAGGTGCGGCGGGTGCTGGACCGCAGCCAGGGGTGCAGGGCCAGGGCCAGGGACAGCAGGGACAGCAAGGAGGACCCGGGGAGGCTAGACCGAGGAGGCAGTATCGTGCGTATCATGCGCCGGAGACGAAGTTTAGGCCGTACCAAGGGCCGGCGGGAGGACGGAGGTGATGGAGATTGAGATGGAGTTGGTATTGGGGGTGGAGTTGAGTGGGAGGAGAAAAAGGGGGTGGTTGGATAGGCAAGCTCTTGGATGGAGGAGATGATAGGTGCAGTGCTTCTTTGTATATTTGCTCCCTGTGCGCCTCCTTCCTTGAATGACGAGGTGCTTCGGGGGAGGACATTGTACACTTTGTACACTTTTGGCTTTTCTGTACGTCTACCGTGGCTGGATTCGGTTCGGTTATGAGGCTCGGACTATTTTTGCCATGCATGGAGAGGCGCTTGGTTGGGCGTCGCTTGTCTTTTGCATTGGGTACGTGGCTAGGATAGGAGAGTACTTGTTTTTTGCTCTTTTTCTTCGCCCTGTCTTTCTGGAGACGGGAATGAATTATCCGGGTTTTAGCTTCCAGGTTTGAGAATTGCGTGCAAACGACGTCGATATACATACAGTATGTCCTTGTGCTACTAAGTAATAGAAAGAGTCAACTTTCGACGTAGGAGAATGGGTGATGGGTGATGGGTGCTGTGACTTCTAGTAGAATGCGCCGTCCGTTTTCCGTCCAAAATTAAGTAATTTTGGTGGTAAATGACGCCCTTGCACTGTTTGTCCAGTAGAAGCACATGTACATACCGTATCCCTTTTTTCGGAGATATGCGATGAAGGGAAGAGCGCAGAGGAAACGGGAAGACGCAAGCAGTGCAGGTAGGTAGGTAAGGGATCGTTAGAAGTTCCTTTACATAATACAATCCCTACTACAACTGGGTAGAAATCCCGCATTAGAGGGAACACACGGCATACCCAGTTCTCCACCACGACTATCTTCCCAGCGTGATTCATAATGAGAGTTTTGAAAAATAAGGTCCATCATATATCTCTATGTGAACCGTGTAACGTGTAATATGTATCTACCCATAGACATAGACCATGATCTCAACCGCAATCCAAAGAAGGGACCGTCAGAGCACTTCATCCAGTCCCTTTCTCATCCCTCCCATCCCCTCCCCTCCCCTCCACCACAACCCCAACAACAACAACAACCACTCCCCTACCCAACCCTCCTCCTCACCCTCGGCGTAGGCGTCCAATCCCTCTTCCCACCCCCCGAAAACGCCTCTCCCCCAACCCTCGGCGTCCTCCCGCCAACCCGCTCCAACAGTCTCTGCGCCGCGGGCGTCAAATTCCCCAAATTCTTCCTCCCTCCAACCCCAACAGCAGGCGTACCCGCACCCGAACCCAAAACCTTCGCACCACCGGGCGTCGGCGCGGATAAAAAGCGAGGCGTCATCGCTCCGCCCATCCCACCTCCCCCAAGACCAGAGACTCCCGCGCTACCTGTATCCCGCCTCCCCTTAGCATTTATCTTCTCCACCATCTTCAGATGCAGCTTCTCCCTTCTATCCACCTCCTTGAAAGCAAACGTCCTGCCCCCTTCCGCTGCGCCCTTCCCACTAACCCCCAACCTCTCCAACAAATCCGTCGGCGCTGGCCCTGCTTCCTCAGGACTAGGACTAGGCGCCCTCGCTTCCACAAACGCATACCCATTCACCCTCGGCGTCTCACTCCCCTCATATCCCACCTCACTAGCGCTCAACCGCGGACGTCCGCGAATCGCATCCCTAGCCGCCGAGAACGTGGGACTCGACGGCCTCGCTGTCGGCAGCGGCGACGGGGGATCAGTGACTTCGGGCGGAAGCCGCGTATTATGATGCAGCACTGCCTTCGGCGGCGCGAGCGACGCCTCCTCCGCGCGTTGAGCGCGCGTCGGTGCCCACGCCTCGATGCTTTCGGGCGGGAACATGAGGGCGTTGAAGGGCGTGTGTTTGTGCGTCGTCGGCGCTGCGGGCCGCTTGTCTAGATCCTGGCTCGGTCGAACAGCCACTTCCATCGATGTGGACGATTCCGAATGTTGTCGTTCTGCTGCTGCTTGGAGGACTTTTTGCTGCGCGAGGCGTTGCTTGGAGGCGTACCGGTTGCCCGTACGCAGCCACTCGTTTGCGGCGAACTTTTTGGCGTTTTGGCGGTCGATGATGCGGGAGAAAGATTCTTGGTCTTCCGAGGTGTATTTGGCTTGGAAGGCGTTTAGGCTGAGGTTGAGGTCGACGTGGGGTTTTGTGTTGTTGCTCTCGTCGTCTTCATTATCATCGCCCGCCGCGGTGCCAGGGATAGACACAGGAGTGTCGGCGCCCCATACACTAGGTGTATCTCCCCCTCCCCCTCCTACTCTCACTCCCGCCGGCGTCCTAAACCGCGACGTCCCAGCTACCTTCCTCCTCATCCCCACTCCCCCGGAATGCGCAGGCGTCATAACGCCCACCAACCTCTCCCCGGCCTCCCGGATCCACTCATTGTTTCGACTCTCCAGCGCATCCAGATACTCGTGCTGGGCATCCGTTTCCGCGAGCCCCGGGAAGAAGTCGCGCCGGATGATGTGCGAGATGGCCGACGTGTAGGTGTCTTCGTCGAGGACGGTCGTGGGGCGTTTGATGCGCTTGGGGGCGGGCGGTGGAGGCATGAGGGCTAGGGAGGAGGCAGGGCGCTTGGTGACGGCTTGGGAGGTGCTGGATGGGGGCGAGGTGGAGGGCATGATGGTGGTGGTGGTGGGTGTTGGAGAGGGGTGAAGCGGGCGGCGGGGCCGCAGATGACGACGCTGAGGTTATGAAGCCGGAATGGATAGGCTACTGCTATGGTAGAGCGGCTGCGGGAAAGTAAAGTGAACATGGAAGCGTGGAGTGGAGTGGATTGTGAATGTTGAGGTGTTGTTCCACAGCGCCGGGACATCGGGAGGCGGTGCCAAGCCCACGATCCTCCCGCCGCCATCAGCCCTATGAATGTCCCAAATAGGAAATTCAGTCGTACCTAGTGAGAGTTCCCTACGTCACAATCATTGCCTATAGTCTACATACTGCGGTAGGCGTCACATTCTCGGAATGAAAAAGTATCTTGCGAGACAAAAACCTGCAAAATGAACATCTACCTTCATGGAAACAAGCTCATGCAATCAAGAACACATGGACAAGACTTGGTATTATTCGGTTTCTACATCAGATGAGGCACTCATATGCAATGCGAAAGCTCCGCTTTTCCTAGGCGCCCTACGCGTAGTCTACTCAATCCACCGTATATATGGCGGAGAGGACTCGCATCATCTACATACTTGATATTCTGTTTAGTAGAAGGATTCCACCATGGCGTCCTTGTGCGTCGTATTGATAGCGCCAGGAGCATTGCCCTCGCCGAGCCTGAAGACGGATTCTATAACAGACAGTTCGGTAGCAGTTGTGTCGAGACCTGAACCAGGTGGTTAGTAAGAGAATGTATACAATCGTGCAGAATACACACCTGTCACCGCCATCCAGTCGTTGACCACCATGCCGGCGCCAACCACTGCGCTTCCGCGATTCACGCTTCCCGCCACCAACGGCACCTGCAGCAAACTCGATAGTTCATCCTGATCCTGAATCGACGTCTTGGGGTGCACGAGGCCGCCCTGATTGCTGAGGGCCATGTACGAGCCAGTGAGCACGTTGTCCGCGATTGTTTGCCTAAAGACCTCCACTCCCAGAACGTCCGCTATTATCTCCTCCGTCTCTCGCTCAATGTCAGGGTGCACGAGCGCGACGTGGTCGTTGCAGCATATCACGTTGCCCAGTGCTGATAACCGCTCCTCTATTCTCTGGATCTTGACTTCGTCAGGTATCGAGTTGCGCAGATGTTGGAGTTCTTGGTCTGTGGTGGTCGTGGGGACGAGGAGGCCTTTCCGGTTGCTGAAGTGTAATTGTCAGCAAGGGCCCCTCGTGTACTTTACGACGCTTGTGAGCGCATGCATAGACTTACCCAGCTGTCAACCGGCCTACTATCCTCGTTCCTGCAATGGTGGCATGGCAGATGGGTATGACGTCTTGTAGTTCTGCCTCGAAAACACTGTTTAGATGTTAGTCGACATCAAGTTGGATCCGACAGCGCATTGGAATGAGGTCCCGTCGCGGGGGATGCGCATAACTCCATAGGCGCAGTAAGGCGTTTTCGTACCTGTAGAAGTTCTCTGAAGCTCCCACCGCAACAATCGCATACGAATTGGTAAGAGTAGCAAACACGCCAACCCTGAAACTCCGTCAGCAGTCTCCTCCCGAGTGGCTCCCAGAGCCCCACTCACTCATTCGAGTTCTCAAACTGCGCGCGGACAGCCATGATTGGATTCTTGGATAGGTGCCTTTTTGGATTCCGCTGTATAGAAAGGAAAGGAGAGACGTATGAGGGGTGTCTTGCGTGTACGTGTCGAGCGTATGTTTGCCACAAAAAAGTGTGCGAGACGGAAGCTTAAGAAGCAGAGTGTGGAGGGGCAAGTGAGCCCGAATGCGGACTAGCGGCAGAATCTTGGCATTTCGACTCATCCTGAGCGTGATGCTTAGACAGGGGGCGAAGCCTCGCTCAGGTACAACGCCTGGATCCATGTATGACTGTTCATTAGAAATTAGAGTCATTCAAGAGTGGCGCAGCTAATTCCTTCATTTCTCTGGACATGTACGGGCACCGCATTCCATGATCCTCATATACAGACCTCTGAGATTAATCTCCCACAACATTGGATTCCCGCCGTAGGAGCTAAGTTAGCGCACCAGGTTCAGTATGGGCAGACGGATCCCTGCACTCGAAATAAAGCAGATACACAGTCTAGATATAAAACTGACGTACAGATACACATGCAGACATTACATTATCTCACTATGCTCGTCTGCTCTAAAGATGTGTAGACAAAAGGAGAACAAAATAAGTAGCACCAACTGCACCATCTACCTATCACACATTGTGAATAACAGCAGGAAGACAACCTAACGCTCGCTCGCTATGCTTCGCTTGCTTCGTGAATGGAAATGGTAGGAGTCCAGGATCGAATCAGAGAAAAAGTAGGAGTACAGTGGCATGTCTGATCGGTCGTAGAAAACGTTCGGATGGATGAGAAAATCTAGAGCGGGTGCTCGTGTCACATGGAAATAGGAAAAGGCGTGATTAAACGTAAATGGCATGAAATTTGTCATGAAAGAGAAGTTTTGTCATGAACGAGATATGGGGAATGCGGTGGATAACCGTTAGTCGTACAGATGATGAAGGCGGGGATGGCAGGCGTCAGGTCGAGAAAAATGTTTGATGTAGTAGACAGGATATCATTGTGGCTGCGATAATATAGATGGAAGGTATGTCCCGAGCTAGGACATCCTCGATGCAAGAATGGCTAGAGCGATCTAACGAAGCAGTCAGTATAGCGGATAAGGAGCAGATTTGCTTGACTTACAATCACTCCTATGAGGAGTGTCCCGACTGCAGCCATTATGCGGTTGAGATTACGCCACCACATGGCCTTTTGATATGATCGATCCTCTACAAGCTTGGTGAGCTGGCGCTCAAGCTCCAGCTGGCTGGGTGTGGCCTCGACAGTGGATAAGGGATCAGGGGGTAGGGGGAGGAAGGCCGCTATCATCCATGCTAATAGAGGGGTTAGCGTAGTAATCGAGTAGACCCAAACGGCGATCCATCGACATACCAAAGGGGAAGAGAAACCCCAAGCAAAAGAGGAGTATCTGCCTATTTTGACGGCTGAAGAACAATGTTCCCAGAGACTCATCAAGCGAGGGTGCTTTCCATGCGCTTAAACGTGCAGTGCTTCTCCGATCCTTCTGAAGCCGTGGAGTAAAGATTTCAGACATTGGTCGCCGCGGAGGCCCAACGGCATAGCGCTGTTGCTCCTCAGGGGCTTCCGAAATCGATATCGAGTCGGGTTGAGAGATGCGCTGGTGCGGACGGTTGCGCGGCCGATAGATGTTCATCGGAAAGTGCGTCTCTGAAGGGGTGTTTGTCCGGCCGCTATTGGAGGTTGGGAGGCGCAAACTATCGGTGGATTCGGTGTAGGAAGCGGGGATGTTTTCCCCACGCTGATAGTACACCCTAGCCGTGGTTAGCTCATACAGGTCACGGTGTAGTGACCAAGTCCACATACCTTGCCCACGCGGGGATATTGTTGGCAATGAAGGTGGAGAAGTCTGACTGAGCAGAGCTCGGCCGGGATGAACTTGAGCGAGAGTCACTGTCCCGTCTCTTCAGGAAAGATCTCTTCGTCCTGAGGGGCGGCGATTGCAACGGCGCTATAGTATCTTGGAGCTCATCTGACGTTCTCTCTTCAGAGGGTTGTTTGGTTATGGGGGAAAATAGCGGCAAGGGAACAACCGCCGAGGACTCGGTCTTGTTTGAATTGTGCGAGGAGCCGTTGTCATTGTCAGACGACGAGATGCTGCTGATGGTCTGCCGCCGTCGCGGAACGTTGCTACGCCCATCCTGTGCGAAACCGCCCGTGGAATGTGACCGTTCGTCTATAGACTGCGACTGCCGCTCTATCGACCGAGAAGCTCGCTCGGACTCTGAAGGGATTGTCGAAAGCTGCGAGCTCCACTGGTTGATCACCGAGGTGCGAGGGTTCATTCGGGATGGATTCTTCGGTAGCGGACGGGATTCAGCCCATAAGCCACTGACCGAAGGCGGCCGAACGACGGGGTAGGAAAGCCGAACTCCGTTATCGAGGATGACGTGACGTGCGGCATGAATGGACGGGGCCGGTTGCGAAGACGATCGGGGACGTTCGCTCGTATAGGAAGAATCTGAGAATTGGATCGACTCGGATGACGCTCTGGGTACGGGCCGGTGGACCTCTACGTTCGGAGATGATGAAGCCTGCTTCGAGGTGTCGGATCCTGACGACGGAGTATCTTCTCGATCTTGCGATGCGGGTGACGCCTTATCGAAGGAGTCTGGCTCACGATGATCCTCAGGATGCGGAAGGGAGTCGGACGATGCGGTCGACGCAAACGATATGGCAGACGCCCTCGGGGTTAGCGCGTGGCCATCAGAGGGTTCGTCACTAGAAGAAGTCGAGGGAGGTACCGCGCGGATAGTCGACTGGCGAGGCGGAGATGCTTCCTCTTGAAGGATTTCCAATCCAGTCTCCTCCGGGAAGACGGATGACGGAGCGGTGCTGACCTGCGAGAAGCGACTGGACGACGGCGAGAAGGAGGGAGAGAAAGGGACCCCGACGACAGTGTCCGTATCTGAATTGTTAGTCGAGGTGGATTGTCTGGGTCCCTTCTTGGGCTGCAAGGGCTTGGGAACCAGTGCATTGTTTGCTTCAATCTTTGCGACCGCATGGGCGACAAAAGTCGAATCTGAGACACGAGCCCCCCTGCCCTCGAACGCATACCCTGGTCTCTTGCGCGGTGGGAGTATCTGAGAGGGCCGGCTGGGAAATGGAGATTTTGAGTAGATATCGCTGCTGGGCTCCTCAGCGTCTTCGACAACGCGGATGGTTGGGGCAGGAATCTGGTTGCTCCGTGAATTGGATCGTTCGTGGAGAGGCCGGCGGCGTGGCGAGGTGGTGCGCGAGGAAGGGGGCGGTAGGATGGGTGCGTTTTCGAAGGGCGAGACGGTTCTGGGTTTTGAAGCAGTTGTCCTTTGTTCAGCGCCGGACGACATGCTGAGATGTCGACTCGGTTCATGAACTGGAATATGTGAAAACGTCGCGGCGTTCCAACAATATTGACCCGACCATTAAGGATAGCAATAAGTACACGATAAAGACAAGAGTATCAAAGCAATAATGTAAAAACTGGACTTCAAAAGAACGACGAGAAGCGCTATACACAAAGGTCAAAAGAGCGACTGATGGCGCCCGAAGGCATGAGGAGGTTTGAGGTTTTGCAGAGAGAGGGTCGGGAACTTGGAAGTGGGTAGCGTCTCATAAAACTCCCAGGAGAGCCGTGACCCAACAGCCGAGCCGAAACGGGCTTGAAGCTGATACAGACTGCAGCCCGCGTCTGCAGGGCACAGAAGACATCCAATTACCAGCTTACACCTTGCCAACGACCAAGCTCGAGCCCCATGGTGAGGATTGGCTCAAGGAGTTCCCCTGAAATCCGTCTTGAACTGGTTCTCCATGTCGCCAGACTTCTTCGCTGGCACCAACAACGGTTCGAAGGACGCGCTCGTCTCCGGGAAGCTTGTCAGGCCCGGTCCTCTCGCCCCAGATCTACCCCTTCTCGATGGTCGAGATGGAACGCCCCAACGCTCAACGGCGCGATGGACAGGCGCGTGGAAATTGGAACCATAAATAGAGGACTGGGAATTGGCCAGTGAGGTGGGTCGATGTGGCACCGGGCGCTGAATGAGGCTCGAGCAATGCAGGGGCTAGCAGACTCCGCTCGAACCGATGAATGATGACATGGGACGGGGGACGACGGGACTCGGTGAAACAAATTAGCCGAAGCTTAACTACTTTTGGATAGATGTGCCTGCCTGCATCAAAGACAACCTTGGAACAATGTCAAGGAGCAAACAACAACCCGTGTGATAACAATCATGAAGATACTTCCTACTCACCCATCGATTTCCTGAATCCCAGGCCCGCTGCTCAAGCTGTGCGTTCCCTCAAGTTCTTCGCTTACCATCCATGGCGCCTACAATGAGTCTAGGAGACCGTTTCAGCGTGCTGGCGAAGCTGTACCAACGATACCTCAAAGGCGGTAAGTAGCGGATCCATTGGCTCATGTCTTTTCCCTTTCTTCCCGCTGCGTACAACAGACTCCACTGCATCTACTTGTACTACCCCTCGCATAACGTTTGAAAAAGTTCCGTCAGATCTAACTTGGTGCCAGTTCCCCAAGCGCCGGCTCTTGCTCCCAGCACTGCGGCAGCACTGTCGGTGCGTCCCGCTTTCAATGCCCCCACCTGAAGCTTGTCCGCCTGTCCATCCGCTTATCGCCATGTGTAGATCCTCTTCACCTTGCTCTACGTCGTCCCTTTCTATCTTTCCTCCCTCACTCGCCCCTCACCCCAACTCCACCGAGATGCGCCTCCGTCGATTCGCGCGCGGGTGCGGGCCGTCACCGTGTCGAGCCTTGCCTGCCTTGCCATAACCGTCTATGTCTTGCGCCAACATGGTCACGCCTCGCTGTGGGACATCCTCAAGCTTTTGGGTTGGTGGCCGATCTCCCTCATTGACACGGCAAGGACCATGCTTCTCATGTCCATACTATTCGCTGGACCGCTATTCGAAGCGGGCATTGTCGAAGGAGAGATAAAGCACTGGATACACCCGAGCCACCTCTTAGATAGTCTGAGCAGCTGGGTCGGATACCGGAACTATGTCGCTGGCCCTGTCAGTGAGGAGCTCATATGGCGCGGTATGATCATCCCACTGCACATCCTAGCCAACTTCTCCGGAAAACAAATCATCTTCCTCACTCCCCTGTATTTTGGCATCGCACACGTCCACCATCTATACGACTTCCGCGTTACGAACCCCACGGTCCCTCTCGCGCTCGGGATTGCTCGGTCCTTATTCCAGTTCGCATACACCTCGCTCTTCGGCTTCATCGCTTCCTTCATATTCGTCCGAACAGGGAACATCTTCTCTGTTATCCTGGCCCATAGCTTCTGCAACTGGATGGGGCTGCCGCGGTTTTGGGGCCGTGTTGGAGTCGAGGCTGGAGTTCCCATCGGTCCTCCCGATGCTCGGGGGAAGGATGACACCGATGCGGTTCCCAAGACTGTGCCGTCTGGTGAGTCAAAAGGGATTGCTTGGACTGTGGCATACTATATCATTCTCGTTGGTGGCGCTTATGGATTCTATCGAGGCTTGTTTCCTTTGACGGAGAGTGCATATGCGTTGCCAGTGGTCCTGGTGGAGAAGTAAAGCAGTTCAGCTTCATTGCCCGTTTGATTAGTGAAAACCTTTGATGCAGCAATCAGCGTTGGAGCCGGGTTAGGGTGAGGGACGACCGGCTTACTTTGTAACATTGGGCATGTTTTTTCTCTAATCAAGATAGATCATGCGGCAACAATGAAATCCATATGGGACTAACCTTTCATCAAGTCGGTTTGGCTTGTTTCCATGTGCCTTTTGCCTAGCAACCTCAGGTATCGCCTTTGGGTGTCGCTATTGCCCACCAATTATCCTTCTCATACCCACATTCAACCACTCTTCCACCTGCCTCTTCAATGTCATGCTCCAGCTCGCCTTTTCGATACAAATGGTAATACCGCAGATACGTCTTATCCCCCGGCTCCTTCTGTCCCTCTTCCTGTTCTCCCTCCTGGTCTCCTTGGCCCGCTCCCATCTGGTGTTCCGAGCCTTCGTCCTGCTCCTGTTCGCCAACCCCATCTCCATCCCCCTGCTTCCTCCTCCTTCTCCCCTTCCGACCTGCCTTCCTCCCTCCCTCCTTCTTCCCCTTCATAACCCACGGCACCATAACATCCTGCTCACAACCCTCATCCCACCCCCTTCTACTCTCCTTCTGCTCCAGCGCCCACACATAAATCAGCGCTTTCCCTCCATCCTGGGCATCTGGCGTCGATGGGCGTCGTAGAAGCTCTAGCACGCAGCGGACGGCTTCTATGCGCCGCTCCGGGGTCGAGAGGTGGTGGATTACGGCGATGGATATGGCGAAGTCGAAGGCGTTGTGTGGGTGCGGGAGGGCGAGGATGGAGGCGACGATGGCGGAGTGGGGGGCGTGGCGGGTGGCGATGCGGGTGAGGTTTGTGGAGCTAGGGAGGGGGGTTAGTATGGGCTGGGATATATATTCTGATTTCCCTAAGGTAAGGAAAGAAAGATGCCTAGAGACAGAGGAAGAGATTGAATTGGAGAGTGACGAAGTAAATAAATAGGAAAAAGATGAGGGGAATGCCATTAAGGAGAAGCGACGACAGAGACCGGGAAGTAATTTTTAACTGAAAACAACATGAGAAATCCAACATACCGATCACTCCCAATGATAAAAACCCTATCATTCACACCGAGGTACTTCCCATTCCCGCACCCCACATCCGCGCCTATGGATCCATCTGGCTGCTCTTTCAAGAAGCGCTCAACGATCGGCCATGGCTACATAAATCATCAGCCACATGCCATTTTGGAATTGGCTATTCGCATGTGAAAGGAGACGCACACCTTATATCTCGTGCTCGAGAAATGACTGGCGATTTCTTCGTAAACGGAGTGCACGTGTTGGGCTTCATATTCTTCGCCTCGGCTCTTGATTTCCAGGGCCGTGTCTGTGGTTGTGTCTGGATCTGGCGGTATCGATGTCATTGTTTTTGAGGATTGGAATGGTAAATGCTTTTAAAATATTGACGTTGAAAAAATTGGGATGGTGGAAAAGTCTGAAGGATATAGGTGGAATCAAGAGTGGACAATAAGCAACCCAGAGAATATCTATGTGCACTCGTGGAGCCCTACACCAGCTACGCTCTCTTCAACAACCCTGGACGTTGAAGCTCAGGGAGAATGAGCAAGCTCGAGGAGAACGTGGGGGGAGATGATTGTGGAGAGAAAGGCGTGCGGACCCAATGAGAGGGGACGCCAAGATGTTAGTGCAGAAGTGAAAATGAACGTCATGAACCGGGCAGGTTTGGTCACTTTTGTCTATCTCATTCCTTGAACGGTGTTGGGAGGTGGGAAAGAGATATGTCTGGGGTTTGGGTTACCGTACGCACTTGGCGAACGAGATACGATCAGGCTTGAGTACGGTGGGTGTATAGCTAAGAGGGCAGGTTTCTCTTGGGGAGCCTGAACCGCCATCAGTCCCTCGAGAAAGCGGATTCCCTGATGACTACACGCAATGGTCGATGTAAAGCTCTATGGGTTTGTGGAACAGAATGGATCCTCCTGTACGGTTGGCTCGGGAAGGGGCCGTCATTCACATTGTGCCGACATCGATATCGCTTGTGCACCTCACCAAAGATCTCACGGATGTCACAACGGGAATATGCGCTGAGAGCTTGAGGGCTCTCTCCGTTTGCTAATCCGTAGGTTATGCCATTCCAGTGTAGGGTACAAAGAGAACCCATCGATGTGTGACCCTCATCAAATCAGGTGGTCGATATCTCTCCCATCAAATCGGCCAGTAACAACAGAACAATATAGATGGCTCATTTCATTCTTCCTTTATTTCCTGAGAATGCGTTTTTCATTGTTCTACTCTTTTGCTTTATTCCTATGGCGACGACAAAGGTTGAAGGCGAAGACAATAAAACAATGGCTTATTGTTCCAATGTCCTATTGTTAGCCTCAAAAGTTTTAAGATGGCAGTTCGACGGCCGTATACAAATAACCTCTACTCTTTCTGTTCGATTTCTGTCTCTCTTTCCTCTCCATCTGTACTTCGAAGACGTTCCTCAGTTGATCTCTGGATTTGTTGCTGGTCAAAAATCCTATCATTTCAAACACGTTTCACAAACATTCTTGCAATCTCCTTCAGCTCACATAAGCTCCTTCATTTATTATCTCTCCACATATCCACCGAATTCACTTCCTCATCATGTCTTCCGCCCCTCGCAGACGCAGTAGACGTCAAGCGGGTCTACCACCCATTCCAACACGCCATCCCTACCAGGTCACAAAGGACCAGCAGACGTCAAAGATCAGCTCTGCATGGCCAAACGCAAGGTCGAGGCGTCGCACGCGTGCAAGCAGGGGAATCTATCTATCGAACAACAGATGCTACCAGACAACGACTTTGCAAACATTGGTGCATGTGCCCAAGTTCATGAATTGGCTCAAGATGCACAACACATCAAAAAAAACGGCTTGTTCGCCTGGTGGCGTATATATCCAGCGGCCCATGAACCAAGGCGGCGATGCTCAGCACTTCAATCTCTGTCCAGCGTGCGCTATGAAGGATTTCATCGCATATTACTGGAGCGACCAAGATCTTGACGGGTCCGGCGATCCACAAGCTATCCGTAGGGACAACCGTGTCCTGAATTTCCTTCGAATGGCGGACTTCCGTTTTGGTGGCAACCAGGACAGTCCCGAGGTGTTTTTCGATTTCCTCAAAGGGCATATTGTCAATTCTACGCCATTTAGGGAAAAGTATATAATCCCCCGCTGAAGTTCGCATTTTTCTTCCAAGCTAACATATCCCTCAGTAACGCGTCCCCTTGGGGCCTCATGTTCAATGCCCTCTTCGAATTACAGCTTCAAAAATCGCATTCTTGTTCCAATTCCGCTTGCCCGCGCAACACTACACCCGACGTGACCGAACAAGAAGCCCAATGCGGCATCCCAGGCCTCCAAATCCTTGACACCGGCAACGACAACCTCGCAGCATCACTCCACCGTTACCTAGCGGGCCACCCCCTTCAAGATTACCGATGCGAGGCCTGCAATCAGAAGAATACCACCACGCAATCGCACCCCATCCTAGCAGCACCCGATATCCTGCGCATCTGCCTCGTCCCTGGTGGATACGACCGGTTCGGAAACCCCTACAAGATCACCGCGCGATTCGGCCTTACAGAGTTCCTCGACCTCACCCGGTACCAGCTCGATCCGTCGACGCCGCTGAAGTACCGCCTCTCCAGTGTGATTAATCACATCGGTGAGCTTGATTCTGGGCACTATATTGCGACTGCCAGGGCGCCAGATAACGTCTACGTGATCAATGACAACGAGAAGTTGACCTGCGATACTGCCGATCCGCCGGCGGCGAACCCGTCGGCCTTGCTGTGCAGGAATCCCCAGCGCTGGAATGATGGTTCCTACCAGGCGTTCGTCCTCACCTATCTCCGAGTGCCGGATAAGGAGTTGGAGAAGCTGAAGTAGGGTGATGCCCACCATCGTCCACTACGTACGTAATCTCACCCCCTACGGTACTGTTCCCTCCTCATCGTCTATATAAAACCCTCAATTCCTGCATCTTCCATCAAGCGGCCAGGAACGACGGAGTGGTAGGATACGAACTCATGCAGCATACAAGTCCTACAGGTGCTGAGTTCGATCCCTGTAATATCAAACTGCTCTCGTCCTCTTCCTACGTCGGGGCGTTCACCATTAAAAAAATCGTGGCAACATGGTTTTCAGGGGTGAGTCTAAGCCTGCAGTGTTTGGGGTGCGTTGCCTAGGCGGACTTTCTGTTTTTGCTTTGTTTTCGTCGGTGGTAGAGCTGTGTGTCTGTGTGTTATAGGCATCTTTTTAACAGATTTGTTGTTTTGTCGTCTTCGTTGCGCGATCCTTTTTTTGCTCTTACAAGGGTCTGTCTGTAGCAGTGTAGATCTACGGCTAGGGTGATACTGTTGTATGTTATTGTAACTATGTACTATATAATTATACTACTTGTCTATAGAGTAATTTACATGTTGAATTATTTCCAACCGTTACACTAATCTAGAGACTAATCACATACTAAACGCGACGCCTCTAGAGCACTCCTTCTATCTCCTAGATTTGTAGAATCCCACTGTAAGAATCGACTTGTAGCGATCTGTAACACTGTAGACAGCCTTGCAGTTGGTAATATCTCGTTGTTACTAACATATCTTCGAGCAACTCTAAGCTTGCATTATCTCCCTTCCTGCGATCCAAAACACTGTGCACGAGTCGAGCAAGCCTCCAACTGAGGTATTAATTTTCAACCTTGATGCTTCAGGCGTGTTCCTAAACGTAGGCGTTAGGAGCAAAAAGTACTCCGCTTTTCAAGAATTCCGAACTATCCTAGTCTTCAAACCTAGCATGCCCTTCAGAGGAAAGGGTATCTAAAGAAAGCCGGATTCACAGACGCAATTCCGGCATCATGCAGCATCCATATGTAAAACAGCGTACATAGTAAAAAGGGTATCTTAATTCCGCACATCAGCATCAGCACTTCTTGATCACTTTTCCCTTCCCTATACCAGATATCCATCACCATCCTCTGATCCCCACCCTCGACCCTTTGCTACCGCAATATCCATTGACCACCATCCTCGAAACCCCACCTCAATTCTCCTTCCTCCAACTCTCCATCCTCAACAACTCCCCTCTCCCCTACCTCTCCCCCTCCCTCTCCGCCCCAAACCCCCTCCACCCACCCTCCCACGCAATCCCCACCCTCCGCTTCAACACCTCAACGCTCTGCCCGACCGTCCTCCCAGCGTCCTTTTCTTCACGATGTATGCGGTTCACGGCGGCGGCGAGACCGATGGAGATGGCGAAGAGGGGGTCGATGGTTCTGCATGGGTTGGGTCAGACTTAGAATTGGAAAAACAATTAGGAGGGGATGACGGACTTGGAGATGATGTATTGGTACGCCATTGCGTGTATTATGTGTATGCTCTGCCGGTGTGGTGCAGTGCTCGATGATCTGTTGCAATGCTGCCAAAACGGACGAATTTCTCAATCGCAGCGGTATACTGAATCGGGCCTGTAGGTACAGAATGCGCGCAATGTCCAGCCGGTCTGGCGATCGTTATATGTATGTATAGAATTCAAATGATGTCTAAACTAAACTTTCCGTCCCGTCCCCCAGATGGAGCCGCAATCGCGCTAGGGCTGAGCTTGGACCCGCGCCCCGCCCGCCACGTTGGGGCGTGCGTCAGCTGCGACCAACTCCGCACCCACGCAGGTACCATAATCGAGAACGGTAGAAGCAACTGAGGGAATGATCCACGTCGGAGATCGGGAATCACATGCACTGCAGGTACTGTGTGCCCAGGTGCTATGCGCAACGTGAGCACATGTTGCGACTGTTGTCACAAGCCAGGTGATCGGGTGTTCTATCTGTTCCATCTGTCTATGGCGTCATGGGTTGTCGAGACCTCCGTCACGCTGAGCAAGACGGCTGGTCACGGTTGTATACGAAGAGACGTCACAAACATCGATGGAAGCTCCAAAAAGTGTGTGGTAATGATATCCCTATTCATCAAAGGGCCATAGAGACGCAAGAGCAATGAAGGTGCAATCCGGAGATCCGTAGGACCTGAGCGTATCCTCGTCTCTTGGTACCGCTGCGGCATGGAAGGGATGGAGGTAACGCTCTCCACTAAATCGAGCTCGTATATTGTTTCTGTTGTACTCTCGCACCATCGATCTGCACGTAGACGCGAGCCAAGTCATAGAACCGTATGTGATGCCCTTCCTTCGTGAACCCCAAAACGCCAGGTCGATTCATCGCATCCCTCAAGTTCGAAATCGGAAAACAGACGGATGGAACAGTAAGAAAACAAACATGGAGTTCAGATGGCCTCGCCGAACGTGTTCTCTCCAGAGTACCTGATGTATTTGTCAGCGATTGCATCGGCGGATAAGAGGCGAACAACGACATACGTTATATAGAGGAAGCCATCCTCATCCTTGTGTTCCTCGTATATCGAACTCATGAGCGCGGCAGTAGGCGGCAGCACCTCATCGACGAAGATGAAGATGGCTTTCTCCGGCGAGAGCTTGATCCGCTTCCGGATCACGTAGACGAACTGGCCGACGGTGAGGTCGGCGGGGACCAGATACTTCTTCTTGTCAATGGTGGCGATGTCAGACTTCTCCACCTTTTCGCAGATGACCTGGGAAGAGCGTTAGAAGGACTGCAGATGGAGGGGGAGATTCGCGCTGGACGTACAGGAATGCGGTCGTTGTACTTCTGGCGAATGCGCTCAGCCTCCGCCTTGCGCTTCTCGAAGGGGTGCTCGTCCTTGAACTTGGATCGCATCGCGAAGTGTGTGCGTAGGCGGTTGGTTGTCAGTAATAAGGTTGTATAGTTGTATGAGGGCAGTCGGGTGGTGGTGGTAGGGTGTATGAGGGAGGTGTTACGGCGGTGAGTGGAGGCCCAGTCGTTATGTAGTAGGCAGCAGGGGCGGGCGGCGGGCGGGGCAAGTGTGGCAGGTCTTGCTTAGTCAGGGGAACCACAGATAGGTTGAAGCAGCACCAGAACTTGTACTACTGCTTCACACAATATTGAGAGAGATGACCGATGGTTGTATGAGAGGAAGGATATAGGAATGCGTCACAGACGGGCCGCCCTTTGTGTCGATGTGACTCGCCTTTGTATGGCAGTGCTCCGCCCTCGAGCACTCAGCCTCACTGCCAGGCTTCCAGAGACATTTGTCACTCGTACCCCTTCCCGTGATCAGTTCAGTTGACTCAGTCGAGCTTCCCAGGCTGCACTTTCACTGCAATCTTCAAGACGCCTCGAGTCGGGAATGGGCATATCGCTCGTTCACTCCTGCTATGGTGATCGATGATCACAACCTCGGAACAGTGGATAAATTCGTACGTGGGAGGCTTTCTGGTCGACACGTTCACACAACAAACACTCACCTCTGAGTACGAGCATAGTACTATCATTCAAAAGTACCCCTTCAAGGTATTCAGACTGTTTTGCTCGCAAACGACGTTCATGGAGCGGATCGGTGAAAATCACGTGACCTCCCCACGGCAGTTTGCATCGTTTGCATCCAGATCCATCGGAGGTCCGCACCACCGTGGTGTGATCCAAAAGTACTTTCACGGATGCAATTGCCTCACGCTATACGCCTCCCTGTATAGCCGATTTACGCTCACTACTCCCCCAATGCCTGACCTGTAACATTCATTCCTCGACAATCCTTCTCCATGTCTCTCCTCCGTCCCTCTACCCGCTTGGCGCGGGCTTGCGAGCTCCCGCAGAGCTATGCGCCTAGAGCCTCACTCCGCGCAAACCCTATATTGAAGGCCCGGACACAGGTGCAGCGGCGGTGGATATCAGAGGAGCCTAAAAACACAGACCCGTTGAAGGAATGGCGACAACACAAGCCCAGTCCGTGGGGGAACCGGATCCGCAAATACGTCTTGGTTCCCTTCACATTACTGCTGATCTATAATATGGTAAGTCGCTATATCTAATGAAGAGCGATGGTTACTGACCCTCCCAGCTCACGGAGGACGTGGAACCAGTCCAATGCGAAGCCCCATCAATCGCAGAGAAAGACGCCCTCCTCAAGCGCGAAAGCGGAATCCACCAACACTCGCCTATGCGCCTGCGCATGGAAGCCTTCATAAAACAGTACCAGAAGCAGATTGTCTCGGAGCTCGAGAAGGTCGACGGCTGCAGATTTAAAGTCGATTCCTGGCAGCGGCCGGAAGGCGGAGGTGGCATAACGTGCGTCTTGCAAGAGGGCAATGTGTTCGAGAAGGCGGGTGTGAACACGTCGGTGGTGTATGGACGGCTTCCCCGGGCGGCGATACAGAAAATGAGGGTGAACCACAAGGCATTGGATCCTGATGTGGATTCTTTGGACTTCTTCGCGGCAGGCCTGAGCATGGTGCTACACCCTTCCAACCCGAATGCGCCAACCGTACATCTCAATTACCGGTACTTTGAGACCACCGATGACCAGGGAAACACGAATGCTTGGTGGTTCGGCGGCGGCTGCGACTTAACCCCCAGCTATCTCTTCGACGAAGACGCAATCCACTTCCACAATACGATCAAGGCGGCCTGCGACAAGCACGACAAGGACTACTACCCGCGCTTCAAGAGGTGGTGCGATGAGTACTTCAACAACAAACATCGCGGCGAGTCGCGCGGCGTCGGGGGCATCTTCTTCGATGACCTAGACGAGACAGAGAAAGATCAGGAGCAGCTGTTTGCTTTTGTACAAGACTGCCTTTCCGCCTTCTTGCCTTCATACCTTCCCATCATCAATAGAAGAAAGAACATGCCCTTTACAGAGGAGATGAAGCAGTGGCAGCAGCTCCGCCGAGGTCGCTATGTCGAGTTCAACCTTGTGCATGATCGGGGTACGGCGTTCGGCTTGCATACGCCCGGAGCCAGGGTCGAGAGTATCCTGATGAGCTTGCCGCTTACAGCGAGGTGGCAGTATATGCACGAGCCGGAGAAGGGGAGCAGGGAGGAGAGGTTACTCGAGGTGTTGAAGAATCCAAAAGAGTGGGTTTAGGGGGGAAGACGGGTGTATTATAGACGTTATGTATATATAATCTATATCAAGATGGGTTTGGAGAGATTCGGATGTGGAGAAATTACTGGCGTACATATACTAGGGTTGGTCGGGTAAATCAAAGTCTTTCTTCCTGTATCTTCCTTCGCGTTGTCAACTATGGTGATTACTCTTCCCATCTGATGGTGACGGTCACCATCATCATCATCATCATCACCATCATCGTATAAGCTCGTCTGACCCGATGTCTTCTCCAACCTCCACATATTCCACCATAGATACATCTTTGATTCTCCAACACCGCAACTCCATGGTCCGCACAAACCCGTTTCTTGGAACACCGAAAGCACACGTACCACTCAGGATGTGCGTTTCAATCTTCGTGACGAAATTCAGGACGAAGCCCTTCTTTCTGGAACACCGAAAGCACATCAGCCAATCGGATTGGACTTTTCAGTCTTCGCCGACGGAATCCATGTCGTCGATGCCTTTTAGATTCTCAGCACTGTCGTTAAACGACGAACGGTGACGCGGAGAGAATGCCATATGGATGGCGTCTAGACTATTCAGGCGTATGTACTTGGCATCAGAGTGTAGCTCAATTCTTCATGTTTCAGCAGTTCGCATGTTTCGGATTGTGACCACTTCGCTGACGAAACTCATGTTAATCCATCCAGGCCTTTTCCATTCATTCTCAGCAGTGTCGTTAAACGGCGAACGGTGACTCGGGGAGAATGCCATACGACTGTTCCCTGAATTTTTTGGGTGTATCTACTGGCCATCAAAGTGTAGCTCGATTCTTCATGTTTCCGAAGTCCGGATTTTTCAGATTTCGACCACGTCCACATCGACATCATCGATTCGTGCTTGGGGTGACGAAACAGAAACGAAAAACATGTCGGTGATGAATGTAAATTTATGATGTAGGAAACGTCTTCCATCATGTTTCCAATGTCCGATTTTAAATTCTCAGCACTGTCGTCGAAAGTCGAACGGTGACTCGGAGAGAATGCCATACGATCGTTCCGGAACAGTTCGGGTGTATCTACTTGCCATCCAAGTGTAGCTCAATTCTTCATGTCTCTCCCAGTCGGAATTTTTCAGATCTCGATCACGTCCACATCGACGTCATCAATTCGTGCTTGGGGTGACGAAACAGAAGAGGAACACATGGCGAGGGTGCATCAAACTTATGATGCAGGAAACGTCTTCCATGATTTGTTCCCAATGTTTGTTTTTAAAGTGCATCATCCCTCATTTTTGATGGAAGACTCATATTATCGCTCCCATTCAGTTTTGTTATTTTAGAGGAAAATGCGCGGACTCGAATCCATGTCCAAGCGGATACATCGTTTAGTCCATCTCCAGTGAGAGGGCACCAGGTCTGCTGTCGAAAGAACACATCTCATGTTAAGGAAGTAGTTTAGGCTCAGAGGGGAAGGATCATGGGCGTGCATTGCCATAGTTTTTCATGACTTGTTCTGTGCAATTGGAAAGGTTTCAAACCCACAGCGGCACATTCGTCCATGATGTTTGTTTTAAAAGTCTCGGGGAAAGGGTCCATACTAGGTGTATATGCGCATTTTGAAGCATATGAGATCGGAAGGAGTTTCTGTCCATAAAGACTGCGGGCGCTGTTTCCGGTGGGGGAAGAGCAGCTGGGACATCGACATATTGTCGTGGTGTTTCTGGTGTCCATGCCTGATTTCGCCGCCTCTTTGGAAGTACTCATGTTTCCGGTGGGCAAAAAGCAGCCGGGACATTGGCCTCTTTTTGTCCCCATGTGACTATTTCTGGCGTCCATGAAAGGTTTCCTTTTTCTTTTTGTCTGTTCTTTGGAAGCACACATCGCTTCCTTCGCGAGCATTTTTTTATAAGGACAGTTAACGTGTGGGTGTCAAGTCTGAGGGTGCGCGTGGATTTTATATCTACGTGCCCACCCCGTCATCCAACGGTAAACCGAGGTATGTGATTGGACTTGCCAGCGGCACATGGTGGCTCTCATTTTGAATTTTGAATGCAGCTGGGAAAACAACATTGAAACCACATTGACCGGTTTCGCCGGCCCGGTAGCATGTAATGGAACGGTTCGAGGGCACAGGATCATCTGTCTTTGGGATATCGTATTTGACTGCCGCAGACAGTCATTGTCGAATCTCAGCACGATTTCTTAGAACATAGGGCAAAGTTAACGCATGCGATTGCTCATTGTGGTACTGTGGGCCTTGTGAAGAGATCATTGTCTTGTTGTGAATGTTTCAAAAGTTCATTCTGAATGTGTGGACGAGCTTTCGGAAACGAAGAGCAATGGACGCTGTCCAAAGACAGTTAGTTACGGAGAAAGAGACCGCATTCTGTGCTCCGAGGAACGTCAGAACCCTTGGGAAGCAATCCAGAAGCATGCATAGCTCCATTTGCAGTTTACAGTTGCGAATGGGCTTTCTCCATGGTTGTGGGCTGTCACTTATTTGGCTATTCCAAGCATCGCCAAAGGCATCTTGCATGGCTTGAACCCCAGGGCTAAGAATACTCGTCTAACTCCAGTGCTTCTGGAATGGACCGAAGTAAAAAACGTTCATAGCCGATGGTTAGGAGTGGGGGGTTCGTTATGTCAATGGGTATCTGATTGGCTGGGATGAGGGTCGTAGTTTGCGCATAGCCACTGCCAGTTGAGGATTTGCGATTGTAATCATGCACAACCATCTCAATGCGTTTGTTTTCATGTGGGGAGAGTTGGAAGGTCCGGTAATGAAATATGGCGTTGTCATTTACGTATGCAAGCCCTTTCTTGAGGAAGCGGACACATACGGTCGGCACTCCATCGATTTTAATAAACTCCAAACGTCGGTGCGGTAGGAGAGGCACATACGATGTAAATGTGGGCCATTCTATTGTTTGAAGAGTGCGGAGCTAGACTTCTAATCTGCAGGAGAATTCTGTTTCTGACACTCGCATCGGGGGCGGAGCGGGAAGTTTAAGATGTAGAGAAACATGCTTTTGAGTATGTATCCCGTAGTATTTGGTGTCTGCGAGAGAAGAACCACTTTCTTTCGCTCTAGATCGATTTTGGGATGGGCTATGCCCTCCCAATTAGGAGATATCTCGGTCACCGTGCAGGAAAGGAAAACACATGAATCCTTTAAGAACTGGCTCAGGGTATCCAAGGACATTTGAGTATCTCTGCCATATTTTTGGAATGCAGGACTCGCAAGGTTATTGGTAAGGTGGTGCCAACAGTGGAATGAGCTGGGGCTCATACCCGGTTTGAATTTATCGGACAATGTTGGATTTAGTTTCTTCAGGTCGAGAATGGCATCAATGCTTTGTTGATCTGTTTGGACAGTGTGGAGATGTTCGTAACAGGGACAGAAAACCCCAGTCGAGCTTGCTCAAGGACATATTCTTGCGCTTGGATAGTTTGCTGTGCGGACATCTTTGCGATGTTCAGAACCTGAGAGCTGATATCTAGTGGTTAAGCGCAAAGTTTGGCTGTAGGGAAAGAACATTGGATCAAATTATCTGTCTCCGCATCCCTGGGAGGCACGTTCCATTCCGTTGCTTGACATTCTTTCTTGATAGACATGGCTGAGCGGAGATAGGAGGACGATATGATGCACCTTTCAGTTTGGCGCACACACCAGCCTAATGTGTGCGAGCTTCAGGTTCTCCCGTCCATGCAACACGTCCTTCTTGATCGTTTAGAACCCCGGCATGGGCCATCGGAGTTTATCTTTCTCTTCGTAGTCCGGGGACTACGTGCATGTAGAAAGGAGTGCCTTCTTAAACCTGTTTAATCTCCGTGTATACACAACCATGGGCCAGCGCGAACTCAATCTGAGCAGCACTCTCTTGCCAACAAGCCAAGTTGGTATTCCGGAGGGCCATAAACGGCTTTGTGTTTGTTTTCAATTTGTAAGATATCGCAATTTGGCCAATTCGAGTATTGTCTCTAGATACTCATGGACAGATGTATCTTTACGCATTCTTTCAGCGACTTGGTCTGCTCAGGGACATGTGATGGTGATAAATGTCTTTTGACACCTAAAACAGGAAGAGTGGGGGCTTTTCATACATTTCGAGTATGTTCGATTCCAGGTTTCGATAGAAGAGGCCCAAGTTATCGTACAAAAGTAGAAGTCCCAAAGCCCATAACTTTATTCAGTACAGCTTGCATTTTTCATTTTTATGTGCTAGCGCATCCGTAATTACACTCATAGTGGACAACGGCCCTGAGGAGGCGGGCCGGCGCTGATCGGACCATGCGTGGGTTCGTTCGCTTCCAGTTATTTGCTGCCACATGCCATGAGCGACAGCTCTATTTGATGGTGCATGCCATTCTCGAACTTCGACAGGACGTCGAAAATTACATAGAATTTCTTGAGCATGTCCCTCTTGGAGAGAAAAGACACCTTCAGCTTACTCTCTGCAACAGCCAGCATATAGCAGACGTTGCAGCTGTAAAGAAAGACTAACAGGTTCCCGAGAACCAAACACATATTCGATCTCGGTCCTTCGGTTTCATCTTTTAGCCAAAGGTCTGGTAAGAAAAAACCGCAGAGCACATGAGGAGAATGCCTTATTAGTTGTCCTTTCCCTCGTCTGGGTGGGAACGGACCTGTTTTCCGAGGTGCCAACACAGGTCTTGTAGAGAGCGTACATTTGCGGCATTCAAAGCGATCTTAAACTCACTTCGATACCGTTGGCTGTAGTTTCGACCCATGAAGGTCCGGGATGAAAGCATTCAGCCTACCCTAAGGAAGGATATCAAGGATATACTCCTTAAAGTGTATAATGCCCCTAAAAGGCACCATTGTCTTCCGCCATAGACTTGGCCGAGGGTGTATTTCAGCGGGTGACACCCACGGTTTCTGATAAATGCAGTACAACACATGATGCACTCGCGAGAAAGTGTACGTATACATGCATGGACACCCTTCTTAGTTCGGGTTCATTGCCGTAAACAGAACGATTTCTTCAGCTGTGTTCTGAGTTTCCTTCTG